GAGAGAGTATTTGGAATTAGTAAGAAACGTAAGCGAGCGAATCGGAGGCCCCGGAGCACTCCTCCGGACCAATTAGAAGATTAGACGTAAGAAGGGTGTATACGGAGTAGAAAAGGGGTGTACACCGAGTAAATATAGGGTGTACATTTAGCAGCGCCCGAACTCAAAGCTCCAGTAATATTGCGACCTATTGACGAATACTACCAAATAGTTTGCGATGCGTACATTCATATGTTTAAGTATGGGGGAACTATAGAGGAAATTGGTGGGAATATAGATGACGTAGAAAATTTCTCCTTATGTTAATCTATATTCGCTATAATAGTCTAACACCCTTTAGATCGTAAATACATAAGTCTTTTAAAATGGGATAGTGGCATTTTCATCCTAGATTACATGAAGGGCTGTGGCATTCATCGGTGTAGCTCGCCAACACACCGTGGGAAGTTCCGTACGGAAACTTCTGGACGAATTGACCTCGTCAAGTGACAGCTCATACCTATGTTATGTATAAAATGCAGTGATCGCAATTAACTCAAGTGAATATGAAGCGATATTCTCTTATGCTCAGCATCTCCGGCTCTTCTTGACAAACAGACTATACCTCGATTGGTTCGAAATCTCTTCGCGAAAGAGATTTCGTATGGATTGCAGCAAGTTCCCGAGTACCACTGATTCTTCGGGGCAGTGGCGCTCACGATCTTGGACTTGTCGGAGAAGGTTGTCTACATAGCTTTATGCACAATAAGGCATTGGAGCTGGATCCTTCCTTCGAGGATATCACTATAGTCTAAAATGCGAGGTTTGCTGATCATTTCGACTAAGTTACAGTAGCACTCCATTATATTTCCCGTGTAACTTGGATTTTGCACTCAGAGGATACGAAGTTGCCGACCCAAATTAGACGTCACCTCAAGAAGTCACGGGCATAGCCCGCAAATTCAACCAGCCACAACCTTGTAGTCCGCCACAGTCATTCTAGAAACGGTATAATTTTAAAATTCAATACAAATTTAATACGGTATAGTCTAAGCACGCTCATGCACCCCTACACACGCTAAATCTGTCGTTCTGGATTTCTAAACGAAACGTTGAACAGCATGACCGAGACCACAGGAATTTTCTCGTTGCATACTGGTTTACTAAGGAGAAATAACTAAAGAACCGTAAGGCCGTAACTAAAATGTAATGGCATCAAGAGGGAGAGACTTGAGATGCCTAAATAGTAAACTCATCACGCTGTAGGGTGCTTCTCGCAATACCGGGGGGGCTAGTAGATGCTTTGCTCGATATCCCTACAACGCGCTCAACCGCGTCCCACGAGGCCAAAAGGCCCATAACTCCCACGACCCAAGCTTCTATCCCCAAGCCCATTCAACGCAACCTCCCTCTCTCCCGCGGCCACTAGTATCGAGACCTCCAAGTTCATCATATGAATTCCCTACTCCCTCATATCCCTGCGCACACCCCCCTCCCCCCCACACGGGCGCGCGCCCAATCCCCTCCTATCCAAAATCTCCACCTTTTCCAAATGCGCCGGCCGAGAAATCACCAGCTCAACATCGAGCGCACCTCTTCCCAAGTTTTTCGGGATCACAGTCAAGAACCTCTGAGTTCTACGGAGGTGCTCGGACCACTTGCGAGCGGGGAGAGTTCGAGGGATGACGGAGGTATTTTTGAGAGGCTCTCGGGGCGGCTGAGGCTTGGACTCGAGCGACCAGGGCTGCAATGGATATGAGTCCCGGGGAGTGCGGGAGTAAAGCGGAGGAAGGATGGCGCAGTTCGGAGACACTGGGCGCTGGATGCTGAGGCTTGTGGGATGGAGAGGCGCGCTGGGATGGTAGTTGGGGGGAGGGGGGACGAAGAAGTCAAGGCAAAGTCACACGGTGGCGTTGGATGAGGGGGATGACGAGAAGGTTGACCCTGCACAGCGCGGGTTCTAAGGCGCTGACGAAGGAAGATTCGCTGAAGCTGTGGCACTCCATGAGAGATTTTAATGTGGGAATCGCTTGAGTTGGAAGCCCCTCGGCGCTTGAATGCTTCACAGCATTACACATGGCGCAAAACACTCTCTTGGCTCCTCTACTTGCGACTCTTCCATTGCCTTTCAACTAGGTACAAATAACTACGCCTCCAAGATCTCGAATATCACTCACCCCTTGTACGTCTGCTTCTTCCGCGCCATCCGGCTGAGCTCCGATCTTTCCTTCTGCGCGAAGTCGCTCAGAGATCTGGCCCTCAATCCTTCGACGTAGCTCCATTACCCACTGCCCCAAGCCCCAGGCCTCCAGCCTCCTCGATTCCGCTGCGCCGGTGTGTCGCTCCAGCACACAGCTGAACCTTGCAGCCCGATCTCTTCCTCGAATATCCAACCGGTTATCCAACAAGAAAACCCCTCTGATCCCGGTCGTCATATTCGTCCAGCGAGCCTTCTAGTCTCTCGGCCACAGATCTATCGTCGATGTGTCGCTGATGGTTGGTTTCTGGGGAGGAAAGAGAGGATCCTACTGGAATCTTCCGAGAGGCAGCAAATAACACGCGTCTCGAAACCCGATATTGGGGAAGAAGGAAGGGAGGTCGGCTGGAGGAGGAACATGGTAAGGTGTGGAGGTGGAGGCTGCGCCTAACACTGATAGGCTTGTGTGTCCGGCATCCGAGGGCTTGGATGTAAAGGGAGACGTCAGGAAGGAGATCGCTGTGGGTAATGAGCCGAATGAGGGTTAGCGAGAAGAGAAAGTAGTGAGCTGCATGTTGCGCTTTCAGAGATCATCTGGGAAGATGGCGCTGATTTCGTTGTCGCGTATCATACAGTGAAGAAGAAAGGTGATGCGCCTGTACCAAATAATTCAAAGTTGCTGTACATATCCTTCGAGATGGAGACCAACATCCTCGCCTGCAAGGTCCTCAAGATCCCGCACATTTATCCCGTTTCCTAGGTTTTGACTCGGTGCCAGCGCTCTCTCACAATCCGCACTCCTCTGACAGAGTTGAAGCAACCTCCGAAGCAACCCCCAGTCCTATACTCCCTGCCCGTCGTGATCTCCCACTTGTCTGATATATCCATCGAAAGCCTCCTCCCCGGATTCGAAGACCCCTCCTCCCTCCAACTCGAGTCCTGCCGACAGCTTGCTCCCTCACCCGCGCCGCCTTTTCGCCATCACATACTCGGACCCTCTGCCTAAGGCACAAATGCTGTCGTTGTGCGATCGCCGCGCAGAAGAATCACTACTCGAGAGCACTTGGTCGCCGTCGACGCAAACTAAAGCCTCCCAGCCCGTCCCAATCTCGAATCTCCAATCAATTGTCCAGTCACATCCTCCTAGCCAGGGAAGCTCCTTCGCCGGAACAAGGCCTTCCATCCATCTCATCCAGCGGCAGCCGTGTCGCCTCCCGACCGCAGCACGTCCTCGGCCAGCGCTGGCTATCGCTTTGTAAGACTTAGAGTGCGAGATCTCCCTGAGGGTTTCGGTGGATGTTTCCGGGCAGAATGGCACCGAGCTGGGAGTGGGATGTGGAGGAAGAAGGTACAGACGTTGGGGGGATATCTTGGTAGCTGCTTGGGACAGGCGCGAAGTCTTTTGAGTTTGCGGAGGAGCAGCACAAGGGTTCGGAGCCGCGATGGGGAGGATTGAACGAGCGTGAACCCGGCTGGCGAGAGGTTCTGCGGCAGGTGGAGGATGATGGCTTTGGCTGGCCACTGTTAGCTGTCTCGCATCTCGAAGACGTCAGACGGAGGGCTGTTAACCCCGTCAACGCGATGTCTACGATGAGAACGGATGTCACCTAGCTGTTCAGTAGCATTAGGAAACTCTGCTATTGCCTCAGAAATAGCCACCGTGATGCCTGCCTGCAGATTCTTGAAGATCTCGTCAGTGTAGCCCAACAAGAGCATTCTCCCATCCTGCCATTGGCTCCCCTAGGTAGTGCTTTGATACATCTGCCTTCATCTTGGTGTCCCAACTCCCTTGTATCCGGACATGCCCACCTACCGCGTCCTCCCTCCCGCCAGCTCAACCCTCCTTCCTTCGATCTAGCCCTTCTTCTCCAACTCGAGCCCGTTTCCCAGTATACTCCAGCAGCCGCTCAGGCTACCGCTGCACAAGTTCTTCAATATCCAATCCCACAGGTTCTTAGGCACGGCAGAACTTGCTATTGTGAGGCTACGCCATTGCCGACGCCTCTGCAGGACTTCACAGGGCTCCGCAGGCGGCGCCAGCGTGTATCATCCAGTTCGCACACGGAGAGTTCGGAGGTTGCGCGTAGCGATAGAGGGATGCTATGGATGGGCGGAAGCGCAGACGAGGTCGCAGGGTAAGGACGCGAGAGTGCTGGTGATCATATACATTCTAGATACGAGGAGCGAGACGAACGACTTCGCTATGGGCAACGACAAACGGTTGGGTGGAGGGCGAAGCTACAGAGAGAAGAAGCTCTCAGCGGCTTCTTAGCTCAAGAGTGGGATAGGTCTCGGAGAATTCACGAACTTGGCTGGGTATGCAAACGTGACATCTGAGGCTGCGTTGCCTCGAGCGTCGGTAGGACACGACGATACGAGACGGCTCGCGCTGCGGCCTTCGTGGAGCCTTGAGGGTAGGACTGCGGAAGGTTGAAGCGCCGTCGGGAGACTGCTGCGACTCTGCGAGCGTGTCTTGAAAAGCCGTTGGTGTCGGCGTTGGAGGCAGCAGGCAGATGCGATTGGGGAGGGGGGTCAGTCGCTGGGCTTTGCGGAAGCCAGTGCTGTGGAGCGATTGGGTTGATGAAGCCGTTGACGGGCGCTATGAAACCCATTCAGCTCTGCAGAACAAAGAGCGGCCTAGCGGGAGGTAAAATCGATGCGGTAGGATTCTGCGGAGTAGATGATCGTTAGCAAAGCTCGAATGTCCGTGGCAAGCGCAAATTCCGGAAAGATCTTTGCCTGGATGGTTCTGCAGAAGCAAAAGAGGTGATTGAAAAGACGTTCTTCTTCGCCATCCTGCTCAAGGCAAGAGCAGCAATGAAAAAATAAGGGGATTCGAACCCCAGGAATTGAAACCTCGTGCAAGCAGACTGTAGGAGTTGGCCTCGCAGTTACCTAGAGCGCCATCGGGCATATGCTAAAATGTAACCTTCCGCAAAGTCCCACAGTAGCCAAAGCACGTCGAACTCAGTCTCAACCCACACGAAGGACCCGCAATGCGTACACCTGCGTGGGAGAGGGAAGGTCTGAGATCTCCAGACTGAGGGTGGGTGTTGAACCCCAGCACATAATGAAGAGTCCTTGCGGAAACCATCTGTGCCCATGAAGGAATCGAACCTCCAACGCGTCAAGCCGTAGAACACTTTTTGACGAGCGAATGACAGTAAGCAAGATATGGTAATACATGCTCCACAACCACCTCCATGTTGTTCCTCCAGAGTCGTCTGAAGAGCTCTTTCGGGCTCCGGTCTTGTCATCTCGGCGTACCAAGGTGAAACAGAGGATCATATTGCCTTCCATCGCTCAACCCCGTCTCATCTGGAGGCATGGGTACTGCTGAACGTTGAATAACGGTCAACATGCAGCTCGCCCAAACGTCTCACGGCGGGGCCATTCGGGTCCGTCTGCACTCTCGTCCATTCCACTGCGGTAACTGCCCGACAGCTTTGTTACAGTTTGTCAGCCTAGTGAAGCTCTCCTGTCAGAGACATCGCATTCGCCGACTAGGAGTCCTGAATCATGCCCGATCGACCACCAGGAATGCTGACTGTTGTCTCCTCCCCAGGCGAGTAATTTTCCTATATTAAAGTCTTACGCTCCAAAAGAGCTGCCTGGTAACCCCAACGTCCCCAGTCCTGGAATTTAGATCAGACCACAGAAGCTAGTCATCGCTGTACCGAAGCACCAGACCTGACGTCGCCCAAAACCAAGCAATGCTTGAAGTGTGCAGTCCGAGCCCAGATCTGGATGGTTGTGGCCGGTCTCGCCCCCGTTCGGGCCAGGGAATCACCCCCAGAGAAAGAGGAGTTGCTTGGTCAGGGCATCGCCCTACACTGGTTCTTGTGAGACAGAGCACTACTGCGGACGAATCAACGCGGCTCGAGCCATTCCATTCGCACATCTCGCGCAATGTTGCTACCGAGGTCTCGGAATGGCCCTGGTCGAAAGTTTCATTTCGGTATCTCCTAAGGTGGTTCCTTCCGGCGGGCTAAAGCTCGTCACACCTTCCAGCTGCCGCGATCCTGAGTAGGCGCCTGCTGATAGACCAGGCTCACATGGCATCCTCGAAAACCATGGCCGTCAGACGCTTTCCTCAGTCGCACAGACGTGCTCCGACCTGCCTAGGGGAGACTGTGAGATGTTAGTCTGAGAAGCGATGGAACGACGAGCGAGCGGAGAGTGGTAGAGCGGGGAGATGGGAGCGAGATGGTGAGAGATCGTTCGAAGGACAGAGAATGGAGAGGACAGCGCAGAGAGGGAAGACCAGCGTGCTGAGAAAGGGAATACCAGGTTGCCGAGAGAGCGAAGCGCTGGGAGGAGCTGAGGCAGCGAGCAAACGCAGGGGCAGCAGAGGATGGGCATGCGGAGGACTGGGAGATGGGAGAGGCAGAAGAGGCGGGAGAGTGCAGGCCTTGAACGGAGAGCTCGAAGTCGACAGGTGGAGAGGAGGAGCGAAAAGAAAGCTTACCAGGCCGAAGACAGCATGCAATGGACACCAGCGCTAGGCAGTAGTGTCCATAAGCCCACACCCCACTGCACCCCAGGCGCGACCCTGGGGGGACCGACGATGCAAAAGACAGGCACACGTCGATGAAGAAGAAAGGAAGGAGCCCGAGGGCCGCGAGGGTTTTATGGTCGTGGTGCGGTGGTCCGTGCTAGCGTAACGCTAACCGAAAGCAGCAGAATCGTACGAGCGGCGGCGTGGGCAGGCAGGTAGCCAGCCAAGTGAAGCGCTTCTCGAAGGTTCGGCACGGCTACAGCTGGCATTGACGTCACCCGCTCATCGGCATACCGAAGTTCCTCTGGCAAAAAGCCGAATCTTTAAGTGCGTGGGAGTGGATCGCGTGTACTGGGATCGAGGCGCGACTGGATCAAAATAGTGAATGTCAAACAATCTTGTCAATGCTGACTTGCACCCTGACGGGCCATAAGCTAAGATGATCTTGAGGGCGATCTCATTCTTAGGCATTCAGTATCGCTACCTCGCTCGGATTTTGGAGGCACTGCACCCCGTCAAATGCAAGTCTGCTCGGTCCCAGCCCCCAGTGCAGAGCCTGGCGCAGGACTTACAGGACTTCAGCGCCTGGGATGAGCGTGAGGCTTATCATTGCCTTTGTCTCATTGCCTGTACGTGTTGTTGTCGCGTCGTTATCGCGTGTTGTGCCGCCCTGCGCGTGGAGCGGGAATTGGCCTTTCGTCTGATGTTCGTGACGTCCCGTGATGTCGGCTCGGTTGATTGGCCGAGGGCCGATGCTTTCGTCCCGAATCCAGAAAATCTGCCAAGCCGCCGTTCCCAAGCGAGCCTGTGCGACACCATCACCCACGACTCGTACCGACCTCAACAGCATTATTGGAAGATATCTTCTTGAGGCAAAGGTGGGCCTCAGTTTCGCTCTACAGTGTGGGATCTTCGCTTGAACCTGCATGCGCGTCTCCTGCGTTGGCCCGTGCGCAGTCTCAGAGAACCCTTCCAGCAGACATGAAGTGTTGAACAGCATTTGTGTCATTTGGAAATATTATGCAGCTTTTATCTATCTTTGCTGGTTTTGTTTTTGGTGTCTTGTCACTGGCCCCTTCTTCGAGTATCGTCCACCCCTTCGAACGTTTCGCCTCACAAATACCCGGTCTGAAGGCCTTTACAAGAGCTGGACGCTGATCAAATGATCGACCGCAGTACTTCCAATGGTCTCAGTATCATTAAAACTGGGAAACCACCCGAACTGCGTAGTAAGCTATGCCAAAGCGAGATACATACCTTGAAGAACATCCGACTCTCCATAAAATTCTCCTCAAATTACCGTCTCCCACTGTTCCTCTTCCTCTTCCTCTTCGTCCTCATCCTCAGGTCGCTGATCTCCCACATCCTCCTCCTGCACCGTCCCAGTAACCCCAGCCTCATCCCGGCGGACATCGAGATCCCCGTTCGGCACACAATCAATCCTTCGACCCCCGCCCTCGCTTCCATCGCTGGCCTCCCAGGCTCCCTCCCCTCCCGTCTCCCCATCCTCAAGCGACACAACTGCAGCATCATCCCGCTGCCCCTCCTCCCGCTGCCTCCGCGCCGCCTCAGCCCGCGCCTGCGCCCGATCCGACAGAACCGGCTGCCTGCGCCTCGGCTTCCACCCCACCATCTGCGTCGCCGGCTTTACCCAGGAATAATTCTTTTGCGGCGGTGGAGTAGGCGGCCGGTTTAGCGGCAGTGCTGCTGTGGGTGCGGTACCTGTAGCGCGTGGAGGCTGACGCGGCTGTGACCGAACTACTAGTACGTCGTCCTCGCTGCCTGAGATCACAATCGTAGGGGGTGCGTTCGTAGTGGGCGCGTTCGGTGTAGGCGCTTTCCGCGGATGAGCGACTGTTGCGCGTAACTCGCCATGGGGCGAGGGAGAGGAGCCCCGGCCGACTTTAGGAGTCTTGCAGCGCGGCTGAGAGCTCGGTCCTGCTGCCTGGTCTCTAAGACGCTTGCTACCAGGCGGCGGTGGCGGAGAGATAGAAGCGTTGGCGGGTTGTGATGGTATACTTTGCTGCGATTGGGAGCGTTGCTGAGAGAGCTCTTGCACGCGTTGCTGGGCGAGGAGAACGTTTCTTTGAAGTCTCTGTTGAGGCGAAAGAGCAGTATATGTCTGAGGTGCCCGTTGTGACTCGCCGTCAACATGGCCGCGAACTCTTTCCTGATGTCGCACCTGATTTGAGGCACTGATTTGGAAGCCTTGGTTGCCGGTTTAGCTTTGCTGAGTCCCAGGGTGCGGAGGTGCCTGTCTTTGAGAGGTGCGCGGAGGAAGGGGACCCTGAGAGGGCAATGTGCCTGATAGTACGCCTGTTGCAGCAAAGAGATTGTAGTTCGGACTTGACGTGGGTAGCGCTCTCGGCTACTGTTGAGGATTAGGGGGGGAATAGGATACCGTACCGGCCAACGGGTAGTTTATCTGGGTATCTATCGGAGCGAGTCGGGGCTTCTTTCTACTTGGCGGCAAAGGATTAGGTTCTACTGCAGGCTATGGATCACGCTTTTTGATTAGTAAACCATCATAAGGAGCACCATTTCTGTTGTTAAGGTTTATCCGCTGCAACATAGAACCTTGCTGTGATGTTGGTCGTCCTTGGCCCTGCTGCTGCTCTGCGGGGCCCCGTGAAACAAGGTTCGTGTTTGATTGTTGAGTTGGCGGAGGGATCGTGTTCATCGGAGGTACTGTTCGTTGAGAAATGGAAGGGAGAGGTGCATTTTGGGTTGGCGAAGTACTCTGAGTTCCATTTGGAATCTGTGAGCGTGCAAGGGCGCCCTGTTTTTGGAGATCGACTTGAGGCTGAATTGTTGCCATTGGTTGATTATTCAGTACTGGCGCAGTACCTGTCGGCACTACTACGCCTGTGGAGGGATTTGTCGCTGAGCCTGCTCCTGAAGGCCCCTGCTGCACAGCAATCAGCCTGGTATGTTCCCTAGCGCGGTGATCATCGTTATTGTCTTTGTACCGCCTCAACTTATTCTCCCTGCATTTAGGGTCAGCGATAATTTCCTTCATGATATGATGTTGTCCCTCAAGAACTTTCGTGCATATACCTTTCTGAATAGATATTAGATGACATATCCGGTCGAGCTTTTCCGTGAAGTCTAACGTTCTACCCCGAATTTCCAAGTTATTTTGACGAGGCGTCCATGGCCAAGTCCAGACAAAACAGCCCACCCTATGAAGCTGAGCCATAAGGTTAGTAAGTTGCTATGCTCTAGCCGTGACATCCATTCGAGGATACACCTGCGTTGAACCAGGAGCCCATCTCCTGCCATTATTTGATTTCAAATCGAAGGCCTGCGACGTGTCTACCAAAGCAGCCCTAATTCGTGTGGCGACCGCTGCTGCTTCGATACGCGTGCCGGGTAAGCCATTGTTGGAGTCTGGTCTCCACTGAACTCTGTTTAGGTAGTCATTGGCTTCCTGACTCGTCATACCATCTACGGTGTCCAATTGAGCTTGTCCCTGCGGCTCCTCATTGGTGCCTATATTCTCAGCATTCTCAGATCCTGGAGTAGGACTGGCAGCTAACCCTCCAGGGCTTGGTGCCACTGGCGACGAAGGAGTCGATTCATTCTCCCCTTCGCTCGAGTGTCCCTGACTGCTTGGCGATGACGGCAGGACTAGTTGCTCATCATTAATGGGGTTTTCTAGCTATTGCAACTCTGCCTCATCACTACCAGGTTGCTGCTGAATTAGCTGGCCGCTATCGCAAGGAGCTGGAGACGGAGGGGATGCCGATCCTCCCCGATCTCGCGCCTCCCACGAACTGAGTTTGGTTGGATCAAAAACTTCCTCCCAGCTCTGGAGCTCCTCCAGACTTAGGGGTTCAGCCTCCGCTCTTCGCCGATCAAATCCTACCGGGTCCTTCAGTCGTTCCCAATACGCGTCACTTGGGATAGGCCCTTCCGGGATATATTTATCGGGAAAGAGCAGCATCTTGTTAATCCTTTTTTCCCATAGTTGAGCGTCTTCTCTTCGTTCTACGCGGCTATTTGGATCCTCGTAGTCTTCCTACAAGAGGCCTCGAGGATTATCATGGTGTCCGGCTTCTTGCCACCAATTCCTATTGGCAGGATCAGGCTGCTGGCTTTCGTCTTCGCTGGTCATTGAGGTGGGATCTTGACTGATTACTGCATTCAGAGTGGCAGCAGAGTCATCTAAATTTGTATCCTCAGGGAAGGGGCTCGTGAAGGTGTCGGGGGCGATATTACTTACGTATTCTTGAAGCTCATTCATGGCCTCAGCATTCATGGCCTCAGATGACCCTTCTTGGCTAACTGTTTGGGATGAGCCTGGAGTCATCTGGAGATCGCGCTCATCCAGGAACTAATCAAGCCATCCAGGGCCAAAGCGGTGATACGATACACTGTCATCGCTGTCAGAATCATCGCCGGGCAGCGTTTCATCTTTGCTCTGGGGGTCGTTACTGGGTATTCCAGTCTCTTCCCCTGGCTGCACGTTGTCAGCTGCTGTGTCTAATTCGCCTGCATTCGCGGGAACTGCGGTGTCGTCCGGTTCAGTCATGTTCTCGGACGATCCATCATCCGTACCTTCGTCTTCGAACAAGGCATTGATTTCATCGTCAGGATCTCACGATTGGGAGATATTTTGGGTATTGGTGTCGTCCGTAGATTCGGAGGAGCGGCGAGAAGCCATTTTGTTCGAAGTTTACGATGATATTGAAATCTACAAAGTAAGAAATTACGAGGAGCAAACTTGGGTAACAGGTAGGGTGGAAATAGAAATATGGATTCAAAATGTCTGTCCATTCAACATTGTATAGTCCAAGATTCATCTTGAAAGATTTCCAAATATATAAAGGCAGACAAAGCGAGAGCTGTAGACTTTGAGGGAGCTAACATTGTTAAGGAACCGACCGTGTGAGGACGGGGGACGCTCATACCTTTAAGCTTCGTGGCGGGTAGAACTGTACCTTGTATGATAGAGTGCTCGTTGTGCTTCGCCATAGAGCTCACTATGTCACCGATTACGACAAGAGGTTGTGGTGGAGTATAGAGGAGCATTTAGTTGAAGAGCTATGGGGTACAAACTCTTTGGATCAGCTATTCTAGCTAATCTAAGCCTCTTCTTTAAGTAACCAGATTTTTAGGACGGGCCTGTTCATATTCAGACTCGTTCCCGGCAATCTTTTCCAGCGTAGACACGATCGAGACTTGTCGAAATGTTCAGCACCCTTACCCGCCAAACCCGAACAAAGAAGCAACATTATACCGATTCGTTGTTCTTGTCAAGAGTCTTAGAACTCAACACCGCTCCCGACCTTCGCAAGAACTTCACAGCACGTCCCCATTGGTCCTTATTGTTAGTCGAGTGATTCGTCGAGTGACCGGCTAGTTGCCCCTCTTGAGTCGCTTGCGGTGAAGATCAGGACGATCTTCTCCATCAGATTCCTCCAAGGAAATATCGTCCTCCACGCGCGAGTCGGAATCGTCCCACTTGCGCTTCGTCTGAATAGTCGCGCGGCGAGGGCGTTGGATGGCAGGCGTCGTGACCGGAGCTGTAGCTGTCATGTCAGTGCTTGTGGAACTCTCACGTCGGACCCGAGCTCTCGTACCGCTCTCAGCCTGTGATCCTCGTCGTAGCTCACGTCCAGCCTTCTGGTCCTCATTCTTCTGACCGTTTGACTTCAGATTGACCCTCGCGCGACCGTCGACCTCTGCTGGATTCGCGATTAGACCCCAGATTTTCTGGAGGTCTCCCTGGATGACGAACGTACAGTATGCCTTGCGGCGGCACAAGACATCGCAGACCGCAGTCACCCTCTGACTATAGCTGAGTACCTTATTAGGCTTAACCTCAAGTAGTCGACAATCGTAGCGTGGATAACAGTATCCAGCCGTATGGATCTGTTCGCATGTCTCTTGCACGAGCCAGGCCCATGCCTCCACATCAAGGTCATCGTACATGTGGTTGATCCAACAATTGACTCCAGTCTTGCGGCCGTCGATAATTTGGGTGATAGACATCATGGCATCCCTGATCCGCATGGCGTCGGTGGCCCTCTCCGTATCCGACTGGGGCAAAGATTGGTCCAAGGAGTTACCATATCTGTCCACTTGGCCAACTCTGTACGCCGACTGACTTCGACGTAGCTTTGCTTCATCAGCAGACATCTGGATCGGGCTGGCGAGCGAATTGGGAATTCCAGCACGGACTGTATTCAGGCCAGGTTGGTGATCATTTGTCGCTATGTACAGTTAGCGCTGCTAGAAACAACTCGAGGCGGAGATTATGAGTACGGAGAATTACTTACAATTTTGCGTGTTTGGAGACGATTCGACGGACTGAGAAGCTTTCGAGAGACTTCCATTGTCGCTGGAGCGGCTGATAAAGGAATCCATACGCTCGCCGATGGCGGGGGTGTTCCATTCATCCTGCGTGCCCCCCAGAGCATTCCAGGTCGAGGTATAGTCTTCAGGACTGTATCGAGGGTCAAGATATGGCGACGAAGAATTGACATCGCGAGGTGCTTCGAATCCCTCCAAGCTGATCCGGTGGGTGTAACCGTCGCGTGTGGAATTCGGACCCATTGCCTGGGCAGCATTCGGCTGATTGATGGTGTTGGCAAACTCACAAGCCTGAGGACGGACGGACTTGCTCTGAGCTTACAGAGATACGGATGCTACTATCTTGTGTGAAGACAGTCGACAGGTCATTCGACTGATTTGACAACATTGACGGCTCTTGCAACACATTGTGGACCTATAGAGAGGTTTAGCAGCGCCGCTAGAAAGTATACTAATGTCAGTCAAGCTTACAGATGCGAACCGACTAGACTTATTAAGGGCGGGATGTATTTCAGCTAGAGCGGAGGCTCCAAAGATGTTGTGATGGCTCGAGACTCTATTCCGGTCCTTTCTCAGGTTGTGAAGAAGCAGTTCTGTGTTGATTTGAAGAGGCATAAGGCCCGTATATATAGCCTATGAAAGGGGGGGGGTTACTCCCCTGTTCCCCCTTGTTACGGATATGGAAGGATGTAACGCCACTGACACGCTAGTAGTGGCAACCTGAGTTCCTTGCTATGGTCCTGCGTGGCAACGGGATACATTGCCTGGGCAGCACTGGCCTGTTCGACGGCGTTAGCAAGCTTATAAGCATATCTGTTCGCTTTGAACTCACAGGAAGCATTATGCTAGGATCTCGCATGATTTCGAAGGTCATGTCAGGCTGCGCTGATCTATCGAACTATTGATGAGCTTAGCAAGTCTTCTGTAAAGTACACTTAAATTAGACTTACCATTGCTTTTAGGGCTTCATCTAGGGAGACGTAGGCTTCGCTCTCAAATGATTCAGAAATCTTGCTACCAAGCATGGTGCTGTTCTTTGTAGCTGGGATGTCGAACAGCGCGGCGCCGGTTGGGGTGTCCCTGAATGGAGAGCCACCATTGAAGTTAGAGATGTTGAACTCCCCCATTGCGTTGACATGCGCGCGCTCGTCTTGGAGGATTTCCTCCAAGATGTCCATTCTAGCAGGAAGGGCGGGCGAAGCCAACCTAGATCTAAGATGCGCCGCTGCGGGGGGCCGATGGTGGAGGGATGGTTGCAACTTGTGACTGTGGGAAGCCGGGAGAGAGCTGGGTTGAAGGTGGAAGCTTCAGCAGCAAGCGATGTCTGCTAGGTTGTGAGAAGAAATTGTGGAGGTGTTATAGCAACGTAGCAGGTCTCGATAGTCATTGACGCTGCGGCCGGAGGGATTCCAATCGGGCGAGCTAAGAAACAGGCGAGAATCACTAGGAGTCACATGACACACAGAGCACTTAGCGAGTTTGTCAATACCTGTTACTCTTCCTCTAGCTAAAAGGGAGGCATTTCGAACTAGTAAAGTGCGCGCTGTTTCTTAGATATAGCCGTCGCTAGCTGTGGTACTTCACTGCTCGGGCAAGAAGCCCTGATCGCCGAACTCGTCATTCATAGTGGATAGAAGAGTATAATCACGTGTACGTTAGCAATGCTCAGCATACACGACACCTTCGTACAATCAGATTCTTAGGCAGGGCTCCTTGGAAATTACCTCGGTTGTATGTTGGTTGATAATACCGGGTGTTTGTACAGCTCATCTGCAGAAGGAAGGGTACTACACAGACGGAGTTACAACACGTAACGTAATGATCGATTAATAACGATATTGAGAGAAGAGAGACTGTTAGTAACGAGAATAAGATCTATACAGAGCCGTCATCTATGCGCTTCTCGTCAACCTAGAGACAGAGGATGTAAGCAACAACTTCCAAAACATCATGCTTAGAATCTCACACGATGCAACACTTATCAATTCCTCCTTCCTAAAAGCAGACACGATGCCATGAATTCGCGTACCTAGTAATTTTGTACATAATGAAAACTATTAGAGACAGGTATCTAGTCCCGAGCCTCTCACACCATCTCTCTTGAGACTTAAGAGAAGAACGCTCCTTTTCGGGCAAATCAATTCTAGATAGGTGTTGCTAAGACAACAGCTCGCCAACCACTCAGTATCATTGCTATGAAGTGCTAGGTCTTGAGTCTGGAGAAAGTTAATAGTTCAGAACAAAGACAAGCACCTGCACACCATCCAACGTGACAGCGTGATCTCTTTGTTGACACAAAGAAAACCAAACACCGCAATTTCGCAGGTGCTATCAACCACACCTAGTCTCCGCCAATTTCAGACTTCCTAACAAGTCGACTAGCTGATCGGGTGAGGGGGTTTTTCTTCTTCCTACCAGTGTTCTCGGCCACTTCCATGTACTCCTCGTCTTCATCTCCTAGGTTCAACCCTCCCCCCCCCGGCTTGCGTTCCTGAGTGACAGTTCGGCCAGAAATTCGGGTCGCAGAAGCTAGGGTTGACGTTAGCGTCAGGATAAGGGTCGTCGTGTCGTCCGGCTCCTCCGCTTGCTGGTCCGCTGGTATGCTCTTCATTTCGGCGAGCTCGCGTCCAATCTTGGTAAACTTTTGTTTTTTTTCGTTGCCAAGCAGATTTCTAGGAACACGAGCTTCGACGTGCTTCGGATCTCCTGCCAGCCACCAGATTCGGACCATATCGCCATTGACAATGTAAGTAGAGTAGTGCTTGCGTCTGGCCAGCATACTGCACACGATATCGATCCTATTGGCATACAACAGCTTGGAGTCGGGATTCACTCCAGTAGAGCAGAAACTGCAGTTTGGGTAGCAATACCCTTCCACATGGAAAGCTTCGAATGTTTCTTGCACCAACTAGGCCCAAGCTTCGATCTCGCTTGCAGTGTACCTATTTTCCATCCAATGCTTGACGCCTTACTTGCCTATGTCGATAAACCCGATTGTATTCAGCATGCTATCACGAATCCGGCGCACATCAGCCTTCCTACCATCATCCGTCTGCGGCAGAGGAGCATCGAACCGGGCACCGCGTCCTGCCAAAAGGCGAGGACGATTGCGTCGCAGTCGGGCCGTGTCAGAAGAGCATATTTGGTCGATTTCTAAAGCTGTAGGTCCGTGGGAGGTGTTTGTAGAGTGCCTATCGTTATCGGATTCTAGGTCATTTTAGCATCTGTTGACAGAAGCAGACTAAGCTGATGGAGCAACAAGGAGCACTTACGAGTCGATGCCAGAATTCGAAGGCGTTCATGAGTCTCTTGGAGAGCTTTATTCAGTACTGGAGTCATCCTAGTTCCCCTGACGACATCGCTAGTCTCGATAGCCTTGTTTTCGGCGAATTTCTTGAGGCAAATACTGGCCCTCTCAAGGACGTCGATCGTAGTCTCCTCAAGAATGTTGTTTAAGTTCAAAGCCGCGTCGTCGTAATTCCATTCCTTTTCGGACGCGGAAGGTGCGGAATTGCTGGCTTGACGGAGCTGGCCGTCCTGATCGAGGCTAGAGTAGTTGATAGCAGGGCGCTGTATAATCTGGGGACTGTTCGCCTAATCGAGAATTTAGCAATGTGGCAGTAAGGTAGACGCAATGTAGACCCACTGCAACTCCAAGGCTAACACTCTCCTGAACGGGGAATGCCGGGTCGACAGGCATAGTTCTTGATTGGATGGCTCGGCTAAACTAAGTCTTCGGTCAGCAAATCTCTCGCAACAGCAGTCTATGTAGACTCACCGCAGCCCATTGAGTAGAGTTGTTAGGTTGACTACCAGTGAGCATCGCGCTCTCTTCCATGGCAAAGACGCGGCGCAGCCTAGCACCGGAGCTATTCTTCGTGTACGGGGAGAGGTAGGTAGCGGGTCTAATAGGTTTCGCGTATGAAAGCGGAGGGCTGGACTCGTATTCGTGGCGGACAGGTCTAGGGAACGAAGGGAGTCCTTCAAGCAGCCAGTTGGGCAGCTGGCCCTGGTTCGTGGGAGGGCTGGCGTCAGACATGGAGAGCGCTCGCCAAGTGCGAGGTTGTGGGAGCTCCTCCGTGGCGAGCGTGAAATTACAGGATGAGGGTGTAGTACAGGACCCTTCTGGGTGCCTCTAATAGAAGTGTAGCTGTTGACAGACACAAGAGGTCGATCAATTTATATGAAGAGTGGGCCACAGTGCTCTATGTAGTGGTGGGAAAGAGGATTGTAGATCTGCGCAGACGAAATTGAGAGGCAGCGGCACGAAGAGTGCTCCGGATAATTCTGCCAAGACGCTAGCGTGGCATCATGAAAGTTCAGAAATCCCGAGGCCACGCTCTTCTATGCGAACCTGAATCTTTATGCCATTGTTGTTTAGATATGCAACTAAGAGCTCAAGTTCTAAATGGCTCTCTTTGTTAAACTACTGTACAAGTAATGATCAGTGACGAGAAAGGACATGCACAAGATTGGGAAGCATTTTTTCAAAATGTTCTCACGTTCTCGCATTTTTAAACTCCTTCCGTGATCTCACCGACCTCAATATACCGAATTCCTCATTAAAAAGCCCCAGAAGCCTTCGAGACGTCTCGTTGGCCTTCCATTGCGCGTTGTTTAGTGCATTTTCCAACAGCGGGGCTCTTTACGAACTACGTACAGCCTGCTATCTAACGCTTCAGTACCCCATGAAGGACCAAATAAGCTAGAGCCTCCTTCGAGGCTGATTGACGTCAAGTCGGAATAGTCGACGATAAAGGCTTCCATTGGGTTGGCCCAGGAGGCTCCATACGGTGCTGAGTTCCTGTCAAAGAGAAAGCTACCGGAGCTTGATATTGATACCCTTGTGCATGGGATCCTGACATGCAAGTCTCTAGTAGTAGCCTGAGGCTTTCAAGCTATTTACAGACGTTTCCACGGTCCGATTAATCGGCCTCAGCTCCGTGCGTTACTTCTCATCCACCGCTTTTATGAGCACGTAGACCACTGTTGACGGTGTTGGAACTGATTCAATTGCTTCAATTTTCATGTTCAAATCGAAGACGCACCGAAAGCGGATGAAGAGGGATCACTTCAACTAGTAGTGTTTAAACAAAAGTTTAATTTGCATTGTAACTAGACCAAAATAGTTAATTTCATTCCATACACAACTCAAGGGCCTCCTGTGGCGATAAAAACTTTCCAACACTGTTCGCATATTGCTCCAATCTTAGAGATGGACCGCGCTATGTTGACAAGCAATCACTAAGATCGAGACTATCTGAATTAGCATTTGAAAGACGTTCGATGATCTCTTGCGTCGGCCGCAGATCATACACAGGGGCACGGAGTACCTCTGACGTCGGCAAAAACTATCCAAGTCTTCCTGTGTGTTGTGCCGATACTTAATACGATCAAGAAGTCTTGACAAACACCCTCAAAATAGCAAGTATCCGACCATGGGCGTGGTCTGCATATGGCGGTCAACGAAACGAGCTTCTTATTTTGGAGGTATCTGGACCACTCCTCACAGCGGCAGTGGCCATTCAAGGCTTCAAACATGCTACCTTAAAGGGCAAGGACCTCCTGGTCGTGTTGGAAAACGCTCTCAGAATCGCAATCATCGGCTCTTAAGTTACCCTCATCTTATCCATCACTCTTTAGACCACCTCTCACGGCAGCAAAGTCTTTTCAAATCGACTCGGACTTCGCCCTTATTCGCGACATCTTTAGAAAAGTGCTCAGAAAGGCTGTCAAAACCGTAAAGTGCTGCACGGGGTCCCGTTCGCAGGCTGTTCCCCTTTACATTGCATCAATTTTCTCGGTAAATAGCCAAGATACCTCAAACAGCAGGAGCGTGGCAGAGGACTTTAAGCGATGATTAAATCTCGAAGATTTTCAACAATGGGTCGAAAAATGCGCTTAGAATCGTAGCTCTTTGCGAGAACAATACTCTGCGGGACACGGTCCATTTCCAATCACCATGTTCTCAAAAGGTCCGTGAGACACCTCCGACTGCGACAGGAACCTTCCAGATCCTTCAAACGAGATGCTAATTTGGACTAGCATCCCAAAGGTCAAAGAAGAGCTCGTAAAATCGGTACTGCCTAAATCCTGCTCCAACTTTACGTGCTTATTCCAATGCGTTACCTCAAAAGTATTCTTGTCCAGCCGTGGCACTACTTGCGGTAGGATGATGATGGAAAAGGCCTCAAATCTTAGAGTCTAATTTGAGGTCTACGAAGTATTACATCGGGCCTTCATCTCACACAGGGGCCTGAAACCAGCCTGACGTTGCCAGAATGTATTCAATTCGCGTTAGATCTTACACTCATTTGGAACAGAAAGGAAGAAGTTAGACTTCTAGCGCACCTCGAATCATGCCTCCAATCTACGATGTCCGACCTATGACATCAACTGGGATATTTCAAGTATAGCTGAGATACCTCAGTCAGGACCCAAGAGCCTCCAAAAGGTTCAAATTTCACGCTGTCTCATCTGCGGCCTTCGGCCTTTGACTTAAGCTCGCGAATTTCTCAGGCACGTGGAGAAAGACTGGCGGCGGCAAGAATTAGCCAGATATCGCAATTCCATGGAGCTTAATCTGAGGGCTTCAATTTATAGCATTCTTCAATTTTTGCAATCCGTTCGCAGACCACCACAGGCAGCACTCAAGGCTCTTCAAACCCTCAATATATGACCGTGTCTAATATACAACCTTGAAACTACAACGTAAGCTCGTCATCTTTTGTAAATAGATGAAGGGCACCTAGCAACGCTGGAAGCTATCCAGATCTTGCGATTTCACGAAGTCTAATCTACGAGTTTCAATCTATGACTTGCATTTGGAACCTTCGGCTAGCAGGCAGGGGACTCCAGACGAAACTTTGGCTCGTCCAAACCCCTCGAAATACACGCTATTAGATCTAAGGCCTATAAACTATGACATGACTTTGAAATCGACCATGAGCATCTACGAGACCTCAGACGGCGCCGAAACCCCTCCAAAACCTTCGAAATATAGGCTATTAGATCTAAAGCCTATACTCTATGACATGACGTTGAGGTCTACCATAGAATGTAGGGCATCTCAGACGGTGTCCAAACCCCTCCAAAACCTTCGGAAGACACTCTGCTAGATCTGAGGTCTCTAATGAATGACATGACGTTGAAATCTAGAGTAGGCATCTGGCGGACCTCAAACCGTGCCGAAGGCGCTCCAAAGCGATCAGAATACACGCTATTAGATCTGAGGCCTATGAAATATGACATGATGTTAAAGTCTACCATAGAATGTAGGACACCTCGGACGGTGTCTAAGGCCGTCCAAAACCTTCGAAATACACACTGTTAGATCTAAAGTCTCTAAGCTATGACACGATGCTAAAATCTAGCACGGGCATCTAGGGGAAGTCAAGCAGTGCCCAAAACCCTCCAAAACCTTTGGAATACACGCTGTTAGATCTGAAGTCTCTGAGGAATGACATGACGTTGAAATCTATAATAGCCGTCTAGTGGACCTCAGACGGTGCCGAAGGCGCTCCAAAACCTTCAGATTTCACGCAGTCAAATCTGTGATCTCCGACTTAGAACACGAGAATTCGAGAATCTACAAGTGGCAGGTACACCTCTAACGATTGCAATAGCCATGCAAGCGTTTAAGAGCACAAGCTTTAATGTAGAGGGCTTTCCAAAGCGGTTCCAAACGCACAAAGTGTTCACAAAAAGATACACATAACAGGAGACACATAGTGCGCAAGTTCAGCGGGCAGTCTGTCTATTCTCGGCCCAAAAACCTCTCTATCTACCCCTTCTGGACCACGCAAATGGGCAAAGAGCCACTCAATCTACCGCCCGTAGGCCACACAAAGGAACAAAGAAACCGCCAAACTCTCCCGGCAAACAAAGGCACCAAGCCAACCGGCCGACCACCACCCCCCAGATCGCACCAGCCTCCCCACCCCTCTGCTCACTCCCCCTGCTCCTCGAACGCCCCCTCATTCAGGAAGGAGCGCCAATCCTCCCCTCCAGTCTCCTTCTCCTCGCCAGCGGCAGGCGCAGCGCCCCGCGGACCAGGCGGCTCCAGGGGCTCCGTTTCCTGGAGCTCTGGAGCCGCGAGGCCCGCCGACGCCGCAAGAGCCTCCGCGGCAGCACGCTCCGCGAGCCCCCACCGCTCCAGAAACGCCGGGTCGTCTGCGGCCCCGTAGATGCTCTCATCTGGGCGGGCTGGGGCGCGGGGTGCTGGACGGCCTCCAGAATGGCTCGTCGACGCGGCGCGGTTGCCCAGGCTGGGATCCACCGCGAAGTCATTCTGCGCCCTCGAAGGGCCGGACAGAGCGCTTCCCATCGGCGGCTGATATGAGCCGCGGTGCTGCTGGGAACCGGGACCGGGCGCCGAACTGGACGATGCCTGGTACGGGCTGGCGTGCGGCTGTAGATTGGGGGCATATGGCGTAGGGTTTGCAGCGTTGGCGGCGTATGCGAGCTGGGCCTGGCGCGCGCGCTGGAGGTTGGCGTATCGAGTTGTGGCCGACTGATTCAGACTGGCCATGAGGGCGCGGGGCGCGTGGACGAGGTGTTGGAGGCCTGACCCATTGCATAGGTGCAAGCAGTAGTCTTTGTGGCGATGGAGGACAGCTCGGACTGCTTCAAGTCTGTCGCCTAGTCGGATGTTTGGCTCGAAGTAGCTGACGATGCCAACGAAGGGGTACTCGAGGAACACGCGGGGTCCATCCGTGTAGATTGCGATGATGTTGTGCACGATCTGAACAGCTAGTGCTTCCAGGAACTGCTGAGGTGCGTTGCCCTGGACCCAGTTCGACGTAGAGAGCGGTTCGGCGCCTGCCATCTGCACTATTGCGTCGTAGATCACTCTGCACCAGTTATGGCGGGCTCCTTCAGGCGGTATGACATCTCCATTTTGCAAGGCTGGGCGTTGAGCAGAGTTGCGCTGGTTAATGTAGTCTTGGGCCAGCTGCGCGGTTGGAAAGATTGAGCTGTAAGCTCCGGGAGGGCTGAGTGCAGGTGGTGCAGACATTGTTAGATCTGAATGGACTGCGCTGAAGCTCGGTGGTTCTGATGTGGAGGGTTGTGGAGGCGGTTGAGGCGGTTGAGGCGGTTGAAGTGATGCGAACGATTGTGTGTTCGGGCGGTTGGTAGGCTGCGGCAGAAAGTTGCTGTACGGATGCTGGCTGACAGTCTGTGGCAGAGAAGTAATGTCCGGCCGGAGCGCAGAAGTCCGTCGAGGTAGGTGGATGGTGGACTGTGACAGAGAGTTGTTGGTGGATTGCGGCAGGAGACTGTTCGTGTAGCGTGGCTTGATTTGTTGGGCGTTGGCCAATTCACTGGTTGCTGTAGGTCGTCTCCCCTCTGCAGGATCTCTGCTGCCAGTCTCAGCTTGCAGACCCTCGAACCCTCCCTTCTCGAGCTCAGCAGCTTCCAATATTTGTGTGCCCAAGTTTTCGCTGTCTGATCCGGTGAAGGCGGTTGGAACTATGTATCTCTGCACATACTCCTCGTGGGACGCTGGCTTGTATCCTTCCGGCACGAGCTCGGGAGCACGATTTCTAACCGATGCGGGTGCTCTGTTGTTGCCGGCTAGATTGTGGCCGGGCAGATATCTCGCTTGTGGGCCCCGACTCTGACTCCGTCTTCGTTTTCTAGCTTTGGATTTCTCTGGCTTAGGGCTGCCTGCGCCCTGTACAGAGCTCATGATGCTGGGGTATGGTGGGAGAGTAGCACGACGATACAAAATGGAGATAGTAGAAAACACCAGGAAACTTCGAGAAGCGGCAGGTATGGCGATTTCTGTGGCGCGCTCCACGAAGAACAGTCCAGATATCCGTTAGTGTAGGAAACCGGCGGAATAAGACAGTTCCAGGGTCACACGTGTACTACGAATAATAAAACAAAGAGGCTTTGTCACGCTGGAGATGATAGAGAAAGCCTTTGTTCGATAGTGAATATCGGCAGGGTGAAGTCAGGGAACAAAGACGTCTAATCTAAGAACAAAGCCATTTGAGTGTATGATTTATCCTTCTTTCTTAGGTCTGTCCAGTGGCATAGCGAAAGATATCCGCTACATGAATTTAGGGATATATAGGTAGATTTAGCTACGGCACTAAGTCTTTGAAGTTCTTGAAGTGTATTTATCATTATGTTGTCGGACTATCTATCTAATTATGTTATATTCTTATCGCTAGCTACAGAGATAACTCCTTCATGCCTATGGCCAAGTATCCCGGCCCCTAGTGAAGCTCCCGATCAGTGCGCTGTCTCTAAACGTGTATGGTTGAGCGTGTCAGGCTGTATTTGTTGGCAGTACCACGTGCGCCTACAAGGGCTGTAAAGCTTGCCTTCACCACTAGGTCACGAGGGAGGTTTAAGAGATACTATTACGTCAAGAATGTCTATGTCTAAGATACGAAATTTATAATGTTTAAGTAGCTGTATGAAAGGTTTGTATTAGATTGTGCAAGCGTCGTGAGACTACATTAGCTAGGTTCTAAAATGTGGTGTTACCTCTTCTCTTTCATTCACTCAATAACTCTACTTCACTACAAGCTCTTCACGTGCTCACAAACAATCCAACCTCCACAAAATCTTGCCCGACACTAGACCACGGCCAGACTATGGAACCTCATTCCGACCTGCGTGGAAAAATGGAGCGTCCTCATCTTTTTTCACCTCCTGTCTCTCCCCTCTCTTTCCCTCGTGGAGATATATCCAGTACCGAGAGCACTCAACAATCGGCCGCTGATGAGGCTTCTCATAGAGGAGGAGCAGCTATGATCAAGCGATTTTTATCTTCGGATGCTCAATCTCCAAAGCCTTCTTCACCTTCGAGCACTCATCATAATGCCGCCCATGGAGTACAAAACCCCCTGCATTCTCCGCCTCCTGGCACCCATACTTCTCAGACTTCCTCGCCTTCACATAGTCGCTACAGTGCTGCTCCTCGTGGACCATCTTCTTCTCAGCACTCTCGGACCTTTTCCATGCTGTCCTCCTCCTCAGAACCTCAGCAAGCCACCACCCATGGAGAACTATCCGCCACTCAACCTCCCGGATCATCATTTTCTCACCACGTCGCCTACTACGGCGGCCACAGCATTCCTCCCCAATCCATCATCCTAGACACCCGCCTCTCCAACTACCCCTCCCTCCACACCGCCAGCACAACCCCCGTCCGCCACTCCACCGTCTACAACTCAGGCCCCGGCCTTACCCGTACCCGCGACTCCATCAAAAATATCGCCGATGCTGCCAATCACATCTCCGGCGACCTCTGGTGGAAGCCGCCCACCCCAGACCCCTCGATGCCGGCGACCGAAGACGACGTCCAGGCCATTGCCAGGCGCTTCGAATCCAGCATCTGGGACGTCTCCGAGGTCCTCGTGCCCCGCAACGGCAAAGTCGACGCCTTCAAGCCGCCCAAGGCTATCTACTCCGCCGCGGACGTGTGGGCGGTGGCGCTATTCCTGGTTAACCAAGTCGGAGTGCTGCATGGGAAAGGCTGTTTCGTGCAGACATTCGAGCGGACCACCCAGCTGAAGGACGAGTGGCTGCTCTTTGACGAGCGGGTGGCGGCGATGTGTCGGGATCTGAAGGGCAACAAGAGTCTGTGTGAGAGCGTGATGCGGAATCAGAACCAGGTGATCAAGGATCTGGTAAATGCGCCAGATAGTCTGTGGCGGCGGATTGTGGGGAACGCGGAGAGTAATAAGTTGAAGGCGGAGACGATGAGGGCGGGACAGGGGGTGTTGGGAAAGGGAAAGAGTAGGGGGAGAATGAAGAATGGGGTGATGGTTATGGAGGAGGAAGGAATTGTTGATGGTGGAAAAGATGAAGAGCGTAGAAGCGAGAGGAGTGTCAGCGCGGGAGAGTCGCGTTCTACGGCCTTGGCGTTGACGAGTCTGCGGGTTCAGAGAGCACGAGAGGAGCGTACCGCCGAAACTCCGAGCCAGATTTTGGGTTTTAAGTGGCCTTCGTATACGGCTCCAGCTTTTCTTCAGTCTGATTCGGTGGTCCCTCTGAAGCGGAAGAACTCTGATGGCGAAGCACCACGGACATCAGGCAAGGAACATCAAGGTTAGCTCCAGAATGGGTTGGAGTCATGCGATGGGCTGAGTGGGAGTATGGCGTCCATGGTGGGCATTCTCCCTTCATGTACACTAGATCACGTCAATAAATAAAATTCTAGTCAATGCCACTTCTTTTAGATTGACTTACATGCTTCGGCATACCGACAAATACGCCGATCAATCGAGCTCGTGTCGCAAATATAGGAGATCAAATTGATCATTTGAATTCCCCTATTGCCAGCAGAAGTGGTACGAAATTTGAGCGTCGCCCTAAAGGTTTCGCCAAGTTCATCAACCGACGTTCGAATGACCTCATCCCCCTATATTCCGCTAGTCCTATTCCAGCTCCATCCATTCACATTCAACTTACACACTAAATTATAACGGACGCACTCAGACCATGTCCTCATTCGTGGGCTTGTTGGATTGCTAAAGCGTGTGCTTGCAAAATCTAATTCCAGACATCAATGCGACCTGGGGACCGCACACAAATCTGGAGAAGGGGCGATGATCTGGAAAACTTCGCTTGGAGATCTGGGGACGGGAATTCGGTGGAAAGGACTTCGGACAGGAGTTAACTCAGGTTGAAAATTGATGTGAACTCTGTCTTATTTCGGGGGCCCGAAGGCCAAACTATATACTACGTAGGAAGTGACTGTATGCATAGGCAGAAGCACTAATTGGAGGCAGCAGTAGGCAGCATTAGGCAGGGTAGGCCACCGTACCCCAACCCCTCTCTGTAGAAGTTGTAACTGGCTAGGCATGTAGGCAGCTACTATGCCAGCAACTCCAAGTCTGTACGTAGGTGACCGTGAACCGTATGAGTTGTTGATCCTAGGTTGTAGCTGTTACAACCCGAGTAGTTATCTGACTTAACTAATGCGCAAGGCTGAAGCTTGGGGTGGTGGAAGCGAGGCTGGGTATGTGCCGGGATCGGGACAATTAGCAGAGTAAAAGGAGAGAATTTGCAAGTTGGATGACGATCGAGCGATTCTGCACCATGGTAAGACTGCTTTAGGTGTTATCTTCGATAAGAAATGTTGGGAGTAAGCTGTTTTGTTGATTCGTAATGAATGTAGTTAGTCAGAGCACTCAGGATACGGGCTAGGATGGGACTAATATAATCGTTTTTCTTGGTCGAGAAATGGATCTCTGTGATTTTATCCGCCTTTTGCAGTGATACAACAACATTTTATTGTACATCGTGCTGCAAACCTCAACGAATTTAATCCGGAGATCTACACATTTTTCCAATCCTCAGTCCTCTGCTCCGTCCTCGCCTCAAAGGGAGTAATCATATCCTCCATACTCTCGCTCTCAATATCTCTCCCCTTCTTCCCTTCAACCCGATATGTGCTCGTGACCACAATCTCCCCTTTTCCAGTCTGTGTCCCACCGTTCATTGAGCTCAGCTTGAACCCACTCGACGCCGGATCCTGCTTACTGCGAAAGCGACCAAAAAAGGAGAGTGGATGAGAGCCGGATTTCGAATTTGAAGCATCGAGGGACGAAAAGAGCCCGGGGAGGTGCCGCTTAGCAAAGGGCTTGAGGACCGTGAGGCAATTGCAGATGACGCCAAAGTTCAGCTCGATGCTAGACCAGACACAGGCGGTAGCTTCGTAGTAGGTTATGTCGGGTTTGTTTTGGAGGTGCATTATGTAGGTGATCCTGACAATGGATGTGAAGACGACGCTGTGAATGTGGTTTGTTAGCATCCGCGACATGGTAAGGACTACGGCAGAAGTGGACTCAAGAGAGATAAAATACAAACCTGGAGCCAACCATGAATACAAAACCCAGTACCATCTTCTGTAGAAGTGGCATCTGTAGCTTGTATAACATCGGAAGCGGCATTACCATCATGGCAAAGTCGGTAACAATATTAAGAATTGCCTGCCATAGAGCAAGTTGGTTGAGACAGTTTCCGTTGGAAGCATCGGTGGGTTGGCATCCGGCGCCAACGATGAAGATGGTGGCGAGACTATATGCGGTGATGATGAAGGCAATTATGTAGACGCAAATCCGGAACCATTTGTTTGGATTAACTCGGTGATACCTGTGACTGTCAGTCCTGGGGACTGACCGGGCTCATGGCATGTCTGAGGTGAAGCTTGAATGTACGCACAGAATGAGAATGGAGAATTTTGTCAGCATTGGCGACCAGATATATGTGATAACAATGCCTATCAAAAGCTTCAGACTCACAGTAAGCATATTATCGTCTTGCTCGTGAATCTATATATCTTACCTTGAGATACATATTCATTGCCGTAGCTGGTGTATCCCACATATGCCTTCCAAAGCCATAATTCATGCCTTCGATGCGCCTTAGTACTGAAAGAGGTGAATAGAAGTAGGTGTTTACTTACACACGACGCAGAGAGCAAAGAACGCAATCGAGAAGACCTATCACAGTTGATTGGTAAATGCGATCTTCCAAGCAGGATCTATTCATACCATAGCAAGCACAATGGCGACTATAATGTATAAGATAATAAACACTAGTTTCTAAGGTAGTACTACTCACGGTCATCCCAGCCGAATTTCTTCGTGATACATCCCCTCGTGTACAGGCGTAATCCCAGAAAGACGAAAGCCGCAGCGAAAGTGCATGAATACGTCAAAATGAACTTCTGCTGAAGAGGTGTACGGCCGTAGAAGTCTGGCTCTTGGCCTTTTGGCGGAGGCATCGCTGGGATTATTGTCGCCATGGCGGAAGATGGTATTGATCGAGGAAAGATACGAAAGAGGGCCGACTAATACTTCGAGGCTGCAGTGACATGGAAGGATGGCTGGACGGCCAAATGCGTTTTAAGGGTTGGCTCGATGGTATGACTTTACCATGTGCTTGAAGGGGCCACTGCTGAGATTCAAGCTTTCCCTGAGACACCAAGAGCTAGGGTCGGATGCGGGGATTAGGTTGGAGGATCGTCCCGTCAAGGGCCCTTTTGAGGCGGCGTAACACAGACCCTTGAAAAGCGAGTATTGTAACGGCGCTCAGTCTAAATTAAGGGGAATTGTCTCACCGCTGAGTGGATATCATCCGGGGTACAATGTTGCGCAGTTTTCCCTGTCCTTAGCTACGCAACCAACCATGTGCTACGATACCAGGATGTTTGTACTAAGAAGCGACTCAAAGCCTAGGAAATTCGCTGGTATATTCTGTGCTGGCGGCAAGGGGACTCAAAGGTGGTCTTTGACCATGCGGCATTGTGAGCATACTAGATGACGATGGCGAGATCATCGCAGTCCCTCAGTCTCGAAGTCGGGTTCCCCAATAATAACCCCAGTCTCGTTTAGAACTCCACCAGTCGGGGAACAGCATCCGATCAAGCCTTCACAGCCTGGCGCATGCTAGTGAAAAGCTAATCGAGTCATGCATGCCCTGATGCATCAAGGACCCTGCGTGCTGTATATACAGTAGTCATAATTCCCAACTTTTGAGAAGGATAAGGCCCAACCCGAGTCTTGTGCAAGCTCTTTCATTTACGTGGTACCAAAAGAGTCTTGAGTCATGTTTGGCTCTCCGTAGTAATCAACTGAGTCGTGTGTGTGATGCGAGAAGAATGGCCAATGGTGAGCATGTCTGTATCGAGACCATTCTACAACTCGTGCTAAGGACATTTCTTCGAATAATCTGTACCGTTTACCACATAGAGAGATTGAACCAAACTCTCGTGTGCACTGGCCCTTTGTTCAGACAGGCCAATCCTCGATGAAGGCCTCGGGTCTCAAATTGAACTCTCCTGGCAAGGGTACACCAACCCGGGATGGCGACCTGTTCCCGTCCCCCTGGCACACTACAGGCATGTCTGCATCTCGAGAAGTGCCGATTGGGTACCTGTGTAAAGGAACAACCTGCATGCGGCCAGGTCAGCATAGCCGATGCGGCACAGCAGCTAGTTTTGGGTTCGCTTCGCGCATTGGTTGTTCGAGTTCTTCCAAATGAAGTCTAACGTCTATATAAAGTGTTGATCCATGGGTCTGGAATAGGGCGCTTGACCCACTCACCTCCTTGTGGGTCGCTTGAGACCAATGCAACCACGGACGTCCACGTCGTCTTGCGGTACGACCCTTTTGGAGAAACAAACGATGGTCTCCTTATCTGCGGGACTCTACGCTTCATATACCGGCCAGTGGTACCGTCATCTTAGCCACAAGTAAAATTTGAATTGCGAAAATGGGGAATTTGACCCAGCCAGTCGTTTTGGCGGTCACGGGGGAGCAGTCATCGGCTGGAAAGCTGTTGGTCTCGGCCTCTGTTTCCGCTTTCATTCTGCACCAGGTGTTTTTCAAGCGCGTTGAGGTTGACTTCCGGCCTGTGTCATTGGGCGCAGGTCTTGGTGCCGCGTTCATTATACTAGTATATTGTTTTGGCTTTCTTTTGGCCTTGGCATCTAGCGTGAGCTTCCTCCTGTCACTATGGGTGAACATGCTTGTTTACCGTCTGGCATTCCATCCTCTAAAGCATTTCCCGGGTCCAGTTCCTGCGAAGCTTTCCAAGTTCTGGGCCGTGAAGAAGGTCCTCGACTCAAACTATCAGTGGTATAAAGTTGCTTTGAGTCTCAAGGCAAAGTATGGCGATTATGTTCGAACGGGTAATGCGTTCAATGACCCCTCTGCTTAGTATGGATCTAAATGTGCAGCATAGGACCTCGAGAAATACTTATCTTTGACCCCGAAGCAATCGCACCCGTGCTCGGCTATTCATCAAAGACGCTCAAAGGACCTTTCTACGATTCAATGGAAGACTCCGTCAATACCACTCGTGACAAGGAGTTCCATCGTAAGAGGCGTAAGATCTGGGACAATGCTATGAAGACCTGTAAGTACTTGGAAACCGTTTGATATAAAAGCTGATCTTACCACTGCTGCCAGCTCTTGCCGACTACGCACCTCGCATTGAAGACTTCACGGACAAACTCATCGCACGCATCGGAAGACACGCAGACCAGGCCATCGTTCTGAACGATCTCATGATTCATTACAGCTACGATGTGATGAGTTTGCTGGCGTATGGAAAGTCCATGGGTTTCGTTGAGGGTAAATCAACGGATGTCGCTGATTCGATTCTGAAGAACATCATGGACGGTGTTTACGCGATTGGCCTCTTGCTTCATGTTCCTTGGCTTTTCACTATCGTCACAACGTTTGCATTTGCAATTGGGCCTCTGAAGCAGTGGAACGATTGGTCGAGACACGAAGTCGACGAACGCAGAGAGGTGCGTCTATCTCCTAAACCTTTAATTAGCTTCGAGAGTATCATGCTAAGTATCCCCTGGCGCTTAATTATTGCTTTTACTTCGCCTTGTTTCTTCCTATGATACCCTCGTATCGCTTTGCTAACCTCCTGAAGGTCAAAAACCCCAAACCAGACTTGATGACGCACCTAATCGCTTCCACTCCCGACGACCATGCCGGCCGCGAACTCCTCTTCAGCGAATCTCGCCTGATCATCTCCGCGGGCTCTGACACTACCGCGACTGCCTTAACCTTCCTCTTCGTACTACTTTCTCTCCAAGAACAGTCCACCACCCTTGCCAACCTCCGCGCCGAACTCGACACCGTCTTCTCCAAACCCTCCGACGACAAAGAAGCATTTAGTTGCATGCGTCCCCTGCCCATGCTAGACGCCGTGATAAATGAAGGCCTCCGGCTATACCCAAGCGTGTACTTCCCTAGCCAACGCGTCACGCCCGCTGCAGGAATGACGATAAATGGGCGTTATATCCCGGGTGACACCATTATCTCTATCCCAGCCTACGCACTCTCCCATGACCCAAGATGTTTTGAACAGCCGGACGAGTTTATCCCCGAGCGGTGGACAACGCGGCCGGAGCTTACGATCAACAAAACGGGATTCATGCCGTTCATGACCGGCCCATATGACTGTGCAGGGAAGAAGTTGGCGATGATGGAGTTGAGAAGCGTGGTGGCGAGGATCGTGAAGGATTGGGACTGGAGAGTCATCGGAGAGGAAGGAAAGAAGTGGGACCGAGAAGCGTGGTTTGGAGGCGTTAAGGACCACTTTATTGCTGGGGCGCCCAAGGCGAGGGTGGTGTTTGAGAAGAGGGTTTGATGTTTGGGAGCTGTTTAGAGGAAAGGGGTATACTCGGGTTGCAGCAACCTAGGATCAGAAACTCATACGGTTCACCTGCGTGCACACCACCCCCCTAGGTATCCCTTACTCTCCCTTTCTCTTCCTTACGGAGTTGTGGTGCTTCCTTGCTGTCAAGGGAAGGGAGTGCCTTTCTTTGGCGCCTTCCTTGCTGCCAAGGGAACGACCAGGGGAGCGCCCTAAGGGATAGTTCATCTCGTTCCTCTATATAGTCCGCCTTTACAGCATCTACAATACAACAGAGTTCACATCAATTTCAACCTAAGTGGTGTAGACTAGACTTAGAGATTTCTTTCAGGGTTAGCAAAGACTTTTGTGGGATTAGAGGTTTGATGGTAGGGTGTGTAGTGATTAAAGAAGCAGCTGTTGGTAGAACTATCCTGTCTTTATCGCATCGGTCCCCTCTATATACTTCAAATCGTGTTGGAAACCTGAGTCTCCTTCCTCCTCCATCTGTAGGCCTTATTGCCGTGTGCTCCGCGAGAGAGAGTAAATTCAATCAGTCTCAATTCTTATTTCTGTCTATCAATCATCCTTGGCCTCCAGTCTGGGCGTTTCATCACCTGTGACAGAATGACAGCGGAAGAACAGCCATTCCGCGTCCCGGCTCCCACAAAAGCCAGCTCGCCTCAAAATAAAAACTCTCCAGCTCCATCACACGAACAGCAGCTTCAACATCAACACTCGGGGCTTCAGAACTTTCTACACCTCCATCAACATCGAGGCCATTCTACTCAACTCACAAAAGTCGTCAACATGTCCAACAACTACGGCTCCCCCAACACCCCCGGCCAGCGAGGCCAGCAAAATCAGCCCAGCCAGCAATCACCTCGACTTGTTCGTGGTGATCCGAAATCCACCCAGAGCCCGGGCTTCGCAGCCACTGGACAGGCTGTTCCTAGCGGACTCGCAGGGTTCACTGGGCCCCCTGGATTTGAAATGCCGCCCTTATCAATCACCTCGCCGCCTCAACTCCACCCTGCCCTAGGCCACGGAGGTCAACCGCATCATGGAGCCTCGCCACCTGCCGGATCGTCTTCAGGTCTGAGACTTGGAAGCATGGAACAGGCGCGTCAGCGTCTGAACCACATGATATGGCGCCCACCATTCGCCGATCGGACTGTACCTGATTGGAGAAACAACGCGCTTCTCTGCTCCATGGTGGCGGGTCTCAAGAACGCCATGGCAAATACTACAAACTGCGTCGACCATGACACGGAACATTTCCGTCATTGGCAACAGACTTCGATCCGCTATGCGGAGGTGGATGTGGAGGCCATCGCATGGTTAGTCATGGAACAACTTCAGATGCTGCACGACGAGAAAGTCGGATCCCGTTCGTGGCACTACCGCTCACACAACTTCTGGGAGGAAGAAGGAGAAGGTCAGGATGACATATTGCAGCGGGACCGCCAGCTCAATTATGAAAATCGCTACAAGGTAGTCCTCACCTTGTTGGCCCAGAGCAAGACCGTGTGCGACCTAGTCATGCTAAAGTCGTTTGTTGAACTGCTAGTCACCGCGCCCTACCGAATGGCGCGGGCGTACGGCTGTACAATTGTGGTCGACACTGCAATTTCAACTCAACCGCGAGCCCCGCTGCAGCCGTCGACTTCCACATCATCTCCACCTCACGCACCGCCATCGGGACGTGCTCGTGGCGGATCCGGCGGCCGTGCCGGTTCTGGTGGCCGCAATACTCTGAGTTCCCTCCAGTCTCCTCCAGGATATCGCGGTGGACGTCGTGGCGGCTTCGATGGGGTTCAAGAAGGCCAAAAGGACGCGGATGACGACGTCTTCGTCCAGGCCAGATCCCCCCACGATCCTTACAACCAGTAGTAGCCTCTCTTCGACCCCTCTCTATTTCCTATCAAAAGCGACATCGCCCCCATCTCATTGAGCATGAAATTCCCCTTTCCCCTACTTCAACAAGTCCCTTCTTCCCCTAGTTCCCCTCTTCCCCGGCACACCTGTTTCTTTTATTTTGGCTCCCTTTGATCCAACATTGTTACGGCTCCGGTGGCATGACACATGGTCGGGAGGATTGGTGTTTAGCCTCCTAATGCTTTCTTTCAGCAGCAGCACAATGGTTTTACTCTCTTGAGCGTTAGTGGCGGACAGGATACACAAAACTACAAAAATACAAAAACATTGCTTTTAAACATAGGCCATGTCTCAATTGAACGCCAATTTTGGTTCCTGTGATTTATTTCGTGATGCTCTTGTCCTAATCTATGACCACACATCGACTATCTCTTATCTACACATGACCATCACGTGACCATTCCCCGCCTTTGTTACATCACGATATAGAACCTCGACCGGTCTTTGAGCGTGTTTTAGGTGTTGGAAAAGGGGCGTCGCTGCAACTTTTACCCTTATGTGTATCGATGAGTGGATCGAACGGGGTCTAAGGTTACATCGGGGTATCTCAAGTTCCAGTCCACCTTCCACGACACCGAGAAGGCGTACTCTCCCTTTCCCCCATGCCCCATGCCCCTTGTCCCCTCCCCACGTTCTGCGCCTGCCTCTCATTCGCCTCCTACACTTTCCCCGCGTGCGTCTCCTCCGTCGTCACCAATGTGCACTCCCCTACCCTTAGTAGTCACGGCTTGTGTCCCATGAGACCTCTGCACAGCCCTTTGTACTCCCCCACTACTTCCCCCATCACCACCTTCCTTTCTTCAAAACGTCCTTAATCCGAGCCCTGACTGTGAGGTCCTTGATCTCCCAATACAACCTCGAACCTTCCTGTTGAAGCCGCAGTAGCGCCATTATGACCAGTCTGAGTTTAATGTCGATACTCTTCAGCTTCCACTTCTCGCAGCCGCGGCGTTGGAGATGTTGGAAAAATCATTAAGTGCGTGTGTAGTTGTCGGTGCAGTTGGCCGTGGAGAGCAACGCGTTGTCGAGGCCTTGGATGAGATGGCGGACTGTGGTTTTTTTGGTTATGTCTGGGACGATCAGGTCATTTTGAGGAGACTTTTAGGGCGGTATAGAGAGTAAGTTGAGAGCTTGCTGGAGGTTGTGGAGCTCCAGGTCCGGGGAGACGGTTGGTGGTGCTGATACCGGCGGAGGATGATAGGGGAGGGAGGCCGGGGCGTTGCAGGCACCCGGAAGCGGAGGAATTGAGTAGGCTGGGGAGGACAAGGACCACATGTCGAGGAGGACATATTATCCGATCAATTTCTGTTGTTCGGCCTATTAAGTAATGTTTGAATGAGCTCCAATGTAAGTTTTGTTGTGCGGCTGAGTGACGCGTCAGGATGCTAGAGCATTGATTTAAGGGAAAAGGCGTACAGAACATTCACGCTTTGGAGTTCAACTAATCCAGATTCTAACTGGCACCCGTCGGGGGATTAGCAACGAGGCCCTAGCTTATGGTGTTGAAGTGTTCGGCATATCTACCGTTAGCGGCAGTTTAGACACCAGAAGAGCCCAATTCAGTGGATAAGAATCAACAAACAGTGCGTATCATTGTTTCTGTCGATGATATACTAGCCTGGGTCAACTTCGACGTGATAGCGGTGCTTTGGTCGCTGCCTGGCACTGTTGCCGGGCCGCTGGCTGCCGTTCAATGCAGGACTCGGACCGGGGCGAAACACCGCTAGCGAGCTTCCGGCCCACAAAGCCTTTCTAAGTCGTGCTTGCTTCCTCGCACTCATTTTCTGGTATCATACCGTCAACTCTTGGTGCTTTCTTTGCCTACACGGCAGCATTCAACTTGAGCTCCACCCATCTGTCTCAGGTCCAAGTCCACTATGTCCGGACGCGGAAAACCTTCCAACAATGACATGAGCCCGGAAGACGCAGCCGAGCTTCGTGCATGGCTCCAGCAGCAAGTTGCCATGGACAACGCCAATGATGCTGCCGCATCTGCAGCCACTGCGTCTTCTGCACAGGCCGCTGTCATGAACGACCCGCGGACTACGGTGCCAAATCAGTTCTCCACCAACACGCCTCGTGTTGGAACCCGCACTCAGGGCTTTGGCCAGGCCAGACTTGCCTCAAGGAGCTCCAGTAGTAGCCAGACAAACCCATATCAAGCTCTTGGAACGACTAAGGATACGGCTATCGAGGTCGACGAAGACGACGAGGTTCATGTTGAGAGAGCCATGCCACTCCCAGGCCGGCGCAGAAATGCTACTGCATACACCCTGCCGCCCTCAACAGCGCAGCCAACAGCAGCCCCTGCCGCCCTTTCCCCACCCTCCACACTTTCACAGCCACCCTCGAACCCCGGGTCAGCTCGAGGTTCGCCTCCTCAACCTCTACACCTACCGCTAGCACATAGCACCATAGCCCCGACTGGCTGGACACCCCCTATACCCCCTCTAGCTCACGTCAATCGATCTGTGCCGCCGATCATCTTTTCATCGGGCTTAGTCATTGCACAAACAACACTGCCGCCCCCTCCGCCACGTCCGCGACGTGCAGCGCCCTCTAGAGGTCGTGCCTCGTTCTCAGGAGCGCGTCGATCCCCTGGAGCTACCGCACGAGCCCTACCACCAACATCCACTCTCCCTGCAGCTACTACGCCCAGCCCCAGCTCCGTTAGTCCACTTTCGGCAGCTCCTGTGCATGATAGTAGCGGCTCTCTGGGTCTTCATGGACATCGGCATACCGCCAGCGCCCCCAACGTGGCCCAGAGCCATGTCGAAGAGGGACAGATGGCCACCTTTCCAACTGCTGGAGCCTTGGAAGAACGGCAAGTGCCCGAACGAACCACCAGTGATCCGGGCGAGCATCCCGACTTCTCCCAAGAGGTTCAGAACAACCATCTTGCCCTTGCCAAGGTAGCTCATGGAGTCGAAGAACATGACAGCACTGAAGTTGAGGCCACCGACGTCCCGAGTACCATGCCAGATCTCGCCGATGATGTCCCAGAAGAGCACCCATTCCTCGCAGATCCAGACAACGACGGATCGCCCCCGCCACCAGATGCAATAGACTTTACGCCGTGGCAGGCGTTTTGGGATGCTCCCGCTACAATTCCCCCAATTCAGTCTCCTACGGCTGAGGCTTCCACAGCTCCCACACCCCCAGCCCCTGCCCGCCCGGTTCCAGCTGCCACACCTGCTGGTACAGGGTGGGACAATGATCCATTGAGCGACGAGAATATCGCCGCTACATTGGCACGTTGGCCACGTACCCCACCAGGTGGATGGGACGAAGAGGACCAGGAGGACCAGGAGGACGATGAGGACCAGGAGGACGATGAGGAAGACGAAGATGAGAACGAAGACGAGGTTGAGCGTCAGGCTGAACGTGGCGAGGATGTTGGATAGGAGCAGTGAGGGGAGTGAAGTTGGCGAGGTGTAGAAAATGCTGGGGGTATTCTGGAGGTCGTGGAACTGAGAAAAGGGAATTAATATTGGGGTAATACAGCCCCAGATAATCAATAAAATTTGGAGAGATCTAGACCTCGGTCTGGTCTCTGTATGGACTCATGACGAGCTCTAATTCATATTTATGAGTCATTCCGTTTTCATTGCTCCTGCCACCGTCAACGCGTCCCCAATTGGCCGCAGGAACAACATGCTGGTTGTGACGCTCACGATAGCGTGTATTGCACCACTATATTGGCGCGACTGAAACCCACTCTTATCCGCATGCGTTACTGAAGTGATTTTCCACACTCTCGCCGCCGTTAACGCTGCCCCAAGGTGTTGCATAAATAGTAGGCAAGAAGTAATGACAAGGAGGCTTCATATTGAGTCCGACTTATCTGCTCGACTTAGGCAAGGCTACAGCGACATCAGGGAGCCTCAACCACGCGATAATGAATGAGAAAAACATTAACTATTTGTTACCCCACAGATTTCATCTCCTCCTCCTGAATCCTTCTACACTATGAAAATGCCCGCTCGAAGTCCTTGCTATCAGCATTAAAGGCCACCCACTGAGATATCTTCCCCTACGATGCCACTGGCAAAGGTCCCCTGCATCACCCTGAAAGATCGCCGTCGGTTCTAATCTTCAGGACCGTGCAAATCAGACCAGCGTTCTTAAAATGCTAAGAGTGAGCCTGAAACCGTCAATGACGCATCAAAGCGTTGGAAAAGCATCGATATTGCGTGCTTCTGTGTCTCTACCTTTAAAGTGTGTGAGTGGAGTTAGTGAATTGTCTGTGATTCGAGAAGGCTGCCTACCTCTACATCACAAAGCCTTGTGTCATGTAGTTTCACGACAGCTTTGATATCAAGCGAAGGTTCCATTCACCTTCTTTCCAACTCAACTTGTAGCGTATCTTGTTTATAAAAAGCGACCTACTTACCACGTCCTGACAACCTTCGCATCATCAACCAACAACACACCACCACCGCCACAACCTTCCGATATTGCTCGTTCACCACAAATTCCACAAAATTCCATCCACTCGCAGCCAGTCAGACAACATGGCGCTTCTTTTCCCCCCTTGGTCGCGTTATTCATTGGCGTTTCTGGAAGTAGAGCCCAGCACATGGTCGCCGGAAGGTAACATTTCCCCTTTTATATGGGATACTTTTATCGAGATCGCTAACTTTATGACAGAGCGCAATACGTATGAACGCCTCCTTGCGTGCGCACCGGACGACTATCTCTTCCCTCTCCGTGAAAAGGGTTTCCAGCCTACAAACGACGTGAATACATTCGGAGGAGGGGAGACCTTGGCAATCCAGGCACAAGGACCTATGCAATTCGACCAGTCTGCCTTAAATAACCGCAATCCACTCGCAAATCACCCGTCTATCGACAGGGTTTTCATCAACCCCGAGTTGAGCCCCGAGGCCTTGGACTTGCAGTCCATTGACTGGACCACCAGACCTGGAGTCTTCTTCCCCGGCACAGATGGCATGCAGTCGTCTGGCACTCAGCCTTATTTCAATCTTCCGCAGCTCTATAGAGGTGTGCCTCCAGCTCCAACAACCATGCACACCGAAGCCCAACATACCTCCACTCCTAACGGCCCTCGCGCTTCCCCGGTTCCCTATGCGTACATGAGGGTCCCGGAGCTGCGAAAAGAGCTCAAGAAACGAGAGATCCACTGCACCACGAAGATGGTCAAAGCTCACTTGATCGAACAACTGGTCAAAGCAGACCTGATGGAGGAACAGGCCAAAGAAGGTGCCATTGCCTATAGGCGTTGAGCAGTATGAAGAGAGTGACATTCGGTCGCTTCTAGGGCTTTATGGTTGCTTTTGGCGTTTTTGGTTTGATGGAGAACATCTCCGCTAGCTCAGCACGTAGTCTCTGGTTAGCTTTGGTCATTCCTTGGTAGGGGACGTCTGGCCCTAGATTCCCTTACACTCTCAGCAGTACAAAGACATTTTTGATGTCGATCTATTTGAAGTCCCAAGACTTAAGCTTGCGTACTCATTGCAACTGTTTGGGGTACCCCGTGATGCATTTGAAACTCTGAATACGATAGAATGGTTAGCGTAACAGAGATTAGACTACCTTGACCAAGCTAATACCTGCCAGCTGGGGCACTCCTTACAGTGCTGTAGGTCGAGCAATAGTGAATTCAGAGTAGTGATATATCCGTGTGTCCAGACTTATGTATTGTTCAGTCATAAAATGATGTCCCATTCGCGCATGACTTTGTTTACAATGTAGGGCGAAACACTCAACACCAATTAACGAAAGGGTTTCGTTATTGGGTGTGAATGCTGGGAGGCTATGGCAGCCTGGCGAAGAGATTCACTGTGTATGTCGACGTGCCCGCACAAAGATCAGGTTTCGTCAAGCATAAAGCCACGCCTTCGTGCAAAAACTGCAGCATCTTGGATCAACAACCTCCATTGCCCCCACCACCTCCACGCAACCACCCAGTAGATTCAATCAATCAACTGCCAACGTGTGCACCAACCATGAAACCCCACCAGAACATCCTTTCGGCCCAACCGCCAGTCCACTCGGCCCCGTTCGAGGTCCCACCAAGCGAGGGATACAAGCGTCCGCCACATAGCGTTCACGACGTAGTCTACGCGGTAACATCGAGAATCCGAACTCCTACACACTAAAGGCAGGCGATGACGACCTTCCCAGTGACGAGGAGGATGCTTCGTCTGCGGGGAGTGTCCAGGATGATGATGAGGAGGAGAGCGATGAGTACGAAGATTAGACGGAGCGTAGCCCCCACGGATCTTAGCTGAGTACAGGTTAAGTAGCTCGTTGACCAAGTATTCCCTGCTGTTGCGTCGGAATGGTAATAAAAGATGTTGATAGCTCTCCTTCCTTAAAATTGTACACCCGAGAATGATGAATTGATCCTACTACCCACACACTTTACATTGCACGCTGCACGCTTGTCACGTGACCATTATGATAACCTAAGACGCGTTCTCGACACTTTGATTCCATCCAATTAATCTTTTCGCAAGGCCACAGCTCAGATATCTGTCCGTCACATTCCACTATACGTAGCATTTCATGATAATTTATTGACGCATTCCCGACCCTTTGATCTCATCCATAAGTGATCTCTCAGGGCCACAGCTCAGATATCTGTCCGTCGCGTTTCACGATTCGCAGCATTTTTCTTCTTAGTGGAACACCGGCGAAAGCGAAGATACTCGAGATGATAGTGGCTAGCACAAACACTCGACTGACGATTTGATAGCAGAAGCTGTGCACTCTGGTACCACGTTCAACGGCCAGTCCTACCTTGAGCTATTAAGTATTCTTGCCTAAAGTGAGAAGAAGCGTATGGTCAATATTCAGATGACCCGCAAGATCTGCGGTGTTTTTGATGTCGCCGACATGATTTCTGGAGAACATATCTCGAAATCGGAATGCATGCCGTCGATCCTCACGGATCGATTCAAAGGCCATTCTGCCGAGTGTTCCACTCGCAGCTCAGATAACACCTGTATCTTCTGATCTGCATTTCACTGTTTTATTCCTTTTCAATTATCTCGTTCACACGCGTGGTCATGGTTTAGTTTTGGCACGTGAGCAGTGCACCCACGAAAAAAGTAATGCCGCAGCAAGAATAGTTATGTGAAGAAGTCCGAACCTAGGTGGACACTGAATAGTTACCTGCGAAAAGAAACAAGTTCGGAAAAAGGGAAGCCGAAATATTTTCTCACACCACTCTAGAGGATCAACGTCGTCCAAAAAGCTCGATTGTTTAAGTAGGAAAGCACTTGATGTTAGGAATTGGGGGATGCTCTCGTACACCGGAAAGCTAGAAAAAGCTATCAAATACCGAAGTGGGCTAGGTGGACGCCTTTCCGAACACAAAACTCGATGAACGTAGCAATAATCAAATCCATCGTTACTTTCGTGGTCAATCTCTTGTTACTTCATCTCACAATCATACCATGTTGGTGGAAGCCAATTATTGAGGCATGCGGGCTCTACTAACTTAGGATTTAACTGAAGTAACTCGGGTGTGAACGATCTGAAGTATAAGAAAGCCAGCATTGCGCTACATAATTTCGTTCACCAAAAATCTACAGCCTGCAATCTTTCTTGCCTCCTCAATATATCATCTCTTTTGCATCCCGACGTATCCCGCCATCACCAAGGTCGTCATCTGATACCTTTCTTCAAGCTCAACTCTTCCCAACGTTCTAGAAATGGCTCAAGTCATTCTTCGAGTCATATCAGTCACACTTGGCATCCTTTCTTTCACCTCAAAAGAGATAGACAAGCACGACAACAAAGCTTCAGTCGTCAAGATTGGGGTGGCACTGGACGTCAAGGGCAATGGCACTTCTGGGGCTGGAGGAGATACCCTTACTGTTCAACTCTTCAACGAAGGCGGAGAGCGTATCGGTGTAGCTCCCGGGAAGGGCAAAATAGAATCCGGGTCATCCGTGACAATCAAGGTCAAGCAATCGAAGGTTTAACAAGCCACCTACGGCCTCTTCACAGCTGGGACGGATGCTGTTTGCATCGCGTATCTTTCTATCGTTTGGCCGGACATGCAGACCTATGGCTGGACAGGAGACTGGGCAAGTCGATGTAACTATGAGTGGTGACTGAACATCACAGACCCTAGATCTCTTACTCGAAGTACTGAATTCCCTGTAACAAGGTACTACAATAATTACGCGATTGGGGGCACCTACGTCAATTGTATGTGGATCGACGGGGATAAGACAAATTACATACAGGCCACAGCATTCCAACTTCACTTCCCAGATTTCGTTCCTACCGATCAGGACTCTTTCCCGCTCGGCGATGCGGATGCGTAAGTCACGGGGCAATGAATCGAAGGTCAAATATCTCCACTAACATTTAGAATAGTTATTTCAAGGGGGGTTATGCCTTCAAGCCTTATTGGTGGCCCAACACCGCCCCAAGTATTGTCACGACCAAGTATGACCAGCATGCGTACTCGAAGCGCGACCAAAATATCTTGAATTCCCGTCCGGAACATACCCTTTAGCCCAGAAATCCAGTATACTCTAACTATACTCGCGTCGTGGTATCCAGCAGTCTCGCTCATGATGCGAAGGCCCTCTGCGAAAGTCCTACCTCTCAAGGTCCGGATTTCATCAACACCGCCCAAGGGATCTTCTGCCACATGGGTACCAAGAAGACATATCCACTGTGCGGTCATGGATTAATCACACATTGCTTCGATGCAAAGGCAATGGCCATGATTGGAAATGGTATCGCGGCTCAAGAGGAAAAGAGCTATGACCAAGTCATCGATTGGACCAAAGAATCTTCTTGAACTTGAACACAGTGACGGAACCACCATCCAGGGTCTTTTTTCCTCATATTCTTCCAGTGTTCTTTTCATTTGGCTTGCCATTTTTCCTAACTCGCTTTACTATTTCAAGATTTCGTCTATGTGGACTATAATCCATAGAACTTAATCGTGCGCCCTTCCAAGTATGTTACACATTAATCAAATCTTGTTTCGGCCGGAAACTCCTCGCTCAACTTTATTGGTGATTTCGTTTGCTACTAATATATATATATGACTACCCTGAACTCACGCCAGCCTTTAAACATCTCCATCGCGGTTCCGAGGCTCGATATACAACTCAAAACCCAAACCCTCAACCCCAACACCGCCTCAACATCGACTACGGAGCAGGCATACCATTCCTCTTCACACTGCCCCCAGCCGCTGGAACAACCGGTCGCGCACTCGTACAATCAATTGAATTCGGATTACTTGGCCCACCTTCCACTCCAAGCAGCTGCATCTTCCGCCACCTACCCCACGTTAGCGTTCTTCCTCACAGTGATACTACCGTATTACATTGTAAGAAATCAATTCACGCTGTCGTAAACACAATAGCCCAGCCCACCTTATCCACCGTAAACAGGTCAGACAACGGCGCCATGTTCGCATCCTGGATAATCCTCTTATCCGAGTTTAGCTGGAACTCCGCTGTATCTGTCACGACCTGTCCGTAGTATGTGACGTCCCACTGGCCAGGTGTGGCGTCGAAGCGTGCGCCTGCATGAGAGGGGTCGACGAAGAATTGCTTTGCGGTGCTGTGGGTGCCGAGGAGGGCGACGAAGTGGAGTGCCAAGAAGCCTTTGGTGGTGAACTTGATTAAAATGGCTTCTGCGGTTTGGGTGTGGCCGGGAAGGACGCCTTCGGGGGCGGCGGTGGTGGAGTCGGTGCGGCGGATGAAGGTTTGGGCGACTAGGCCGAGGAGACAGGTCATGATTGAGTGGGCTGGGGGTGTTAGTGAGATCGACTGTGGAGATTCGGAGGGAGAGTGGAGAGATAGACAATTTGGAGATAGGATCGAAGGCTTACAAGCTGCAAAGAATATCATGTCCGCGGTGCCAGCTTCGTACTTAGCAGCCAGGGCAGCAAGCTGTTGGCTAATGTCGGCGAGGCTATTGTTTTTGGTTCTTTCATATTCGTTTCCGGGGATCAAAGATCCATCGCAGCCTCCATCACCGGGAAAGCAGTCATGAAACCCTGCTCGGATTGCTGCGAGAGCGTCATCGGTGCAAGGTAGCGCGAACGTGCCGGCGAACATGATACTGAGCTACGTAGATATAATTTTCGATACCGCCGGGCAAGCGGCTTGTCACACGAAGAGAGAGGAGATGCTATGCTTCGCAGAAGTGATGATACGGCTAGGGTCCGCAGGACAGGAAAGGAAAAGGCTGCGACGGTGGAGGCGAAAGAGATGAGGTAGATAGCATACGAAGCATGCATCTTGATTGAATACCTAATGAAATAGCGCAGCTATCTGCTTTGATATCGAATAAGCCAGGAAAAAACCTTGACCTTGATGAGGAAAAAGATTGTCAAAGGTGAAAATCTTCCGCTTGATATTTCCGAATCACTTTCCCATCGCCGCCAAACAAAGCCATCGAGGAAAGAAATAGTGACGGGCGATAAGTGAGAGATGCATAATGTGTAGTGGAGTGTATGATTGGGCTCCGATTGGTCTAGAAGGTAGACCCTAAGGTCAAGCCTAGTGGCTCAACATAACAGGCGCAACCGACGTGCATATTCAGACGCCTCTCACATTCTTTGGCAGATTTAAAAGCACGACGATGGCGTGGCTTGCTTATACGACTCGAAAGTCGTATTACTAATTAGTCCAGGACTCCAGGTACCGTAAGCCGTCAATGCCATTCTATACAAAGCCAGTACAGCTATCTAACTCGAATAATTTGTATCCCTAGCGACAGACCCTGTCGGGCCACGGGAAATGTAGCCATTCAGGAACCATTTAAACCCTGTATGATCAATGGCGAGTCCGGAGGGAGACTTGAGGACCCGAAGTTGGTTTCTAGGTGCCGTAATACGGAGAGGATGGATGGCAAATCGAAAAATACAAGGAGTAAAAGAGAGGAACTCCAGATTTAAACTCGAGGGCTATGCGAAGATCGCCTCGTGCAAAGTTGCTGTACCAATAAGCCTCTGCAGATACAAGGCAGGATCCCGAGCGATCCATCCGCTCAAACTCCTGTGGTTCTCCCGGTAAGAGACTCAGGTATAGGGTATCAACATCTCTGGCCAAGCTTTGAAAGCTCTCATCTTGTTGGATTCGCACATGGAACTAGATGTCGAGAAGGGGGAGCCCTGCGAGAATTAACGTAGGTTAGCTAAATGCTCACCCAAAGCAAGTTCCATTCTTTGTCCGACATCACCTTCGATAGAGCTCGGTTGCCCAAGCATAGCCTTTAACCAAGTTCCATTTTTGACACGGCATTTGTGCGGCGTGATGTTAGTGTTGACTTTCCCTTCGAAGGCTCGGCGTTTTGAAATAAACGAGCCGACCCGGCCAATCACATCGCACCATTACGTACATACTTCTAAAACCGTCGACGTGGTTGTTGTAGTTCACGAGTACAGAACGAGAATGGTAAGAGACTCGGCGATGGAAACATTATTCTGCGAAATGTAGATGCAGCCGAGCCCGATCTGACCGCTTTCTGACCGCTTTCTGACAACTCGATTCCATTCTGACAGTTTTCTGACACCCAGGACGGACTAGGGGGAATGATCAAGCCGAGTTCTTAGTAAAGCGAATTGAGAGGGAGCGGTCAGCGCTTGTGTATAAAGAAGGAATATATATTCGAGAATCTTAAAGTTCCATATCATCAACGCGAATAAACCTGCCATCAGAACGTACCCAGCTCAAACCTTACCCCAGAAATCATCGCTCCGACCACCATGTCCAACTCCAATCCCATCCACATTGGCATCATTGGCCTTTCTAATGGAATATATATGGGCGGGTAATAAACAAATCCGCATCACCTCTAGTCCCTTCTCACCACTGACACTCCTCAGCTCATGGGCCGGCGCCGCCCACCACCCTTACCTCACCACCTCGCCCTACTACAAAATCACGGCCCTTCAGAACAGCTCCATCGAGTCCGCCAAAGCCGCGGCGTCCACCTTCGGCCTCAACGACGTCGCATGTTATGGCGACCCCGAGTCTATCGCTAAAGATCCAGACGTCGATTTAGTCGCCGTTTCCGTCAAAGTCCCAGAGCACTACAAGCTCATTGAGCCGGCCCTCTGCGCTGGGAAGGACGTATTCAGCGAATGGCCGCTAGCCGCCAATCTCGCCGACGCGGAGGCGTTGACGAAACTCGCGGCGGAGATGAAGGTGAAGACGATGGTCGGGCTGCAAGGGCGGCAGTCGCCAGCGGTGCGCAAGGCGAAGGAAATGATTGCGGCAGGGGAGCTGGGCGATATCCTCGGGAGTTCCATGTCGGGAACGTGGATGGTGCAAGGCGACATGATTCCGGATTTCTTTGAGTACGGATTGGATATCAACGCCGGGGTGAATATGTTGACTGTTTTGGTTGGCCATGCAATCGATTCGTTTTGCTATGTCTTAGGCGAGTTCGAGGCGGTGCAAGCCGCGCTCATCAACAATCGGCCGCAGATGAGGTTGGTCGACGGGGAGGGAAAGGTGATCAAGACGGTTGAGAAGACGATCCATGATCGGATATCCGTGGTGGGGAAATTGAAGAACGGGGGCGTGGGTACAGTGGTGTATCAGACCGAGAAGTCGAATACTGGTAAGCCGTTCTACTGGGAAATTAATGGCACAAAGGGAAGTTTGGTGTTGGAGTGCCAGGATGGAAGCATTCAGATGATACCGCCTACTCTGAAGTTTGCGTCTCGAGAGCCGGACGCGGAGTTGAAAAATGTCGAGCTCGAGGACGGGAGCGCAATCTCCTACAACGTGGGTAGGCAGTACGATGCGTTTGCTGGCAAGGAGAATGGCTCTTTCGCGACGTTCGAGGATGCTCTGATCAGACATCGCATGATCGATGCCATTTATAAAAGCGACAAGAACGGCACGAGAGAGTCCTACGTTTGATCAGAGATCTCGACAAGATGTCTAGCATACATGTAGCTACTTATTTCGTCAGATACGTGTAGCTTTCAATATGAATTGGCTCCTCCATTCCATCTTTTAGGCATAGTGTAAATAATAGATAGAAACCTCAGTGTTATTGCATTATAAACTGTGAATACTCCTTGTCGCCACGAGGCCACGTTCAAATTTAGTCCCAGACCGGACCGATCGTCACTTATGCACTGCCCCAGCTTCAATTTTCGTCGCTCGATGTCACTGCCAGGAGTAGCTCTATTGTCTGGTAGCTGATCAGTCAGAATGCTATTCCACTGCCCCAACCTTGACAGCATATCCTGTTCGTAATTTTCGATGTACCCCGATATCTTTCGCATTGGGAGCGGCTCTTGCTCGTTCGATAGCACTATAAGGATCAGCCTGGCTAGCAGGTGGCTGGTTAGTCAAAAGGTAGACTGATTTCCACTCTCTATGTTGTTACTCCAACCAAGCCTGTGCCCATCCAACTGACAGCGCAGCCAAAGTCATCAGCCATCCAGCGACTCCGAAAGCTCCCTGCACGTCATTATCCTTTTTGATAACCCACACGATTGCAAAGACCATGCTCCCAATAATGAAGAATGTCATGATCAGCGTCCATACGCGATCTGCGAGAAAACCCTCGACCAGGTTGATGCCCCAGCCGACGCCGAAGTCAAGGCGAGCGCGACGTTTCGGCGAGCGGAGATACGTTATCAGCTCGCCATCGTAGTCTTCGGGGTGCTTGAACAGATGTAGTAGATATTTACTGCCGACCGGCGGCACAAGATCAACGGGCTCGAAATCATAGTCGGACTTTTGGGAAGGCATATCCGGACATTTTCGTATATCTGCGAAGCGGTTTCGATGTATTTCGAACTGGAGGAAGGAGTGTTAGCTGGGCGCCAGAGAGAGGACGATGCAGTCTCAGGGAGCTATTACGAAACCACTTACCTGTACGAAGTCAATTGTGATCAGCCCCCGCAACTTCAGTACTCTAAACAATTTCCTGTTCAGGTTCCCGTAATGCTCTCTCAAAGCTAGAGCGAAATCCTTATCTGATTTGATCCGAGCAGGGTTGACGTCGAGATGAACAATCTTCGGCGTATATCTTCCTTCGTTGGCGCACGTCAGAAGCCATTGAGGGTCAGGATAGGAAGCGATTCGAACGCTGAAGGGATTGCTGCTCCGCAGCATCGTAGGGCTGTATCTTGATGGATCGCCCTGTCCCCAGGATTGGGAGCCGTCATAGGTGGATTGAGGAGTTGCCAGTGTGGATGCCGTGCTTAAAGAGCTGAAGACGCTAGACATAGTCGAGCTCGTGCTACTTCTTCCTGGAGCACTCGGAGCATGTGTTCGCGGTCGGTTAAGAAAAGCTTCTAGTAAACGTGCAGCGCCTCGACGTTTCTCGATGAAGTCGTCATACAACTGTTCTCCACAGGACTGATATCTATGTCAGGTCGAGGAATCAGTTTTCGAGGGATGATTGAAACTTACACAAGTCCATCTCACGCGGACATGATCCCGCGGGACAGGAGGCTCACTGCCGTACGTATCTTGCAGGAAACTGATCCCCTCGAACAGCTTGGAAGTCAACGCGGTAGAGGCGAGAGAAATAAAGGTCATGATTGGACTGCGAGATTGGCTTGACGGCTGTCGAAGCTCAAGATCCGGGGGAAGAGCGATCTCTCCTACGTCATCGCCTATCTCTGGTGGTTGTACATTCAATTGAATGCCAGAGCTTTCCACGACGTTGTCGTCGGAATAGTTGTCTTTCAACACTCTCTCGAGTGCCGATCGCAGCTCTTGTGCTTCGTCCACATGAGGATGGACGGGGGAGACTGTCCGTGGTGTGCGATCTTGCTCACGTCCTATCACGGAGCCCCTTTCGCTCTGTGCTGAGCGCGGAGTATGTCTATTCGATAAAGTAGCCGGCGACGCATTTGCGGAGTGATGTCGTGGGACGTCCGTGGTTTGTAATCTCAAACGTTTCTTTTCCTTTCGATTTTGAGACGGAATTTCCAAGGAGGGATGGCGAACGATGGTGCCTTTGGGACTCCTGCGAGATATCTGAATAGGGTGGTGCCATGTGCTGATGTCTGCCGGCGGCTCATCAAACGACTGGCCGCCAAAGGCATGCTGGTAATTGAATTCTTTGGGTTTTGCGTCAGTCTTAAATTGGTCAGCCTGCAGAGGTGTAGTTAATGCCCAGCTCAGGTTCCTTGGAGACCGGCGTTTAACAGACTTCTTGGCATGTGAACGATTTAGAGGACTAGAAGTGTTTTTACTGCGTTCGCTATGTTTGACTCGTTTGACCGGGCCTACAACAGATAGTCCTCTAGTTGGTGTGGGAACTACACTTGAGATGGAAGCGGAACGAGTCGGTAGTCTCGACGTTGCTGATGAAATTGGCTCTGTGTCGGTTGCGTCGTCGTCTACTTCTTCCCAAGGGCTACTGGGCCGCCTAATATCAGAGATTAATGTTTCGGCATCGCTGAAAGAGTCATCTCCAATTGATAGTCGGCTTGATGCTACGCTACGAGTTTGAGTGAGCCACCTGGGAACCGCGGAAAAAGACTGAGGCGCAATCTGAGGAATTGACTGCGGTTGAGCCCCAGTAGGCCTTCGGATGCCTATTTCGCTAGACGTTCCGATTTCAAAAACTTCTGTTTTTCTAGCAGGTATTTCTCTAGCATTGCTTTGCGAGGGCTGGTTTGCGTCGATGGGAACAGCATTGCCATCAAGCTCCACTTGGGGAGTGCTGTCAAGCTCCGGTATTCCTACGCCCTGATGAGCCAAATGCACTTCAGCCACCTCATTGCTCTCAGGATTGACGCCTTTCAAAAGCCGTACAACGAATCCTTTCCCGCTCTTCTTGATCCTAGCCTTGATGTCCGAAAGACGCTTCGGCTCTTTCGAGGAGGTCGACGCATTTCTATTCAGGGGAATATCCCAATCAGGAACCACCTTTTTCAAAAAGTCCGGCGGAATAGCATCGAGATCAGACCAGCCCTGGCGCTCTTGGGGACTCGTTGGCGGGCTCGACTTCTGGGTCCGATATAACGACGAGACGTCATAGCCCAGCCCAGGCAGGGCTTGGGGGTTCAAGTATAGTTTCCGAGGTGGAGTGTTGCCAGTATTGCCTCCTGCGGCCGTGTCCGACTCATTGTTGTCCGCATTGATGTTGACGACAAGCCGGAATTGGCCTGGGTTGCCCTTGTCTTCTTGAAGCGTGAGCGTGAACGGCACGCCGTCTTCCTTCTCGGTTGCAGAAGGCGCAGGATAAGAAGCTGGGTCTTTCTCGAGGATAGGTCTGATGGGCTGGTGCGCAATGTCTACTTGCTCGTTCGCGGTGGAGGGAGGGCTTAAGGGGGACGTAAAAGTGGCCTACAAGCGTCAATCAGCAGGACACAAGGAGCGCATCTGGAGGGAGTATGGAGGGGCGCACGGAAAGCTTCATGCGCTCGCAAGGCTCAACACTTACCATAGCGGCAGGACCGGCGCCCAAAACATTAGGCACACCTGCAGAGATGCCGATGTCGAATAGCAAAGGACCAGTACTGCAGCCTCGCGGCGTGGAGCTGCCATTGCGTCTTTATCGAGTCTCCAGGCTGCAGTGTGCCACAAGGTCAGTCTCTACTCAGCCACGCGCGGGGACGATCAGTCGAAGCTTGGGGGCGGAGCAGCTGCATGATGACAGACAGGCATTGCTTTTTGGTGATAGCGGCGGTGGTGTTCTGGCCGAGATCACGCTTCAGCAAGCATCACCAAACAGCGTCAAGAACACTTTTCCTTAGAAGAAAGCAATATTCACATCTGGGATCTGAGATCTGGGACAAAGGAACAACAATTGGATACAGTTCAGAAGTCTATCATCGAGGTGTTGGACGCATCACGTGACTAACTAAGCCCCTTTCCTGCGATATCACCATTCTGTCTCCACGTTTCTGATCTCATGGAGTTCAGTCTTAATATTACTCGCCACCCCTCTATCTAAGTTGCAGGGGAGACTTTCATATAATTCCATATCCGCAAGCACATCAGTTAAGTCTTGAGAATTGTGATTCACTCAATTCTACGCTTTTTAGTTTATCTATGTACTTAAGTAACCACCCAGCGTTCTCATCCTTTGCGATTAAGCCCACCATACATCAGCACTCCCACGTTACGACTTTATCAACGTTCAAAAGCCCCTTTGGGTCCAACGCCTTCTTGATCATCCTCAGCACATGAATTCCACTCTCTCCTACCTCTTCGACCAACAAATCTCTCAGTTCCAGTCCCACTCCGTGCTCCCCAGTAATTGTCCCCTCTAGCCTCAACGCCCTTCTTCTGACCTTGTTAAGTAATATCTCCGCTTCACCTCTATCTTTCTCAGCGCAAACAACCGCCGTGTGCACATTCCCATCCCCAATATGCCCCATCTGTCCACAAAAGAACCCAGCCCCTCTCATCTCCTCCTCCGTCTCCTCAACGAACTGCGCGAATTTACTCACCGGAACAGCCGCATCAGCCGAAAGAAACAGATCCGTCGGATCGTTCTTCATACTCAACAGATTCCGGGCCAAAGCCTTCCGCGCCGCCCACCACGCCTCGACCTGCTTCTCATCCCCTGAAACCCGGAACTCTTTACAGTCATTTTGGTAGCAAAGCTTCTTCGCTATCTCCGTTTCTTGCACCGCGATCTCGCCCTTCCCCGCAAACTTCAAAAACAACGTCGGCTTCTCCTCCCAAACCACCCCAGGCATCGCCTTATTCGTAGCCCGCATGCCATTCGCATCCACAAACTCGACCGCCTCTCCAATCCCCTCTCTCACAATCCCAAGCGCCGCCTGAACCGCCGCCCCTATACTCTCAAACACCGCAATCACCACATGCACATTCTCAGGCACCTTCGCCAGCCTCAGCACCGCCTCCGTCACCAGCCCCAGCGTGCCCTCCGACCCAATAACCAGCGACTTGAGATCATACCCAGCCACCGACTTCCTCGACCTACCCCCGGTCCTCACAACCGTCCCATCCGCCAGCACAACCGTGAGGCTCAGGACCCACGCCTTCATCGTGCCATAGCGGTACGCGTTGGTGCCGGAGCAGGACATTGCGATCTATACGCCCAATCAGCCGCCCACCTCAACCCATCAATCAGCCCACCATCTCCGCTCTCTCTCTCTCTCTCCAAAAAAAAAAAAAAAAAAACCGAGAACAAGACTCACCATTCCCCCCACCCTGGCCCCGGGCGCCGGATCCACGGGGAAAAACAATCCCTTCCCCTCCCCCTCCTTCAACAATGCATTCATCTCCACCCACCCCACCCCCGGCTGCACCCGCACATCCATATCCTCCACGCCCACCTCCAGCACGCGGTCCATGCGCGCAAAGTCCACGCACACGCCCTGCCGGCTCGCCGCGAGCGCGCCGCCCAGCGACGTGCCGCCCGCGTAGCCGGTCACCGGGATAGAGTACTTGCTGCAGATCTGCAGGATGGCGCTGACGTCGGCGGTGGAGCTGGGGTACAGGATGGCCCAGGGCGTGGCGGCGGGGGCTGCGGGGGACCAGGGGGTGTGGGAGCGGGCGCGGAGGGCGGCGGGGGCGGTGCAGAGGGAGGAGGGGGGAAGGAGGGTGGTGAAGGCGTCGAGGGCGAGGGCGTGAGAGGAGGGGATGCTGGGGGGAGGAGAGGGGGTTGTGGTCATGGCTGAGAGTGGTTTTGTTGGCAGTTAGGTGGATGAGACGGAGCTTGGGAGGGTTGGTGTTTTGGACGTTTGGGGTGGATATGTTTGGTATTGATACTTGTGGTCACAAGAGCTTGAGGTTGGTAGGTATGGCAAGCTTGGTGTGGGGTAAATATGCAGTGTGAGCTTGGAGAGTCCGAAGATCTGCGGTCCGCATAATTGATGTAAGGTCTAGTGCAGCAGCCAGCCAATAGCATGCCTTGTAGAAAAGTTGGTTGATGTTGGTTTGGCGGTGTCTAGAGTTCGCTAATGCGTTCTCAAAAAATCCAAACTGCAGTGTCTAGCAGACATCAAAGACCCAAACCTTAGCACTGGGAAAACCGGCACATCAGAAGAACGATGAATTCCCAAGAAGACACTTAGCATTTCGCACTCACTTATTGCATCTACAACTTTATCTACGGATGTATATACAAGACCTACCCCTCACTCCACCTCACGAGCGTAATAGCAGTCGTATAAACCATCGCACCCAACCCGACCACCATCAACAGCAGATCCCCACCCTTCTCTACCCTCGTCTCCGCCACGCCTTTGTAATGCAAGAACGCCGGATATATATACACCAACGGCACGCACGCAAACGACCCAATCAGCGCCACAAATTTATCCAGATCATTCGCACCAGCCCCAGCAATCACACCGCACAGCAAGACAATGACTGTCCGTAGCGCGTTCTTCTTCCACTTCGTCCAGCTATCCCGCTTCCCAGAGAGCCGACCAAAGAGCTTCCCCTCGATGATGCGCAGCGCAGGGAAGAGTTGCACAGGCGTGCCGACAAGGACGGCGAGGGCGTAGAGGAATTGGACAGCGTTGACGAGCTTGCTGGATTGCGGGAAGTTGGAGATGATTTCGGTGGAGGTGCGCTCGCCGAAAGTGCCGTAGCAAAGGAAGCCGACCGAGGTGAAGATGACGGTTATGATGGCCATGACGAGGTAGAGCAGGCGGTCGAATTTCTCGGGCTGTCGCATGGAGGACTGAATTGGGAGGATGAGGCCGATGCCTTCGAAGGTGAAGATGGCAGAACCAACGGTCAGAGTGAAGTCTCGAGGGTTGAAGAGCTCGATGGTCTTGCTGAGGCCGCCCTCTGTGGCGATGTACGAGATGTCGTACCAGTAGATGTAGGTTAGACCGATTAGAATAAATACGTCTGCTAGAAGAGCCGCCGGTCCGAGTTTTGAGATGTTTCGAATGAGAGCCAGCGGGATCAGAGTAGTCAACTGCAGTGCTATCAAAGCAGTAGTTGATAGTGGAGTGGTGTCCTTTGGCGTGACGGCGTCCAAGAAGGAGAAGAGGTTCTCGGCCACGAAGATGATACCAGCGCAGACGAAGCCGATTTGAGAGATGGCAATAGAGACCAGGACCAGCTTCCTGAATTTCTTCCCTCCAATGGCCTCGCCGATGTCTCCATATCCGCCCCCATAGCGTTTGCGACATTGAAGTAGGAGATGGAAGCAAAGACAGGACACCAACGATACTGTCACCAGGACAATCGATGAGAACAAAATGCCACCGTTCTTGAATGCTTTTGGTAAAAACATAATACCCGTTCCAATAAAGGCTTTCAACAGCGTGAAAAAAGACTTGACAATTGACGCATCTCCCTTCGCCTTGACCCTCGAGCTCTTGCGTCGCCCAAGAAGCGGACGTCTCTCATCAGGCCGATCCCCAGCTTCCTCCTCATCAGTCTCAAGCGCAGATTCATCCTCAGACTCAGCAAGGTCTTCTCCAGCAAAGCTCCCGTAAAGGTCCAGAAACTCGACAAAGTTGCTCGCCGCAAAGGTGACGCTGTTGAGCCGGCTGTGCTGCCGTTGCAGAAACTGCCGCCGGAATCCGCCTGGAGCTCGCTGCTCCTCGACCGGAGCTTGGACTGGATTCGACCCATCAGTCCGAGGCGCAAACGCAAATGTTGCAGCGCGTTGGTGCAAGCGAGCTCTCTTTGATCTGGCCTCAATCCTGTACAGGTCCCGATGGACGTCTCCGCCCTGTAGTCTCAACGAGGACTCTTGAGCAAGTTGCGTCTTGGCATCGGCCTCACTTCCAGGAGAGCCTGGCGCGCCGTCGAATTCGCCGTGGTAAGCTGGATCTAGATGTCTGGCGAGGATTTCGGCGTCTCTGGCCTCTTGCTCTGTGTCCTTGGTTGGAGTGTCCGCCATGATGGACTGTGGGGTTCGAGTGATGCTGTGGTAGAGCAATTGCTATAAGAAAGAGTCTTCGATAACTGTCCACGCTACACTACCAGGCATAATGGGGTGGCGATATTGGAGAGCGAGCTTTCACGGATCCGTGGGACGTCGAAAATCGTAATGCCAAGACATTGAAAACATGGGGTAATGTCACGTGGATAATGATGTCAAGCGCGAAATATATCTCTTCTTCTTATTCACTTCATAATATTTCGCAACAGATATTATGATACTGTTAACAGGTTCCAATGATTAGAATCACATACCTATGTTAATGGGAGCGGCTGGAGCCGACGACTGTTCTAGTCGAAGCCGTGCATCGCGTGGAGATGTAAATCTGAGATGAAATCACACATAAGGGAAACCTGTTAGGGAAAGAAAGCTAGCTAGAACAAATGCCTGTCTACGTAACCCTCCGGTATGAACATAAATGTACCTAAGTATACCTCATGTGTAGGTGGTACGCAGCCCAGCCCACTAAACCACCAACTCCACTATACCGCATCCGGTAATTTCATCGATTGGTCCAACCGCCATCACCATACCGCCACTCCTTTGTCCCAGCATCACCAACCACTCACAGCCCTCGCTAACGCCCCCATTTCTAAGCAACACTCCCCAACCCCCTCCTTTCATTGGTCTCGCATTAAAGCATGCTGCCGTTTCAAAGCATTGGAAATGTGACAATAGCGAACAATGTAGGTATTGGAAATGCGATTGTGGGTTCAGTGCGCCTTGACCCTGGAATCGGGGGCTGCGAATGATGTAAACACGGCGCTTGGATCTGGCCGGCGAAGCTTATAGCTATACGGCGGGGGTATAAGAGAGGGATGGGAGTACGGGCTGTTTGCTCGACCATCCATCACACAGATCGAGTTCAGTACCTCGAACTCCTCTCAATCTGCTATTCTCCTCCTTCAATCGCTCTCAATACACTACCGCAACAATGGCCGACCAAGTCCCCGACCCCGACACCATGACGCGCCCCTTCCAGCTGACGGCCAGCATACGCCGCGGCGTGTATCCAGCCGTCGACCCGACCAATCCATCCCTCAGCGCCGCCGGGAAGGTCGTCGTGGTTGTTGGTGCGGCCGGGGGGATTGGATATGTACGCTCCCCTCCCCAAACGCTTTTTCCCCCAAACCATCCCTCTTCCTTCCTCTCAACTATGCACTGCACAAGACCTCTACTTGTACTCGGGACTGATACAACCACAACAGGCCACCGCCAAATCCTGGTCCACCGCCGGCGCGGCCGGAATCGTCCTCGTGGGGCGCACGGCCGCGAGCCTCGAAAAGACAGCTGCGGATTTGAAGACGCCATCCCTCGTGGTCGCGGCCGATGTCTCCAACCCCGCTGGAGCCGGGACCGTGTTCGAGAAAGCAGTGGCCAAGTTCGGGAAAGTAGATGCACTGGTGTACGCAGCCGGCTACGCGGATTTCGGGGCGATAACCGGGACAGTCGAGCCTGAGGCATGGTGGGGCGAGTTTGTGAGTAACCCTTTCATATTGTCTGGGTGACGAATTGGTCAGAGCTGGACCGGGTTGCTTTGGATAGATAGAGTTGGCATCGCGGAGTCCGTGCTAACGCCCCGTCCTCGCAGACCAACAACCTCCGCGGCCGCTACAACACGATCCACCACTTCATCAAGGCCACCAACGGCTCCGGCACGATCGTGAACCTCGTCAGCTACGGCGCGATGTTCGTCGCGCCGGGCATGTCGGCGTACTCGACTGCGACGCTGGCGGCGATCAAGTTGGGGGAGTATCTGGATGTTGGTAAGTCTGCTCCCCACCACCACCTCACTTACGTTTGTGCTAGCCCGACTGACGCGCGGATTGCTTGCAGAACACCCCAACCTCCGCGTCTTCTCCATCCACCCTGGCATTGTTGCGGCTGAAGGCGGGCGCGGGGCTGTCGTGGACCACTTCACGCCGTTTGCGAAGGACAAGCCGGCGCTGACGGGCGGGCTGACGCTGTATTTGCAGACGCCCGCGGCAGAGCCTTTCAAGGGTGGGTTTATCAGTGTGAACTGGGATGTTGTAGAGATGGAGAAGCATAAGGAGGACATTGTAGAGGGCAAGTTGTTGAGACTTGGATTCATCAATGCGAAGTTGGGGCCTGGTGGGGTTGAGTGGGCGAAGTGAAGTGGTTTGAAATCGGTTGCTGTTTTGGAGCTTTGAATGAGGAGAGGGGTTGGTAGCCGCTTTTGTGTCGATGATAGGAATTGAGATGAATGCTTTGTTATTGTAAAGTGACTTCATGAAGCGAACTTCAAGCTCTGGCGGAGTTGGTTATACTACTGCATGCTAGGAGAAGAAAATGAAGGTGCTGAATTTGAAGGTTGTACAAATTTAAGATTTTAAGTGTTGACGAGTCTCTTTCGCGATGCCTAACTTGGAAGAGCTTTCCACCTACCTGGACGAAGGCCCCGAACGAGGAAGAGAGCACCTCGCACTACATATCTCTACCCTTCCTCGAGCTTACCGAGAAGTCGTAGAACGTTGCTGTATCCCTTGTCGAGCAGTGGTCCGGCGGAACTCGGCACGTCCCCTCTTCCCAGAAAATACTTTTACCACGAATCAATTCCTCGGTTCAAATAGACCAGCCCCCTCGCAATTCCAATACTTGCTGCAATTGACGTGGGCAATGTGCAAGGGAATAGTTGGCAAGGGCCACGCGTAGCTTATGATAGCTGCTCTGCGCATTATGCATAAGAGTTGGCGTCGAGGTCACGACGGATCAACAACAACGGGTGTTTCCGGTGGTCTTTCCAGAACACATCCAAACCCACAGACGCCGCAGAAGCACCCAGCGACGTCATTGCTGTCTCGCCTGCGCGCCTGACGTGCGCGTCAAGGGCTCCAGGACGCTGGAACAACGGCGATCCTGGATGCGATAGGTGTGATGGCGAGCGAGTGGTTCCTGGAGTGTTGCAGAAATGTGGGGATCGGGATGTGCACGCGATTGGAAAGCTTGAATGTGCCAATTGGCTGTCTGCCAATGGTCACAGGGTTACCGCAACCTCCTCCAATGCCTCAGAATGTCCCGATGTCGGTTCAGATGCTTGAGGCGTCGGCTCGAGGCGTTGTTCCGTGGAGTGGCTCTATGACGCCAAATTGCCGACGACGCAGCCCGCGTCGAGGTTTGCGCAAGAAGCGGGCAGTATGGCATGCCTTGTGTGGCGCACAGAAACCAATAATAGGAGGCTCGGGCGGATAAAGCAGCGCACTAACGGCTGCACGCTGCTGCAGGTGGGGGCAGGGAAGAAGCTCTGGACAGCTAGCGGCGAACGGCCGGCGCACTGTGCCGAGTCGAGGAGGTCGAGATGAAGGATGCAGCCAGTGACAGGAGAGGGTGGCCAGTCTGCAGCTGGGATCCAGAAGAAGAGAAGCTGAAGTTAGCAGGAGGGTGCAAAGGAAGCGCAGAAGGGCGATTTGGCAGATCGCGCAGCACGGGATTGGGCTGCACGCATTTCGGCTGGATGCCGGTGCCCGCAGGCCAGTTGAAGTCGCCACAGGAAAATAATGAGTGGTGCAAGCCAGCGCGGCCTCCAGCTGCAGCCTCCGGTCAGTGACTACATATGACTAGTTATCCAGCGTCTATTTCCGCGTGGTTTGTAGCATGCAGCACACGCTACCTACTCGAGAGCACAGAAAGCACGTTTGTCGCGTGCGCTCGGGGTGGCCAATCCCCGTGTGGAAAATTCGTGCGCGGTCGTGGCTGTCGCTGACCAGTCGCCGCTGCCATCCCGCGATATGGGCCCTAGAAGCCGAGCGGGAGATATTCCGTAGATGAGACGATATCGCTGGACACGTCCACGGTGCACTGAGGCCGCTGGCCCTGGCGCAGAGAGTATCGCTGTGCAGTGACGGACGGCATTGAATAAAACGACGCTGGACTGGACCACCATATGTAGTCTCTCCTCGGAATATAGATAGTGACGAAAGCCAGTGACGCCGAAAGCACTATGCCCTCGGTAGCGGCATAGTGAACGGGCTGGCACGCTGGATCCCGCCGCCGTGTGCCATCGGCCTGCTGCTGGGCATCGTCGGCGCCACCAGCACCAACAGCACCATCGGACCAGGGCGTTCTTCTGGCTGCATGGATTCAGGGAGCTGTCCCCTCCGCCGATAAGCTGCTGTGTGTGGTGTGGCCAGGGCCCCAGCCTCGTGCTCTGCCTGCTTCAACTGCTCGACTGCAGCTGTCCTCGCACCCCCCAGGCTCCACTATTCACTCCTGAAAGTCCCTCCTGCCGGCCCTCCTGACGGCCCTTTCGCGCGTGTCCCGGCGTGCCATTCACTGCTGCTCTCGTCGCCCGTGTCTGGGAGGCGTCGCGCTCTGGCCAATAATCGCCCGCGACAGTCACCCTGCATCCCCTGAACTTTCGCTGCTTGGACCCTCTCCACCGCGCTTCCTCCTCGACCACCAACCCCCCTCAAGCAACAACGTCGAAACAGCCTCGCCGCCCTCATACCTCCACAGCCTCGTTCACGGCACTGCCAGTCCTCCGGACACTCCACTCGTTTCAAACCCGTTCCGCTCCTTGAATTAATAGTGGCGCCCCGAAACCGCCGCGACAGTCGCGCTCTGCCGCACTCAAATCCCCAGACTACCTCCGCAGACATCGAGCTGCCCAACAGTAATGCAGTAACCTCCCCGACACGACCGCCCCTCATGAAGCGCTTCTCCATCCCCGATCCGCGCCAGCTGCTCAGCGTGCGGACGCGCTTCTCCTACGAAAAGCTGCCCGGCGGAGACAGCCAGAGCAACTCACCACTCTTCTCGTCTCTCCCGGCGAAATGGCGCCAAGACCCTCGCCAGTGGCGCTTTGGGTGGCCTCGCGTGACCCTCACGCGCATTGTTGGACTCCTCATTGTGATCGTGCTGGTAGCCACTTCGACTGGAATTGGTCTCTACAGGACACATCTGCGCCATGAAGAGGAGAGGAGGAGAGGACTGCGCCATCCGTACCATTGGGAGAGCTTCCCTCGGTGAGTCGTGACTACCTCGGGACGTAGCAGAGACTGGCTTGCTAACTGTCTGGCAGACTCAATGGCTTCTACAGCGGCATCTACAATCTCGTCCCGCCCTCCGACTTGGTCCCTGAGCAGGCGGTCGTGAGAAATGCTACAGCCTACAAGGTTGCAGCGCCAAAGTACACCCCGCCCGCCATCAAGGAGCCTCCGCTGGATCCCGAGATCTTCAACCCCTACCCCGATTACAAATCTCTGGACTATCTCGAGACGCACAGCCCCGTGCAGCCGTGCTTCTTGGACGAGGAGAAGAAGGTCGAGCTTCCAGATGTCTACGTCTACCCGGGAATACCACAGAACATGACAGACCCCTCCTTCGGATCCTACAAGGAGCTCGGATTGAATAGCAAGGTCTGCTATGATCGATTTTCCCGCTACGCAACGTACGGCTACGGCTTCTCCAAGGAAGAGGGTGGACTCGGCATGTCGGGCAAGTCCGAGGCTGTAGGCGCCGACAAAATTTGGCGTCTGGAGAAGAAGGTGGACTACAGGAACGTCAAGTGGGCGAAGGCGCAGCAAACGTGTTATGAGAAGAACAAGATCCGTTTTGACAAGACCGCGGTCAATGCCGAGGGTCAAAAGCCTGATCAAAGCAAGAAGACGCTTCCCCGACACGCCTACATTCTGCGGACTTGGACGGGCTACAAGTGGACAGACTATCAAATGCTAGCTCTGCGTGCCATGATCAGCGAGCTCAGTCTCAAATCTGGCGGCGAGTACGATATCCACTTCCTCGTCCATGTCAAGGACGACAGTATACCAATCTGGGCGTCCGACGAGGTATATCAGAAGACATTGCAGGACAATGTTCCCGAAGAATTCTGGGGCATGGCAACGCTGTGGTCTGAGCAGCAGATGAAGATGTTCTACCCAGAGCCGTTCCCAGACAACGTCTTCAACCATGCCAAAGCCCCAATCCACTCCGTATATCGCAGCGCACATTTTGCTCTCCAGTGGTTCTCTCAATTCCGCCCCGAGTACGACTTCTACTGGAACTGGGAAATGGATCTCCGGTACACTGGTCACTATTACGAGTTCAACACCCAAGTCGGCGAATGGGCCAAGCGACAACCCCGTAAGGGCATCTGGGAGCGTAATTCCCGCTACTTCATTCCGGACCTCCACGGATCCTGGCAGAATTTCACCGAGCTCGTCGAGGAAGAAGTTCTCCAGTCAGAGGAAGAGCCAGTCTGGGGACCACCAGAGTTCGAGAACCGGGGAATGATTGCTCCGCCCGAGGACAGCCAGCCTCCTAGAAATTACTCCCAGGACAACTACGAATGGGGTGTGGGCGAGGATGCCGATCTGATCACGTTCAATCCAATCTTCGACCCCGCCAAGACGAATTGGGTTTTCCGAGAGGACGTTACAGGGTACGACCTCAACATGCCAATTCCGCCCCGCCGATGTGCAATCATTACTGTATCGCGTCTTTCTAAGCGTCTTCTTGATATTATGCACAAAGAGACGTACCATATGCGACATCACATGTTCCCTGAAATGTGGCCTCCGAGTGTCGCATTCCACCACGGCCTCAAAGCTGTTTACGCACCGCATGCTGTATATTTCGACCGCAACTGGCCACTTGAAACCCTCGATAAGACCTTCAACTACCCACCTGTACCCGAAGAGAGTGTCTTTGGCTGGGGGGAACACAACCAGCTTGGCAGCAGCTTCTACTACAACTCGGGATTCTCTTCTGCCCTTTGGAGACGCTGGCTGGGCTCGAAAGAGAACCAAGAAGGCGGTAATGCGGAAGAAATGGCCGATGCTGGACGCATGTGCCTTCGCCCTATCCTCTTCCATCCCATCAAGAAGGAGTATGGCACCGAAGCTGACCAGGGACCGCCATGAACACGACTCTCACAATTCACTCTCTCAACGCCAGCTGTCTCTGGCTACATCACCCATGCATGAGCATTTTCTTGACCGCACTCTAGCGTGCATAGACTTTTTTTGTCCATAATTCCCCGTACAGCATATTTTATCCCGGCGACTCAGCGCATCTTGTGTCGGCGCTTCTCATGGCACCTTCACTCATTGGGTGGCGTTTGCAAGGAGTTGCATCATATTTTCCGATGGCTGTGTTCACAGGACTGGCCAACTCTGTTCCTGGCATCTTGTTGATTTCATGCACTGTCAATGAACTTTCACATACCGCGCGACTCGGCAGGAAGCAAGTGTCGATATACTCCTGCTAAGCATTGTACATGCGCAGCTATTCAAAGCGTTGTACGACGCGACGTACAAAGACCCTAATTGCCGACTCTGGTGGCATTATCTCGTCACCAACACTGCGACACGTCTACCCCTAATATCCTACTGGAGGTTGTTCCACCATGGTGTTTTCTGCTGCATGCTCCGCTAGATTCCGAATCTCAGTATCCTAGGCGCTTGACGGAAGACTCCTTGGTGGGACTTTTTGGTTTTGGTCTCTGTTGGCTTTTGTTCATTTCCCTTTTCTGTTGATCGTGCTCGCGCCTCGGCCGTGAAAGCGACATGATGGTGCTTCAGGGCGTGATGTGTGCATGCTGGTGCTAGGTCGGATCGGGACGAAGGGAATGAGCACTATAGATCGTGTTGATGGAAAGTCAGCAGTGTTGATACAAGGTCGTTGATCATTGGTGATGAAGTGATGGTGATTACTTGCTGGCAATTAGGATGCTCGACCCACAGTGCAACGCATGATGAGAGAGCGGCAAAAGGTTCTGCCTTTGTGAGTCTCCTTTCCGCGAGCGTACTGATAGCAGGGTCTACCTACGAGGTATGCTCGAGATGGATTGCAAGAAGCTTTTCGGCACAGGGCGGAAGCACACGACTCATTGCTGTCAGAGGTTGTATGAGGGATTTACTATATCCACGACCGACAATGCTGTTATCTACTGCCAACGCACTCCCAATCCTCGGTCTTACCTTCAAACGTCATCTCATGACGGACGCAACGACTTCATGATAGTCCTGAAACCACGAGTCGGCCTTAGTTCGGTGTTTCATTAGCGGCGAGCGGTTCGCATTCTGCCCTCAGCACCTTGGCGACCCATCTCAAGTCTGGCAATCCGCCTGAAGATCTACTCCGCGGATCAGCGTTCCAGCAGTAGACTTGCCCCGCGTTCTGCCCTGGGGAAATAGTCGGCGAGGCTGGCCCTCACAGCTTTGAGGAAACTTTCCCGTTCCCCCTCCCCCCTCCCCCCTCCCCACATCCCACGTCCTCGTGATTCTGGGGTAGTGCGGGAAAGATGCCACGACGTCAGCGGCACAGCGGTATTGCGGCTCACGGCAGAGGCGTACTGCTATCCGGACCCTTAGTATAATCTCCTGTCTTACTCGCTAGTGGGTAGCATTGGTACATACCACCATAACATTAGTATATTAAGGTTGAACTCCCCCTCGTTACTACCCTTCATTGAACCATCAAATTCCAATCTCATTCCTTTCTTCAAGACAGGAAGGTGGATCCTCCCCGTCTAGCGTCTTACTGAGTACCTTTTGAATACCATTTCATCTCTTCCATCGATACCCGTCTTCATAGTTATATATCGTTTGTTCCATCCTTACCTCTCCCATCCATCTTCAAACATGGAGAAACCGCTCCCCGGCGAAGCCGCGAAGACCAGCCTCGAAACTGGCAATGAACGCCCCTCTGCCGTTTTCCAAGAAAACCTCGAACCCATTCCCACCGCTGATCTCCCCACCCGCCTCGCCGAAGAGGTATCCTACGGCCCCGGCGGCATGCGAGGCATCCTCTCCTCCCCCTACGTCTTCGGCGCCGCCTTCCTCGCCTCCCTAGGCGGCTTCTCCTTTGGCTACGACCAAGGCGTCATCTCGATCATCAACGTGATGCCACAATTCCACGCTCAATTCCCCGAAACGGCCGACGGCGGCTTCTACACGGGCTTCATGACGGCGATGCTGGAGTTCGGTGCATTCATCGGATGCTTCTTCATGCCATGGCTAGCGGATCGTGTGAGTAGGAAGTGGGCGCTGAGTATCGTCGTTGTGATATTCAACATCGGCGGCATTATTCAAACCTCCGCGCCAAACTACGCCGCTCTTGTTATCGGGAGAACAATCGGCGGGATAGGCGTCGGCACGATGGCAATGGTACCTCCCCTCTCCCCCTTTCCCCCAACTCCAACAACCCAAAACCGCTAACACTCCGCAGGGCGCCCCCCTCTACATCTCCGAAATCGCCCCACCCCAACTCCGCGGCGCCCTCCTCGTCCTCGAATCCATCTCCATCGTCGCCGGCGTCGTCATCGCCTACTGGATCACCTATGCGACCAAAGACCTGGCCGGCGAAATCGCCTTCCGCCTGCCCTTCGGCCTGCAAATGGTCTCGGCCACTCTCCTCGGCATCGCCATCCACATCTTCCCCTACTCCCCGCGCTGGCTCGCCATGGCCGCCCGCCCCGCCGACACCCTGACCGCGCTCGCGCAACTCCGCCGCCTGCCCGCCTCTGACGCGCGCGTGCAGACCGAGTACGCCGGCATCCTCGCCGAAGTCGCCTTCCAGCGCCTCATGCTCGAGAAGCACCACCCGGGCACGCGCGGGCTGCGCCTCGAGCTCGCGACCTGGCTCGACCTGCTCGCGCGCAAGAACTGGCGCCGCACGGCCGTCGGCGTCGGCGTCGCCTTCTTCCAGCAGTTCTCGGGCATCAACGGGTTTATCTACTACGCGCCCATCCTGTTCCGCTCGCTGGGGCAGTCGGACGTGCACAGAAGTAGAGTGTAGAAGTGATCTTTCATAGAAGTGACGGAGGAACCTTGGGGTTGCGCCTCTTATACGGTAGTCGGTATTGCGATTGAAGCCAGAACCACTTCCACTGGGCGGGATATCAGGGAGCAACGTTGGAGCCTGACACACGCAGCTAGGAGCATGTGTTGGTGGTTTTTCCACGGTGTAGAGAAGCGCAATATAGAAGTGACGAAGGAGCCTTCGAGCTAAGCACGTTGTTATTTCTCGATTCCTGCCCGCGATTGTGAGCATTGAAGTTACCTGGAGCAATCTATCCGGAAGCGGGATTCTCAGTCGATAGATGAGGCTAGAGGCGTGATTTTTTGGTGCCTTTGAGATATGAGAGAGATCTGGAGTGTTGGTGTGACGGTGGAGCCCTCTAGTTGGAGCCTTTTATGCATGCCCCATTCCCGCCTGCTACTCGAAGCACTTGCACAACGACTTGTCAATTGATGTATGTAGTCGATAGCATGTTGATGTCGGGACCTTGTCGGAGAAGTGGAGTATAGAAGCGATAGAGGAAGCGTGGTGTTGAGACTCCTTTTATAGCCCTCAATTCTTATCCGCGAATCGGAGAAACTTCCTTTGGAGTAGAACATTCGATCAAATGATCAGATATTGATACATGCGAATGGGACCGTGTTGGTGAATACTCTCCGACGCACCAGGTTAGACATCCGGATCGACACTGCCCGGCCTTCACTTTTCTTGCTCAACGCTGCTGGCAGCTAGCCAGGCACTAGTGGAGACATTCCTTCATAGGCGAACTCCAGATTAGAGGACTACACTGGCATCTTTGTAAACTATTTCTTAGAGCTGATGATACGCTGACCTTTACTACTTACAGCGCTATGCCATAACTTTGGAAACTCCATAGATCTGCTCAATGTATCCCGATAAGCATTGATACTCTTGATGTAATGAAAACCTCTGCGCAGTAGAAATAAGGCTTATGTTTGACTAGCGAAAGACATGGTAGCTGGAGTACTCCTTACAGTGGTGTCGAGATAGAAAAGAAGGAGTCTAAGTACATCTATCTAACACCAATACGTTTCTTAGGCGTTTGAGATAATGAAAAGATAGATGCATTAGATATTGAACCACCTTATAATCTGCCAGAGACCTACTAGCTAGGGTACCTCTTACATTGGTGTCGAGCGAGAAAGAATGGAGCCCGAGCAGTGAAATGTCCGTGTGCCCACACTTATGACCTGATACTGTAAACCAGTAGGGAATGTGAAGTTCTGCGCGTCTCAATCTAGCGATGTTTGCGGATCTCTTACGATAAACTTTTGAAGATACAGAGCAACTAGAATATCTTAAGGCCATTTCGTAGGCTTAGAGGAGGAACGCTGATACCGAGACTTGTCCCTTCCGCCGTGCCTCGAACTCCTAATTCCTCGCCAACTCATCCCTCATCCTGATCATCTCTTTCATATCCCATTCCCCAACTATTCTCCCATAGGTGCTGAGTCTCAAGCTCTCTATCTTCCTGGCTAGGAGCCTGATCTGTGTATCCTCCATCTCCCTCGCCATTTCCCCAAGAGCGTCACTCTCCGTCCCCTGCATCCACTTCTCCAAACTCGCCGCCGTTTCCTCCATATCCTTGTCAAGGTCCGCCCTTGCAATACCTGGCGCGTGTACGTCAATCACCAGCAAGCCCACTGTAAACCCTTCTCGCTTTTTCTTCGACAAGAAGTGCACCCCGCGCTCGACGAAGCGTATTAGACACGCCAATCCGCCGTTAAGGAGACTCCCTTCCTGTTCCTCCTCGTGGACACTGAAGACGCTGCACACGCTCTTAGTCCTGCCATGAAGTATCCGCAGGGTGACTTCAAGCTCGTCAACGTGCTTCGACAACATAGGGATGGACACCCATGTCGGATAAAGTACAAATTTGTCATTCCGCAAGGCGAGATCGATCTTGTAACGTAGTTTCCCGTCGCCCATTCGACGGATTGCTTCCTTCAGCTCCGTGCGAATTTGGCTACAAGCAGAGAGGAGATGGTGAGTCGGTGGAAGGGGAGCGCTCAGGGGGTAGCGGACGCTCTCCTCCGACCAGACGTAGCCGATATCTTCCTGGGAGGGATGACGCGGTAGTATTTCTTCGACGGTGACATCGGTGAATCCCAAGTTCAGGACCTTGCGAACTTTTTCTGTACTGATGCGTATGCGTTGGGGAGGAACAGGGGAGAAAGGGATGAGGAGGCCCCATGTGTAGATCTCGTCGCGGATCTCGCGGGGGATTGTTAGGAGGCTCGGCATGGTGCTTCGGGCATGGGGTTGTTGAGCTGATGGATGGTGGAAAACGGTGGTAAGTTTGCTTGAGTGCGATACGGATGGAAGCTGACGCGTGGGCTCCCGCTTGAACAGGAGATGTAGCTGTTCTCGACCGGAGAGCTGTAGTTAGTAGGGATGGCTGTCTTCGTAAGTTGGGGCTCAAAGCTCTAAGACAGCGGGGATCTTGCATATACGCAGCTGCTGTGATTCGACAATCGGGTCCCGCCTGTGCCATCATCCCAGCCCCTGCTGTGGCTCGGTATTAGCTCATTGGCTGTTGCTTCCTCTGTCCCAGCTTCTTTACGTCTTCAAATTCACCATCAGGGCAACGCGATACAGGTGCCTCATCGAGGGGATGCCGAGCTGAGGTTCGTTGGGCAGGAGAGGCTGGAATAGCCTGCTCAGTCCAGTGTGGCACATGTGGCGCATGCAGCGCAGTCGGTACAGTATCAGCACTGCCTAGCACCCTAACTGCTTTTTGCTTACGCCCTTTACCCAGTTCAAAGCCGATCCACTGATTCCACGATACAAGTACAGAGTGCTGTTGTCGTTCTTGAAGCACGATCGAATCCCCAAGCTCAATCCTCCAGCCCTAGGTAGTCTACTTTGCGATCCAGATCTCGAGCCAGCCCATAATCCCTCTAAAAAAATCAAGCCTCAATCCAAGTCCCCTTCCAATTCTCATTTCGAGCACGATTCACGGCCCCAATTGCACAACCTCCACCCAAAAACCCCCAGAAATTGACGCCGCCACAGCCCCCAACTTCCTCAAATCCACCATCGGCATCGCCATCTCCACCTTCCCGATCATAATCGCCTTCCTCCTCCTTTCCGCCGCAACCCTCGCATTTGTCGCCTACTGGTGCATCAACACAGTCGCCAATTTTCTGAATCTCGACGACGCCAGCAAGGAAAACAATTTGCCCGGGGTATACGGCGCCGCTGGCGTGTGCCTGTTTGTTGCACATCTCACCATTATCAGTGCACTGGTCGCCAAGGGTTCGGGGGTGGCAGAATGTATTGAGGGCATGTTGCAGAGCTCTTTCGCGCTGTCTCTCGTCATGCTGACGCTTTGCGGGACGGCGTTGGTTGTGAGCAAGGGGTGGCGGGTGTATGCTGGGAATAGAGGGTTTAAGGGTCGTGGGGGGGATAGGTACCACCAGATCAGATCAATTCTAAGCTCTTTCCTTACACCTGTTCGCTTTACGGCCCTAGATCATCGTTCCTGCTCGCTTGACACCGCTGTGAGGAGGGCCTTAGCTAGCAGGTAGTTGGCTAGGCAAGAGGTAGCGGTCTTTCCATTGCATCAATCTTTACACGCTAAACACCCTACAGTATCAGACTAAATGTCCAGGTGCGCAGATATGCACTGCTTAGGCTGCACGATTGCGCACTCGGTGCCGCTGTGAGGAGTGGCTCAGATAGAAAGTGGCTAGACAGTCATAAGGTACTTTACTACCCATTACATTGACCAGGCTGCGCTAAACACCCTACAGTACTAGGAAATAACCCTAGTGAGATGAATATACGGCTGCTCAAGCCTCCCTATTAGTCTCTTGACACCACCGTAAGGAGTGCCCTAGCTATCACCCATCCGCGTAGTCAAAAGGTAGTCCAATTCCCGGCTCGACCCATATCTCATAGCTCCTCCCCCTCCACCGCCGCGATGCCGACCATGCCGAATGAAGGTGCAGGGACTAGTGTTGGTGCCGAGGAGATGATTGTCGAGGATGTTTCTAACGGCGGAGGGATGTAGCCGGGTGCTAGTTCCGGCAAAGCCAATGTTACGCTCGACGACGAGTTGAATGCTTTATGAATTGGCATTTCCAGACGCAACGAGTGGGCGTGGGGATAGTATATGAGAACGGCGGATGGTAAAAGGCTAGCTATGCAGATGCTTCGCACGAGTCTTGATTCCAGGAATTGCGGATGACGAGGTAATCGTTTGTACTGTCGATGTACATGGTGGCTGGCTTTTCCATTTTGTTGAGCGGGCGGTGACTGCTCGCATGAGGGTCGACCGGTTGAGATGGGAAATGGAAGAAGGCTTGAGAAGGAGAGACAGGAAGAGAGAAACAGGGCCATTCTCGGAGATATAAAAGTACAGAATTCCATGAAGATCCGAATGGAATTCAGATCGTGGTTTTCATGGACGATGAACGCGCTAGACATGACTTGATGTGAGACGCCTTGCGTCAGTCGAGGTTTGTCGGTATCGTCGTCGGACGTGCTTGCATTCTTCATAAATATTGGCCCGCCAATCAGGAGCATTCGCAGGACGCGCTAGCGAGCTTCGAAATGGTCGTAGCATCCGTCTTTCAAGAACCATTTTCCGATCATCCTGAGTGTGACATGCGAACGTACCTCTAAACCAAACTCGTCTCCACAATCACAATCACAACGACATCTTAGGAAGCAAACTCATCTATTGATCATCCACAACCCCCCATCTACAACCCAAATCACACCTCCACAACCGGCCTCGTCACCCTCACCCTCGCCGCCGCCTCCTTAAGCACCTCCTTCTCCTCTTCCGCCGCCCCATCCCCAAACACCTCATCCATCTGCTCCAACGTCCGCCCCATCGTCTCGGGCACCAAAAAATACGCCCAAACCGCCGCGAGCACACAAAACACCGCAAAAAACACATACGTCCCAAACCCGGCATTCTGAATCATCGGCGGCACCATGACGCCCACCACAAAATTACTCAACCACACCGTCGCCGTGCTCAGCGCGACCCCCTTCGCCCTCGCCGCGCTCGGAAACACCTCCGCCGGCAGCGCCCACGCCAGCGGGCTGTAGCTCACGCCGTAGACCAGGATATACACAAACGCCATGGCCGTCGTCGCCCACCCGGCCGCCACATGCGCCGGCCAGTCCTTGTCAAACAGCTCGACCAGGACCGCCATGATGACATACGGCACCGCCATCCCTATCGCACCATAGAGCGCCAAGGGCCGCCGCCCGACTTTATCGATGACAACGAAGCACACGAGCACCGCGACGAGCTGCGCGATGTTGAGCACGCCCGACACGCTTCTACCACTACATATGATGCATCCATCTGGCTCCCTAATAATTGCTCCGAAGGAACTCGTAGGTTTGGGCCTTATAAAACAGGCTCAGCACCAATGTTTCTCCATCACTTCTACACTCCACTTTCTTTCTATGGAGTATCACCAACACATAGGCAGGCTTCGATCCCGCTCCCTGATATTGCTCCAAAGGAGCTTGCTTCTCCGAATAACAGGAAGGAATTGTGACCTATATAAGAGGCTCAACCTTGAGCTCCCTCCATTACTCCTATACTTCACTTTCTTTCTAAAGTCCACGCGGCTACCAACATAGAGCTTTCAATCTCGCAGGCTGTTATCATGCTCCAAAGGGACTCGTAGGAATGGGATCTATAAAAGAGGCCCAACCCCAAGGTGCTCCATCACTCCTACACTCGACTTTTTTTCCGTGGAATAATTACCAACACATAGGCAGGCTTCAATCCGCTGCCTGATATTGCTCCAGAGGAGCTTGCTGCTCCGAATAATAGACAGGAATTGTGGCCTATAAAAGAGGCTCGACCTCAACCTTCTTTCATCACTCCCACACCCCATTTCCTCTCCACGGAGGAACCTGCAAGACACCTATGGTGCCAGGTGGACTTGAGAAAGGGTATGAGAGCTGGTTCCCATCCTCATTCCCTCGCTGTTCTTCGTTGCCCGCCGTTGTTAACTAGGTGAAGAGCCCGTCCCGGCCGAGTTTCGAGGCTAGGAACATGATATCCACCATGGCATCCTGCCGCACTTGCCTGGGGACCCCATACTGCACTTGAGGGGTCTCCTAGGCATGAAGTGAAGTGGTGAGGATGAGTAAGCAGGTTTCGCGTGACGCGCGCCTGCCTATTTATTCCGGTCGCCGTCGTCAACACAACCTTTCCTCCTCCACTCCACCCCCAGCAGCCAGCGTCTCTACCTCATCTGCACCGCGTCGTGAGATCGTCCAGCCTCGTAATCACTCACTCACTGCCCATCGTCGAGCACTTCAACTCCGTCGCAATGTCGTTCAACAACAGTAAGGACCTCTCAATCGGCCTCACTCCGCCATCTTCGGCCGCCCGCCTCCACACCAGAGCTGTCTTGCTAACCTATTGCCTAGACCCTCAAGCTGCCGCCGGTGCTTCGAAGGACGATCCGTTCGCTCGTCACCTCAACCCTTTCATGCCGAAGCGCGCCGATACCGGTGCTCAGCTCTCCACGCTCAACAACCGCATGCGCGGCCTTGCTATGGACCTCTACCTGAAGGAGGAGGAAGTCAGGTTGCTACGCGAGAACGTCGCGCGTCTCTCGGACCCCGAACGTGCTTCGGAGGCAGAAATCATCGCCAGCAAGGATGCCGACATCGCGGCCCTGCACCAAGAGCTCTGGAGAGCGAACCAGAAGAACGAGAGCACGGACCGGACGGCCCGGCTGCAACGCGAACACATCCAGGTCCTGCAGCGAGACTTGAACAAGTGGAAGAACGTTGGCGATGTCGAGGCCCTGCAGGTGGCGCTCGAGCAGAAGAACGAGGAGTTGACGGAGGTCTGTGCCGACCTGGAGGCCTTCAAGTTCGAGCGGACGCATGACAAACAGACGATCAAGACGCACGCCGAGCAGATCGAGCAGCAGAAACAGGAGATGAACCACCAGGCCGCGGTCATCGAAGCGCACCAGCAGGAGATGCAGCGTAGGGACGCCGAGGCCGTCGAGAAGATCCAGCAGTTGGAGGAGCAGCTCAAGCAGGCCGCGTCGGAGGCCGGCCAGTACATCGCGAAGCTCGAGCAAGACCTGAAGCACCGCGCGCCAGATTCGGAGACGATGAAGAAGCTCACCGACGCCCAGGTCCAGATCGGGAAGCTCCGCGCGAGCGCCACGCTCGCAGAGCGGAATCTAGGCAACATTGTGCGCTCGAAGCTCGTGGGCGCGGTCTTCCTGAGGCGCCCAGACCCCTCCACCATCCTGACAGAGGAGGTCCTATGCTGCTACAATTGCTGGGCCCGCAACGAGCAGTGCGACAACAAGGTCGTATGTCGGCGCTGTGCCGACAACCGGGTGCCGTGCCGCCGCTGGCGCTGCGCGGCGTCCGTCGTTGGGGAGACCGTATGCCCTAGAGTGAACTGCCCGCATAACCACGACTGGAACGGATGGCTGAAGGCGGAGGTCAAGCGCCCTGTATGGTAGACTCTCCCCTAGTGTTTTGGAAAGGCGCTGACGGCATGTAGGTGGCTTCAAGGCGCTATTAGGCGCGTCAAGATGGTGCTGTGGTGGGTCTGATTTGCGGTGTTCGGAGTGGTGGGCTTGGAAAACGGTGGAGAATTCGGGCTGGTTGTGGATTTCCTTAACTGTTGATTGTAAATTAGTTTCTTTTGTCTACAATTCTGCCCATCACGAGGCCATACTGAATCGATTATGATTCCTCGATCGTACTGGAAAAATGATGTGAAAATCTGCGAGATTTGTGATGTGTGGGATGAGACATGATGAAATTGTGATATTTTTTATGGTGTTGTGTTTTTGAATTCTCATCGTACAGCTTTGCCCACCATGCTACCATCTGAAGACACCCCTGAACTTACTAGATTTTACACACAACGTACATTGTAGATCGTGCCTGCGGAGAAGAACAACCGATTCTGAGATTTTAGCATACTTTGTGAATTGAACCACCGCACTTACAGTTTTGACAACTATACTACCATTGGAAGACACTCCTAGACGTACTAGAATTTACGCACGACAACATCATGAACTCTGCCTCGTAGATTGTGCCTGCGGACAAGGATAGTCAAGATTTGTTGAAATTTGAGCGTACATTGTGAATTGAACCATTAGACGTACAGTGTTGATACTCATCCTACCATTGGAAGACACCCCTAGGCCTATTAGTAGTTGAAATTAGCGATGTCATAAGCTCTACTTTGCGGATTGAGTCTGCGGACGAGAATAGTTGAGACCTGTAAAATTTCAATATATATTATAAATTGAGCTATTACACTTACAATTTTGACAACACAGCTACAACTTGGATGCCCCTGGGCCTACTATAATCCACACACGACGATGTCATGAATTCCGTGTCGCATATTAGACCGGCGGACAAGGACCAACCGGAGGCGTAACATACTAGTATATGTCGTGAAATGAGCGTGAGGACGTATCGGTTTGACAGCGTAGCTACCTCTGATGGCGCTCCTGAGCCTACTAGAATCTGCACACGCCGATGTTATAAGCTCTATGTGGTAGATTATGTCTGTGGAAAAGAGCGAGCAAGTATTAGCAGATAATGGCGTTCATCATGTATTGCCATGTCGAACGCACAGTCTTGACAATGATGCTGCTCCTTAAAGACGCTCCTGGGCCTATGAAGAACGGAAATCCAGGATGTCATGAACCCTACACTGTAGATCGTGCCTGCGGAGAAGGACGGCCGAGTCTGAGCAGATTTTAGCGGAGGTCGTGAATGGAGCGGAGAGATACTGTCTTGATAATACAGCTGCGACACAAAGACACCCCTTGGCCTACGATGAACTGAAATCGACGATGTCATAGACACAACATCGTGAATTGGAGGGGCAGAGAACGCTCCCGATAAATGTTGCAGTTGGAGCGTGTATCATGAATTGATCGTGAAATCGCGGAGTTCTGACATCGAAGCTACCCTCGGAAGACCCCCCTGGGCGTACGAGGAATTGAAAATCGACGATGTCATGAACTCTACGTCGCAGAACAGGCTTTGGAAAAGAACGAGTGAGTCTTGGGTGATTTTAGCATATGTCGTGAATTGAGCGAAAGGAGGTATTTCTTTGTGGACACAGATGTAACATGAAGACACCCCTGGGTCTACGAGGAATCAGAGTTGACGATGTCGTGGACGCGACATTGCGAAGTAGAGGGGTGGAAGAGGTTCCTAGAATTTGGAGTGTTTAGAATGTGAAGGGTGAACTGATCGAGGAATTGCGGACTCTAGAAAATGAAGCTACCTCTCGAAGACACCCCCGGACCTACGAAGAATTGAAATCAACGATGCCATGGATACAACACCCTAGACCAGGCAAGAGACACAAGGCGATATAAACTAGTATATATTTAGCACAGGTTGTGAATCGCGCGAAAGATGCGGAGAGTTGGTGGTATAGACGCACCTTAGAGACACCTCCGGCGGTATCATGAACGAGAAACCAACATGTAAAGGTCGAGAGGTCGTGATTTGGACGTGTGGACAAGGTTGATGGAAATGAGTGTGAGCTAGACATGGCTCCTGAATTGAGCGGTAAGGACGTAAGCATTTGCGGGCGTAGACATACTTTCGGGACACCTCCGATGGTATCGTGAACGAAAAATCGAGATATAGAGGGCGCTAGCTTGCAGTTTAGACGTGCGGAGATAAATACGCGATCCTAGTACGAAATGAGTGCACGTTTCGAATCGAGCGTACGTAGAAGGGCACTTACCGATGTGGCTACGTCCTCGAGACACGCCTCAACGTATTGTGCATAAAACAGCGAGATGTAACGCGCGCGAGGCCGAGAACTAGCCATGGAAAGAACGACAGGAGAAACCTGTACGATGTGAGGAAGTGTTGTAAATTGAGAGGATATGTCGAGATGGCTGCGCATAAAGCTACCTGTCTGAGACACCCCTGGCGCTATGAGAGTATTGAATGTGAGGATGTAAAGAGTAGAACGATGCAAACTTGACCTATAGCATAGCACACCAACATCCCATAGAAATTGGACAAGCGTAGTGAATTGAAAGTGTATAAGAACACAGTTGCGCATGAAGATATCGTCTCAAGACACCTCCGACCATACGAGAGGATCTTATTCAACGATGTAAAGAGTGCGAGCTTATAGACCAAGCAAATGGAGAACGAGGATACGCTGTGGTATGAAAAGACCGCACATGGTGAATTGAACGTGACTGAGGAAATGGCGGCGGGCGAAGCTATACGCTTGAGACACCCCTGACCTATGAGAGGAGCCCGCTCTACGATGTCATGAATGCGCGCTCGCGATTCAGGGAAGGAGAAGAGGACAAAAGTGAACGATAAGAATTGACCATCCACGGTAAATTAAGGGCAAATGTGAAAATGGTTGCGGGAGTAGCTACACTCTCAAGACACTCCCGGGCCTATGAGAATAGCTCGCTCTACGATGTCATAAACGCGTGATCGCGAATTGGGAGGAAAGAATAGGGCAAAAAGAAACGATGGGAAACGACCGCCTATGGCGAATTAAGAAAATATAGGAAGACGGTTGCTGGTAAAGCTACACTCTTAAGACACCCACGGCCCTATTAGAGCGGTGCAGACGACGATGTCAAAGGCAGCACACGGTAAATCAAGGCTAGCGATGAAAGAATCTGAACACTAGAGAGAACGCCATAATATCGTGACTTCAGAGGAAGGACGAAGGTCGTTGCGCGTAAAGCTATCCATTTTAGATGCCGTAGGCTTTTCGAGTAGCTTGGAAAAGACAACGTCAAAAGCTGCACATTGTATATCAAGGCCGTCGAAAGAGGAACACGAAATTCTGAGCGCGTGTAATGATGTCTAGAATGGAGAACAACTCGGACGAGTGTTGCGCCTGGTACTATCATCTTCAGATACTCCCGGGCTAACTAGACCTTGTTAATGGATGTTAAAGACAAGACTTCGTGAATTAGGAGGCTGGAAAAAGAAAGCTGAATCACGATGATGAGATTGATATTGTCTGAATCGAGGAGACGTAAGAAGACCGCTGCGCGTGAGAATATACTCTTCGGTCGCCCCAGGGCCTTTCACAGCAATGTACACCACGATGTCATAGACACGGTGTCGCGAACCAAGAGAGTTGCAAAGGAAATCCAAAAATGTAAGCAGTTGTGACGACATCGTGATTTGAGCGTACCTACGAGACTGACTGCGGAGAAGGATGTCATATTGAGACACCCCTGGCATAATAAGACTATGGGGTTCGAGGATGTCATAAACATCGAGTCGTGGATGAGAAGAATAGAAAAGAAGTTCCGACAAACTGGGACGGCGTCATGGCATCGTGAATTGAACGAGGCTAAAAGAAAGGCTGCGGGTGCAGGTATACCTTCAAGCCACCCCCAGCGTAACTACAGCAGTGCACTTGCCGATGTCATAGACACCACGTTATAAACCAGGCGAATAGGAAAGGAATGTTGATATGAGACGGAAACTGAATGTTATCTACCTACACACTGTATAACAGACCCTGTTCGACTCACCGCCCTGAGATCATGCGTACTAAAGCCGTAGATTGACAACCCTAAAATACCTGTAATATACCCCAGCACCTACTAATCTACAGCACAATCAAATTCCCAATCCGAACCCCTTGACTTAGAAAGTAATACCGTCTCCGCACGCCAACCCCCTTTGCACGTCTCAGCAGCGCCAGCGTTCTCTCTCCACCTCCAACCATGATCATCGGGATGGGATTCGGGCGGAGGAGGCCAGAGGGTGTGTACTGCGGTTCTTCAAGCAGAGGCTGGACGAGTGGGTTTATGCGTTGCTGCTCTTTGACGATATTCCGTCTTTGTTGGCGCATGGTGGGCTCGGGCTCGTTGTCGTTCGGAGGCTCGTCGTGCTCGGGGTACGATACCACAATCACGAGCTGAAGCGCATTAGTGTCAGGCGGGAATGCGGGGATGTTCCGTAGTTTTGCGGAGAAAGAGCAGCCACCGCGCGGTACGACGAGGATCTGTGTGCTGCGGGCGACGTCGAAGGGCAAGCGGTCTGTACACAATGGAGTGGTATGGACGTGGATATTATGCCAAGCGAGTGGTGCATCGTCGGAGAAGGAGAGTTCGGCGTCGGGTTTGTCTGGCAAGGGAGCAGCGCCGGGGCCGGAGGGGATGGTGCCGGAGATATGCTGGCGTTTCACAGGGGGAGGGGAGGGAGGCGTGAGAGGGGCAGTTGGGGAGGAAAGGATGGATTGGATGCTCTGGAGGAGAGAGCGGACGTAGGAAGGATCGTCCGCGGCGGAGGCGGGGAGGTCAAGCTCGAGGTCGAAGTCCGAGAGAAGGTTGGCGGTATTGAGGGAGGTGTTGGAGAGGGTGGAGGTGATGCTCTCTTGGAGGGAATCGGAGTCGTACTCGTCCAAGCCTTCGGAGTCAAACTCGAATGAAGACGAGGGAGTTGGGGAGAGAGGGGCGTCAATGACGAGGTCGAGGGTTGCCGCGTCCCGTGTGCGCGTGAAGAAGGGGTCGACGGGATTGAAGGACTCGATGATGTCGCGGGTCATGAAGACTTTCTCGTCGCGACCTAGGGCTACATTGGAGATAGCGTAAACACGGAACTTGTCTTCGAATGACATGCCATTATCGCTGATGTAGGTCTCTGGCTCGCGAATCATGCCAAGACGCAAGCCGCTCATGGATTGGACTAGGACGCCGTCGTTGACTCGTTGTAGAGCACCCATATTGAGAACGCTGTTTGGGAGATTCGGAAAGGACAAATCAAAGGTTGTTCGCACAGCCATCTTCGAGCTTGTGCCATTGAACGGTACTAATTCTGGAGGCAGCGTCCAAGGGTAGTATGTGTAATTTGACGGGGATTGGATATCGGATATTGAGATGCTGGGGTGATCATGATTGAACTCGACAAGCGGTGATTCGAGGGTCTCGACACTAGGCATAAGATGCAGTCTAGCAAGGCTAGCGGCATGGAAAACATCATTCCTAGCCGCAGTCGCAGAAATACTAAAAGGCACTGTTGGTGGAGGAAGAGGACAAACAGGCTGTACGCGAGACTCTTGGTTCGTGAATGAGGCTGACTTTCTTCTGACAGATTGTGAAGGCCGTAAACGATTTGGTATGATGAGAGGATGTCCCTCGGTTGTAAAAACAAATGGCGCATCCAAGGTATTGAGCGGATGCGTGGGATCGAAGAGCAGGAAGAGGTACTTGGCAGTTTCTCCAAGGAAGAAGCTCTCCATGCGATCGCTCTGTTCGCCGGTGCGGACATCCTGCAATCCGGACCATCCGCATCGAGTCCAACATCTCCGTTTGATATCTCGAAGCGTCATCTCTCCGACATGAAGATACCATGGATCTTGAGTAGCACGATAAAGATACCACGTTGATTCGATGAACTCAGGTCGGCCGCCCCACCAACGGAGACCGTTCTCAATATTTCCAGAGGCAGTCGACCATCTTTCGGGCATTGCTGAGTATCTCGTCCATAATGCAGTATACAGCAGGTGTGTTTCAATAGCCTCGTCAAGTTCTCCAACAAGCGTGAGAAGGCCTTGGTAGTAGGCACTCAAGCTATCAATCCAGAATGCTCGCATAGCACCTGTGTACAGGTCGACTTGGACATAGTGCGGATGCTGGTACATAGATCCGCGGTAGATGTGACGCTTGATTCCCGCGTGCGCTTCATTCCAAGCGTCGAGAAAAGCCTCGGGAGAATGAACGTTGGATTGGTCGGCATCGAATGGAAGACCGGAGAGGAGAATATAAGATTTGACGGCATACTCGAAGAAGCTATCAATGCCAGCTCCAATCTAAATATGATCAATATAAATGCCGAAGAAATGATTGAAAGAATGGAACCTACACCTGTGTACGGTGAGACCCAATTCCCAGTCTCAGCGTCAATTCCAGCACCAATCAGGCCAGAACTGCTCCGCCTATCCCAAACTGCCCAGAACGCTTCTTTAGCTGCCTTTTCGAAGCGACCATCGCCAGTCAGCCGACTCAGCGTAGTGAACTCCAAAACGAGACTACCAGCGCCCGCACTGCATGTCTCTGTGACCTCGACATTGCCATTAGGACTCTTTTTGCACTGACCGTGCTCCGCGTCAGTGTTGTAAGGAGAGTTGGCGTAGAAGGGTATGCCATGGCGTAGATTTACCCGTGGATACGGCAAACCCGTAGGCGTATAGAAAGCTGGAAGCAGACGCTCTCCGAGGTCTGCCGCAAGCCGCAGCAGTTGTCCATTATAAAGGAACCCGTTGCGCCATAGAATGCCCGTTTTCCCACGTTTTGTCACCTCCCTTGGCTCATATCCCCTGATTGGCAAATCCCCAACAGCAAACAGATGTGCACTCAAAAGGCCGCCGACCCCTCTGATGACTGTTTCAAACACCTGCACCTTGCTATCCAAATCAAATCCTCGCGCCCTGCTGCCGTGACCAGCCGGACCTTCAGTCCCATCTCCGTAGTTGTCCACCAACAACGAAATGCCTTGCTGAAACTCTTCCAACGCTTTATTATAGCCTCGCTTCGTTGGGGGCGACGATGCCAGAATTGCAAGAGTGGACAGGCTGTCTATGAGGGTCAACGAGTAGTTCCCTAGCACGTCGTTCACTTCGATATGGGCGGGGTTTTCACGATCTCGGGTGAGAGGAGCACACGACAGAGGTCGCAGCTCGTCTTCGGGAAAGGCATGGCGCATGTAATTGTCGTAACCATGGTAGAAGATGTCGCGGGTCTCTTGTCTGTATTTATCAGCACTTGCGCGCTTTGAAGTATTGCTACAGCGTCTACCTGAGATTACCGATGGCCTCATCTGTCATGCCAGATGCGACCGTCGTCCATACTGCTAGAAGTAGCAGACAGAGCCATATCATTCCTCCGGCCGGGTGTCCGCAAGTGCTCTTGAGCGTGCCCAGCCTCCCAGTCGATGGCATAACCGGCGGTTGAAGCGTGCAGGAGGCATGGGAGTTTCTGAGCAGAGGAAAACAACAGTGCAGCCTCTATAGGGAAGACATAGCAGAACAGCACGCAGAAGTCATCGTTTGAGGGCGTATAGTACAGTTGAGGTCAGTCTGTCTTTCACAGTCCGCGCCGGGGCGGAAAAACGTCAGCGATGCGCTTGGACGTGCTTTCCCGCCATCGAAAGATCGAAGACTGGCGCAGTGAACATCAGCAAAACTTTTGCTACGAGGGACCCCTCTTCGTTTTCCCCAATGCAGTCTACTACGCAATAGTTCTTTAATCGCACACTCCTTAACCCTACCCTGACTCGCAATGCTTCCTAGGGCTGCTGCTCGCGCCCTCAAGGCCCGGCCAGCACCGCCATCTCCCTTTCCTGCTGGAGCTGCATCGACGCAATGGATACGACGCTACGGAAAAAATGACAAACCTCGCCCACCCCCTAGGCAACCTTCACAAAGCGACTCCGGGCGGAGGAATGTTGGCAGCGACTATACTTGGAAGCCATCTCAGCCCATAGACTTCGCGACTGCCAAGACCGCTGCAGAGAAAGCGGCTGCAGAACGAGCACAATCGCCTCTACAAAGCCAGAACACATCACAAGATGCCGAATTCTCGAGTCGACAGCCGGAGGACGATGCGAGTGCGATTCCAGAGAGGAATACGGTGCAATATGGCCGAGCCAAAGCGACGGAGCGCGCGGGGAGCACACAAGAAGAATTCAGTACAGCGCAAGATGAGTTCAGTGGCCCCAAGTCATCGAAAGCGAGCACCGCACCCACAGCAGAGGGCGCAGACGGGACTGCAGCACCGAGCGGACCATTGCCAGATCTCCGCCAAGGCATTCCCTCGACTTTTGCCGCCGAATTCGGTGCAACGGAACCAAAGCCATCACAAAAAGCCAGCGAACAGGAAAGCACAGTCAGTGAGTCAATAGAGGAGCCAGAACCGGTGGCTGGAGGTGCTGGTGGTGGCCGTGGAAGTGGTGATCTGCCTAAGTCCGCATTCGAGACATCCGTCGACCGGAGGAGAAACAAGGTCGCGAACTACTCCTACCTGATGGCTCTGGTATTTGGCCTCACTGGAGCTGTCTACTTAGGGCGACCGTGGGAGAGCGAAGAAGAGGCAGCGCAACACCCTGATATCTCTTCAAGCTGGAACATCACGACTATGTACGACCGCGCGAAGGCGCGTATGTCAGGCCAGATGAGCTACTATACCGAGCCAACCTTTCCCAAATTGCTACCAGAAATGGACCCGCGACCTCCCTATACTCTCGTCCTGAGCTTGGAAGACATGCTTGTCCACAGCGAATGGACCAGCAAAAATGGGTGGCGGACAGCCAAGCGACCTGGCGTGGACTACTTCATCCGGTACTTGAGCCAATACTACGAACTGGTCATCTTCACCAGCCTCCCAATGCAAGTCGCGGAGCCTGTCATCAAGAAACTCGACCCCTTCCACATTGTGATGTGGCCCTTGTTCCGGGAAGCCACTCGCTATGAAAAGGGCGAGTACATCAAGGTACGCTCCTCTCCTCTTAAAACCTCATATTCCAGCCTAGCTAATCTATTCTAGGACCTTTCTTACCTCAACCGTGACCTCTCCAAAACCTTGATCATCGACACCAAAGCCTCCCACACCAAATACCAACCCTCTAACGCCATCATCCTTCCCCCATGGGACGGCACCCCCGGCGACCGAAAACTCGTCTCCCTCATCCCCTTCCTCGAGCACATCGCCACCATGGGCGTCCAAGACGTCCGCAAAGCCATCGAGTCCTTCAAAGGCGCCGATATCCCGACCGAGTTCGCGATCCGCGAGACACGCGCCCGCGAAAAGTTCAAGGCTGAGCTCGATGCTGAGCGGGCCAAGCGACCGAAGCACAGCGCTGCGGGCTGGCTTATGGGCGCGTTGGGCATGAAGGGCCATCCACAAGGCGGCATGGTGGTTGGCGAGAAGACGGTTTCGGAGGGACTGGCCGAGGGCAAGATGCTGAGTGACCAGATCCGCGAGCAGGGGATCAAGGCGTACGAGGCGATGGAGAAGCAGATTCGGGAGAATGGAGAGGCATGGTTGAAGGAGATGGCTGAGGAGGAGAAGAAGATGCAGGAGGAGCAGATTAAGAGTATGAAGAGTGGCATGACGGGATGGTTTGGGGGGAAGAAGGAGTAGGCAGGGTGTCTGAGTCAAGCACGTCTTTGGGGGTTATCGAGAAACCGAGAGAGAACGAAGAAAAGATGAGAGCGGTGGTTGTACTATTTTCCTGTAAGAGGTGGAGGCGGGTTGTCGTGCAATGGCGGGGATGATGTTAAATCCACTCTTGGTTGCGGGTAGCATGGGCATCGCCCTGGAGTTGTTGTCGTTCGGGTCTGTAGGTATATATCACAGATGCTATATGCTGCTAAAATTATGGTGCTACTGGCGATAGGTCAACCGACCATGGAGCACGGAACGTGACATGGGCAGGACAATAGAACAGCGCCTGGCCTTAAAGGAAATATGTAGTACCAAGGGCAACTGTAAAAGGAACATGCTCCCAGGCTACGATCCCCACTCGCTGTCTGAGTGTATATCTGAGCAGGATCGGATGCCAACCCATTTCCATCACTCAATTGAGACAGTCACGTGACGTCGAACTTTTCACAAATCACTTCCCACAGACGACTTTTCATCAATTCAATTTATGGTTATAGTAGTGTTTGGGGAACAACGCCACTACTTCCTACATACGATTTAATCAGTGCTAACAGTCGGGTCCCACGCACAGGGTTCATATACCCCGTCTATGTGCAGCGACTTCAAGTCGGCATCCGAGAGCTCGAAGTCGTAGAGGGCCGCGTTTTCTTCGATCCGCGAGGGGGTTACGGATTTGGGGAGGGGAACGAAGCCCTGATGTGGTAGAGGGCGAGATTAGTGCGTGTTCCGTCCGGGAGTGGATGGAAAAACAGGAATAAGCGTACCTTTTGCAGCGACCACCTCAGCAGGATCTGAGAAGTAGATTTGTTATACTTCTTCGCCAGGGGAAGCAGGAGAGGGTCTTCAGCCTTCGTGGCACGGATGATGGGGCAGTACGCCTACTTTCGTTAGCATCCGCCTCCTCACAATCTCTTCACACTAACTTACCTCGACAACCACCCCCCTCTCCTTACACCACTTCGCAATATCATCCCGCGGCAACCACGGATGCAACTCCACCTGATTCACGCTCAACACGCCCCCCGCCCCCTGCCCCTCCTTCCCATCCGTCTCCTTAATCCACCCCTCCAACTCCTCCAGATGGTGCACCCCATAATTACTCACCCCAATGCTCCGAATCTTCCCCGCCTTCACGCCCTCCACTAGCGCCCTCCACGCGCCGATCCGCGCCTCCTTGCCGCCGTACGGCGCGTGGATGAGGTACAGATCGATGTAATCGAGTCCCGTGACGGACAGGCTCTCGGCGATGTAGGCCTTGGCGGAGTCGTAGCCGAGGGCCTTCGGCGGGATCTTGGTCGTGAAGAAGACGGAGCTGCGGGGCAGGCCGGATTTCAGCAGCGCGGCGGCCGAGGGCGCTTCGTTGCGGTAGGCGACGGCCGAGTCGATGTGGCGGTAGCCGGTTTTCAGGGCGTGGGTGACGACGGATTCGGTTATGTCGGCCGGACTGGGGGGTGTGAGTTGGGGAGGTGGGGAGAGGGGAGGATGGGGAGTTTACGTTTGGTAGACCTGGAGGGGGGTTAGCTAGAGTTTAGAGGATGGTAAGGGTCACGTGATGGGGAGACTCAGGAATGACATGTATCGCCAGTGATTCGAGATTTTTAGTTTGAGTAAGGAGACGATGAAATGCAGATGGGAATAATGACGGAGTGATAAAATTGATACCGATGCAAGGGAGACCAGGTCCAGAGCTGTAGAAAGGTCCAGGTGGTTGCTGCTAGTATATTCAACTTACACCATATCCTAGAATCGGTATCTCGTAGCCTGAGTTCAGCTTGTAGCTAGAGTTGATATTCAGGGTCATGTTTGCGGTAGCTTGACTTTGGAATCGTCGAGTGGTTTGAAGAGGTTGAGGTTTCAAAGCGTCGGGGCGAAGGCAGGACGCGCGATTTATACCCCTCTGGATGTTGAGGGCAGAATGGAGATTACGGGGATATCGGAGGAATTTGGATTGGCTCATCGGAGAAGATGTTTACAATGCTGTGTGAAAGAGCTCAAGGTGTTGAGGGTGAGGTCGATTTATAAGGGTGGTCGGAGATAGCACCATTCTGAAGACTACGCAGCGAGGTCACTAGCGCGTACTAAGTACGAAGTAGGCATCCTGGCATTCCGTAGGACTGGGGCTTCATCCTTCCATGCCAGTTATTACGTTTTGACTGAACGGCGACCTCTAGCTGGGCCACCCTGACAGTGAGCGGCCAAAAATGAAGCCGATGCAGGGAGACATTCGTATCTTCGTTCTGTTGAAATCGGCCTACGTTTTGACGAACTACCTACCTGCCAACGGGGCAACTCCTGACAGCGGCATCAAGCGACCAAAAATGAATCCGAAGTCCGTAATTTCATCCTTTTCTTCGTGCTGTAGAATCAGCCTACGTTTTGACGAACTAGCTACCTGTTAATGGGGGTGCTCCTGACAGTGATGCCAAGCGGGCAGGAGTAAAGCCCGAGCAGTAGGATCTTCGCATACCTCTAAATCGGCTAGTGCTCACTATGTAAAGGCGAACGTAGTAGAGATCAGACTAGCTTTTGATAGCCGGGTATCTGACAACGGGGCTGCTCCTGACAGTGGTATTCAGCTTCTAAAGTAGCATTCGAGCAGTGCTCGTATCCGTATGGCTAAGCTTGTAGCTGCTCCAACGCTATTTCGAGGCTCCCGCATTAGAATTGGACCACTCTTCGACTGGCGGCTACCTGCTTGCTGAGCCACTCCTTGAAGTGGTGTTGGGCGAGCAAGAGAGAACCCTGAGCACGTCTATTTATTACTACCCAGTTTCTGAGACTCTGGACACGATGTCAATGTCAACATAGCGGGAATAAGACTGCCCTTTGACTAACTATCTATCTGCTAGCCAGGATCCTCCTTGCAGTGTTGTCGAATGAGCAAGAGAGAAATCCTACCAGCGTAATATTGAACTTAGTGGCTTTGTAGCCCCTAGACATGATATTAGGGTCCATACAACGATTATCAGACTACCTTTTGACTAATCAGCTACCTGACAATAGGGCTGCTCCTGACAGCGGTGTGTAGCTTTCAAAATGGCATTTAGGCGGTAGTATCCGTAGGTCTCTACTTTATATCAAACGGTTCTATGCAAATCGCTGGCTTCTCGATTCTCAGTTAGTGCTGGGGGCCTTCACAAGTATTCGTCATGTAGCAGCGCACTCACACTAAAGTTTCATTTCACGGCCTCATTCAAAAACCTCGATCCGCCACTAGTCTCCGAGCGATGCTCTAATCTCTAGTATCCCGTTCTTAACATCTCATTCTTAAGCTTGCCAGTACATTCAGGTGGGGGGTATGAAGGATATTCCTAATGCAGCAGCGCACTCAGTCTAACACCTCAATTCACAGCCTTTATCAAAATCTCAATCCAACCCTACTCTCCCAGCAATGCTTTAATTCACAGCATACTGCTCTTGATATCTTGTTCTTTAGCTTGCCAGTACGTCTAGGGAGGTCTCACGAGTATTCCCGATGTAGCAGCGCACTCAATCCAACGCCTCAACTCACGGCCTCTATCAAAATTTGATCCTAACACAACTCTCCAAGCGATGCTTCATTTCACAGCGCCCTGTCCTTTACATCCCGTCCTCCAGCTTATTGATACGTTCGGGAGGGTCTCACAAGTATTCCGGATATAGCAGCGCACCTGATCCAACGCTTCATATCACGTGTTTGGTCCCTCAACTCAATATCCCGCCTCCCGGAACCACATCTATAATTACAAGTTATGCCCTAAGTATTAGTTATGATGGCTAATATCAGTGCAACAATTACTATAAACACAACAATCTTCACTAGTTATAACGATCACCATTAGCTATAACAACCACCATAAGTCTCAACTTGCATAACAAGTCACTACGCTTTACGGCAAAGAATGGGCCCGTTGCGGCCACGCTTGGTATCTATATCGTACAAAACGGCACCCATAAAGGGGCCTAAACCCCCCTCTCTCGCCCCAAACACCCCCAAATCCCCATCCAACCACCATTCATCCCCCCAACGTCGTCAACCTGTCCCTACGCAGCGCCCACTCCCGGCCCCCCCTCATGCCGTCCGGCTTCGCCACGACGGCCTTTCCGACCATATTTGTCACTAGGACTCGTGTCGCCGCCGCCTCGCTCCGGTTCACGAAATCGTGAATAATGATGCCAATTACCGCGCGATACTCCGACGGTTCCAGCACCACCAGCTCCTCCAGCTGCAGCTCGTTGGCCATGTTGTCCATAACATTGCCCAAATCTTGCACGGTGCACTGCTCGAGTCGCACGGCACGCAGCGTGGCGGCGTGGAGGGCCGTGAAGGCCTTAAAATTGTCGTCTAGTGTGCAGAAGCGTGCCAGCTTGAGGGTCTCTAGGTGCTGGAAGTGGATGATCTGGAAAGAGGAGAGCCAGCGGTCGAAGACGCGGTTGGTGGTGAGGGGGCGGCCCCAGGTGCCGTGCTCGGAGGGGAAGGTGAGGTCAAGAGTCGTGAGGTTTGGGACGAAAGAGAGGAACGTTGGGAGGTGGTTTGTGGGCGGCTTCGTGCTTGAATAGAGGAACTTATGCAGCTCGAAGGACAAGCTGAGGGTATCGAGGCGGCGGAGGGATGGTGTGAGGTACTCGCTGCGGACCTTGAGTGCATCGATGCCCAGAGCGCCGGCCGTTGTCTTGAGTTCTTTGAGGTGGATGCCCGATTCGGCGACGGCGGCAAGGACCATATTCAGCAGACTCTTGTGGGCGTAGTACTCGTACAGGTCGGGGATCTTGCTCTGCGCTTCGTCTAGGACCTTCTGTGCCGCGATTCCAGGCCAAATGGGGTGCGGATCTTGCTTGAAGTTGGTGTCATCGCGGTTGGCCAAGGGCGAGTAGATCCCAATCGACTCCACCTTGCTGAGCTTCCGGAGGCTATCAAGCAGGAGATCGTACATGGCGCCGTTGTTGAGATCGCGTTCCTAGTCGGTAAACATCTTCTTGTAGGCGTTCAGCGTAGGACGGCGACGATCTTTCCCTCCCTTGGTTGCGGCTTCGTCGACCCAGTCACTAAGAGCATCTACCCCTTCGTTGTGCAGCTTCTCCGTGCCGAAGGTGAGACTCCGGATATTCTCCGCTGCAGCGTTGTTCTCGGAAATGCTCTTGAGGCGTTCGAGACTGCAACCAACGAGGCGAAAGGGGCCGGGAGTAACGCGGTATCCGAAAGCGCGCCAGGCGGCCGCCTCAAGGCTGCGGCAGACTAGGCGGACATTTTGAATGTCGCGGAGGTCTTCGAGATTGTCGTTGATAAGCTCCAGGATTTCGACAGGCTGTTTGGAAAGGGTGGCGAGCGGATTGTTGAGGCAGTACTTGATACCGGAACGCGTATATGGCGCCATGGCTGCTGCTCAAATTGAATGTTGCGTTGAGTGGATGAGTTTTGTGTGGTGTTGTGGAGCTTGTGTTGTGTTGTGTTTTGGGGTCCCTCTCGTGTTGTGGGGCTCGTGACGAAGTGACGGTGAAGCTGTCAAGGAGAGATAGACGGCCCGGGCCCCTTGAACGACATGTGGCTGTCCACGAAATTGTGGCTGGAGGGCAAATAGAAGTTAGTGGATCGGGATAGACTGGAGCAGAGATTCTTATAGATACGCACTCTCTTTAGGACGTGTACACTTGCCTAGCACCGTTTGACGTCCTCTGCCACGTTATCAAGAACTGTAAAACGACGTTTTTGACGAGCCTAATAGCTCTCTAGGCCACCTCATACGGGATTAAAGTAGACTGCCACTTCAAATGTAACGGAGCCACAGATCCTCGCAGTCCACGAATCGTGCGAAGTGCTATCCTAAGATTTTACCATTAATCTCCAGGGAAATACTTGTGTACGCTAGCTTAGCACTGCTTGAGGTCCTCGCGATCGACTACCTATCAGGTCTGTCGCATCCTATATAGTCGTATAGCATGGCATAGAGATCAGCGGGTTGTGTACACTTGCCTAGCGCCGCTTGGGGTTCTCCGGTATGTTATCAAAATCGTAAAATGTCAGTTTTGACGAGCCTGATAACTTTCCGGGCCACCTCAGACGGTGTTATGTTCGACTGCCACTTTACGTTTCAACAGAGCTTCACCGCCGCCCACTCACCCTCGCGATCGCTCCCAACAGATTAGATGCCGTTCACGGGAACTGTCTCGCCTTCACTTCCTCCAGACCCCTCTCTCCGCTCCGTCACCAATCACATCCTGCGCCGCAGCAGTCAACACCCATCCTCCCTCAACAACACCTCTTCTCCTCCAGATCCTCTTCTTTCCTAATTCCGAGCCTCATATCTACGTCTCTCTACCGCCGTACTCGCCTCTCGCTACCGTTATCCGGCGCGCCCTTTACTCTCTTTCCTATCCTTCGTTATCCACTTCAACACCTCGACGCCGCCATCATGAACAGTCAGCCAGTCGCAGAGCTCACCTGGGCCGAGATGATTGGAGACTACCTCTGGAGTGCCGTAGGACCAAAGACACCTCCACAACCTCCGCTGGTCATGCCGCAGCCACAGCCATAGGTACAGCAGTGGGAGGGGAATCCACTGGGCCAATGTTCATTTTGAAGGGCTAGATAAAGAAGGCTTACACCCCTGGAAATGTGACGGTTCTAGGGAGTGAACGTAAAGGTTGTAACGTCGTAAATTAGCCCTTGGTCATGTGACTAGCCCTATCGCAGGTCTTTTTTGTACGTGCAGTTTTGAAGGATGTTAGTATGCGTTATGGGGGACTAGATACAGATGAAAGACATCCCTGGGAGCAGGAGGATTTGAGAATGTAAATGTAAAGGTTATGACTTTGTAATCCAGGCCTCGATCAAATACGCTCAGGTAATTCATACGGTGCGTGCTGACCATGGCCTAATTCGTACCGCGGTTGTCCTCCTACATGTATGCCCGGGTCTTGAGCGGCGCTGCCGTACACCGTGTGAGGCGTCTTTGACCAAGGGGGATGATAGCCACTAGTATGTTGTTGATTGTTTTGGTTGTTCCCTCTCTTCCCGATTGCCCAAGCCAGGTACATGATAGCTGCGATTAGGGCTACACCAAGGACGGCACCGACGGCGATCCCTGCTTTTGCTCCGGTAGATAAGCCAGAGTCATGTGGTGGGGAGTTTGTGGCAGTAGGGGACGATGTCGAGCTTGAAATGGTCGTGATGGTAGCAGTGTTGGCAGTAGGAGTAGAAGTAGAGGGCGAGCTGCTTAAGCTTGAGCTTGAGCTTGAGCTTGAGCTTGAGCTTGATGAAGATGTGGACGTGATCTAGTCGAGCCATGTTAGCCACGCCCTGCTAGTAGGCGGAGAAATCTTCAGCTGAAAATTCCGCAACTCACTAGGTCAGAAGCCTGGAATCTGATCTGAACGCTATATGCATTGGCTCCTCCTCCCGGCCCCTCTTGATTGACCTGAGTTCCTGTAGCCACCACAAGTGTATGCAGGTATGACGAAGACGCCGCAGAGGTACATCCTAGGGTTGATTCCCAGGACCAAGCGAAAGGTGCAGTCCCGCACGAGTATCCTCTACCAGTCGATGACCACATTAGCCATGAGTTCTGTCACGAATGCGTAGGGTCGAAAGTAGATTTGTGAACTAACGTGGGGCAGCAAGTCACGATGGTCTCAGAGTCCTCGCTCGAGCTGCAAGCCGTCGAGTATCCCTCTGGGCAATATAGCCCCGGGGAGTAATAGAATGAAGATGTTGGTGTGTACGAAGTCGGAAGACAGGAGCTGTAGCCTGTCCCACCGAGCAGCTCATAACTTCCTATCCACCAAGTGTCCTGTGTACATTGCGACGGCGGTTCGAAGGTTGTAGTAAGCGGTATCGACATGGTGATTGAAAGACGAAAAAGAGACACAGAGAATGGAGGAAGGAAGGAGGGAAGGAAGGAAGGAAATTAGAACGAGAAGGCTGTGCTGGATACTAATAAGCTATAATCTCAGCCTTGTCGTAGTAAATACGCCTGAACGCGCCGCTCTTATCGCCAGCCTCGGCCTTCCCCACCACTCCGGAATTTCCTCCCCAAAGTCAGCCACACGCTAGCAGTGTTGAGACACGATGGCTGCTTTTTTCGATGATAATTCAGCCCTCCATGTACCTCATGGTTAGCTTAAACAAATAACAGGAGGGGTTATCAGCCACAAAGTTGCCCGCGCGCTCGGGCGTTGGGGGCCAAATCAATAACCTAGTATGAATTTCCAATATTGAGTCAAGAAATATATATCTATTCATCTACTGTGTTGTTTGTAAGCAATTGCAGATTGAATGAAAGCCCCAGCGGGTTCTAGATCGACTTACACGGTGTGTTGCTACTCGCATTCCACCGCGGGGGACTCCCATATAGATCCTGGTAGCATTGATTCATATCTGGACAGCTTCGAGTTTATTAGCAAGAATCGTCTCGACGCTCAAGGAAGAAGACCCACTGTACAGGCTCTCTGCCAAAAATGATATGCCAAAGATACTCAAATATTCTTCCAGACGTGGCATCGTTCAGGGGCGTATCCAAAAGCCATTTTAGATACCTCTGATACTCATCTTTCGACCTCTTTAACACTTGATCTCTCGAGACGGAAAATTGTGCGCAACAAGGCGACGCAATGATCTTCGGGACGTCGAAGTTTCCAAATAGTTCGTTCCACGCGCTCACCATGGCGCGTTCCTGAGGCCTCAGGTCAGACAGCTCGTCAGCTGGTCGAAACGGTTGAATCTCAGCGGGACAACCTGGACTCTGAATGCAACGTAGATTCACGTAACCGGTCTGGTGGACAAAATCGATATTGAGAGCTTTGACGGATGCGACGTTATCAAAGTTGAGGTCTCCGACATCGCGTGATCCGTGATCGTGATTTCGATGACTGTGTAAGAACACCATTATCGATGGGAGCTGGGAATAGTTGTCTACAATGTAAGTAAGATAGGCATTTGCTTCACGGCCTTTATTTGTGCTCGTGTGAAGTTCCGCCTCCTGGTCATTGACCGTGTAAACGGCAGTTTTCCAGCTGCAGTGACCACCTTGGTCAGAACTTGTTGAAGAAGAGAGGTAGTCGGGGAGCTTACTCGGGGAAGTTTTCATGGACCCAATTAGTATCTTCCCATTTCAATCTAGCCACTACCAGAATCTTGTCAAGACTGGTTGCTGCAGAGGTCTTTTGAGTGATTGCCGAAAGTGTTTTGGTCGCGGAGATTTCAGGGCTGGTTTTCCTTCTCAGTATTCAACGCGCTTGAATATGAAGGAGAGGGCAGCCGATCTCCTTATTGCGTACCTAAGATTTATTGTAGAGTTTTCCGACGGCTTTCCAAAGACATCCTCAGCATAATGCGTTACGTTCACGAGTGACAGCACGCTGTCCGCGGTGAGAGGCCGAAAGCTGAACTGAATGACAAGGAAAAAGAAGATGAGCGCAAGAGATAAAGCAAACACTTTTCGACGGAGCGTAATCATGTTACTGAAAAGATGAAGATCCTAAGGATTGGTATCTTTGATGGACCACGAGGAAGAGTTGGTGAGCGAGCTTGCATTCAGCGCAGCCTCAAGGAGGTCCGCTGGAAATCACGTGACGCTCTACGACTTCCTCAATGTGCTCAAATACACACTGATCTAGCAATATAGGAGTGAAATTGAGTCCCGTCCGCATTCAGGTGCCTGTATATTTGTCTTGTGCTGCCCTCGATGAAGTCACATGATTCCACTGAATCGTAGATCGGACCGCGATTCGGCGGCGTGAAAAACAGAGCGTCGTTGATTTTCGACGAATCCCCCGCTTCTTCATCCTACACGACCCTGATACGTTCTCCAATCGTATCGACAGCCCTGTAAACCGGTAGTATCCGTTGCATCCCGGAGATCTCTTGATCTGCAGACAGCATTCTCCGGCCCTTGGCAGTCCCCGAAGTCAAACACCGCGAGACTATCTTCTACGCCCTAGCAAAAGACTTTCACTGAGTCAGCCCTTTGAGCACCACGACACGCACATATAAGTGCTACGAAAGTACGGCCGACAAGCCATGAAGCCGAGTAGCAGAGAATCATTGGATCAAGGTATTCACCAGAAACAAATGCATGACACCGGTGTTCGTCCATCGCAGAGCCTGTGCCACCATTTCTCAGCAAGTCATAGTCCGCCTGCAGTGCAACGCTCGAATTGCCTTGAGAAATGGACGTGTAGGCCTCTGCGGTGGCGTTCTGAGAAATACGGTTCGAACTTGATCTGGATAACTCCAGCGAAAGGATTTATGCATTGTTTCCACTTCCTCTTTTGGGAGTGACACGCTAATTTCAACAGGTCAACATGGAGGCAGAACCAATCCCGCAGGCGTCTGACATCGCCGAGAAGTCTCATCGAATGGTTCTCGCCCCAGACGAGGGCCTACCTACCCACGATGAACCGCAACACCCTCAAACCTTCCCCGGGAAAGCGAAGAAAGCGCTGAAGACATTTGAACGACAGCTAGTGGCGTATAATCTGGAAGCCCGTGGTATACAGCGCGTGGAAGCAGACGAGCGCCATGATTTGCGCTCCCTAGGATACACGCAGATATCTGTACTGTGGTTCTCAATAAACCTCGCCGCCAACAATATCACGTTAGGCATGTTGGGCCCAGCGGTGTTCGAGCTTGGATTTCTAGATTCTGCCATGTGTGCTGTCTTTGGCATGCTCTTGGGATGCCTTCCCACTGCGTATACCGCCACATTCGGACCACGGAGCGGAAATAGGACAATGATATTCGCGCGTTATACAATGGGCTGGTGGCCGTCAAAGTTGGTGGTGATCCTCAACTTGATCGTATTGCTGGGGTATGCTATGATTGACGCGGTAGTTGCCGGCCAGATTCTGTCCGCCGTTTCTACTACAGACATGTCCGTTGTCGTAGGCATCATAGTTGTTGCTGTCATCACCTGGGGCGTCACGACTTTTGGATACCAGATCTTCCATTACTACGAACGATATGCGTGGTTGCCGCAACTGATCGTATTTTGTATTCTTGCTGGCGTAGCAGGGCCAGGATTTGACACCTCGTCCGTTTCTGTGGGTGATCCACGGACTCTCGCTGGGAACCGGTTGTCGTTCTTTGGTATCAATCTCTCCGCCGCAATTACCTATGCAGGTGGCGCCGCCGACTACTTCGTTTACTATCCTGAAGAAACCCCTGGATGGAAGATTTTCTCCATGACCATGATCGGTCTCACGACGAGCTTCACCTTCGCTTTCCTCCTCGGGATCGGGCTTGCGTCTGGAATGGCAAGCAGCGCTGCCTGGTCTACTTCATACGGAGTATCTCAAGGCGCGCTGATTGTCGAAGGCTTCCGTCCTTTAGGCAGCTTTGGCAGCTTCTGTGGTGTTGTGGTCGCATTGGGCCTCGTCGCGAACATGATCCCGCCAGTGTACTCTTCCGGTGTTGATTTCCAAATCCTGGGCCGCTACCTTGCACGCGTCCCTCGCGCTATCTGGAACACTATTGGCGTCGTCATCTTCACGGTCTGCGCGCTTGCCGGACGGGATCACCTTGCGGAGATCTTTACGAACTTCCTGGCGCTCATGGGTTATTGGGTGTCTATCTGGATTGCCATCACGCTCGAGGAGCATCTCATTTTCCGGCGCACACGAGGGTTCAATTGGACTGTCTGGAACCAACAGAAGAAGCTCCCCCATGGTATCGCTGCGCTGATCGCGTTTCTGATCGGCTGGGCTGGGGCAATTTTATGCATGGCGCAAGTGTGGTATATTGGACCAATCGCGAAGCTCGTAGGCGATTACGGAGCTGATGTGAGTGATCTTTTCTTCATTTCGTTCGAGATTAGTCGGCGCTGATGTCGCTGTAGATGGGCAACTATGTTGGTTTCGCATGGGCCGCCCTGGTGTTCCCGCCATTACGATACTGGGAGTTGAAGAAGTTTGGTCGTTGATGAGGCGTTGGGCTGCATGGCCATATCATTGGTGACTAGATCAACTCAACTTGGTCAATGAGGGTAAATCAATCACGTTGCCATTGTTTTCTGAGTGTAGGGGCCGTCGTCTGAGGTTTACCGGCCCGTTTAGAGGTCCCGTTTAAAATCGATGATGTCCATTCCGTCAGGATATTTTGGGGCTCTCCGAGCAGTAGCAAGCGACTCTACGCAGGTTTATGTTCGTAGTATATATTATGTTCAGGTCGGTATAGGAGTCTAAGTATGCTTCATGTCTTGATTATATCAGTGATACCTCAACTTCTGAACGTGGTCAAATTCTTTATCGAGTGGGCGCCTCTTGTAAAGGCTAGAGCTTAGCTGCTTCCTTTACCATATATTCATGACTGTCTGACTATCTCCAATTCATTTCCTACCCTCGCAGATTACAGCATAAACCTCCAGAGATTTGCCGCCTAGCTATAGGAGTCACTTGGTAGAGTTCTCATTCCACCCCAGCGTAGCCTAAAAATCGTCCGACCTTCCAAGTTGTGTCGGCGCTGGCTTGTCTCTTTCTACTTTCGTTGTGCGCCAAAGTCCATTTAAGGTCGCGTGCGGGAAGAAGATCTACGTGTAGTGGTATCTATCTAGATCAGGTTTGTTAGTGCCATGCTGCTAGGTCTACTTCAGGATTCCATATTTACATTTCAGACGTGGAAAGTAGAGCCTAAGTTGCATGCGTTTCCTCATATGGGGTCTATATTGACACCGTGTCAATGCAAGCTTGATAGCGGGTAGTCGATGTCAATTCTCAAGCTTGTATAGGCAGATATGATCGGCGTGGCAAGTATGATGGCCAGTGAACATTCAACATGGGGTGAGCTAGATTATCCTAGATTCCAAACCATCATTGGACCTTGTGAGGAAACCTATTTGACCGCATTTTGCGTCGGCCGTTGTGCCTTCACGCACGCAACAACGTGTTCAAAGCTTGTTCACCACCGTTCTAATCTATGTCTCACCGCGTTCTGCCAGTTGCTTCTCTTCAATACGAAGCTTGAGGACTTCAAAAAGCTGCGCAAGCTTGCAGATGAGGCCAGAAAGAAGCCTCTTTTGTCGCGACATTAGCCGGCCCCGTGGGACCACAGAGCAAGGAAGCCCACCGCAAAGCAGTCTTCTAGAGTGCTAGGATTAGCGTCTATCGGAGGAGAACCCTCTAGTCACTACCATAATCTAGAAGTCGAGGGGCTGTTATTCACTGGCTCCACATGAAGCCGCCGCCCGTCTGCTCATAATCAGCTCCTCGGACTAAATAACTCCTCCGCTTTCTTTATAAAACGCTGGTGGAGAAGTGTCTGCTCGACCGCAACTACAAAACTCACACTATCAACCAAGCCAGTCGCAGGCTCCTCGTCACTTCGCTCAACCACAACCCCAGCAAATCACGCAGACAATGTCTACCAACAATGCGCGTCGCTGGGACTGGGACGTCCTGGAACAGAACATTGACTCCATGTACCAGGAGTGCAAGCATACTGTCCAGCGTCTGAAGGACCAGAATCTCAACGACAATGACTACCGCAACGAGAACGAGAACTTGCGCCAACAGATCCGCGATCTCCAGGCGATGATCGACGTGAAGGATAGCGGGTTAGTTCTCTTTTCATCCTTTTCCTTCCACATTAACTAACCCATACCGCAGTATCGCCGAAGCCCATGGCCGCATCGAGATGCTCGAAGCCGACAACCTTGATCTGAACCAACGCATCAAAGCTATCGAAGAGACCTTCATCCCCCACAGCGGTGGCGTCAGTGCTGGCACCAAGCGTCCCCGTGTCTCCTCTCCTGAGTCCACCGGTCCGCTCTACGACACCCCCTCCTACAGCGCCCCATTCCCACCCCAGCAGCGTCACATCTTCCGCACCCCCTACAGCGACGCCGCACCCACCACCCCCTCCCAACCTACCTACCAACCCAACTACCGTCGCGCCCAGTCCTATGCCCCGGACCTTCGCCCGGCCTCCTTCACCAACGGCCCCGGTAACACCCCCTACACCCTCGCCTACGCCCGCCCCCACGGCAACCCGAGCATTAAAGACGACGACGGCTATGCCAGCGACAACGGCGGCTACCGCAGCGACGGCTCCGACGAGCCCGCCACCCGCGTCAACATGCACAATAACAGCACGGCCGCACCACGCCCCAAGCCGCGCTACCAGCGCTTCGGCAAGGTCGTGTGCCACAACTGCTGGAAGCACCGCTACGCGTGCCATACGCGGCGCGGCGAGGTCAGCTGCGACTGGTGCAAGGAGACGAAGACGTGGTGCACGCGCGAGGTGTGCGCGCAGTGGCAGCGCGAGGGTAGGTGCTCCAAGGGCGTGAAGTGCCACGGCGTGCATGATAATACGCGCGGGTATAATCTGGGGAAGGAGCAGTTGCAGGGGGCGTATAGGGGACCGCGCTAAGAGGGGGGGGGGTTCTTTGGGGGGTTTGTGGTAGTCTGAGAGGTCGTAAATGGCTACGGCTTGTCGTTTGTTGGCTATCCCATGGGCGATGGGTGTTGGTTTCTTTATGTGGTTTGACGGAGATGAAGGGATGGACTTGAGAAGGGGCTGAGAATTAGAGCTTGGAGATTTTTGCTTTGCTATGTGAATAGCACTGTTTGAAAGGCTTCGATAGCTCTGCCCTATTCTGGTATTGATGTAAACCCCATTGGGTCTATATCAGAGTCATGCTGCGATTCAAATTAAAATAGCTATGCTTAGAACTCTCTTTTGCCACATGCACGTGACTGCATGAGGTCCTCCCATAGGACCAGAATCCTTGAACATGAATGTCATTTCCAGCATACCTAGATTAGCTCTATTCTCGCTAGCCATATTTTCACCACATATCCGCAAGAACTTCCCTCACCCTCATCCCCCAGCAACATAAAAACTACTAACATCCCACCCATTCACGGGACTAAACTCCTGAAACGCCGTCGTCCCATGCAGAACCTCATACCTCTTGTACTCCCCACAGCCCCAATCCTGGTTCCTACACTTCTTCCCCAGCTTCCCCGCAACCCTCAATCCAGCCTCTTGACCCTCGAAATACGCCCCCTGCAAGAACCCAAAATACTCCGCGCTGCAGTGCTCGCCCGCGAAATACAGCCGCTCAACATTCGACCGTAGATTCTGGTGGCCCTCGAGCGTCGTCCCGACCGGCCAATTGGAGTAGGATCCGTGTGCCCACGGCATCTCCGTCCACCGGGGGTAGAAGAAATCGATGGGCTCTGGGATGTCCTTGTCGGGAAACATCTCGCGCAGCACGGCGAGAGTTTCTGCTTTGGTGATCTCATCGTCTTGCGCTTCAATGCGGTAGGACTCGCGCTCGACGACGGTGGCGAAGATGATGTTGGAGCCGGGGAGGAAGCCTTCTGTACTCAAGGATTGCCAGACGGGGTAGTAGCCGCGGGTGGTAGGGGATGCGTAGAGGAAGAATTGCGTGTCTGGGTCCCAGAATGTCTCGTTGAATTGGAGGAAGACTTTCGTGTAGGTGCCGATCTGGAACTCGGCGATGGCAGTCTGTTTCCAGTCGGGCAGCTCGGGTGTGAAGGAGACCTCGTCGTTTTGGAGGACGCCGAGCGAGAAGGTGCAGATGGCATAGGCGGCAGAGATGCAGGAGCCACCTTGTAGGGCGATGGTGACACCATTTTTGTCGTATGCGATATCCGTGACGATGGTGTTGAGGAGAAGGCGTGGGTCGTTTGGCTTCAGGAAGGTCGAGGCTATGCCTTTGACTAGTGTATTGAAGCCGCGCTGATCGATGACGAAGTTGTTGTCATCGGAGAATTGGTAAAAGGTTGCGTTGTTTCCTGTAACTCCGAATACGAGAGAGCTCTGCTCGGGCGGGTATGCGGTTTCCCAGTCCCAGGACCACCACTCAGCAGCTTGCGCGGCCATGTTCTTCTTTGGCTTGAAGCCCTTCAATCCAAGCCCAGCACGCATACTTGTGTCTTGCAGATTGTCCTTGAGGATCACTCCAGCGTATTGCTCAACCTCAGCATAAGCAGTATCGTAATCATCGATCAAGTTGGCGTAGTCCGTGTACCCGGTCTCGTTGTACGTGAGAATCGATGAATAATTCGAATACTCGTCTGCGACGTTATACTTCTTTGCCTGCTTTCAATTAGCCGCTAATTCAAAGAAGTCGAATATTTCAGAAAGCACTCCTCACCATAGTCCAGATTGGGTTCTCGGGGCCTCCTTTGGTTCCAAGTCCTTGAACCCAATTTGCACCAAGCTCAACAACATAAGGGCTTCCATCATCCTTCTTTCCAAAGTCCGTATGTCTCATTCGGCCGCCAATTTCCCCATTGTATTCCACGATGAGGAAGTCGGTGATGGACTGATTGGCTAGAGCTTGCTAATACAGCATTAGCGCTCCATCAGCCCAATTTGATCTCAGAAATACTTACAGCAGCTGTGATACCGGCCATTCCGCCGCCTCTAAAGTAGAGCACCAACATCAGCCAACTGTCTAAAGGAAGGCCTGAGCAAGCGGAAAGGGAGAGAAGTCAACTCACAATACCGCGACTGTCGTCCTCCTGCATTTCTTCTGATCCTCCCGAGGTTCAAAAGCAACAGCCTGCGCATTCTCCGCCCATAAAAGCCCCACAGCCACCGCGCCCAGTATTCGCGAAGCAGCCGTCCTCATGTCAGAGGTATGAAGGTCGAGATGGAGAGGAAGAGATAGTAGTCTCTATCCCAAGAATTCCCATCACCTTAAGTACAGAAGCATCCCACACCGTACCTTCCCTGCTCCCTGCCACTCTCGGAAAACATAAACAAACAAAGCCGCGAGCACTGCAAAGATCTGCTGTGACACCCACCGCACCCCCGCCTCAGCATGCAATTGCTCGTTCGGTGCAAGGCGAAGGCCGTCCCAAGGGTCCGCGAGATTGGTAGCTCGTGATAAGCGTTAGCGGCCGTGCCGGTTATCTGGTGAAGGTGACGGGTGGCCGGGTGGGGCGTCCGGGGGAGCTTCTCGTGGTTTCTGACTAGGCAGGATGAGGAAGCTGCAAAATGGTTTGCGCACGGCCAGTCCAAGAGGCCTGTGATATGGCGGCTGAGACGTGGGATGCAGCGGATGGACTTGCTGGATTGGGTTTTGGAGTTGACGGTGAGGGGATACGCGACCAAGAAGAAAAGAGTGGAAATGGCTTTGTATGCAAGAGATGACAATTCGTAGGTAGTACTGCGTTGCCAGCTCGGCCTTATCATCGGCGAAAGGTCGCGAATGACAGTTCAGATGTATCACAAATGGCTGCTTACCGACCCAATGGGTTGACAATTGATAGGTAAAAACATGTGTTTCCTCTATGCTTGAGAGGCATAGTAGCCCGATTGAACACTGTATCCCTTGGATTTTTAAAGCTGTTAAAGATAACGCGCTTTTTTCATATACATAGTCGAACGTTCTAGGTCTGACCAGAAAAGGACAACTGCTCATTGCCCACAACACCATTCAGGACATTCCCAATACCATCAACCTGCCCATTTCCACCAGGCTGGATCACGTTGGAAAACGCATCAGCCATAACTTGGACCCCGCTGACAAAGTCTTTCCCATCAAATTCGCAATGTCCGCCCTGTGGAGAGTTATCCACGGTCTGTAATGCATTAATCTGAGCGGTCGACAGGCCCCCTGAAGTCGCTAAGTTCTCGTACGCCACAATTGCGCTCGGTATAGCCGGCTGTAGCAAAGCCAACTCATCCTGAGTACTCTGGAAATGAATCGTCGTACTCGATATAACAGCATCGGCGTCCACAAAGTTAACCTGCAGCTCCAGCCCTCCACAGTTCAACAGCACCCCTGTGCCCTGGAAGTTCGTCATCTGTGCCGGTATGAAGAAGCCACTGAGTAGCAGCGAGCCGCCCGAAACCCCGGTAAAGAAGACCTGTGACTTGTTGTATGCAACCACGTTCGGTAGCTCGTTCAAGATCAAGTCATTCACAGCTTGCGAGTGCGCGGCGCCGTCAGTTCGATTGAGCCCACTGCCACCTCCCCAGAAGAGGTTTGGGTCTGGGGCTAGCATGACGACACCCATGAGGTTTGCTTGTACGGCTTGGTTTGGAAAGTCGAAGAAAGATTGGCCGCCGTCGCCGTGTAGGAGGATATTGATGCCCATTGCTCCCGCGGTACCGGGGTCTGCCGTACCGCCGTCAACGCCGGAGGTAGTTGTGAATTGGTCTGCAGGAGCGCTGACTTTGAAGCGCATGTCTAGGCCACTAGAAGATGTTGTAAGCTCCTCATCCATGTTCGCGACAAGGTCATCATCGTGGATCTGGGAATCTTACTTAACTGTCACGGTCTGATCGAGGATCGTGGACCCATCAGTCGCAGTTGACACACCGCCTTTGATCTGTGCGGTTTGCTGCTGAGCCGTCGGCGCTTGAGTGATACCTCCGCCTGTGACTGAGCTCACCTTCTTCCGCCGTGGAGACGCTGCAGCCTGAGTATCCAAGAGACCTAGCACAAGAACGAGAATAGAGAAGTGAGATTGAATAAGCATAATTGCATAAGAGAGAACGGTCCGGCCGCTAAAAGAACTGAGAAGAAGCAAATGATGAAGTCAATAGTTTTGAAGGATCTAGAAAAATGAAATCAACGAACGAGGAAATAGTGCCTTATTCATAATACGCGCCCAGACTCGTATTCTACTACGAAGCCCAAACCTGCCAAGTTGGCCAAGCAAACCCACCCAGCTGCCTCAAAGACATTCTCACGAGAATCAACTCCATATAGCAATGCACAGTGGTGCGGTTGGCTGACGTGGTTTCAACTCTAGGCTGGTGGAGCAGGTGAGGTTTGAGAGGGACTTTCAGGGCTGTTCGGATGTTTCGGCGGCAAGTCACATGATCAAGGTCTGACTTGCATCGTGCGAACCTTTACATTCACACTTTTACGTCCTTCACCCTCCAGGGCTGTCTTCAATTGTTATCTCACTCTCTAGAAAGTGGCGAGGTTGAAAAGATGATTCATGTTTTCGGGTGAGAAGGATGAGATAATCCAGTGTTGGAGAGTTCTAGGATGAGGTCTCGTTTATGCACCAGTTACTACACAGATAGCAGTCCCATTTGTACCGTCGCCATTACTTCTATCGTTGGTGCCCTCACTCTCGCTTCTACGGAATCTCCAGAAAACATCCACACGAATTCAAAACACAGCCATTGGTATTCATCCACCACGATTAGTCCTTAGAAGACAAAAGCCACTGAGGATAGCGTAAGGTCTTGCATGAAAGGCGTCAAGAATTAGGTTTCAGCTATACTATACAAGTCGATGATACCATCATTGACGACCGCAAGGTCTCCTAACCCTCCCTAAACCGTATGCTTCTCACAAATTCTTAATCTCAAACTTCGTCCTTAAATACTCCCCATATCTCCCAAAAACAATTGGCAAAGGCACCAACGCAACCGCAATAAACCCAAGCAAGCTATTTCCCCAACCAATTCCTAGCGCATTATACATCGGTGTGCCCGCCAACGGCAGCACAGCGCCCACCACGCTCCTCAGCATCGTATTCGCAGCCAACGCGCTCGCCGCATACAACGCAAAGCTATCAACGATGTACGTAAGCGTACACATGAAGATGAGCAGCATGCCAGCCCCGACGAACACGGTGCCGAGGATGGGCATGATCCAGTGGATGTGCTGATCGGCGCTCCATCCGTACCAAAAGAGACCGATAGGAAGGGAGATAGCGCCGTAAATCATAGGCGGGAGACGGTATTCTGGCTTTACTGATCCTGACTCGGCCTTGGCGCGCTCCTTCATGAGTTTGTCGCTGAAGTGTGAGAAAACGAAGAGGGAGAGGAGGCTGCCGATGCCCATTCCAAGGTAGGCAAGGCCGGTCATGCCGGTATTCCAGCCGTAGACTTTTTCGTACATGGGTGTGATGGTGGTGAAAAGGAGGTAAATGTAGCCGTACACGATGGCCAAGTATACAGAGAATGCTATAACAACGGGGGAGAGGAAGAGGATTTTTAGGGGCCGTAGGAGGGCGTGGCGGATGAGGTCGGTGGTGGTGCGGCCTGTGTCGAGGCGAGAGCGGAGTTCGAGGTTTCCGGTAGAGGCGCGGAGAGCGCGCGTTTTGCGTTGGAGAATTACGGGGGCGTAGGTCTCTTTCATTGTGACGAAGCAGACGAGGGTCGACGTGCCGCTCTTTGATAAGTGTTAGTACTCCTTCGTTAGATTGCGCATATACACCAAAGCATGAAAACGTACCACTATAGTAATCAGCCAGAACACCCATCTCCAACCCTTTGCTTGGGCTAGAAATCCACCCCCAATCGGGCCAATGATGGGACCCAAAAGCGGGCCCAATCCAAATACACCAGCCACCTTTCCTCTTTGCTCTGCAGGAACGAGATCGTGAATGGAGCCACCGCCATTCGTAAGAGGACAGCTTCCGAAGATGCCGCAAAGTAATCGGAACGCAATAAGCATTCCCGTACTATTCGCCTTCGCGCACCCAACGGTACATAAGACGAAGCAAACGTTGCAGATGTGGTAGACCGGGACGCGACCGAAGACTTCAGACAGCGGCGCGATGACAAGAGGACCGAGAGCGAATCCAAGGACGTAGCATGATACAACGAAAGCGGCGAGACTCGATGATTTGATGTCGAACTCAAGCATTATCTCCGGGATTGCGGGTGCGCATATGGATGAGGCTAGTGGCGTGAGAAGTGTGATAAAACTTATGAGAATAACGTTGGCGGCTTTCCTCCTCGTACTCCAATTCCTGGGGTTTGCGGGGTCGTTTGGTCCATCCCACCAAACTGTGTTTTTCTCGAACTCCAGCTTTTCTTCTTCTGAATTGAAAGTGGTGGAAGTAGCCGCTGCTTCCAAGTCTTTTGGAATGTCTCGAACATGAGAAGGCAATGACGCTGCGTGACTTGACCGCGAGAACGTTTTCTGGAGCGTACTCGATAGCTTTTTCCGTTGTCCTGCTTCCTTTTCGCTGGAAGCTGTGTTTTGGCGCGAAAGCGAATGACGCCTACTTATCGACCGCTGTAGCTGAAGTTCTCCCTCTGCATTGAGTATAAAGCCATCATTAGTGGCAATATCGGCGTCATGGCCTTCTGTAACGGCTTCTTGCCGGAGCTCGTGCTCAGAGAGCCCCGTTGGGGAGTGAACAATACTAGCCCGACGAACTGGAGGGGTTTGATGTGACATGCGAATTTGCTAAGTTGATGAAGGGCTTTTAGCAGTAGTGTGAGTTTGTGCTCAGAATGAAGATGCTTAATGCAATGCGAAGGCAACAGCAGTGTCCTGCTTTATACGAGCCCGGTTGAGGATGCCGAGGTCACCTGCGTATCGATTCGTCACATCGGAAGTCGGAGGCCGGAAGAACTGTGCAATCGGCCGACTCTTTTTAAAAAATATACCATACATATTATCACGTTTGGAGGAGGTGGTACTGCGATGGTTGTGGCAGCGTGATATGCATTGGTGGAATAGGGTGACATATCGTGATCACGGAAGCGAGAACTTGCCGAGCATCCCTGAAGACTCACACGCCACCTCGTGGCTTAGAAAACCCCACTCGAACAACATAGCAAACATTAGAAAAAGTTGGTAGTCTGAATGTTGTGCGTGAGAGCCTTATGTCAGGTCGGTTTTTTCTGAGTAAGGTGAGGTAACCCAAACATCGGTGACAAAGCGCTCCAAGCAAATTCTCGGAGGGTAGATCAGAAGCAGCTACTGGGTAAAATAGATCCTCTGACGAAACGTGATTGGAGTAGACACTGTCTTCTAATTTGCGATGTCGAGTATGCTTCATCCAGTGTTGAGATTAGTGCTCTATCCTGGGGTATCTCACAAACCTTTCCAAGCCCCGCAGATCTTCTGCAACACCATGCCGGTCTACAGCCAATGATACGAGGATAACGCCTAGACGGCCCGTCTTGCCGAAGTGTGCAACTTTTCCCAGAAACCCCACGACTACGTGGACACCTACTGTGGCTGAGGCTCTCTCTTCAACACGTGACTAACGTCCTCGTCTAGTCCATATTTGCTCATGTCAAGCCTCAACTCACCAACCACCTCAAACCCAACATCTTGGAACATCTTCAAAGACGCCGGCCTTGCGTTGACGTACATAGCAGCACCGTGCTTGTTGGAAATCTCGTTGCAGTGGCGGCAAAGCCTCGTACCGAGGCCGCGGCGCTGGAAATCAGGGTGAACAAAGGTGCCATGGCGCGCTGTAATCATTAGTAGAAGCCTTAATGTGGTGTCGGAGTGCGTTAATTTACTGAAGTGCTTTTCTTGGTCAGAACCACACTCGATCTGGTACTCTGTTTGCCTGTAGCAATAGAACTTGGCAAGGTATGGATCAAGTCCCGCAATCAAGGGCAGCTCTTGTGCTTTCAACATCTCACCCCACTCCTTCTTTTGGTCTTCGGTCTTAGGCGTAGGCCAGGAAAGTTGCGTGTAGCCGACGAGCTTTCTAGATCGTGACATTCTTAGTCCCTTTTCGATATCTCCAAGAGGAACTGATTACAATACCCCGTGGCTAACTGCACAATCTTGAAGCTCTTCTCGAGCGGCGCGTCCTTGTCAAAGCGGGGAGCAACGTGGTACGCCCACAGCTTGTATTCGTCCCTGGCGCTCATATCTCGCATCATCGGCTTGTACAGCTTGTCGTTTGCGTGGGCAAGAACTGCCAAGTTGCAGATGTCTTCGACGTCGTCGGCCGTGGCTCCGAGGAGGGCGAAGTCTTCCGGGGGTTCTTCTACCTGCGCGGTGGGCTCTGCCATGATGACAAGTAGCGTAGATTGTAAGATGATGGTAGGTGGAGGGTGTGTTTGAAGTTTTGCGGAGGTATCTGGCAAGGTGAAGGCTACATTGTCTCGCTTGCTCGACGCGACAAGCTTCTCCGTGATGGAAGCACCCAGAGTGGTGAATATGATCATGTTGAGCCATTATTACTTAGCCTGAACACGTGCGAACTGTGATTGCAGTCTAGCAGCTTCTCAGATAAACCACAATTGACGGCACACTTTCTTATTATGATCCAAACCTGGCGATTCTCGAAAACTATCCGTGCTGTAAATCAATATTCTTTCTACTTCAGTCCATTGTTTTCATGGTACAGGCCTAAAAGAATTGAGATATGGCAGAGGTACTAGAATCAGAACGGGCGCAAGGACAAATTGAAAGGGCGTTTAGCCTTTGTTGATTCCCATGATATATGTAGAAAAGAGTTTCTGACGCAAGGAATATATGCCTACAATCTTCGTCCTGTCTCCTGATTATAATCTACGCACTCACCTCGATGAGATAGCGCCTCGACTGCTTGTGATACTCTGCATGGCTACCTGTGTACATTGCGCTACATGACAACGCCCTAAACCTATACTTCGCGCTTCTAGAGACGCCTATATTATATAAAACACAGGGGTGATAGAGCATTGTTCACGTTCTGATGGTAGAGTTTTCGCATAGTGCTCTACCAGAATAATACCATTAACTTGATAACGACACCTCTAGATTATTAATGTGGGAAAGGGGAGAAGCACTGGTAAGCAATGTGAAATAATCAAGTTCCCATCGCGAACAGAATATTCAATGATGCTCATCATATCATGGATCGAAAACGAGTGAGGTGATACACTCCGCAAACCCTTGTCACGCGGCCCGTCTCTCGCTCCGACAAGCGAGAATCTCTCAACTCTCAACACCAAATCGCCAGCGCAAATCCACGACGCCGACAACACCTCTCGAAGCCCCATTCCACCCCTGCCACTCCCCCAGGACCGCTTCTACAACCGCAATCATGCCAGGTGTCACCGTCAAAGATGTCGAGGTAAGGAATTCGCGCCCCATCATCGAAGCAGTGAAATCCTAACACCCTCCACTAGGCCGGAAAGTTCATCACCGCCTACGCCGCTTTCCTGAAGCGACAGGGAAAGCTCCAAATGTATGTCTCAAATCCCACAGCATTCTATTTTCCAGTCGGGGTGGTATACTGACTTTCATCCGCAGCCCAGGTTCGTAACCACGCGTGCAAAAGGGCCAGCCTGAATCCCGTAACTGGGGGATACCATGCGCACCGCTCGCTGACACGACTATCTACAGGCTGGGTGGACACCGTCAAGACCTCGCACTCCAAGGAGCTGCCGCCGCGTTCGTCTCCTCCCTCTCTTGTCCCCGTTTTGCTAGTTAGGCTAATTTGTGTGTGCAGAGGACATTGATTGGTTCTACATTCGCGCTGCCTCCGTCGCCCGCCACGTCTACATGCGCAAGACCGTTGGTGTTGGCCGTCTACGGAAAGCTCACGGGTTCGTACATCCCAAGTTGTCTGCAATGCTATTCTAACTAACGATATTTCTGTAGCTCCACCAAGAACCGTGGATCCCGCCCCTCCCACCACGTCGATGCCTCCGGCTCCGTCGACCGCAAGGTCATGCAGGCGCTCGAGAAGATCGGTGTGCTCGAGCAGGACGAGGACAAGGGTGGCCGTCGCATCACCCAGAGCGGACAGCGGGATTTGGACCGAATCGCGATGACGACTCTCGAGGCCGAGGAGGAGGACGAGGATGACGAGTAAATGCTGCAAGGGAACTCGGGGCATATTCTATTCGGTTTCTGAAGTAGCATGATCATCATGGGACGGAGTTGGGGTTGATGAGACTCTGAGATCTGCGCCAAGGCGCTGGTGTACCTATAAATCAAAAAGCCCGGCGTGCCACGGTCAATTGGATGCTTGCATATTAATGTTCTTGCGCGTGAGATGGTGTTTGATAGCTTGGTTGGACTACCAATAAGGGGAAGCCAGATGGGAACTTCGCGACATCGATTCATGTTACACCTAGCCTACACTCTGTCAAAATCATCGCCAATACTGCTAAACCCCTATCTCAACTCAACCCCACTCGCTCATCTCCTCTCCTCCTCATCCCTCCATTCATCCCCCCCACTGACCCCGCTGACCCCACTCGCATGCAAATCCTCCTCCCTATCACTATCCTCCTCAAACGCATCCGGATCCGCCAACGGCTGCGCCTCGGGATCCGTACTCTTCGGCTTCGGCCTCTGCCTCTCCCCCTCCAACACCCCTTCATCCGCACTCACACTAATTCCCCTCCTCCCCCACGACTTCGCCGCCGCCGGCGCCGCCCCATGCCCCCCCACCTGCCCATCGCGCGGCCCATCCGCGCCCTCCTCCTCATCAAACCCATCCCCACTCTTCCGCCCCACGAGCCGCCTTATCAACCACCCCTGGTCCAAGTCCTCGCTATCCACGACGCCGCCATGCCGCAGCTTAACCCGCTGGCGCGTCAGATACACCCACGCAAAATCGACCATCAGCGCGGTTTGCAGGGTGCCGAACGTCCACGACGTGGGGTCGGGCGTGCGGTAGTCGCCCGTGGCGCCGCGCACGATCCAGTTCAGCACGTAGAAGAGGCGGTAGGCGCCGAGCGTCACGAGGTAGAAGGAGTCGAGCACGGTCGGGACGGTGGTTTGGCGCAGGAGGAGTAGTTGGGGGATGACGGCGGTGGCTTCGAGGATTTCGGAGAAGGTCCAGGTGAGCTGGCGATGCGTTAATTCTAGAAGGTGGGAGGGGAGGAGAGGGTGGGGTATGGGGTATGGGGAGAGTGTATGTGGCGGGATGGCGGACCTTGATGAACCAGTTCGTCCCCAGGATGAATTTGTGGAAGATCCCGAACCAGATGGGAGCGAGGATGAGGGCGCCGAGGAAGCAATAGACGCCGAATTTCCACGCCTTTTCTCGTTCGCGCGTCCGGGCGTAGACGCGCGTCATGAGGAAGATGATGTAGAGCGAGGAGAGGGTGTAGAAGATCTTGAGGGTGAAGTTCCAGACATGGTTCCAGTCGCCTGTGGCGGGGACGTGGAAGATGTCGAGGTATCTGGTGAGGAAGACGGTGGCGTAGAGGACTTGCGTGATGAGTGAGACGCCTGGGAGACACGGGGATTGCGTTAGCTGGCTGTAGCTGTGATGGTAAGGGATGAGCAGAAGGGGCGTTCCTACCTTCAGCGCTGCTGTTGGAGTGAATCGCCCATATTAACACAAGCTTCGACGTCGTGTGGGACACGTCGCCGAGGATGTGGAAGACGTTGAAGTGGAACCCTGGCATGGTGGGCGAGGTAGTGCCTGGGGGTGATGCTATTACCGTTCCCCAGGGAAGAAAGCTGTACGAACGGCGGTTCTAGCTGTGATGCGTAGCGAGCATGGGATCTCGCTCATGCGCGGGCGGGTTTGGAGACGGGGTTGTGGTATTGAGGGGGTATGGGGATGCCTATTGATAGCTGTCGAGGAGGCTGAGCTTTGGAGTGGAGTCGTGGCCTTGCTGCGACAAGCGCTAGCCAATCAGGAGCGTGCGGGACGACCATGATCGTGATGTTTAAATGAGGGTCTGTATATAGTACTTTTGCGCAGTTGCTCAGTAGCGATGGGGAGGGAACGGAATCCTTCAGTATATTTGGAGAGTAAAGCGGAGATGGGATTGATCTGCGGTCTTGAATTAGTTACATTGTAGTTGAATTTTTAGATGCTGCTAGAGGACCCCAGACAGCGGTTCTCTGTATGCACTATCCTAAAAGAGTATGCTTGAATTATAGATCTGGTCGCATGTGTAAATAATGGGTAACATGAATCTACGAATAGTTTTCAATCATTTTGCGAGGGTACCGAGCACGTAGAACCACCCTCGGAAGCTACCCTAGGTCACTATCATGTAGCATATATGAAGATGGAATCCAGCTCGATTCTCTACTCAAATGCAAACTCGTCGTTATCTGTGAGTGGAATTTCATTCCTGCTGGGCCACTGCTCCATACTCACGGAGACCCCCAACTGCTTGAACATGCTCGCAATCTCATCACAATGGTGGAGCGATTTCGGCCGTCCGCACAAACGCAATACTTTCATGTGTGGAAAGCGGTACGCTTCCCCTGCAAATGCTGAAAGTGTGTACAAAAGCTTCCGATTAGCCTCAGTGAGGGAAGAGGGTGCGATGCCCGCGTCGTCACAATAACCCCAGACAAACTGCAGTTCCAACTGTTCTAAGTTGGGAGGCAAAGCGTTCGCTAGGGACAGCTCCGGGTCCGAGTCGCTGCCAAAGCGTCCGACGATTGTGTCTAGAGCAACGCGCAATATCTTCAGTCGTAGGAATAAGCGGAGGTCGCGTAGTGCAGGGTACTTGTCTGGTATAAGCTTAAAGGCCGGAAGAGATGGGATGACTAGCTTTTCTAGGGACGTGGAGTGATTCAAAAGAGCAGAAGAAATGACTTGGAAACGTCGATCTGTTACTAGGTTTCGTACGGTTTTCCCCGGTTCTGTGTACCACTCAAAGGTCTTGAGAGCCTTGCAAGAGAGAACAATTGCCTCGGTAATCTCCACGCTGAGGTTGCATTCGTTCAAGATAAGCGTATCAATGTTCGACGTATATGGTTGCCAGTCTTCCTGGTGAATGTACATATCTGACGCCTTGTTCACTTCAAGCCTAGAGAGCGCGGGGAAGAGGAAGAAGGGCGCCAGGCCGCGTGCGCCTTCTCGAGATCCCGCTTGTAGTGTAAGCTCTTTGAGACGTGGAAGTCCTTGGAATTTGAAGTCCGGGTCTGGGTCTTTGTACGCAGCCGTCAGCAATTGAATGAACCAGAAGTCGTTGGAGCATATGAAGTGGTGCAAATTAGCGTTCTCGACGTTTGGGGTTATGAAGAATAACAGGGCAACCGCTGCGTGATCAACACCCAAGGAAAGGGCAATCTCCCAATAGTTTGACTGTTTGTGAAAGCGAAAATCGGCGGCCTTGGTTGCCATTGCTGAGCGGATAGAGCGAACTTCTTTGGGATCCATCCTGTTAATACTCCACTTGTCAGAGTCGTATTCTCTCCAGGCAAGAATCTCAATATCTTTGACGAGGAGGGCTAGCTTTGGGCGTTCGATAAGAGTTCTGATGAAGTAACACAGAGGCTTGTGTATGCGTACATTATGCTGAAACGTATGGTAGAGGTATGGCTCCACGAGTTGGTGTAGGCGATGGCTAACGGATGACAAGCTATGCAGAGTGCCGGTCTCGGTACTGGGAATGGACTCTACAACCCTTAGCAGCAACTCAGCAGGCAGATGATCGAAGGTTGCGCCATTTTCGCGTCCTGAAGAGGCAGGTTGCTCATGCTGAGGGAGTTCCATGCTCACGGCCAGCTCACGGTCAGAGTTCAGCGTCTTCAGTGTAGGCGTGGATCTATCTAGATGTTGGCTGAAGCGATGACTGCCCTTCTAAATCTGAAACCGCGTATCTGGATGTCATGCAAGGTGTGGAATAGTGATCGAGGGCGGTCCGTTAGGCAGAAGAGGCTAGCACAGGCTGTTGCAGCTGACCCATAACATTTGCACAGTCCTCGCGATCGTGAGACGTGCCTTCAACGACGAGGGAACGGTATGGCCGGATCGGGAGGATCGTGGGTTTCAGTAGCCTGTCGGGGGCTGCTGGACGTCGCTGGGAATCGTTGAGGTGGGGGTTGAGGAGCTGAAGGATTTACCCCAAGATAAGGCAGCGCGAGAAATGCAACGACCCGAACCGCACGGATGCAGCGGAAGTCGCTCTGCTGGGGTACAGTCTCGAGTGTATGGACCGTTGTGCTAGAGCAGCGAGGCAGAGTTGTCGTAGAAACGCAGGAAACGGACCGATGCGAAGAGATGCGTTGAGGGCTGAGGCCACAGCGAAGGCTGAGCCAACCAGATGTTTCACGGGACCATCCCCAGACGCCGGGCACAGCTCTATGAGCACAGCAGTAGTAGCCCTGGCGATATACCAGAAATCGATGCGAAAGACGCAGAGTATTTGTCAAGCTGCCTTTTTGCGAGAGCAGTGACATTCGCTAATGCAGGCAGCAATCTTGAAGATTGGAGGGCTGAATATTTGTCATGTTTTCATCAGCTGGACATGTTCAGCTTTGAGAAAGAGGGCAGGGTACGATATCCTACTGTAGCGCATTTTGAGGCATTCGCATTGAGCCTGGTAGCTAATATGCGGCCTATCTTCTTTGGGGCATCCACCTTAGAAGTTGGAAACATCCCGCCAGCTATTCCGAGAACAGTAGATGCAGAGCCTGTAGCTGTGCTGGCTGATGGCGTTCTAAGTGCGAGCGACTATATTAAGTCCACGTCAGTGAAGAATCCTTCACTACTATACGAACTGCAGCCCTGCCAGGTCCCGATCAAAGCTCTCTTCCAGCCTCGTTCGTTCCATCCCTTCAGCCAGCTAGAGCACCGTTTCAGGGCATGGTGTTTGCCCTAATCTGCCCATCGGCTACAGACCGGCATTTAAATCGCTATCAGACATCACAGCCTTACAGACCCTGCACAGCTCGAATCGTATGGGTTGGTTTCTCCACACTTTCAGTCCCGAGCTTCAGTCTACATGCGTTAGAATTCCAGAGTCAGATAGGGCTCGTTTCACCAGCAGGGCCTGTGCTTCCTTCTAGAAGGCCGCTAGAAGATTGCAATGACTCGGGGTCTGTAGCTCGAGGATCTCTCCACATCATACCCATGGGCCTGCCTGTCTCATCGCGCTCTCGGACCTCGTGGCAACAATGAAAAACCGCATGGTCAGATCCAGGGACGAAAAGTGCTGACGACGGACGTCAGCGACACGATTCGACGCGACGGACGCTGCTCAGCGGCCCTCGATCCGGCTACCAGCGCGACCCAACCCACGCAACGGCGATCTACATAGCAGCAGGGTTGCGGGTCCAGCGGGGTGGCGCTGTGCACAGCATGCAGAGACCGTCCGACGGCCTGTCCACGGCGGTTTGGCAAGCCGGAGTGGGGAGAAACGCTGGCGACGAATACGGTTCATTTTGTAGCCGCCCACCCCCTTCCTCCCCAAGGGAGCCCGTTCTGCGAGCTGCATAGCCGCTTGGGTCGCTATTTGCTCTCATTCTCTACGCGAATGTGAACTAATTTGCGGCGGTGTGCGCGAATACACCACAGAAGGAAACGGGCCTTCATGGTGCCAGGTGGTCTGATACATGGATCGCGCACACGACAGCCAAGGCGCTGCAGGCTGAGAGCTGCTGGCTGGGGAGCTGCCTTATTGGGTCAACGGTCTCCCAGCTTGCTTCCCTGCCTGCCTCGATGCCTTTATTTCGCATGGCCAATATGTGAGGGCAGAGGATGAAGCTTCCCGCATGACCGCGAGCCTGGTTCAGGGGAGCAATTGGAACACACATGTCCGGAAGATGCCCTGCCCGACGCCTTCATGGTGACGCACTGGCCTCTTGTATGCTGTCTGTCAACGCTGCGGCACAGCGGGAATCGACTCAGCGTTCGTCATGTCCAGGTGCGGTCCCTGCCGGCTGACAACCGCGCTTGGCAGTGATATCCTAGATGCTGGAGCCGAGTCGGCACGATCTGGCGCTCGGATTCGGGACGCTCCCTTCGCCGGTGATCGGCCACACAGATGCAGCCATTGGAGTTGATATTGCACATGATTCGGCCTATTCGAACCCTCCGAACATTTTACTCCCGGAACCAGCTGAGAACGACGCAGCAGACGGGTCGTAGAGTACCAGACAGGAACGCGTGGCTCTCGTATGTTCTTCATCTGTCAAAACTCATTTCCCATAATTGGAATTCTATTCCTCGCACCGAGAAACGCTTCTCCACACTGAGCAATATGCCGCCACGGTCGAGTCACGCCCGTGCTCGAGGGAACTGTCACCAGATACCGATGAGATACGACTGGCGAGCGGTAGCATTGCATGCCACCCAGTGCTTGCGGGAATTGCAGTAGCCGTTGAAACAGTCGCAAGCGGTACCGTGTCCCTGCCCACTCTGCCTTTCTTCTGCACCCCTCCAAAGCGAGCGGCATGATAGCGTGAACATGCCAGTCCGCTTTGGGAAGAGCATGTGGTGCTCGGGCCAGCGGTGGTAGCTGGTTTAGCCGTTCAGGGCTCGCGCACGTCACTGAAACAATAGTGACGGCCCGCTCAGCAAGCCGTATCGAGCGACTCCTGGCTAGCAGCCCGTTGCTGACCCGCAGTAGGATCCACGATGGCTGTCAGTGCTTCGGCTCGAGGGCGCAGACACCAGACGGTGAGGGCGAGCGGGCAGCAGGTCAATTTGCGGTCATTAGTTCTAAATATGGCCAATTAACGGACAGTGCCACACTGCAAGTGGGTCTATTAGGCGCCTATACTATTGAAGTTTCAGCCCCCCGAGCCGCGTTGGGGCCATTTTGCTGTAATTACGCGCCCGCTCGTGATGGCTCACTGTTCACTGCGCTGTGGGCCAACCACACCCTCTCCCTCGCGGACGACACGCGAAAATCTCCGCACCGTCAACGACGCCCGAGGTCGAGGGGCAGCCCCAGGCCATTCACGGCCCGCGTGGAACGCCTCCTGCAAGACTTCCTGCACGCCAGGGGGGTCCAAGCCTTCAGTGCGAAGGATCGCAATCCCTGCCGCCCAAGAGCCACCACGGCACCCAGGCACGGACAGCAGTTCATCACAATTCACTCTCCCTGCAGCCGGAAAGGCGCTGGCCTTCTCGCCATCTGGAGGAGCTGCCAGAGCACCGGCGCGGCCGCCGCTGGGACGCACAGGACGCCCCTATGACTCTGGCGGGCGCGCGCCGGTCGAGGGCAGCGGCCTGCGATGCGGTCGCCAACTGCGCGTAGAAGGCTCCCAGAGTCTCCCGCCGGCACGAATCGTCATGCCACGCTCCGCGGGCTCATCCAAGGGCATTCCCAAGGGCATGTCCCTGGCGGCGTTGGAGCACAGCGATTGGGCCGGGCAGTACCGCGTTTTGCCCAGCAGCAACGAGGCTCAAGCTTCCCGGGGCCTTGGGGGACGGAAGGGGAGGGCTGGCGCTAAGGTGCATGGTAAGGTGCATGGCATGGCTCGAGCAGGCCCACGGGCTTGCTGCGCTGCTCTAATTCCGTGGACCGGGGAGCGATAGAGTTGTCGCACTAACGGGCAGTGGCTGCGTCCCCAGGGTGGATATGCCATCGCGGTGATAAATAACTAGAGCTTCGCCAGCTGCATATCCAAGCCCTCGCGCAGCGCAGCCCTGCGCCTGTATCTATTTCAAATATCTCTTTCCTGTCTACTTCCATCAGCTCTGCATATTCTCTTCGCTCCAGCATGCCCTGCTGTTGACCAGTCCTTTTTCTTATATCGACCTCTGGTAGCACTGATGTCCGCCGTCGTCGACTGTGCTGTGCCCCCGCAGACCAAAGCGTGGCCTTTTGCTTCTCTACCCCACCAGGACTTCACTGTCTTCCCGCCCTCTCCCCCGCTGGAGATGCCCGAGACGGTTCCGCTGTACATGTCCGACTCCGCTATGCCAGCTCAAGCCTCCGACATGAATACTGGCCTGCCAAGCTCCAGCTGGTATGGGCCCAGCGTCGCCGCCCCAGACGGCTCGAACGAGGTCCGCACTGTAGTTCCTCTTCCTCTTTTATTTCTATCCAGCTGACATTCTCATAGCAGTCTGGTTATGGGCAGTATGGATACGACCAGCCATATGTGACACCCCACACGTCCTCACTGACGTCGTATTCGCCCCCCACGGACTTTCCCAAGATTGAAACTTCAGTCTCCTACCCCAAGGCCTCTTCGCTGACGGCCTTCTCCCCCGTTTCTGATGCCCCGCCCCAGGAGTACTCGCGCAGCGGGCAGTTTGGGCCCGCGCTGCGAGCCACAGACCCACCGTACATGTATGGCTTTGTTCATATGGATTCGATGCTTCCTGCACGGCCGCGCAGCAGCCCCAGTACTTTCAGCCCCACCAATACCCCAGGGAATCAGATAGAATATTCCTGGACTGTGAACCCGCTCGGCATCTCAAACTCAGGCTCACTTGATTCCTACTACTCTAGCACCTGCTATCCTCCTGTGAGGGACCACATTCCTCGAAGCAGTGAAACTCCTGCTCGTGAGATTGCTGCACCCCAACCACGACGGATGTATCCCCCCATCGCTCCTCATCCAATTGGCATGACCAGCCACAGCCAGCGGAAACGAACCCGGGACGATGAAGAGTCTCCGGACGTCTCTAAGCGGCGGAAGAGGTCGGAGTCGACCGCTACTATGTCTATAGACCTAGGCGAGGAAGACAAGCTTCTAGTTCAACTGAAGGACGAGGAAAACATGCCTTGGAAAGACATCGCCGCCAAATTCCAGTCTGAACTTGGAAAGACATATCAAATCCCTGCGCTGCAAATGCGCCTGAAACGGCTGCGCGAGCGCATGCGTGTTTGGAGTGAAGCCGACCTGCGAGCTCTCCGTCTGGCCCACGAGTACTGGGTACAGAGCAAGTTCGAGATCATCAGCCAAAAGGTATGTGTCCAAAGCTGCTTCGTCAAACTTCGGTGACTGACGGTCTTAGATGGCCGACTTTGGTGCATCAGAACGATGGTCAGCACGGCAATGTGCACGCAAATGGGGTGAAATAGACCCTGGCCCAACTCCATACACCACTTTCGATCACTCAACACCCTCCTACGCCAACTACACAATGAGTCCTGTGGCAGTCGATGCACCTCCTTTCCTGCCATACCTGCAAATCCCGCCTTGATGGGCGCCACAAGCATACTATAGAATCCTACGGAGGTTTCAGGTTGCTTTCCACTAGGGTGAGGGCGGTTTACATTCTTCAGTCTGATCATGACGATCATGACTTCCTCTATGCGTTCAAGAAGCGCTTTATGTTTCGTTCTCATATTCATTCGCTACTTTGAAATTTCTGCATTCTCAGCTCCGTAGGCAGACTCGGCGAAGCCTGGCAAGTTTTGATCTACGCTTTTTTGGACGCTGAAAGCGCGATGCAGCGTTTAGTTCCGCGTAACGTTTGTCGTTTCTTGCTTTCCACATGTTCATACCATCATCTCTCGGCTTTATTTGTGCCACTTCAATTCATGACCTCATCTTTTTTCTGACTTACTCTTCTTCTTTATCATGTAGATATTTGCCCCCTCACCAGGGTTAACCGGTTGATGATGGCCTCGAGGCACAGCTGTGCGGAACACTGTGTGGCGCTGTACGAAAGAACACAAATGCAACTCAACGATTGTGCTATATTACTTGCTACCTGTCTGCGTGATTCACTTCGTTTGATCCATGATAGTTTCATCACACTAAGATTGTGTCTCAAACGACCGTTCAAGGTCGACATCTATTGGGTATACAGGGCCCAGCTGAGCATCACTTATTGCTCCAAGCCTATCATAGGCCCTATCAGAGATATGTTGGCGCTAGAATCTCTGCATTGTGGCTTGCTAGATAATTGACGACCTGTCCTCGCCGCAATGCTAGCGCTCTGTTGAGCCGCCGTAGGCCGCTCAAGGCGTAGATCTTCCTACCACTCTTCTCTCCCGTAAAACGAAAAGTCTGAAGATCCCGGTTGATTGGAAACACCCTCCGAAGCCAGGATAATCAACGAAAGGACCACGTAGGTAACAACCGCCAGGCAAACATCATCTCAATGCCAACGGAGACACTTATCTCGCGCCACGTCGTCGCATACCATTTTCAAAAGTAGCAAAGAATCTGTCATCAAGACTAACACCTCGTCTCCCTTGACTGCAAACCAACCCAAAGACCAGGACCCCACCGCACTTCCAGCAAAAGCCTGTAGATAGCGCCATGAATAGCATCACCGACCAATCCTCCTACGACCCTGAAATCTGTTCTATAGAGAAACACAAAATAACTACTAGCTACACTCCTCTACTCGACCTGCGTGAAACTAAAACCATGCACCCCATCCGATTCTGCATCCTCTGGCCCGTCCGTCTGACCAACACCGAATCCTCCCTTCGCCCCTCTCCATCCGCCCCCAAGTTCCTATCCGCCGCGGCCCGCACCATCCAAATATACGTACCCACCACTCAGCTACTACTACGGCACTCCCGTGGCACACCAATGTAAGCTCCGAGGGCAGCAACACAACGCGAGAACGCGAAGTGAGGCGTGTGTGCGGCACAGCAGCCAAACCTTCTTCCCATTCGCCGTGCCGGGCTCCGAGCTGGCCTTCTCATCTCTTTATGAGCGCTGTGGTTTGCTCTGCAGACGCCTTGTGCTTTTGTATTCCTGGGTTCTTGTCCTATGCGCCGGTCGGGAGGGATGAGTGGTGCGACGGGATGAGCTGCTGAGCGCGTCTGCGTTTGCGAGGCGGGGTGGTCCGCTTGTCATACGGATGGTTGTTGCTCCTGTGCTGGGTGAGTAGCCGTCGTGGGGTTACTGGTTTGTTGTCTCATGTTCTATGCGGTGTTGATGGAGGAGGAGTGAGATGAGGTGGGTTGATCAGCGCTTCATGCTTCCTCAGCTTTGCTAACTTAGTTACACAGGTGCTAAGTCGGTGATACGACGGAAGCTCTTTTGCGCACGGCTGGAGTGCCAAGGAATTGGACTTCAGTGGGCTTGAAATGGTGGGAGTTGAGCTTTAGGAAGGTCAGTTGGACACGCATGCTTCTAGGCGTTGATGAGAAGTCTCCTACCTTTCCAAACTGCCTAGACGAGATAGGTTGCTAACCTTTATCACTTCAGAAACGTCCAACCCTACATATAAAGTAAGAAAGTCCATCGAAATCTAAACCGTCGCCGCCTCCAACAACAACCTCTATCCAACCTCTCCCGTCCTCAGTCCTCACACCGCTCCCGCACGGATACCACTACCACCCCGCGCCTTCCCTCCTCCCGCCCTCTTCGCATAAAACAGTCCTCCACAATCGCTTACCACACCCACAACCTCCAAAACCCGCCGCCAAAACCCACCATATCCCCATTTCAATCCACCCCAGCGCTCACCCCATCCCCTCACCGCATCCAAAACCGCACAAATATAGTCACATACCTAGGTCCCCACCGACTCGCCTATTTAGGAAAATGGCAGATTCGCGATCACTGACGTGAGCCGTCCCCGTTCGCGTAAATACCCGCGACCGACACAGCCACGATACGATCCCTGCAGCGGGCCGGGCAGGGGAGGGGGACCTCGAGTGGAACAGGCTGCGCCACGCGGGAGCGATGTGGGAACCGAGCGTTTTAGATTGCGGTCGCTATGTATATCTGGATGTATATCTGGAGAAGGTTGGCGCGGTAGTCGAGATTAGAGTTGTGGTTGAAACGGGGGTTGCGGCGCGAGGAAGGTTTAGGGGGGAGTGGCTGGAGGAGGCTTAGGTAGCGTGTGGGTTGGGTATGGATGGGTTGGTTCGTTTATTTTCTCCACGCTTCCTTGTGGTCGCTGTTGGAGGGATGATGGAGGTGCCGTGGAGTGCTATGGTGGTAAGACGTCGGTGATGTAACGTAATGCTTCTACCGAGGCTATTGGCTTTTCAAAGGGTAAATCTTCGTATCCTTCGGACTCTAGGAAAGCTGGCGAATGACTTCCATTTCAAATGTCAAGGCTGTTCTAACGCCGCAAGCCATATTCTAAGGGGACATCTATCCCATCTAACGCTCAATATACCTCTCAACGCTACGAGGAAAAGGTAGCAGATCGTCGCACCGTTCCAATCCCCGCCTCACCTTTAGCAAGAGAAGTCGCGTTCTTCTCAGGTACGTATTTCAAGTCCCGATACCGTGCGTCCCACATCTGCTCCCGGATCCAATCTCCCAGCTCCTCTTCGTCCGTCGGGATGTCCTTCTCCTGATTGAGGTCCTCCTTGACAGCGGCTTGTATCACAGCTTTGGCAATCTGTACGCTAATTTCGCGAACGTCGGTGACATCAGGGAGAAGTCCGGCGGTCGGGTCTTTGAGCGCGGGGGCGGTGGACGCGAGGGCTCGGACTGCGGCGACGAGGAGGGAGGGAGGCATGAGGCGTGTACGGGAAAGTACCGCTCCGAGGCCAATGCCAGGGAAGGTGACGGAGTTGTTGCACTCAGCTGGAAGCTTGTCAGTATGTTTGAGACTAGATCGTGTTTGGAGTAACAAGCCAACGTACCTATTTCATACTTCTTTCCCTTGTGCTCCACAGGCGGAAACGGGGATCCGGTCGCAACTAGAGCCTTACCATCCGTCCAATCGAAGAGGTCCTGAGGCTTCGCTTCGTGCAGTCTGGTTGGGTTGCTGAGTGGGAAAATAATTGGACGCTCAACATGCTTAGCCATCTCCTGAACGACTTCCTTGGTGAAGGCTCCGGGTTTCGTTGAAGTGCCGATCAGCACATGCGGCTTTACTTCTTTGATCACACTCAGTAGGTCTCCATGATCTTTGTTCTTCCAGTCGTCGTCTGCGCGGGCATATGGGTGTTGAGCCGGTGTGAGCTCGTCCTTCATGGATTGCAGCAGCAGACCAGGCTTGTCGACACACCTAATGACCAAGTTAGAAAACTGCAATATAGAAAGCGCAAGCTTCATTTTCATCCATACCATATCTGAAGACCTGCGTCCTCTTTCGACTTTCCCGTCTCTACCGCAATAGCGTCCATGATCTGATCCGCGATACCCGTACCAGCAGTCCCCGATCCAAACATCACAATCCTCACGTCGTCCCATTTCACATTGCTGATTTTGAGACTGGTCATGATGCCTGCTAGCGTTACACATCCGGTTCCTTGGACATCGTCATTGAAGCAGGCGATCTGAGGGGTGTACTTGTCTAGGATGCGCCGTGCGTTGTGCAGACCAAAGTCTTCCTAGTAACAGTCAGTGCGGTCCTCACCCTTCCAGGGTTCAACCTACGAAGTGGATGTAAGCCTTGGGATAGCGTTTGCGGGCTGCTTCGACGAATGCGCTGACGAATGAATCGTACTTCTCTCCCGTAACTCGTCGTTGGTGTAGTCCGAGGTATAGGTCGTCATCCAGCAGCTCCTGGTTCTAAGTTTTGTTAGCCAGTACAACATTTTCACGCAATCTACGACCTACATTCGTTCCACAGTCCAGCACCACCGGCAGCGTTCGAGCAGGGTGTATACCCGCGCAGAGAGTGTAGAGCACCAGCTTTGCAATGCTAATGAGGATAGCTCCGACGCCTTGATCGCCAATACCGAGTATCTGCTCCCCATCACTGACGACAATGATATCGATGTCCTCCGGGTTCCCCCACTGGTTCAGGTTGTCCTCAACTCGGTCGGCATCTTCAATGTTCAAGAAGCACCCTTCAGGTCTGCGGAACAACCTCGAATAGTTCTGTATGGCGTCCCCTTCAGTCGGCGTGTAGATGATAGAAAACATCTCCTTGAGGTGGTCTTGGATAAGCTTGTAGTATAGCACCTCGTTCTGCTCCTGCATGCTCGTCATGAACGTGTTCTTCGCCAAATCGCTCGGACGACTGCTGTATTGCTCGTATGCGCGTTGAACCTGCTCGTGGAGTGACTGGATGTGTGGGGGAAGAAGGCCATGGAGCTTAAATGTCTTGCGCTCTTCTTTGGTGAAGGCGGAGCCTTTGTTGAAGTATGGAGTCCGGAGTAAGGCAGAACCCTATCGCGCGGGATCAGCATCAGCTTTGGAGGTGACGGCAGAGGACTTTACCGTCAATGCACAGTCTTGCGGACCAGAAGTTGAGAGTGGGAGATGGCCGTACTTCCTACTCTTGACCTCTTTCGGATGAGTAGCCATGCTTCGAGATAGCCGGGGAGTAGTGGGGTGTTTGAGAAGGCGATTCGACCTGAATTTAATCGCTCGCATGGATTGACACGTGTCTCATGAGGCTATAGGACGTGGAAATATCCTAAAGCTTTGAGTGAGAGAGTACAGGATCAGCCCATAAATAAGTCTGTTGATTTAAGAGGGCGCGATAACCGGTATGAATGCATCATGACGTCGTAGGTGCGCGTCTCTGAACTCGTGGAAGCGTCTGATATTTGGAGTGTTGAGTTGACTACGAAGTAGATGTTACTCACAGCTTGGATTCGCTATGAAGCGCTAGAACGCTCTATATATGCAATGTATACAGCGCCAAGGTGCAACGCTGATATTTGCAGACGGAAGCTCGTGCGATGAGGGGTTGATTAGCGCGATTCATGCCGCCCCTGGACGAGGTGTGGGTTCGTGTCATGCAAAAAACGAGGCTGGAAGACCCCGCATCAGACACCTCCTCCCCACCACCACAAGGATTCTCGACTACGGAAGAACGAAGAGAGATTGCCCATGCTATTCAGCAAAGAGCCAGACGACCTGCATCTCATCTGAGAGACCTGTTCGCTCCCTCTGCTGGAGCGCCCACCTCTTCGAAAATGCCACTTGAGACACCTTGAAACAACAAGGACTCGAAAAAGACAGCGACTCAATGGCTGTCACGCAGTTGATTTTTCCTCAGGACTTGCTTCCTTGGTATTTCGGGGTCAGTGGAGTTCTAAATCCATCCATCTCCATGATTATTCTGGTTTCGTAGTGCGGTTAAGCGGTTCCCCGGAAAGATTTACCTAGTAATTCCGACCCCAACATGAGCCCTCTGTCAGACGCATCTGACGTGTGCTAGCTTGTGGACTTCATATATAAATACAGTATGCTTGCTCACTGTATCAGACGTATTCTCGGACTATCGAGCACCATCTTCCGTAAACCCTTACTCTCTTCAACTTCTCTATCATCGAAATGCCAGCCGACGACTCCGACCTCTTTGGAACGTATACGGCTGACCCCGTAATCGACTCCGAGAAATTCCTAATTGCAAACCGAGAACACAATGAAGTTTTCAACGACAACGGCTTCGTAGTGCGAGCGCGTGCCACAAACGGTGAAGACGTCCACCTGTGGATGTTCATCTACCAGCAAAAGGGCCCAGAAGTCATTGTAGATGGCAACATCACACAAACCCTTCTTGTGTCTGCCAAGTTCGGCGATGGAGAAGAGAAGGTGGTTCAGGACCGGCCGTACGTGAACAAGGGCCAGAACATCGATGACTACCTCCCCTATGGCAGCTTGCAGGTCACCGAAGCTCCCGACGAAACAACATGGGAGAATGGCGGACGGGTCTTCATCAACAAACCGCCAAATTGGTACGTTAAAGGCACCCACGCTGGTGTGACGGTCGATCTGCACTTCAAGCAGCGCGGGAAGGCTTTCTACCACTGCGGCAAGTTTGAGGATCTCACCACGGACGAGAAAGGCATCGCCGGCTACATTGTCCATGCCTACGTAACCGGCACTATCGAGTTTGCTGGAAAGAAGCTCGAGATTGCGGAGGGTCACGGCATCCACGAGCGGATCATCATGTACGGCGTTATCCCGCCACGAATCGACTACATGGGCGGCCGCGGGTCGCATTGGATGCACGGCTGGGGCAAAGGCTTCTCCTGGTACATTCTTAACAAGGCGCAGTCCCAGAGCGCTACCATGATGATCAACCTCGACAACAAGACGTACGGTGTACATGGAGAAGCTGCTACCATTGAGGAAATCGGACACTGGCTAGACCCCAAGACAAACCAGATCAACCCGTGCAAATGGAGAGTTCAGGGTAAGGTCGAGGCGGGAACATTCGTCGCCATTGTGACTGGGTATGGTCGTGCTTACTACAACTGGGTCCGAAGAGGTGGTGTGCTGCTTGTGCATCAGTGGGTCTGCGACTCCAAGGCAACATTCAGGCGGAACGATGGCACGGTCATTGAGGAGGATCAGGTTGCGAGTTGCGAGTATATGCGGACGTTGTACAACCAACCCAGAAACAATCTGGTGCCCGACGCGGTGAGGAACGCCGACGTCATAAAAACTATCTCGAAATAGCTTTGTATATAAGGGTCTTCTTTTAACAGGTATTAAGAGATCTAGACTTCTTCAATTGCAGTGTTCCCGCCTCATTGAAACCTCCTTGTAGCCTTCCAAGCCACTATATAGCCTTCAACCCAATCAAAATATCTCTCAGGCTCAATTTGAATTTCTTTTTCCTTCTCCATCTCCAGAACATCTCTTCATATTCCCCTCCATTCCTGCCAGATTTCTCGAGCCAAGAACAAAATGATGTCCACGCTGGGCCACTGAATCCCTCTTCAACAGAGGATACAACTGCAGCCGCTCATAGCTCTTTTTTTGGTCCGTATCTTCGAAAGGCTATGAGGAACGAGCGCGGGGAGGTTGGAAGGCAGTCGTATTTGTTAGGTATTACTCCGGGTATCAAGGTGTTCCTGATGAGAGATATGAAGGATCTGATACGAAAGTTCCAATTAACAATTCGGCTGATTTTTGAGTCATTCTGTTTTTGAGACAGTCACTTGTAGCTCCATGCCGGAATGTCAACCACTTACATAGCTATCCCCTAAGTCTGCCGTCTCGGCAGCTGTTTGTCTCTCCTTTGGTTGACTAATTCTATCGTCCAGATACCTGAAGTACGAGCTCTGTCTGCGCAATAGAAACTGACTAGCAACGGTCCACATTCAAAAATCTCTAATGACAATCCGGCTCTCACGTGGAAGAAGAGTATGTTTGATTGTGTGCCATGCGTATAGATAGTGAAGGAAGAAGAGATCCACAACTGTCCGCCCTGTCTCTTCCGCGCATACTGTCCGTCTCCTCTCTGGTATATCTCTTTCATTGTGTGCCACGCTTGTAGACAACGAAGGGAGAGGTGGCCCACAACTGTCCACCTTGCCTCGTCCACGCCCACTAACCTGTCCCCCCTCAATTGGAGTGTCCCTCTGATTGTGTGTCAGGCTTACAACTAAAGAAGTAAGAGGAGACTCGCGATTGTCCGCGCTCTGTCTCTCATGCCTGTTGTCCTGTCTCCTCTCTGCTGTGTTCCTTTGATTGTGTGCGATGCTCATACACAACGAAGGATGAGGAGGGTCCCGACTGCCTGCCCCGGCTCTTCCATGCCTAATGTCCTGCCTATCCGCCAATGTGTTTCCTGGGTCTCCGCCTTCAAATGAGCGCGTCCTTACAGCTCGCTGAGCTAGATGGCGTCGGCTTTTGTCAGTTCCCATCTGTTCCGCTGTATCTCCCTCCTGATTGTAATCTTTCTTTGAAGTCTTGGGTGGCTTGGAGGCCTAATGAAGAGAGGAAAAGGTCGACCAAGGTCTCAAGACCGTCAATGGTGTCGACAGTCTGTCTCTGCTGGCGGAAAGTCTTGCCGCTTGAAGAAAACAACTGGCGGCTGACCATTTGTACCTACTCTCCCGGCCACTCCCCAGTGTGTTTCTCGAGTCTCCGCCTTTAATTGAGTGTCTCCTTAAAGCTCGCCCAGCTTGAAGGCGCCCGCACCCAGAGTAGTACCCATCTGGCCCATTGTAACTTCCTCATGATTGCAATCTTCTTGTGGAGTCCCGAGTGATTGTAGGGTCTGCTGGCGAGGGAGGAACGCCGACGGAGGTCTCAGGATTGTCAAAGGGACTGACAGCCTGTCTCTGCTGGTGGAAAGCCCTGGCTCTTGAAGAAGAGAGCTGGCGGCTGATTATCTATTCCTAATGTCCCGTTCGCTTCTAGTGCGAACCTCGAGTCTCCGCCTTCAAACGAGGGTGCCCTTACAGCTCGTCCAGCTTGAAGGCCCTCCCCCCTGAATATTGTCCATCCGACCCATTGTAACTTCCTCCTAGTTGCAATCCTTTCGTGAAGCTATGGGCGACTTGCAGGGTCTTTTAGCGAGGGAATAGGCCGATGGATGTCTCAGGATTGTCAGAGAGACTGGCGGCTTGTCTCTTTTGTCGGGAGGTCCTAGGCGCTTGAGAAGGAGGACCGGCGTCTGGTAATCTTTTAGCGCTTACAGAAATTGGCGAACTGTAACCTGGGAGAAGGCAGTGTCATTTGAGGAAAGGAGGAAAGGAGGAGGTGAGCTTTCAGACGCACGTTTGAGGCATGCGGCTGTCGAGGCATCGGGGCTGTCGACGGCAGATTGCGGCAACCAACATTGCTCAATGCCTCAGGGATCTGCTCTAGGAGGACGTAACAGACGTACAAATTGAGGCAGTTGGCTCCTAGATGCTGGTGAGCGGTTCGAGAGCCTCGTGGCGGCCGTGTGGGTTTGTTCTGACTGTTGTGGTGGGCAAGGCGTTCCAACGCAATCTGGCTACTGACACCAGCAAGAGAGAATGAGAAGTAACAGAGGCCGTAAGGCTTGGTTTACGACCTTCACATCATTGAGGAGACAGTTGACGCGGCATGTCTCTCAGGCACTGTGGGCTTCAACAACGCTGGATGGCGGCGGAAATCCCTGATGTGCCATCCCGCAGCCGTGTCCTCTGCGAGCGTCACTGAGCATTGGCAATCTTTCTGGAGTAGCATGATCACACTAGATGACATTGAACGAAGTAAAGCTTCTGGCTGAACCTGCAACGGGTCTCGTAGAGTACTATAGAAAGATTTCAATAGAGAAAGATACACCTAACTTCTTCCCTCCTCGCCGCAGAGGGGCCGTCAGAGTTTACTCAAGCATAAGAGACAGCCAGAGTATGCATAGGAGAGCTGTCTCGTTGAGTGAATGCACACATAGAGTCCCCAATTCCTGTTCTCTAGTTCGTTGGGGCCCGTACCTTCACTGGAGACTGTCACCAGCCTCACCGCACCGCCACCTGCCTGCCCGCCCTGCCTATACTGCCTCCACTGCCTGCCGGGCCTACCTACACTGCTACTACCCGACCCGCTTACTTTGCTTAGCGTTGATGAGTCAGCTAGCGCGCTTCGCCATTTCGTTTAGGTTATAGGGCTGGTCGCCCTTTCCGCAACTGAGCTCTTACCATCCATCAACATCATCTCTTCACAACGACAACTTTCTTTCAATCTCCTCCTTCATCATGTGGCTCTGCGTATGGAGGGCGAGCCAAACCGCGCATCCACCCCATCCCCCTTGAGGCTCTGGCTTTCAGGTACGTCCTTTGTGTTTGCGTTCTTGTTTTTGTTTTCTGGCACGGCGACGGTGATGGCGACGGCGATCTGTCTCAAGGGCTTTTGCTTATGCTATGCCTGAGAGTTCAGCTTCAGGTATGTGCTCCTCCCCTTTGCTTTCTTGTTCTGGGACGCAGCAGAGTTGGACTTGAGCTTGCTCTTGACCTGGATACTCTGGATTCCTGCGAGCAGTCGGGAGGGTTGGGCCCGGCTGCATGGCTTCACAGCCTCTTTTTTCATTGATACATTCACCTTGTGTGGATCTTCGAAGAAGAAATCATCTTCCCTGCCTTGACTGACTTGACTTGACTTGACTTGACTTGACTTGATCATGTATGTAGATAGCTTCAATCATTGTTCACTTGCCAACTTCACCAATGATTCACGGCATGATGCTGCTATGTGATGACATGACCTACTTCGTGATGCGAGTGCGTGGTGTTGAGTCTGGACATGCTGCCGACAAGCAGAGGACCAGCAACACATGGCAGCCCAGCACCTTGGTATGTCTCGTTGAATCAACCTAACTGAAGTAATTCCTGCGTCTCTTCTCGCCATTTCTAGGCAAAGCTTGATGATTTTGCTGTGGTATTGAGTCTGTCGCGGCGGATGAGTATGCCCCCGACGGGCAGAAAGCCAACAAGACGAATTAGTCCATCGGCTTAATTTTATCTAGTCCCTTGCCCATCCCTCCAGAACACATTGACGTGCTTTTTGAATTTTCCGGCCAAGATTTGGTGTTGCTGTGGTATTTTGAGGCAACTCTGTGTGATTCAGACAAGCGTGTCGACCGGAGAGAATTGTGAACCACCACGACTTCGTACGATATCCCGCTCACTGATTATGATTCGGAAGGGCACTCCGCTTCCTTTCGCGCCTTTATTGTAGAATTTGATGTGCTGGTGGTGTCGTGAGACGATCCGGACCTTGAAACGCTACGGAAGACTTCTAGTCAAATCGCTACGTCGGAGTACAGTGAATCATGCAAACACCTTTAGCTTTCCCAACCCAGAAATACGAAATGGGCATAGTCTTAAGCCCAATTGCGCATCCTCCATGTGAAGTTTGAAGGCGTGGTGCTGTCGTTGAGTGCTCGAATCTGGCTGCGAGTTGTAGCCCGCCGTGGTCCTGAGACGAAGCCAAATTGCTGAAGTCCGCGAAGACGAGTGAACGCAACAACTTGGTGCGACCATAACCAGGAATCAGACGTAAGAGTACTTCAAGCTCGTTCGCCCGCTCTCTGATGTGAGATTGAATTTGTGGTGCGGCCGTGAGGCTCTCAGAGCTGGCCAAAGCTGCTGGCCCTGCAACGACGCGCAGTGCAACACCGAAAGACTCACGATGGTACAAACTGGCTGCAAACCTCAGGCATAGCTCAGAGATGACTTCGAAGTCAGCGTGCATACTCGCTTCCCGTAGGTGTGGCCCTCAACTCGTGCAGCACCCTCTTGACCGCCTGTCCAAACCTGCTCCTCAACACCATCGCCGCGGTGCCGCAACGCTGCCATCCGAACCTCTACAACCACCTCGCAGCCGTCCATACCCGGCCAGCAACGCTCCTTCTCTCCTCCAATCTGATACCGCCGACCATCATGGCTTGCCTCATCCACTTCTCTCGCCGGCCCTCGCCCTCTGATCCAGCCAGCGCCCTTCATCGCCGCCTACAACGCCGCGAACCGCCTCATACTACCCATCTGCATCGGCGGCAAACTCCTCTCCCGCATGTTCGAAGACCAAGGTCACAGCAGCCCGCACCGCCTCTCTTCCCAGCGCCTCCTCCACCTTCTGCCGCTCCGACCTACCGCGGTCAGACTGGCCTCAACTCACCGACCTCGAATCCAGCGACTTCATACTACCTTTGCAGATTGGAGGGCTACGGAAGGGGCATACAAGAAGGAGGGCGAAAAGGAGGCGGACAAACCATGCATCCCAAGTCGCTTCGAGCCGCCAATGCGAGACGGACGACGAGGCCGCGAACGGCCTAGCCCGCTACCTACCTCAAATCCGGTGCAGCAGACCGAGAAGCCCCCTAAGAGGGCCCCATACGCTCCGATTCGGCCGACCGACGACGACGACGCTTGATACTGGGGCTGGATTCGAGGGGTTTTGGAAGGGTCATAATGGAAGCACACGGACTCCATAGCGGGATAGCAGTCAAATAACAAGAAGAACTGATGATGTTTCATGCCTGTGTCATGTGTTTTACCTTGTGATGACGACGTCTGAGGGCCCTTGGACAGCTTACTGACTGTTCCAAATAGTGAATGGGCGTTAGGTTCTGATTTCTGATACCACCTCGAGGCACGTCAGACAGCGCCAGCTGGGTGTACACATATCACGGGCATTGAGAATAGCCGGGGACGGCAGGGGAGGGCTCAAGGAATTGGAGTGATTACCTTAGGGTTTAGGAGGTTGCAGAAAAACGAGAAATTTTACCCGAAGCATGATGATGATCTTGGTGACCCGACTACAGAATCCACTGTAGCGTCATGTCGAATATCTATTCACACAGGTATTCCACTTCTCAGACTCGGTTAATGCGTGTTCAACACCACTGTAAGGAGTGGTTCAATTAGCAGGTAGCTAGTCGGTCAAAATACGGTCTGATCTACGGCTTGAATCGTATTCGGAGCTTTAGAAACGTGTCTGGAGGTTTGCGAATCCTTGGGCCCGATATGCCACCGGCTGTTCTTCGCTATTGCTTACTCCATACCGCTGTAGAGAGTGGCTCGGCTAGCAGGTAGCCGGTCGGTCAATGGGTAGCCTAGTAATCCGAATTCTTGTCCTTGACATTATATTCCTAGACTTTGAAACCTCTCACATAGATATAGCACTCTTTGGGCTCCAATCTTGCTCGCTCGATACCGCTGGAAGGATGGGCTCAGCCGGCAGGTAGTCGGTCGGGTAATAGGTAGTCTGATCTCTGGTGAATGGACCTTGACGTTGTGTTCACAGGATTTGAAACCTCTTACATGGATATGACACTCGTCAGCCTCCAATATTGACTACTCGATACTGCTGTAAGGGGTGAATCAGCTAGCAGATAGCCAGTTGGATAATAGGTAGTCTGATATCTAATGTATTAACCTTGACATTGTGCTCACTGACTTTGAAATCCCTTACACGGATACAACACTCTTTGATCTCCACTTTTGCTCATTTGATACCACTACGAGGAGGGGCGTAGCTAGCAGGTAAGTGGGCCGTCAAGAGGAAGCGCGATTCCCGCTGTATGTACCTTGGCATCTTGCTTGAAGCATTTGCTTACTGGAGGCTACTGTAGGGAGTAGCTCAGCTAATAGGTAGGCAATCCGTCAAATGATAGTTTTATTTCCGCGATATCAGCCCTGACATCGTGTTCGGCGACTTTTCTCGCTCGATAGCACCGTAAGGAGGAGTCCGGTCAATAGTCAAGTTACTCGTCAAAAAGTAGTCTGATTCTCGTTGTATGGCCAATAACGTCGTGTTCGGAGGTCTTGCTTATTGATGCCGCTGTGAGGGGGAGCCCAGCTAGTGAGTAAGCGGCCTATCGAAAGGTAGTTCACTTTCCGCTGTATCAACAGTGACATTGGAGTTCGAGGTCTTGCTAGGTCGATGGCATCGTAAGTAGTACCCTAGCTAACAAGTAAGCGGCCCGGAAACAGGAAGTTCGATTCCCGCTGTATCAACTTTGACATCGCGTTTGTAGATCTTGATTGGTAGATAACACTGGAAGGAGCAGCCCAACGAACAGGTAAGTGACCAGCCATAAGGTAGTCTGATATCCGCTGTGTGAACCTTAAAATCGTATTCGGAGGTCTTGCTCCCTCGGTAGCACCGTAAGGAGTGGCCCAGCTGGTGGTTAGCTGGCCAGCCAAGAAGCAGTTTGATTCCCATTGCGTCAATCTTTACATGGTAAGTGCTAGGTCCTAGAATTAGGGGTATACGAATCCTACTGCTCGGGCTTTGCTCTTGATCGCTCGATAACGCTGTGAGAAGTAGCTTAGCTAGCAGGCAGTTGACCGGTCAAAAGGTATCCAGACCTGCAGCACGTAAACCTTTGTATTAGAAGTCGGGCATCTCAAAACTCCGAGACGTGTTCTGCTCTTTGAATACCGCTGTGGGGAGTGGTTCAGCTATCAGGTAGCCGGTCAGTCAAAACGTGACCTGACTTTCATTCGCAATAGGAAAGAGGGACATGCTGGGATGGTCAAGGAGAACAATGGACGAAAGTCGGCAGCACCGAGCGGGCGCTTTCGGGATTTTATGAAGTACAGTAGGCAATCGCGTAAGTCTTGGAATCACTCAGAGGCAAGGAAAGAGCAGACGTCTAGGGAGGGAAAGGAGTGAAGAACCACCAAAGGCCTTGATACATGGTGCTATTTCATAGTGTATCTAAGGAGAAGAATCCCACCTTGTCCGTTCATTCTTCTTCATTCTCATCTGACCTGTCATAGCCCGGGCCATTGAGGTCGGCGATGGTGTAAGAGCTGCCCACTTGAGTGTCCACCAATTGCTCCAGGACGTAGTCAAATTGATCTTCGTATTATTCCAGGAACTCTTCTCCTTCAACGGCGTCAAGCAGCCCTTGCCAATAGTTCTCGCTCTCCAAAAAGAGCTGCTACTCCACGCGCGGTATCTCGCCGTTCGGGAGTCGACACTCACAGATCCGCCAGCCGTGACAGTGATAATAGAGCGTAGCGTCGTCTCCAGGGTCTATGGAAGCCTGCGTGTCGTGCCATTCCCCGGTTTCCTTGGCCTTCGTGTATTCGTAGATGAGCTCGAGGTACTCTCCGCAGCAAGGGCACTTGTAGCTCTTGCCACCGTGTCCGACATTGCAGCCGCAGAGGTTGTGATCGTCGAGAAGTTCGCCGAGGGTATATCTGTTGACCTTGTGAGAGCAGTCGTCCTCTTCTTTAGACTCGGAGTAGCTATCCATTTCTTCATCAGACTCGTTGTCCCCCTCTCTCTCTCCCTCGTCGTCCTCCTCCCCATCGCTGTCTTCTCCATCATCGTCGTTTTCTCCGCCTTCGTCCCCATCATTTGAGCCAGCACCGCTTCCTTCCTCTGGTCCTGAGCCCATCTCCCGATCCTGTGCGTCGAGTGCTTCTGTCTCTCGTCGGATGATTCCATCTGGCGTGTTGTCCACGTTGGCGTTCTGAAGGTCCTCTACGCGTTCCTTGACTGAGCGGAGAGTATTGCCCTCATAGTGAATCTTTGAAGAGCCGGGAATGGAGAGTGGTGCAGGCGGAGGTGGTGCATAAGCGTGCGGTCTCAGTGGCATATGGAGCATCGTGGGATAGTCTTGATAGGTGTTCATGTTTGCAGATTTTGAAGGTCGAATTGGAGTGCGTTTTGTGCCCGACTTCGGAAAGATTTATAGGAGGTTGAGAGGGTGCCGTAGGTGCAGGGCTTGCAGTCTCCGAGAGACAGGTTGTGGCCTTTTAACGGGGAGGAAGGACGCACCCTGGCGAGGGCTGCTTGGTGACTTGTGTGCCAGCGTCGTCCTTGATCGGGGGAGAGGCGCTCGGCGGACCCTGATTTGCAGGTGTTGGAGTTGAAGAGAACAGATGTTGCAGCCGCGGCAATCGGTTGTGGCCGCTCGGTTGCGTGGTCTGGCAGCTGTTGGGTGAATGGAATGGATCGATAAGGATATGCAACACGCGACCTCTCGACGAGCTTTGACAGAGGAAAGTAACATAAGTCAGGCAAGACCTTTAGCTGGAGTATTTGCGTCCTACGTTTCGGGACCAAGTTTATAGACGCATGATCTACATGAGTCTCTGAAAAGTCACTACGATTAACTGCGATTGAAGACAAGAGCACAGAACTTGCTTTCAGGAAAACCCCGCGGCCACGTCCAACCAAAAGAATGTTTATCGCCACCCCTCATGTTTCGAAAATTCCAAGATTTGTGGGAATTCTCATGACCGCGCGGGAGCTTATGGTGTACTTCGCGACACCACAGTGACCGGCTATATTGACAATCATTTCCCAGCGAACTCAACGTTAACATACCTCTCTTAGGGTGGGATAACAAGGTTCCTCTAGCTACACAAGCATCTTGTACTCAAGGCTACCTCGGAGCTTAGGCCAACATCTACATGGATACGCCCGCAGGGGGAAGAGAATTCTTGAATCTCTAGGATGAAGTATACAACTTTGAAAGTTGCAATCTCAGCCTGTAGCAAGACGCTCAGGCCGTTGGGCCTAAAGAAAGGGGTTTACTGGACGGTTGTGGAAAAAGCAAAATGATTTACCGTTTATGCACCATTCGACACCTTCAAACGCCAACAACACCACCAATAATAATGATATAGGGTAAAGACAAGTAGGCCTAAAGTTCCAAAAAATTTGCAAAAGTTCACCCCTAGAAAGACTATGAGGAAGTCAATCCGGGGCGCTAATCTGCCGGCTTTCGCCGTCGCCATACTGTTGTCACACTGGCGGTACGAACTTAAGACTATGAAATGGGACGTACCTTATGGGTAGTTCGTGTCATCGGCGCAATGTGACATTGGCACGAACTACGTATATCACCAGAAATATTTAGTATATAACCATAAGGGTCTATCACTAGGCAGACAAACACTCTGAGCCCTAGAGCTAGCGCATTTGAAGCGACCCGTGGAGAATGTCGCGTCGCTCCATAGACGCTGGTGAGAATGTCACGTGGCTTCACTTTATCTCAAGCTTTTCAGCCTGCCTTGCGGATTCTGCAACGCAACAGTCCGCAATCTCCCAACAATACCCATCGTCTATCTGTGGACAACCACACCGCCAACGCCCGCCTCTTTAGCTAGCCAGCGAGCCGAATGTACTTTCCCTCATCCTTTCGCCACAGGTGACTAACGACACCGCGACATCGATTAAAATTGCATCTTTTCTCACAAGCTTTCGTCCTAGCAAGCTTTGTATCTTGCTTGCCCTACGTCTTCAGAAATGTCAACCTCATCCTCACAAGCCGGACCTAGATTGATACGTTGCCATCTAAATTACTACAACGTGCGATGACCACGGGGCATGTTTCACAAAAGACTCCGCTGAGGTAATTGATCTTGGAGGGATCCTTCTCGACGCGAAGAGCTGTGAGGAGGTTCGTTGAGGTCACGTCGACGTCAAGACTTTCTCTATCCCTACTGCCAAACCCGGACCTCGAAGTCGTTCGACCTTGACCCGTACGCTCAAGCCTGGGCCACCTCTCAAGACAACGCTAGAGCCGCAGCTAAGGCACACCTCGCGTTAGCCGTTCGTGCGAACAGTCCACAAGATCAAGGACAACTCTGAATCTTTCCTCGCTCAGCAGCCTGCACAAAAGTTCTCAACATGGATCGAATCAGTTGCTATTTCGAATAGCTTATTTTGCCATGCATCGGGATAGGATCTGCCCGCCTACTAGCCTTCGCTGTCTGTGTGAGGTATGCCCCTTCTTCAACGTTAAAAGAAGCTTTCTGCTAACCATGGTACAGGGGTAGCATTCGTCCAAGCGCGACTCCAGGCATCCTCCCCGAGATAACAACGACATATGCCCATCGTCTTCCGCTGCACCTTTTGCTCCCGACGCTACCGCGACAGAAACCATCAAGATCTCTGTGCTAGACACCCACTGCAACGGTGATAAGTGCGAGGTTGAGGTCAATAACATAAGTGCTCGTAAGGAAGCAGGCGACAACACCGTGATGGACTGGAACTCTTCGGCCATGGGAGCCAAGAGCTCGTGCATTCCGTCGAGCAGCCGGTAGGCATTGCAAAGGGTGAGACCAAGTGCGTGATGGAGCAGCTCTTCCTTCTGGATACCTCCAAGGTGGATCTTGTCACGACAAGACGCGTAGAACACCACGAAACCACAGCTACAACCGCTCGCCAGCGTCTGGACCTCACGCCCACCGCGCCGTATTGACGTGATCAAGCACCAGCAAGCGCGTCACGCTATGTGGTAGCTTGAAGTGGAGTAGCTAAGATGGGGTAGTAAATGTCGCTATGCAAAACAGGCCAGAGGACCCCCCGATCCACATCCCTCCGCTAGATGTAAGCCCTAATGACGTTTGGCCAAAGGCAACGATAGACCTCGAACGCCCGGAGAATTGGTATGAGCGGCAGTCAGGGCTACCGCATGCGGCACTTGACGCGATAGACTGGCCAGCGAAAGATGGGAAAATTCTTGCGATACTCGAGATACGAGTGGCGAGACCAATCATTGGAGTCCGGAGAAGAGATACGCACTGCCAGTCAGGGATAATGTTTTGCTTCGGTCGGGCGACATGGACAAGCTGCTGAGCAGAGGAGATTCGTTTGGATTCCAAAGAGGGCACCCCGCCCACGGCTATCCGCGAGATCTCGCAGATGAAGGATTCTAAGCACGTCAACATCGTCTACCTTTACGATTTCATCGACACCGAGAACAAGCTGATGCTCGTCTTTGAGTACATGGACAAGGATCTGAAGAAGTACATGGACTCCAGAGGTGATCGTGGCCAAGTCGATTCACCCACCATCTAGTCCTTCATGTTCCAGCTGCTGCAGCGCATCGCCTTCTGCCACGAGCACCGTGTCTTTCACCGCGATCTCAAGCCCAGAACCTGATCATCAACATCAAGGGCCAGCTCGAGCTGGCGAACTTCGGCCTAGCCTATGCGTACGCTCGCTCTCACCACCGCGTCTGAGTGACAGGTTCTTCGCCTCCGTACAACCGTCGCAAGACTACGGGTCCCACCCGAGGCCTTTCGTCGAGAGGATCCGAGTCGGTAATCGAGAAAATGGAAGGTCAGACGGAATCTCCCGGCGTGATGTTGACAACAAGGACGAAGCTTGAGGGGAAACAACTATCTTAGACCTCAAGGATGTGGTTTCAGCAATCCTGGAAATCGTTCATTTCCACATGTTCAAGAAGGCCAGCTCCGATTACTGCGGACTGCCCCACTGCTAGGGCTGTCTAGTTATGGTCGACGGTACGGCAAGAATATCGTTGGTCTCAGCGCCGGTCTTGACCGCATCTCTATGAAGACTGTTTGGAACAATGGCCAGCCCGAGGAAGCCCCGCTAGGCCACCTCGCTGAGTTTTGGCAATCCCTTTGACTCACATTCTAGGCGCCATTCTTTCGCCAATATAATGAGCCACCGGGGCTCAAAGACCGTCAACAACCTTGGAACGCTGACAAAGAAGAGGCGGGCTTGATGTCTCCTGGTTCTTGCTTCAGACACCAGAGTTAATCTTTTCAATCAAGTTTAGTGCCGTCCAAAGGGGCGCAAGTGGGTGCAAAACGATGCCGATTCGAGGCGAAACAGAGAATATTCACAAGTAAAGAAGACCTGAGAGCATGAGAGATGTTTATGACCGGTACTAGGTCTCGAGGCCGAAGGTCAAGACTTCATCCGGCAGGCATGGCACGTTGAAGGTGAAGGAAGTGCTGATCTTGTTTCCGTCGGCGATAGGATACAGGTTACTTTTGCGTTATCATATCGCTGAATCCGCAGATTCTCATTGTCGTGCCTTCCGTTTCACCATTATCGCGGAGAGATGCTGAAATGAATGAGCCGGTGGCGGGTGAAAATGTAAGTCTCTAATTCTGTTCCTTTTTTGAATGTCTCTTCAGTATGTTCGAGTAGTCAGTCCTGGGCACCGACTCGTTTCAAGAGTCAACTTCCTCATAGCCGAGTTCTCAACGACGGTGCCAAAAACAAAGCTCCGTCCTGCGTTGGGGTGGAGGTCGCCGCGTTCAGCGTGCAGGAACTCTCTTAACCCGTGCAGAGTACGTGACGCTTGGGCACTACCCCGACTCCTGGTAGCTTCCGTGGAGAATCGGGAAATAAAGCACTTGAAAGTAGAATTGGACGCCCAGGCTCACACATGTTTTGCTACACTTTCGCCTTTCTGAACCTCAGTCTTGGGCACCGACTCTCGTCTACTAGAGCAGACTTCCTCATAGTCGAGTTCTCAACGACGGTGCCAAAGCAAAGCTCCGTCCTGTGTTGTGGTGGAGGTCGCCGCGTTCAGCGTGCAGGAACTCTCTTAATCCGCACAGAGTACGTGACGCTTGGGCAATACACCCGACTCCTGGTAGCTTCCGTGGAGAATCGGGAAAGCACTTGGAAAAAAACCCTGGACGCCCAGGCTCATACACCTTTTTCCACAATATCGCGCTTTTGAACCTTCTAATGGTGCAGGTTGTTGATTACGACAGAGTTTTGCAAATAGTACATAGACTACGTCTCCAATCTCTACGATGCGTGATCTCAGGATCCACGGGCCAGATCGACACAACACGGTGCTTAAGGTTGAGGGTGAGGCCAGGGTATCCTATAAATCTGGCACCGGTTCGCACCGTGTTTTCTGTGACGAGTGCAATGACGCTAGCTTACGGCAGCATTCTTTCGGGCAGCAATCTTCCGATGACGACCCTCAAATTCGATGTGGCCGGCCAATCAAGCAAGATCACCATACAGCATGACATTACTGGAGCCATCGACCGATCTACGCACTGCTCTTATATAGTCGCTCTCAATCGCTCACGATTAGAAGTCTTCAATCTCTTCGAGAACGCCGGACGTAAGCTCTCCGTCGTCTTCTCGGAAGGTCGTACGGTGCTTGTCAGCGCCCAAGTATCCTTTTGGACTTAGTTTCGGGTCTTAACTGGCCCTTTTGTGGCCTGCTTTGTGACGGCAAGACATCCGCTTTCATGACTTGGGTGTCCCCACCGTTGCAGCTCTATCTACTTCAGTCTTGTCTCGGGGCCAGGATTCTCGCCGTGGTGTGGGCTCAGCCCTTGCTTCCTCATATCCTGCTTTCTCCAATTACTTCAGGCCCCATAGCTAACACGCGGATATGCGTCGTCATGGATGGGATGCCCGCTAGAGGAAAGATGCAGTAGAAGGCTAGAGCTGAGAGAGAAGCCTAGTGCTAGAGTATACTCTGAGGGCACGCGGATTCGCGTTGTCATGGTTGGATTGCCTACGAGAAGAAAGAGCCAGTGTAATTTCGGGGTGCAGGATGGAGAGCAGGCTGAGGATACGCGGATATGTGTCGTCATAGTCAGGCTACCCTCGAGAACGAAAAAGTGCCAGGAAAATATACAGCGTGCTGCATACCGTCTGGGCGGAACGTTCGCGAGGCGGTCTCGAAGTTCTTCAAGTTGGCGCATGAACTTCCAGCTGAGTCCCAGACGATGCCCACCAGTCTTATCCGGGATACTTTGGGAGGCGTTATCAGCAAGCCTTACGAAAACGGTAGATCACGTAAAGAAATTGAGGTTGGCGTTCTCGTCACCCGGAAATCTCTTGAAATAATGAGGGAGCGAAGCAGTCGGGTCCATACATGAAGGCACGACAGTGATCTCCAATTGCGTAATGGTGTGGCTATGACGTTGGAGCGTGGATCTGAGCGATTTTGGAGTTTCCTTAGGAGGTAGGTTTCAAGTTCGCGGTCTGTGTTTGACTACAATCTCAAAAACAAGTAAATAGATGCCTTTTCTTTGCTATGGAAATTCACACGCCCTTAGCGTTCGGTAGTGATGTGATGTTTGGCACGGCTTGTTTTAGTCTTTCCGTAGACAAGTATCGACTATCCAAAGCAAAGAAGTTCCGAATAGTTTACCCGAATAGATGGAGCCAAAGCCACATCCTCTGAGATTGACGTCGATGCTCTCCTACCTAAATGAGGAAGAATCCCCTTTCCACAAGCCGGGGAAGGGGTTCTCCCCGTAAAGCATTCACAGTTGTTTCGCGGCGGACGTGAATGATCCTAAACAGCCGGCCAGGCATTGTGAATAGCCTCGGCACATATTGAGGCTTTTCCACGGCGAACTGCCGCCTAGGGTACGAAGCATCCTCGCGGCGTGCAAACATTTATATTCGATCGCATGATGCCTACAATTATGAGGCGAATGACGCGATAGGCCTAAGCGGTGGGTGAGTGCTAATTGAACATGGGGTGAATGTTAATTGAACGTGGAGTGGATGCTAATTGAACGTGGAGTGAATGCTAATAGAACTGCGTCATGACACTTCACCGTAAAGCACGGTCCGGTATCACCGTTAGGGAACTGCCATTGCGCGCAAGGCGCAGGCACACGGCTGAAGCGTGGCACGCCTACAATTGCGCCGTGGAGAATGCTAGGTACCTCTAAAAGCGAAAGAGGGATGATGAATGCGCCGAGCATCAGGTGTTGATGTTCCGTTGTGAACTGCGGACGGTCATCGCAGGCCACATGCGCCGGTTATGGAGCAAGTATCTGGAGGCACAGGTAGTCTCCAAAATCGTGGGGGAGGATGCCAGGGACTACAACGAGCATATGGAATCTGGTCAATGCTCTCTGCATGCCTGATTGATCTGCTCTCTCGAACTAGAGGATGCGGACGCCAACTGCATCCGCGCCCTCTATCACGACACGCACCATAGCATGTGCCGCAGAGAGCTGACGACTGCCTGATGGAGCATACTAGAGGCCATAGAATTTAGACTGTGAATGCATCTCAGGCGCTCCTGAGAGAAGCAATATTGAACTGGCAGACACAAACCGCCCCTCCCAGTCCTCCCTCACCTCCAGCTAGCCGTCTCCGCAGCTCAAGAGGCACCAGCAACCAGAAAATAGAACTCCTGACGTGCAAGCATCCCTTCCACCCCTTCCACTCCTCCCACGCCCCTCCTCTCACCACCCAACCAATCACTCGCCCCAAACCCGCTTACTAACCCCTAGCGCCTTGGCAGCCTCAATCTACAAAAACCCGCGCACCCCCCGCCCCTCGCCCTCCTCCATGCAGTGCACTTGCGTGACTTTCTGTGACCTCGTCCGGATCGACATCGACAATGGCATGGCAATGGCTGGCGAGAGTTGGCTTCACTCGGGGTCTGGGAGCTCATGAATTCCTTTTCGACCTGCCCATTGCGGAGGGTACTGGTGGCCGGCTGCCACCGCCGGGGCAATCTTTGGATCACACACACACACACACACAACTCGGATGGGGTTCTCTTCTTCGGGAGGAACAGGATCTGAGAAAACCTTTTTCATTGATGTTCTCGCCTGGTTGCGGGATTTCGAGGAAGAAGTTGAGCAGCAGCTTTTGGTGCAAGGGCTGTTCGAGCTAGGGAGGTTCGTGTTTGTGATGGAGTGGTGGGAGGCGGCGTGGTGTTTAGGCGTACAGTAGAGCACTCATGCTGCTGTTGTATGTATACGTGCCGCGTTACATATCATATTTGGATTAGTCCTTCGTGTTTGTGTCGTCGCATCGTGAGCTCGCGTCGATGTCGACATGCTTTCGGAAGTCTACGACGACGGCAGCAGGATGGGTTGCGCCCACGCCTCTGCTGAGTGACTCTCGTAGCCTGACCATTCTTGGACCTGGAGAGTACGTCTGCGCTGATCAGAGGAACGCAATGGGGCCGTAGCCGTCCACTATAACTCCATGCTGAGGGCGGCGTGAGCCACGACGGCGAGATGGGACGGGCGATATTCACGTCTCTACTAAACGGCACAAGCAGGCTACTCAATACCAATCCTAGCAAGACGTCTGCGGTCATCAGAACTCCAGCGATGAGGTCGTCATTGCGCCGTCTAGTATGACAGCTGCGTAGGCGGCCGGACACGACGAGGGCAGCATTCAAACCTCTACTTTACGACGTGCGCAGGTGGTTTCATCCTCGTCCTAAAGCACGTTTGCGACGCTGGGAGAGACAGCAGCTAGGCCTTCGTATGGGCGGTCACGCAATGGGTTGCTTCGTCTGGCTCCTTGCTGTCCTTTCGTCCGGTGCAAGAGGAGGAGGAAGTCCACTGTTGGAGGCAGGAAATGGGGTCAAATATGGACAAAAAGGGCCGTTAAAAAACACAAAATGGGGCGACGAAATCTTCGGTTGTCTTCTGGACCCCTTCGAGACCGATTTCGGCGACTTCAGACGCACAAGAGGTGGTAGGCGTTGCTAATGTTGTTTTTTCCACCACGGAGCGGAGGCACGTCGTTGGGTCCAGCCAAGCACTAAAAGCAGCAAACGCCATGCGCGGAACGCCAGCAACTTCCCCACCCCGAGGATAGCCGTCCTCTACTGCTCCCGGAAATGCACTCCACAAAGCACAGCGAACGAGCTGCACCGCCTGATTCGCCAATGCACGCCCGCGTCGCCTTCGCTATCGTCTGCCCCGAGATAAGCATGACGAGATGGTTTGCCGCATGTGGCCGTGCTCCCTCAGCAGACCACGAGGGCGACAGCAGCGACCATCGGAACCGTGGTTGACCTGAGGGCCGTTATAAGGCCACCGCTGGGCCTGCTCTGCTGGTAATCACAGTCATACATCCTGCTTCCGCTGCTTCTTGTGCTACAAACCCGCAGACAGCATCCTCTCTGCATTCAGACCCCGCGTCACCACCACCGCCACAGCGTCCATATCACAATGCCACCACGGTTGCAGCAGCTGCGGCAGCTTGAACGCCTTGCAGGGCGTCCTGGAGCCTTCCAGTTTGCACGCCATGTGCATCAGAGCACAAAAAAGCATGCCTCCATGGCCCCTCAAGCTTCATTCCCACCAGCACGAGCAGCCTCCAAGAAGTCCGGGCTGGCTCGCATGCCCACCTCCAGCGTCCTCAGGTCCTATCTCATCACATCCATGTCCTCGTCGCCACCGCTGTTAGCAGCGTGTTTTGCAGTCCTACGGCGCATGCTAGACTCCAAGTCTGCGCTGATGAACGTGGAGCGGAACCCAGTGCTGAACTGGCTGTTGAAGACCACTTTCTACGCCCAATTCTGCGCTGGGTCGACTAGAAAAGAGGTGCAGGCAAGCACAGCGGCAGCAAAGACGGATATGGGGTATGATGGTATAATACTGGAATTTGCGTTGGAGGTGCTTGATGGCGAAGGAGGGCCCGAGACCGCAGACAGCGCGACGACGGCGAAGGAGATCGAGACGTGGCGGACAGGAATGCTGGAGTCGGTCTGGATGGCGGCTCCAGGGGACTTTATCGGTTTAAAGTAAGATTTCCTTCAACAACGCGTTATTTGCAGCTGCTAATCCGTGCTTCAGGTGGTCAGGCCTCGGAAAGTACGCCCTCCAGCTCCTCAAAGAACAACGAGACCCCACACCCCTGATTGAACGCGCCATAATCGAAGCCTGTGATGCCGCGGCTGCAAAGAAAGTCCTGCTGCTCCCAGGCGCCGAAGAGGAGGTATCCAACGCCGGGATCGAGAAATGGACACGAAGCATGCAGGAGCGCTACAACCGTAATGGGCCCGGCAACGCCATCATGTACACCACATACCAGTGCTATCTCAAGTCTGCACAAGCCAAACTCGCGAAAGACCTAGCTGCCGCACAAGAAGGAGGCTACACCCTCGGCGTGAAGCTCGTCCGCGGCGCGTATCTAAATTCAGAGCCCCGCCATCTCATCTGGGACACAGTAGAGGAGACGCACAAGAACTACGACGCCCTCGCCGCGTGTCTACTCAAACGCCAGTATGGTCCCGGACTCCAGCCCCTCGAGGGCGCCAGCAGCGACAAGTTCCCGCCAATCGACCTCGTCCTCGCAACCCACAATCACGACTCGGTCCGCAAAGCACAAGCAATCCGCAACGAGCAGGCTGCACGAGGCGAGGAGCGCGTGAAGCTGGCATACGCGCAGTTGCAGGGCATGGCGGACGAGATCAGCTGCGAGCTGGTGCAGGTGGCCGAGCAGGCGGCGGACAAGACCCTCGACGCGCCGCGGGTGTTCAAGTGTATGACATGGGGCACGACCGCCGAGTGTCTAAACTTCCTGCTCCGGCGGGCGTCGGAGAATAAGGACGCTGCGGCGCGGACGGTGGATACGCGGAAGGCTATGGCGAAGGAGCTGTGGAGGAGGACGAGGGGGTTGGTGGGGCTGGCTTAGATGGCATTTTCAAAGGATCAAGCGTCGTTGCTGCTTGTGGGTGGGCTAGATGCATAGAGTTGTGCTGTGTAGCGTTTTGATAGATGCATTTTTACGGATAATGAAGCCCAGAGGTTCTGATGCCAATACGAAGATGTCGCGCCGCTGTCGTGGAATTCTCCGGGTGTTGCAATTGGTGCATGGGGGACTGGGGAAATGGGTCGCTAGCTGATCGATGCTTGTGTACCCCGTATCGCGAACGTCAGACCTCCCTCTCCATTGACTTCATTGATATTGCATCTCGAAGTCCTGGGTGATGAATCACGAAGCCATCTCGAGTCCTTTGCTGAATATGGGACGTTCTAGCCAGCAAGGCAAGACAGCCTTCCCTTCACATGCCAAACTGTTCCCCGACAGCATTTCCTGGGTTCGGCCTCTAGTATATCATACTAGTCAAGGAACTGTAGGTATTCAGCCCCTGGGCGCCTTGTGGGAGGTCAGCTATTGAATAATGAGGTTTCTATGAGCCTCCACTCTCAAGCTCGGGTGGAAATCGTTGTTGAGACCCATGTTCTGCGCCGATTTCGTAAAACGTATTTCCTCCCCTCAGCAGTTCCCCATTTTCTTACACAGTTAGGTTGGGTGAAGCCATCACCGCGAGTATTGTGAAGACTGCCATTCCCACGCCCTGTATGGCTGGTGGGCTTCCTGGCGGTGTTGGTGAGTTACGCCGAGGGTACCCAGAAAAACAATTCAGCTCCACAAAGGAGTGAATATTCTTGAAAGATTGCTTCCCAAGCAAATCCTCTGTCTGGTTTCGTAGTTGAGATGAGTTGCCCAGTCTCGCTTGCCCGCCCGTTGAGTGGAAGGGGCGGTTTTGCGTCGCTGCCTCTCCCCAAGTCCACCTCCCCTCAAACATCTCCATCACGCCGTCATTAGGATTGCTTCTTCTACAGCCCCTTCGACTTGAGAAGGCCTCCGCGTGATATTCCGAAGAAGATTCACGATGTTCCGGTCCCTGTTGCCCCTTTCTCGCGGCTGCCGCTCGAGGCTGATGTCGACACCTCCGCCATGCCCTCATCTCCTCTCCCCCTCTCCACCTCCACCTCCACCATCATCGAATTCCATCTCGATCCGAACATCTTGACCTCTAGAAGACTTTCCACCAAATATAGCGGACAGTTTGGTTGCTGCAAGGCCTGGACGTGGCGTCAACACAAAGGGGGCCAGCCTCGACACACTCGACGCGACTGCTCATCTCCTCCACCTGTACACCGCGTCTCACCGAGCCTCCTCCAGTATAAGTAGCATCATCTCTGGTCTTGAAAAGCCAGATCCGATTCCCCGGGGGCGATTTTAGATGCCAAGCGACCTCGGACTTCCCCAAACACCATCGATTGTTGGCTCTAGGCCTTCCCCGACAGTCCTCGAAACCTCACAATCGGCACTTCTTGTGGCATTCAGCTCACACGGAGCCATCAAGATCCATAGCAGTTCGAATTGGCATGCCGTGCAGTTGTTGCCACTTCGGCACGGACCGTTTCCACGTTTGCAGCAGAGCACACAGACGCACAACGCTCCTCGACAACCGCCTCTACCTCGCTCCCGTCCTCGTCGAACAAACACAAACGGAGCTCTTAGTGTTTTCGGCAAGTCAAACTCGCCCTGCCCTTGGGCTTCTCTTGCTATAGGACTTAATTGCCGCAGTTTCGATATTATCGAAGCCGGACACCTGCAGCCGCAAGACGCTCCCTCGGCGACACACAGCTCCAGGTCTCACGTCTTCGATCCGACCCTTTTCCCATCCAATAACTCTGATTCGCAATAGTCGTCAAGCTGTCGACCCTCTCATCTTATTCACCACCCTAGAGCGGAGGCGTCGACGGTGATGCATCACGGCGCAAGGGGCCATCGACCACCCGCTATCTTGCACGCTGTCGTGACCCGGACCACAACGCGTCCCCCGAGACAAAAATCGTCTCTTCTGGCAAGGCAATCGGATGCATACTCCACAGATCATATCGTTCTCCTAGACAGACCGGCTGGCCGCATTCCGGTTAGGGAGCTTCAGCAAGACCTCCTCGTGAAGGGAAACACACCAGCTAGCAAAAGTCGGCGGCCTTCTTGCTACAGTATGAGTCCGGTGGACATTGAACCCCGTCCAGTATCCAGTAAGTGAACTCCCCGGGAATCCATGGAATGACAACACACTCTTCTACCAAAACTTTGGTTGACTTGTTGTGGCCTTCAAGCCCTGATGCGCATCTCCGGTACGAACAACTCCGCGAAAACTTTTCAAACTTTTGATCGAGGGTACTTTCCACCCAACCACCCGCTTCCCCTCGATCCAAACCGAAACAATCGGCAGTAACCACGACAGAAGCTCCTGGTTTCTGACAGACAACAAAATATCCTGGCCACAACTTCATACCGATATGCCGGCCAGGCAGGATTATGTCCCGCCCGATCACTTCTACTCGATAATCCAGGGCCTCCGTCTCTCCACGTCGAACAATGCTACGTCGAAGCAACTTCTTAAAATATTGATCCAGGGTACTGTCCTCCCAACCACCCACTTCCCCTCAATCCAAGCTGAAACGATCAGCTGATGATAACGATGGATACTACTGGTATACGAGGCACGGGCAATTCCAAGGCCACGACTACACTGCGGTACGAGACCAGGCAGAATACTATTCCGTCCGGCCCGCGTCCATTCGGGAACAATAGTTACCTCCAATACGTCGACGATTCAGGATATCACCCCGCCCGACCACCTCCACTCGAGGATCCTGGAAACACACAATTGTTCTTCGACATGCTGGCCAGGCAGGATGTAATGCCGCCCGACCGTGTCCACTCCATGACCTGGGAAGCGAATGATCAATCCACTTCAGCCTTCATAGTACCTTGGCGATGGATACTACTCCGTTGGACACGAGGATGTCCCGCCTTAACTTGGCAGGACCTCAATTGAAATTTTTCTCAGACTCCGGCAAACAAGATTTCCCCCAAGAAACGCCCGCTCAAATCCAGTCCATATCCCTAGGCCCCTCATAACGCGTCACGCGTTTACTTCAGTGCCCACAGCTGGGACACTCTGAGTAGGTATGCCCACAGGTAAACTCACTACATCACACAATCCATGAACTCCGAGAACAAGACTCGCCCAAAGACTGCCTTCTCATCGACCAGTCCCTGGATGGGACACCCTCTGGAAAGGTATGTCAAGGGGCAAATCAGATACTTCTATCCCTCCTTGGTCTCCGGTAACAGTGTTCGCCCCAAGGCACGCCCGCTCAAAGTCCAGCCCCTAGTTGGGGCACCCTCGGAGAAGGCATACCAAGGGGCAAATCGTATACTCCAAGACTAGGATTTTCCGACGCAAGGAAAACGAACCGGGCGGAAGACGACATCTCAAGACGACACAACAAGAAGAGCACACAAACCTGCTTTGATGGAGCTAACGGCAACCATGTTACTGGGAAACGAGACTGTGGGTTACTTCGAGTAGGTTCCCAAGCCCGAGACAGCACAACGATACGAGCGGGCATGCCTGCTTGGATGGAGCCATCAGCAACCACCCTGATGACAAAGGAGACTGTGGGTTACTTCGACTGGGTTCCCAAGCCCGAGAGAGCATAAATACAAGAGTATGCAACCTACTCAAGGGGAGCCATTGGCGATACCCCATGACAAAAGGAAACTGGGGGTTACTTCGATTAGGGTCCCAAGCCCGAGACAACACAACGACAGGAGCTTGCAACGTAAGTTAGGGGAGCCATTGACAACATCCCGCGGACAATGGAAATTTGGGGTTACTTTGAGCTGGGTTCCCAAGCCAGAGACAACACAACGACGAGAGCTTCAAACCTGCTTTGGGAAAGTCATTGGCAATTCCCCGGAGACAAAGGAAACTGGGGTCACTTTTGAATAGGTTCCCAAGCCCGAGAACCCTACAGCATACGCAACTGCGGCCTTTGAATCAAGAAAAAAACGCTCGATCGAGGAAAAGATCGCAAGACAACACAACTATGCACAAACCCAACGTTCCTAGGATGGGACCATCGACCGCATTCTTATCAACAGAGACTTTGGGTCACTTTGACAGGGTTCCCAAGCCCGAGAAACTTACCTTGTCCGCGACTGCGGCCATCAAACCAAGAAAAGAAGTCCGGAGTAAGGAAAGGTCGCAACAAAATACGACTATGCGTAAATTCAACGTTCTTGGGATGGGACCATCGGCCACATAAAAAGAGACTGGGGGTAACTTTGACTAGGTTCCCAAGCCCGAGAAGCCTATCGTACCCGCAAATGCGGCTTTTCAGCTGAGAAAAAGAACACAGAACCGAGGAAGAGTTCTCCGAACAATACTAGAACAAGAAACGTAACCCGTTCTGGATGAAGCCATTGGCAACCATCCTACTGACAAAGGAGATTATGTGTCACTTTGACTGGGTTCCCGAGCCCGTGAGTATACTTGTGAGCTCAAAGCGGACGACGGTATTGACAAATCGCAGCTGACTCTAACACGAAACCAGAAAAGGGGATCGATCCCAAGTATATGTCGAAGAAACCGGACCCACCTTGAATGGCTTGGCCATTATGCGATGCGAGCGATATCCAAGAAAGCTTGCCTAACAACTTTGAGAAAAAGACCTACCTGAATGGGCCCACGCTGAAACAACGACTCGCTAATGAAATGATGGACTCGGGAAACGATCTTTGAGACTCGGCGCAGAAACGCGACTGGGAAAGGTGTTGACGAATCCGATGGAACGACTCCCTTTGATGCAAGACTTCGACAAAAGAAAAAAGTGGGCTACTTTCGGATGGGTTCCCAAGCCCGTAACATCTCCATACCTGTGGAGTATCTTCGTAATACCAGAGCATGCAGCATTGTTGAGAGTTGAGAATGAGTGTAAGAGCAAGGATTGGCCAAGACTTTGATCAAATTGAGACATCGAACCCACCTTCAGGGCTTTGGAAATTTGACGAGCGCGTCAATGCGGCACACTAGATAAGAGATCGTGGGATGAGTCCCTTGGAGAGAATCGAGTGGACTCAGATAGCTAGGAAACACCTACTTTGTGGGGCTTTGCCGGAAAACGACTTGAAGAAGACCTGGAAGACTCGGCTAGGAGAGACCTACTTGAGAGGGCTGAGCACCGTGCAATGATTTGAGGATTTGAGAGAATGAACCAAGAGACACCTACGTCAAGGGACTCTGCCTAAGAAAAACGACATGCCGACCCGAAGAGATAAGATGAGATGAAGGAAAGATTTCCAAGGATACGTGCAATGAAATCAACACATGGCAATATGGCACGAAAAGAACTGCTAGAGGTGACTCGGCTTGATGCGAATTTTCCGACTTGAAAGATGAGTGGGGGTCTTTGGACGGGTTCCCAAGCCCGCGGTTTCCGGATGAGAAGACTGGGCGTGAAGCAAACATTTGACAAGAGAGATGAACGGGTTGCTTTCAGCGGGGTCCCAAGCCCACGACTATGAAGAGTGGCAAGACATGCGATACCATTATTACAAGAGACCAGAAACGACCTACCGGAGTCCTGGGATACTTTGGATGAGTTCCCAAGCCCGTGATGCTGAAGAATGCGACAATTGTATTGAGAAAGGAACCGCCTACCGGACACTCGCATTGTTCGGCGATACATCCCAACCGTCGGGCACGAAACACCTACCTGATCTTCGAGTTCTCTATGGACGTTGAAGGGAGAGAGAGGCTTTGGAAATTGAGGTAAGATGAACTCTGAAAAGTTGACTTGCGTAGTGTGACTAGGAACCATGTACCTTGGTTGAAGAGGCCGACTGAGAAAGAGATGAAAGCGTGGAGACTTCTAAGACGAAGAGCAAATGCTGAAAGCTCTGAGCGGAATGGTTTGCAGGAAGCGAGGTTCGATCCCGAGCAAAAATGACAGGAGGTCGCCGTCGTGGACTAGAAAGCAAAATACCCGGCCGATGAAGGCTGATTGAAGATGAATGAATGGGTGGGATCGAACCGAAAAGGTTGATCTGGGACGATGAAGTGACTATGTCGGGTTGAATCATGAGGTTGAGAAAGGATGGCGTTGAGAAGGGATGAGGTTGAGGGGAGGTTGAAACTCAGAAGAGATGGAGCTGTAAAGAGATGGAGCTGTAAAGAGATGAAGCTGAGAATGGATGGAGTCGAGACGAGATGAAGATTGAAAAGAGATGGGACCCAAGAAAAAATATGATTGACATGGACAGGCAATCGTCAAAGATGGCACCGCAAAGAGGTGGTATCAAGAAACGACGTAGGGAAGGAACTGGGTCGAGAAGAGATGGTACCGATGAGAAACGGGACTAAGCAGAGATGGACCCGAGAAGAGATGGAAGGCGCGGAGATTATGGGGAGCTGAAACATGCGATACTGGAGATGCGAAAACGACGACTCTTGAATAGAGACTCCAGTTCAGTGATGAGAAGCTGCCAAGGAAGGTCCGAGATTTGAGCACGGCACGCCACAAGAGGTTGCAAATTCGAGATAAGAATGGAGAGAGGAAAGAAAGAGGAAAGAAAGAAGAGCAAAATCCACATGCCTTGAGAATCCCTTTGACCTACCTGGATAGATCTACCTACCTGGACAAAATTCTACTGGTATGCACGCAATCGGACTCCAGCCTTAGGAATACAGCGAGAGAGATGGTTCTTGTCGCTCTGGAATTGGATATTGGCGGCCATCTCCGCAGCTCGCGACATCTTTCTTCCTTGACTCCTGAGCATCCGTAAGCTTGTATCAACCGATCAAGTATGGCGTTAGATACTTCTCCATACGCCACGTCCCTCCATTTCCCCAGTCCCGCGATGGTATCCGAAGGTGTTTTGTGAGCGCCGAAGCAAGCCAGCCCAACACTCTTGATAAAGACGACATGTCTAGTCAGTGCAGGATCTCAAGAATCAGAGCATGTGCTCACACCTGCACTGTAGCGTCTTTCAGCTGGTTCATTGCTGGGGAAGAGTGTTTCGATTCGAAATGTACTGTTTCGGACGGGTCGAGCATCGTTATGGCGGGCATGTTTATGCTCCTCTGCGAAAGACTGCTAATAGAGATCGCGATTAAGATACTTCGGGCCTTCGATGGACAGCGGGTTGGTAAGAGGACTGGCTCCGGAAGAAGACTGGTTGTGTTCCGAGATGGCTCTCGCGATTTGTCGTGACGGGGCTGGCGATTAAGGATATCAGGCCTGGGGCGTGTTGCATCGATGTCCTGTGCATATGCGTATGCTTCGACTGGATCCGCATAATCCGGTTTGCCTGCTGTCAAGATCATCAGCAAGTTGTCTAGGCCCGACGAAGACGCATTGCGAGATCGCCGCAGGCCATGATCGGCCAGGCCGAATCGATGCGCGACGAAGGTTAGATGCGACAGGACAGGAGATGATCAGAGGAGCTTACTCACTTGGCTTCAAGATTGCGATGAGCTTTGATGCTTTGTTTCCGTCTGTCGCTGCCGGTCTAGCTTGGTGGAGCGCTAGTGGGCATCTGATGAAGCTGTGGGTCCTGGCATCACTGGGATGGGAAATCAACGATGGGTCTGGCTTGGATGGGCTTGGACGACGAGGAAGACTTACCATGCTTGATTCGAGGGTCTCTTGGGGCCAAATGACTGTGGTCGTGGTGTTGAGCTCCGCAGACCCCCGCGGTATTCGGCAGCGGTGGCATCGCGACAGGCGAATGGATCGGTACGAGGCCTGCTCTGGTCGGCTCAGATGATACGAGGTGTCCAGGACGACTTGCCATGCTCGAGTTAGATGCGTCCCGGCTTTAGGTCGTCATTGCCGTGGTGTTGAGCCGGACGAGATCTGTGAGTCCATGCGCGAGCAGCATCCGTGTGCCGGTCGAGTCGTGAAGCAGAGGCTTGTCGCTGTCAGTCTGGACGATGCGAGGAGTAAGGAAAGACTCAAGATGCTCGATGTAGACGCCTCCTGGCGCCAGATGGCCTTGACCATGGTGTTGAGCCTGAAGAAATCCGCGGACCCCCGCACCAGCGGCCTCCGCATGCTAGCGGAGTCGTGAAGTAGAGGCATGCCCCTGTCAGTCTGGACGATGCGATGGGTAAGGGAAGACTCACGCTGCTCGAGGCGAACGCCTCCTGGCGCCAGATGCCATTGACCGTGGTGTTGAACTTGAGGAGATCCGCAAACCCCCGCGTCAGCGGCTTCCGCATGCTGGCGGAGTCGTGAAGCGGAGACTTGCCTCTGTCAGCCTGGACGATGCGATGAGTAAGGAGAGACTCACGATGCTCAAAGCAGAGGCCTCCTGGCTCCAGGTGGCCTTGACCATGGTGTTGAGCTTGAGGAGATTCGCAAGTCCCCGAGCGCCATCGGCCTCCGCATGCTGGCGGTGCAGTCGTGAAGCGGAGGCTTGCGCAAGAGTGTCAGCTCCTTACATGCTTACCATCCGTTTCTAGGGCCTGCGCTTGGTGTCTGGGTAGAGGCAGGTCGCTGTCGGGGGCCAGGTGAGGTCGGTCGCCGCCATGAACTTTGCAGCATCGCATGAACGAAGGGCGCGAGGGTGCTCGCCTGAGGGCTCAGAAGCAGGTATGAGGATGAGGATGTCGATGACCATCGCCTCGCGAAGGTGAGGGAGCCGATGCTGCAAGACGATGTTGGTGTTGTAGGATGAGGGGTTGAGGAGACAGGCGGCGAAGATTTGAAGGAGGCTCGCTTGGTGTTGAGCCCAACGACTCCATAACGACAGCCGCTGACCCCTGAAAATAGGCCATCGGAATGGCATTCAGGACGTCGGAAACATATTCGAGAGTTGTTTTCATCATGATGAAGCGACTCTGAGGATCTGGGTATGCGCCGGCTACTCCGAAGAGCATTCCGGTGTCCGTGGAGCGATACGCGTGCTTTTCAGTGAGGAAGCAGATATCAAACCACCACAGCAGGTGAGGTAGCTCACATTATGCCTTAGAAGGAGCGGAAAGGGGTCGGCTCCGCACCGCTGGCTCAGGAAGACGCCGGCAGGAGATCATCATGCCCTTCTTCCAAGAATTCGGGGTACACAAAGGGGAATCGTTTGTGCCCAACAAGCAGCAGAATGAACCACGCGATGGCTTAGCAAACGTTCGAAACATGCAGATAGCAAGCACTAGGAATCAGCAACTAGCCTTTTTCCTATGATGCAGCTTTACTCTGGATTGGGTGGGGGTATTTCAAGGCAAATTTCACGTATGTAGCGAGAAATATGCAGGAGGTCAGTATGCGGCCTTCCTTGCAAGGGATTGACCTCACGCAAGCATTCGATCAGGTGTTGGGGATCAGCTCTTTTGCTTCGGCCAATGCTGCAGGTTTTCCTGGGGCTCTGCAGGGGTATATCAAGGCATATCTCAGAGAGTCAGTATGCGACTTGGTCGGCTCGGCCTTGACTTCACGTAAGTATTCGAAAACCACAAATCGTGGGTACAGCGCGCTTCCTTGCGACAGTCCAGGGGCATTTCAAGGTATATCTCACAAAGCCAGCAGGGGAACGCGAAAAGCTCAATCCTGGTTCTCCATTTCCAAGGTTAGCCTCACTGAAGCAAAAGATCCAGGTACTACGAATTGTGAGACTAATTTCTGCTCATCTTGGGCGAGATCTCAGGGGTGTCATAAGGTCTTTATCACATGGCCAGCGCGAAAGGTGTGGGAGGCTCATTTTAGGTTTCCAGTGCTAACATTAGGTGTCATATCCAGATCACAGGGGCTTTAGGAAGGTAAGTTATAAGGGAGGTATATTCAAAACGTCGATTTAGGAGGATTTTAAACGTCCAAACGCCAAGAACTAGACCCTGGAATAGGTATTCCTAGCCTTCCGGGAAACCCTCCGCGCTGCCAAATCTCTTCCCCGCCACCGCCATCCAGCACCGTCAGCTCCAACTGGAAGGGAATCGCACTTACCTTGGCTTCCAATGAAGCTGTCTCTTGGTCCTTTGGCCGTTGGGGATCGAGAATCTAGAAGTAAGTCTTCAAGCTTCATTCATACTCACCCTGAGATGCAGGTCAAAAGGAACTCCAAAACGACTGGCAAACCACATCCATTATTCCCCGCAGGGCAATCCAGTCTTCCTCTCTTATGATGTTACACAAAATTGTAGAAAAAACCAGGACACTCCCGACGCCAGCGCCCAAGCGAAATAAAACCTGTTCTCGGACGCATGTTAGCAGCTGCTTAGCAAAGCATATCCAACATTCAGGGCTTTTCAGGCCCTAGAGATAGGTCGTGCGCAGACAAGGGGCTTGATACTGACAACCTTCTCTGAGCTAGGTGCTCCTCGGAGGCTCACCTCCTTTTCCACCGGCCCAAACCATCTCGTCTTCTTCTTAGTCGTCGTCGTCGTCGTCCCCGGTCTACTTGTCGTTCTCTTCGTCCTGCCTCTACTTGTCGGCCAGTGTCCTGCCCCACCTCAGATCCCCACTCCTTCAGGTATGTCCGTGGGCCGGGTGGCCTAGATCGGTAGGTATAGAGGCAATAGTTGAGAGGATTCTTACACGGTAAGTCCAAGCGCGAATGCGGCGTCGACCGCCGTCCGTGAAACTGGGGAATAAGTCAGCTTATTGCAAATTACGAACTGGCTATGTCGAACTTACACCGACTTTCCGGCTCGGATGCGGAGCCAACACCAATAGATGAGGCACGCGATCTATCTGTGCCCCTATCAGTCTTAGGATTTGCATGCGCCTGATCGGGGGCTTACAGCGACGGCGCAAATTGCAGCCGCCATCCCGACCCATTGCGGGAAGAACCACCACGGCAGGGCCATAGCGGCGAGGTGGGAGGTGAGTGAGGCCTGCGAGAGTGCTCTTAGCCCTTTGTTTGTTGAGCTGGAGGTGCTGCTGCTGCTGCTGCTGCTGCTGCTACCGAACATGGTGGCGATGTGCACTGGCGGTTGGGGGGTTCATTTTGCAGCGTGTCGGGCAATATCAACCTAGGAGTTGATGCCAAGGCTATTCCTTGGCGAGGTTTTGTTTTCTCCTTCTTGTTGCCCCTCAAGATCTATCCTCCATCCTCCTCCACCCCCCATCTCACCAACCTACCTCAACTCTATATCGTTCAAATACAAGCTGCGCTTCTTCTGAGCCTCATCCTCAAGCTCCTCCTTCTTTGCTGCGACCTCCTTGGCCCTATTTCCGAGGGCTGGCGGTGGGCAGCTGCGATGTCTCGGCCGTCCGCCAGCCTCGTCCAAGTCTAGCAGCTACCTCGCAGTCAGAACTTCATCTGCGGCTGCTCTGACCTCTCGACTCCATCATCCAAAGACTGCTTCCTTCTTTACGGCCTCGCAAGCCATCATCACCAGCGTCGGCCGCGTTGCAGAGGCATCTTGCCCCTGCGTCTCGCCCGGCAAATCTCCCTCGGCGGCGTCAACTGTCTCGCCCGTCAACCTCCACCCGCAGCTTCTCAGCGCTCTCTGCTCCCTCAGCTGGCGATGACAACCTGCTTCACAAGCTTCTTCACGGCCTCGCAAGCCATCACACCTACCTCCAGCAACGTGAAAGACGCATTTTGCTCTCGTGACCTACCCCTCCAGCCGCTCCCGACAGCCTGAGCTGCTTCACCAAACACCTATCTTCCGAGGCTGCCTCTAGCTATCAAGATCTTCAGCTTGCCGTGCACCTCCTGTCGAGATCCACGCAAGGCATCACCCTCACATCCAGCGTCATCGCACCTCGCTGCTGCCAGCACGAGCTGCCCCGCTTGGCACCTCCAGTAGCTTCAGCTGCTTAGCCAAGCACTCGCCATCGCAGTCCGCTGTGGGATCTCAAGTCTGCCGACTCCTCCATCCCGTCATCATGGCCCGTCGTCGCAGTCTCCACACCCACCACCGGCGACGTCAAACATCGCCTTTACGCCCATGGGAAGATCTTCATCGGCACCTCTACACAATCCGCCACCTTCCAAAGGCCCTGCCAACGTGGCTTCATTCGGCCTCCCCTCTCTTATGGTAAGCTTGGCACCCTCAGAATCTGACACGTGACCATCGACTAACCTACCTTGCAGTGTCTCCCCTGGAAGCTCCATCACCACATCCGTCTTATCAGCAACATCGTCTTCAAACCTAATCCCAATCGAGCTGCCGTCGCCTTGCTCTTTGACTGCAGAGTCACCATCGGCCAGCATCCTCGAGCTCATTCACCATAAGAGCGCAACGATGTCACATCCAAGCGAGTCCAAAACCCGCCTCAAACACGATACTGATGGCGTTTCCGATCCACTTGCGAGCGCCCTCATATTGCTACATCGCTCACCAGCATCACTCCTCTCAGACTCCGCATTGCACATACCTCATCAACGCTCAACTACTCGCGATCCAAATCAGGAGACACATGGCCACCTCACTGCCACCAACCAACGCCGCAGAAGAGGCTTCACGGGCTTGGGAACCCATCCAAAGTACCCCACTCCCTATTCTTATCCAGTGTTGCTCTTTTTTCTTATTCTTTCCCTATTTGTATCTGGGCGGGCCGGCACCGTGGGTCAGGGGTGGGCTCATTCTTACCCATTCTTACCCATCTATCCTCATGTTTTCCCTATTCCTACCCCATTTTATCCCATTCTTATCCGGACGCCTGCTGGCCGGGAGGGTGGGATTGTGGGTATTTTTACCATTTTTATCCGCTATTCCTATTCATTTTTACGCATTGTTACGGAGTTGGGCGTTCGTTTTTGCATTTTATCCCTATTCTTTTCCTTATTCTTCCTTTTTTTGGGCGGGCGGGTCCCGCATGCCCGGCGGGCTGGGAGGGTGGGATTGGGGTCATTTTTATCCCCTATTTCTAGTCATTCTTATTCATTCTTACTGGTTGCCCGCGGGCGGAAGGGAGGGTCTGGGGTATTTCTACCCATTTTTATCCATTCTTACGGCGTTTGGGCGTTTGGGCGTTTTGTTTTCCATTTTTACCGGTTGCCTGCAGGCAGGAGGGAGGGTTTGGGGCCTATTCCTACCTATTTTTATCGCATTTTTATTCATTTTTACCGGCTGCCTGCTGGCGGGAGGGAGGGGTTGGGGGTATTCTTACCCTATTTTTACCCATTTTTAGCCTTTGTAGGATAGTGTATGATACGTGTAAGATAACCTGGTTGTGTCTTTTGCTTGAGTGATGTTGTGAATACTAAATTGAGTGAGTTGAGTGAGGGTTTTGGAACCGACGTGGCGATGGTAGGGGTGGGTCACGTGGATACAGGATTGCGGACGAGAATGTAGAGGTTTTGAGGAGCTATATTAGACGGATAAATTTAGGGAGTGTGATGCACGTATATTTTACTGCTAAGGCTGATTTGCACGGCTCGGATGAACGTTTTGAAAAGGACTAGGTGATGGCAGAGGTGGATCACGTGAGCTTGAAAGTTCGAAACGGAGGTAGTGGTCTTGAGAGGCTAAATTGGACGAATGGATTCGGCGAGTGTCTTACAGGCACATAGCAACGCGATGACCGATCTGCGCGGCTTTATTGAGGGTTTTGAAGAGGGCCTGGTGATGGAAGGGGTGGATCACGTGGCTGTGAAGATTTGGGGGAGGATGTAATGTTCCTGAGTAGCTAGATTAGACACGCAAGTTTAAGGGGGCAATTTCCACATACTTAATGCTGTGAATGCTGGATTGGATAAAGGGAAAGATGATTCTGGTAAGAGGTCAATAATGGCAGGGGCGGATCACGTGGGTGTGAGAATTCAGGAAAGGATGTAATGTTTCCTGGGTCGCTAGATCAGACGCGTGAGTTTAAGGGGCGCTTTCTACGTGCTATCCACGACGATCCTGGTCACGGCCGGAGTGCCGATGCAAGGCAATTCGGAACGGCTTGCTGCTTCGAGAACGACGGCCCAAGCTCCTTCCAGCTTCCCCACACTGGCGCATGTGGAGAGCTGCAGAGCCCCAGGTGCAGACACATAAGAGCCTGGGATCGCCCCAAATTGGTTTTTCCGCAGCCTTTTACACCTCTCGCCTTCTCAGCTGCGACCTGCTGTTCCCTCTTAAAATTGCATTTGGCGTCGAATATATTCTAATTGAACCGCCAAAGCTCCCCCTTCGATCTGACACCTCCTTCCCAACCCCATAGGATCCGATAATTCGACGATTGTTTTGCGCAGGCAGAATGTCCAAACCAATCCTCCTCCACCTCGGCGACGACATCAAATGGAATCACGAGCTGTACCAGCAGCTGCAGGCGAAATTTACCATTAAGCGCAGCTATAGCATGAGTCGGGCCGATTTCAGCAACGCGCTCAAGGCGAACCAGTTTGGGGATTTCGTGGCTATGTATCGGCCGTTTTGGAACACGGGGGGAGAGATGGGCAATTGGGATGACGAGCTGATGTAGGTTTGTGGTGTTTTGATTTGGTGCTGGGAGACAGACTACATGCTAATTCGACGGGCGTAGTTCGTTGCTGCCGAAGAGCTGTAAGATTTATGCGAGCGCGGGAGCTGGGTTCGATTGGGTTGATACGAAGAGGTTGGCCGAATCTGGTAGGTTGATTGCTTTTTAGTTTTAAGTCATTTCGAGTCCGAGATTCTACTTCAAGTTCCAAAACACCCAAGCTCCATATATCTCAATCCCCTTCCCCTCTCCAACCTTGACACGCTCATATATCCCCTCCAAACCCACCACTAACCCCCCCGGCCCCCCACTAGGCATAATCTACTGCAACGCCGCCGCCGCATGCACCGAATCCGTCGCCGACGCCGGCATCTGGCTGATCCTCTCCACCTTCCGCCTCTTCTCGTGGTCCGCCTCGGCCGCCCACTCGGCCTCGATCCCGGCCTTCCAAGACGCCAACCGCAACATCGCCGCCGTGACCCACAACCCCAACCACTTCACGCTCGGCATCATCGGGCTGGGCAAGATCGGCCACCGCATCGCGCAGAAAGCGCACGCCGCCTTCGACATGCACATCCTGTACCACGACATCCGCCGCATGCCCGCGGCCGTCGAGGCCCCGCTCGGCGCGACGTACTACGCGAGCCTGGACGCCATGCTGCCCGCGGCCGACTGCGTGCTCGTGGCGACGCCGTTCGCGGGCGACAAGCTGCTGGACGCGGCGCACTTCGCCAAGATGAAGAGGGGCGCGCGGCTGGTGAATATCGCGCGCGGCAGGCTGATTGACGAGCCGGCGCTGGTGGCGGCGCTGGCGAGCGGGCAGCTGGGCGCCGCGGGGCTGGACGTGCACTACGACGAGCCGAAGGTGGATGCGCGGCTGGCGGGGATGCGGAATGTGCAGTTGCTGGCGCACACGGCGGGCGCGTCGGTGGAGAGCCACGTGGGGTTTGAGCGGCTGGGGATGGAGAATGTGCTGGGGTTCTTTGAGACGGGGAAGGCGGTGACGCCGGTGAATTTGCAGTGGATTAAGGAGACGGCGAGGCTGTGAGGTGCGCGAGAGGGGGGTTGTAAAAAGGGGAATGAAATGGAGTCTGGATCTTGCGCTGAGGAATCTGACATTGTGTTTTGAGATTGAAAACATGCTGATGGCCGGTCTTACAGTTATGAGAAGGCTGGAGACATCTCAATACCCATGCGCTGATATACAGTGCAATACCCTGCCTCTTCGCTCCATGCCCGGAATCACACCTAGAACTCCTCCCCCTTGCTCGAATCAATCACCAGTACACGAGACGCGTCAGACGCCGTCACCATCCCATCAAACAAACCCATCAACCCCCTCCTTCTCCACCTTCCACCCCAGATGCTTCGTCACCAGCCACCCCATGTTCTGCGGGTCCCTATCCTCTTCCGGCGCATCTTTCAACGCCACCCACGGGTGCTTCCGCCGCTTATAGCACATCTTCCCCCCGTGCTCGTGGTACGAACAGGTCCCGTCCTCCCACTGGTAGGGCGCCGACGCGGGCCGTCGCTGCCCCTCCTCCTCCCGCACCTTCAGCGTCATGAACTGGAACGACAGCGCGTAGAGGAAGTCATCTGGCAGAAGTTCCCGCTTTTCCGCACTGATCCAGTCCGGCTTGCCGGCCGCGCGGTAGTGGTCGACGAGCAGCCGGCGCACGGGCGCGGACGGCGGCGTGTTCTCGTAGATGTAGATTAAGACGGCAGGGTTCCGCTTGAAGAACTCCATTTCTTCCAGCTCGAGGGCCTCGGCATCAATGGTCTCGGCGGCCGAAGAGCCCTCGGAGGCGGTTGTTGCAGAGGTTGGCTCAGATGAGGGGGGAGGCGGGGGCACTTGGCCGATCCTGTAGGGCCCAGGCGTAGGCGCTGGTGCGACGCGGGGCTTGGCGGTCGTGGGGTGGTGTTTGTTGAACTTCTCGACCATGGCGTCGATGACGGTGTCTTTGAAGTCGGAGTCTTGCAGCTTTTCGCCGAGGACGTAGGCGCAGGCGAGGAGTTCCCATTCGTCGGAGTCAGAGCTAGATTTGCAGGCGAGCAGGCCGGTGTACAGCCAGGTCCGGTAGAGGGCGAAGGTGGAGGGAGCGTCATCAGGCAGTGGGACGACGCGTGACTCTGCTTCGGCCCAGGCGCCGTTCATGGCGTTTGCGAAGAATGGACTGCGTGAGCAGACGAGGGATTCATGGACGGAGAAGTCGGTTGGGGGAGATCCGACGCGGACGATGATGGAGAGGAGACCGAGTCTGGGAAGTGTTAGTAAATGCTGGGGAGGATTGCATCTTTCTCAACTCCAGGTCGAATGATTTGACAAGAGACGGAACGAAAATGGACTAGACCAAGTCGGGAGACGGAAACGGTGAATGCAACACAAGCCAGCTGCAATCGGGAACTTACGGTGGCCCTTCATCAACAGCAATCCTCACGCCGCCCCATTTATGCGCGTTCCACTTGTCCTGAATCTCTTTCGTTGTCTTCTCCAGCTCCCCGAACGTCACGCGATTAGCCTCGGGCTTGGAAACTATTCACCACATCAGCTTTCCCATCCTGCCTCGATCCACACAGGAATAAACCACGCACTGTCAACGAGCGACCGACGGTGACCCCTCGAAGGCCGCGCCATCATGGTTGGTGTGCGCGCAGCAATGATGGCGAGTGGGCGTTGTGTTTATGCGGCGGTGGAGTCCGGAGAGTGACCAGAGCTCTCCAGAGCCGTTGCAGTTGTTGGGCGTCAGAAGGCTGAGCATGGGACGATCATAGTCACGTGATTGTCAGCTATCCGCCTGAGACGGGCCGATTAAGGGCCGTGTATTCATCCGTTGCCTTCCGAATATCTTCGTCCGCGACTTTGATGAACGCAAGATGCCACTTGCATGCCACATTGAAGAGCCTAGCTAACCAATAATAGACCATTTTCACGCGCGATGCATAGCAAAAGCGGATAGAACTCCATATGCCATTGCCATCGACCCTCTTTTTTCCGCCAAGTATTGATAGAACCACCAGATCATTTCAGCGCCATGTCAAGGGGCTTCGAAGCATTAAACAACGTATATAAAGGACCAAAAGCCAAAGTATCAAATCTCGCATTCCACATCCGCTCACTTTTCCCAGTCAACCTCAACACCAATCCCATTCCCCTCTCAACCCCCCTCCCCCCTCTCCAACATTCCCCATCTCCAAAAAAAAAAAAATGGGCTGGGCATCCCACTTCTTCTACTCCCAATTCTTCCTCACTCCCCCCCTCCCCACCACCCCCCTCGACTCCCAAGTCTACATCGTAACCGGCGCCAACACGGGCCTCGGCCTCGCCGCCGCCGCCCACCTCGCCCGCCTCAACTGCGCCCTCATCATCCTCGCCGTGCGCTCCGAAGCCCGCGGCCACGCCGCCGTCGCCAACCTCGTCGCCCGCACCGGCCGCCCCGCCGCCGCCTTCGCCGTCTGGCCGCTCGACCTGTCCTCGTACGCCTCCGTGCGCGCCTTCGGGGCCCGCGCCGCCGGGATGGCGCGCCTGGACGCCGTGATCCAGAACGCGGGCGTGCTGCGCGACGAATGGACGGTGGCCGAGGGCGCGGAGAGCACGGTGGTGATCAACAGCATCAGCCCCGTGCTGCTCGGGCTGCTTGTGCTGCCGACGCTGCGGGCGAGCGCGCGCGCGACGGGCGCGACGGGCCGGCTGAGCTTCGTCGGCAGCGATCTGCAGATGCGGGCGCAGCTCGCGGAGGGGACGGGGCGGGAAAGCGCTGGACTGACCTTGTTGCAGGCGTTAGGGGAGGAGCGGAGGGCGGATATGAGCGATCGGTGAGATGGAGTCCTCTTCCCTTGGCGCGTGGGAGTTGCAAAAAGGGATGCTAGCTAACGAGATTTTTTTCAGATATGCGACGAGCAAGTTGCTGCTTGTTCTGGCTGTTCGCGCCCTCGCGCAGCAGAGTCCGCTGACGTCGGAGTCGGATGTGATCGTTAATGTTGTCTCGCCTGGCGCGTGCCAGAGCGATCTCTTCCGCAGTGATGCGTCGTTTGGGATGAAGATTGCGGTGTGGATAATGAACCATGTCATAGCGCGCAAGACGGAAGTCGGGGGCAGGGTGCTTGTGAATGGTGCGAGTCCTGAGCTTGGCCCGGAGGCGCATGGGGCGTTCATTTGGGATGGTATTAAAGGGCCTGGTGGGCTTGCGGAGGGCCCAAAAGGCAAGGCGCTGCAAGAAGAGTGGCAGAAGGAGTTGTGGGCGAAGTTGGAGTCCATCCAGCCCGGGGTAACGCAGGTCTAAGAGCTGGTTGTCAGAGTCTTCGGTAGAGGGCTTAAGTTATAAGAAGCGGTGATAGACAATACCCTGAATGTCGCATTTTTCAATTCACCTCTTTCACGTATCCAAAACACCTCCAAGCCCTACTGTCTTGGCCATGAAATTACCTTTGTTTCTTTGCACTAGTGCAATGCGTCTCAGACGCTAGCAGGAGCTTGACAACAGCCAGTCTTACGGCGCCTGATCTCATGTCAACTCTCTTGGCGCCCCTAAAAGTGTCCCATCTAAAGTGTCCCAAAGATACAGCGCCTGCCCGCGTCCGGTGAACTAGCGCGGATATCAAGCCACAAGAGTCAGCTGCAAAGGAGGGATAGTCTCGAAAGTAGTCCAGACAAGGGCTTCCTCCGTTCTAATCCCATCTAGTGCACCTGTGTCGTCAAATCCGCGCTAGTTCACCGGACGTGAGCAGGCGCTGTACACGTACGGTTTCGCACCTCGGGGATATCGCACTAATCCCAGCGCCTATCCTATGATGCAAACCACCTCAAACGGCATCAAACGCATGGCAAAAGCACTTCCAGTCCACCGGTCTAACTTCGCTATACCTGAACTTTACATCCTCTCCCAAACTCTCATTTCCACGTGATCCACCTGGTTTAACATTGATTGCGGAGTTGCACGGGACAGTCAGATGATAGAGAGGTGTTGTATATACATTAAACCAAGCGCCTGGAACTCGATGGGTATTGCCAAAAAAAAATACAAGTTTGGAGATATCTCTCCGAACGCCTCGTTGTATGATCGTATAGTACAGTCCCAGTCGTAAATAAAACATCCAGGACAACAAGCAACGCTGACACCCACTCGTTAGAGCCCTCATAGGCTTCTATCCATAATATGAATACCTTTGGAGAATTGATTTTTGTTCGTCGTCCGTTCAGGACCATGGCCCGTTCAGAACCACGTCGGCAGCCCCATAAGATTCGCCCCCGTGCTGATCGTCTGGCCCGGGATGACAGCTTTAGGATCAACCTCCATTCCATACTCCCTCACCATGTCGTCCCAGTTGGCCCAGTCGACAGATCCGTCATCCATGACTGGAGAGCGGAATGGGGAGTTTGAGCTGTGGTTTGAGCTCTCGTTCGGGCTTGTGTCGAAGACACTCGGATTCCCGTTTCCGAGTGTCGGTAGGCCGGTGGTGTCGCTGTAATCGCCTGCCAGTGGTTCTCCTATCATGTTGTCGCCCATGACGTCAGTCATGAGCCAGTCGAAGCCCATGCTCGACAGGTCTTGGAACTTCTGCGCTTCGACATTGACGGGGCTGCGGATTAGCGGGCTGGTCGCGGGTAAGCTTGTCGGTTGGCGCGCAACGGGGTTGTCTCCCAGACGTGGAGCAGTTGGTCGGAGCATGGCATCCAGCTGCTGGTGGGAGGTTCCCACGGAAATGGAAACGGGGGTGGGGAGTTGGGTGAGGTCTGCAAACGGCAAGGTTTGGGTCCTGAGGTTAGCTGCGGCGCGCTCAAGGGCCAGCTCTCGTTCCCTAGCAGCTCGAGCTTTTGCCATCAGCTTCCGGAGCGGCTTCCAGAGACACCCTTGTCGTCCTTTTCGCTCGGGGTTGCTGGCGAGTGGGAACCACCACCGACTCGCGGACTTTTCAAGGGCTCTCCAGGCACGTTCGACAGCCTCGCCTTTGGTGCGGACGCAGAGCTCAGATAAGAGGAAGGCGATTGCGTGCCATTGGACGTAGGTTCTGAATAGCCACCCCCATTTCATGGTGCGGGCTTCGGTCTCGAGGAGGGCGGCGTATTCGATGTTCTCCAGCGAGGTGATGAAGAGCTTGTCTTTGGTTTCCTGAGGGAGACTAGCACCCCCGTCTTTCCGTTGGTGTGGATGGTATACCACTAGCCACATCTGCACAGGTTAGTATATTATACGCTGACAACAATTGTATGTAACTGACCTTTGACATGACCAGTCGAGAGATGGTTGCCGTCACCCAGTACAGAGGAATCGTCATATCACAGCTTGAAAGATATTTTTCTTCCAGCCGCTGATGGCATTCGGTAATCCACTTCTCCTTCTCTGGAATAGTCAGGTTTGCAAAGTAGGTATTGCACCGATTGGGCCCCGGGGGAATGTAGAGAATACGGCGAAAGATATTCGCAACCTCAAAACGTATGATACAGAATGTCATCTCCGTGAACCCGATCCGGCTCTCTGGGAAGTCCTTCATATTGGGATCAAGGTCCGCGTCGTTCACGTTGAGAGGCATCTGTGTATCGAACTGCGCTTCGACGATAGTTGGGTCACATCCATGATCCTCTGAGGCTCTTGCGTCTAAGATGCAGACCTCCCACCATAGCCGTCGCCGCATCTCGACCTCGAACGGGGGCAGGTTGAAATGGCTTCCATCTCGATGCACACCGAGCGTCTGTGCAATGCGTACAACAAGTCCAGTAAGAGTCCAGATAATCCTCGCGTCGTCGTTCCGTCGGAGGAGCATGAGAAAGAGTACAAAGGCCTGAAGAATGATGATTTCGTCACAATATAGGAAATTGGCTCGAGCTAAGGATTGCTCGACCGCAAAGCGATACTTTTTGAGTAGGACCGACCGCTCTTCGCCGAATATCTCGAGGCACTCCTTCGGCATCTGGCTGGTCACCGCTCCGTAGTATATGACGAACAGAAGGGCCTCGAGGCCTTTTGGTATCTTGTCCAGGTGGGTTGCCGCCTCCAGTATCACAGGTTCGATGGTGGGTACGTGCAGCACTTTGACCAACGGATCGACGTTCTCCTTGAAGAGATTCCAGTATGTGCCTAATCGCTCCGGGGAAGGGTGTAAATCCAGCATATTGACGTTGGAAGAGCTGTATCCGAACAGAAAGCTCTGATGATCGGCAGTAGAGGTCGACGTATCGGGAGAATCAAGTGCATCCTCCTCCTGCTCGGAGGGATCGAGGAGTATGCTTTTGAGGTCTTCGACCTATCGCGCCTATTAGCTTCGTTCTTCGTGTCTTCGAACTGCGCAACATACTTCATTGTTGAGACTCGCCCAAAAGCTGTTATTTATATACCGACTCCTCCCCTGATCCACCACCAGCCGCCCAAACCGATTCTCCAGTCCCTCGACCGAATTATCCACCACCACCCGCGGCGACTCGGCGCCCATGGGGCAGTGCGGCTTCGAGTCGCCCTCGGCCGTGGAGCCCTGCCTGCTGGCGCCCTCTCCGCTGCCGCCATGCGCCTGCTGCTCCTCCTCGACCTGCGCGTTCAAGCTCTGCACGACGCCCTCCAGCTTGCGCAGCCGCTCCATCAGCTCGCCGTCGGGCGGCTTCCTCGACTTGCGGGGCGCGCGCCCGGGGCTGGGGAACACGCACTCGATCTTCGCCTTTGTGCAATTGCTGCACGGGTTGCGCTTGTCGCACTTGACCTTGCGCTTGCGGCAGGTCACGCAGGAGCGCGGGTGCGTCGCGCCGCCGATGCTGTTCGTGCGGGGCAGCATCTGGGCGGCGCCATTCGCGCCGGTTGGCTTCTGCACGCGGTCGTGGGCGGCGGAGGTGTGCAGCACGGCGTACGCGGGCTCGTTGAAGTCCTCCGACATGGCGAGCGCAGGGTTGAAGTGGCTGGGTGGTTGCAATGGAGAATCGGGCAGTTCACGGTGGCATGAGGGAGATGGCGAGGATTTTGAAGGATCGGGGCTGGTGTGCATCCCTGCGCGTCGGGGCTTGCTTTGTCTCCAGCCCCCGATGCCTCCAGACGCACGATATGCAGCCGCCTTTGCGCCGCGTCCCCAGACGATGGCGGCTTGCAGGGCTGACGGAGGGGATGACTCAGAAGGGCGAGGGCCAGCGCTGTGAGTGGCAGGGCTAGCGCTGTGAGTGGCCGGCTTGTACGAGGGCGGCATCCCGTGTGGCCCATGGTGTGGGGCGCCGCACCTATCCCGTCGCCCGCGCCTCCTCCTAGGAGTACTGTGTATGCTGACTTGCGGGAAGTGCCTTGGGACTTGGCCATCTGATCTCCAGATCTGATAAAGGTTGCGAGTGATTACGAAGACGCGACGAAGATCCTGGCTATACTTGCCCGGCCGATGGCCGATGCCCCAGGCCAGGCCAGAACCCTTGGATTCTCTCTTCTATTGTATAAAGCCACCTTGCAGATCTCTATCGGTAGGACTAATTATGGGCCATGTTTAGAAGAGCTTTAAGAGTCCCGTTTAAGAGTCACGATGTTGCTCTATTGCTCTCCACAGTACATTAATTCTCCAGAAATCCAAAAACGGCCAACCACCCCCCCTCCCATCCCCTCCTCACCCCAGAAGCAATCACGCGCCTCTATCCCCTCCCCCTCGCCCCCAACACCCAACTGCTGCCTAACCTCCTCACATGTAAACCCCCCCCCCCCCAAAAGGCCTCAACCGACTGACGTACTGCCTACGAAATCAAGGCTAGCTCCCCTGCCCTCTCCGCCCGTAAGGCACGCCACGCCCACATGTGCAACAGGGTTTAGCGGCACCCTCCCTCTCGTACGAAGCCCTCGTACGTACTCGTACATCCCCAACCCCCAAGCCTTCTCGAATCCCATCACCGCAGAATCTTTCAAAAACCCCGCGTAATCTCCTGACCCGCGAACCGCGTCCAAGGGGCCGTCGCCCAGCTTCTCAGGGCCATCTTCCAGACTGATTATAAATCACTGCTGCGGTGTAGCGCATCTCGTGTGTGTTTGTTGGACTGCATGTTGCTTGGATGCGGTTGGTGCATGTCGGGGTTCCTGTGCGTGCGGAGCGGGCAGGGCGGAGGAGACGGAGATGTCGGAGTTGGGGTTGGGGTTGGGGTTGGGGTTGTGAGAATAGGTCCGGGGGGGGTGCGCCGTATAGGTGGGCTATTTCCCTTCTTTTGGCAGTATCAGGCATGTCAAGTTTGTAAATTTGCAGAGTTTTATGCTATTAGAAGTCCTCTTTGGTCTCCAATGACGTTCCAAAAGCCAGAAAACAGCCTTTGAAACGTCGGAGGATATAAGAGGCATCCTATTGGAGCTATGTAAGTAACCCGGCCACTTGTCCAAGCGGTATACCAGAACCGTGGATACTCCTTACCCATCTCCCGGAAACCGTACCGAACTTCCGTACGCCTCGCTATTACATCCGTGCCAATGCATGATCCGAAACGGGAAACGTGAAGCCAGAAGGGCCCGAACAACTATCTGAAGCGGTGCTCGCCGCGACCGCCAGTGTTCCTCTCCCTACGTCTCCGGCCCTGCTCCGACTCCCGCGACTCCTTGTCCTCGGCCTCCTCTCGCATCTCACGATCGACCTTCTCGCGAATGCGCATGATCTGCTCCTCTGTGAGGCCGTGATTGTTCACCACAACGCTCGGGGCGCCTTCCAGGTAGCGGAGGTTCTCCATGGCGTGCGCGACGAGCTTCTGCAACTTTTCGCGCGTGTTCTGGTTGTCGTGACGCTTGGTGTTATGCAGATTCGGGTAGAGCATGCCACCGCCGTTCTCGGTGCCGTCGAAGGCTTGCAGGTACGGCAGATGCATGGGCAAGTTGTTGTGAAGCTCGGATCCGGTACAGACGGCTGTCTCGTGGCACCAAGTGCGGGCAACATTGCGTGGGGTGTAGCCGCCGCCTCCAATGAGGAGCAAAGGGATGTTGAAGCTCTTAACATGTTCGACACAGAAGCCGTGCGCTTTGATGTTGAGATTGAAGCGGCCGAGACGGTCTCCGCCAAGCGAGTCTGCTCCACACTGAAGTACGATAGCTGTAGGCTGGTATTTCGAGATCACTGCGCCTGTGACGGTCTTGAACAGCCACTTGTACTGCTCGTCGTCGATACCGTCTTCGAGCGGGATGTTGAGCGTGTGGCCTTTTCCACGGTTGGATGGGTCCGTGGGGCCGACCTCATTGATGTTACCGGTTCCTGGGAAGAAGCCTGCACCCCATTTATCTAATCCATACTTGTGGTATGATAGAGTAAAGACTCGGTCAGTGGACTCGAAAGCCTGCTCGACGCCATCGCCATGGTGGACGTCTACGTCAACGTAGAGCACGCGCTGGTTTTGGGTGAGAAGGTGCTGGATGGCAAGCACGATGTCGTTGACGTAGCAGAAACCAGAGGCAGCATTCTTCTTTGCGTGGTGCAGACCGCCAGACCAATTGATCGCAATATCGGATTGGTGGTTTAGCAGGTTATGGGCGGCATGTACAGAGGCACCGCTGTAGAGAGAGACGTAGTTCCAGAGGCCGTCGAAGACTGGACAGTCGTTGGATTCGCCACCAAAGCCAAATAGCTCTAGATATTTGGCCTTCTCTGGGTCCGAATCCAGGTTTTGCGGCGTGATGCTAGATTGAAGTGTCAATGCCAAATGGACCGCGAAGAACAAGAATGTTTGAGCGGATTATACCTCTGGAGGAAGCCCAAATACTGGCGGTCATGGAAGATGGCTAGCTCGTCGAAAGTAGCAGGTCGCGGTTGATACAGATCCATGGCATACTCAAGGCCGTATGCGAGGATCAATTGCTTTGCGAGGGTCAAGCGCCAGGGCTTCATGGGATGCGAGCTGCCGAAGTGGTGATATTCGACTTCGGCATTGTAATGGAACGAGACGGTGTAGCCTTTTGGTTTCTCGATGCCGTTCTCGTCGGCCTCCCGCTGAATGACGGCCTCCTTCGCGTCGGCATCCATGTTCTTGAAGTCGCCGTAATCGACCGCCCATGGCTCTTGGGGCTCCCAGTCCTGGACAATCTGGTTCGATCGCCCATTCGTCGGGCCCGGCATGAACCTCATGTTGGGGGCCATCGGAGCCGCCGCCGCCCTCTTGCGCTCGTTTCGTGCGGAGTACTTGTCGGGAGGTCCAATAGCTATCAAGTTCAGAATGTCTTCCCACTTGAGCTTAGTGTTGGAAGTCCTCGAGAGCGGCTCTCCCGAGTCGGCAACAGTGACGATGTAGTCTTCAGCAGTTAGTCCGGTCCAATCTCTGGCAGGCTTGGATGATCTTGATGCACGCGGGCGAGTGCGCTTCTGCAGCAACAGCAACTCACTACGTCCCGGTCCCTCAGATGCACCCCTCTTCTTCGACCCAGAGGCCTTGGAACTAGCCGATTCGCAGCCAGAAGCGTCTGAATTAGGGGCCTCGATACCAAGCGACAATTTGGTGAGCGCAGTGTTGGCCGATCGAAGAGTACGCTGCGAACGGCGCGGTGCTCTCAGGTCTACTGGCGTTGGAGGCTCGTAGCTGCCGGAGGCGTCTTTGCTAGATTCCGGCGACGGATGCTCTTCTTCGTCGGATTCTGCGTGGTCCTGGGCTTCCTCGAATGGCCTAAATTCGATGTCAGTTTGGATGGTTTTGACTGGTTTGGACTGGGGCTGCGGGATGCGGGCGCTGTACAGGGCTGAATCGGCGCCATCCGCCATTTGGCTGTCGCATGTGGCGTCCATCTTGGCGTGCGCTCACGTGCAGCTGGACAACCTCTTTGACGATGCGCCGTTGGTCGTCAGCGTCAAACACAGACACCGTCGACGTGGTGTTGAGCGGACGACGTGAAGCAGAAGAGACGGTGATTCAACGCCACGGCGCGACAGAAGGTGCGCGTTGGAACAGTCGGGTGAAGCCCGCCTTCACCTCGTGCAGCCAGAGCGACCTCGAGTCCCACAGGCCGCCACCGCGCCTTCACCTGCTTCAGCACGTCGATTCCATCAATCTTTCATCAGAATCTTATCTATTGCTATCCTTTCCATCCACTCCCATCCCAGTTCTGCCACTCGACACGCTTCTCTGCGCTCAAACACCACAGATCCAAACGCCAAGACTATCAAAGTGGCCTCTCGACGACGACCATGGCCATCCAGGAAGACCCCGCCTCTGTGCTGGACCAGTGGCTCCATGATGGTGAGTTCATTCACTCATTCTTAGATACGACGGTCTGACTCTTCCTGCAGTGGCGAATCTGCCGGCAGAAATCTCACATCTGTACGAGGAGATGCAGGCCAAAGAGCAGCAGATCCAAGACTGCAAGAACGTCATTGCTGGCCGCGACAACAGCCTGCAGAAGTTCATCAAGTTGAACGGCAGCCTAGTCGTCAACCCCAAAGAGGAGCCCTACAAGAAGGTCATCCGCGAAAACTACGACAAGGCCATCGTCCTCCAGAACGAGAAGGTCGCCCTGGCCGAGAGAGCACAGGCTTTGGTACGTCTCCCCTTCCGCGCTGCCTACATTCACCGCTCACATGACCAAAGTTCGACCGCCACGTCAAGCGACTGGACATCAAGATTCGCGATCTCCAGAACGACGGCTCCATGGCCATCGACCCCCAGCTGCCAACTCTGCTACGAGAATCCATGGGTAACTTGGTCCCGCCCCTGTCTGCCACCAACACAGGCGCCAACACGCCGCTCAACCCTTTGTCGGGTAACACCGGCGGAGGCTCTAGCATTGCCAATGCTGCCATTGCTCGCATCGTATCCGCCACGTCCGGGGCTGGAAGGGCTAATCCGCCTGCTCTTCAGAATATGCAGACGCAAGCCCTCCTCAACCAACAACGCCTCGCCAACGCCCAGACTGCTTCCCAAGCAGCAGCCCGACAGGAACGCGAGATGTCGGCTAGCAGCGATACCAAGCGACGTCGTCTCAATGCTAGCCTTGGCGCCCTACCTCCCGCTCCGTCCTCTCTCGCTCGACAGTCTTCACTCGGTCCAGGCACACCAAAGCCTTCGACGCCCGGAGGCAGTCGCGCGGGAAGCGCGGGACCAAGGCCGCAAAAGCGGGCTCTAACAATCAAAAAAGCAAATCCTCAGCAGCCGTTGCGCAAACAGCTGGGCAACAAGGCGGGTCTTTCCAAGAAGTCCCGTCGTCGTCTGAATGGCGGGTCACGTGCTTCTCCATCCACGACAGCGGACGACGAAAGCGGAAGAAGCGAGGGCGGCACCGAGGACGAAGAGATGACTGGTGTTGGCCACGACGGGGCAGCCGATGCCGACGACGACGAGGGAGATGATACCAAGTACTGCTTCTGTCAGAGCGTGAGCTACGGCGACATGGTGGCCTGTGACAACGAAAACTGCAAGTACCAGTGGTTCCACTGGGACTGTGTAAACATCAAAGAAGAGCCAGTCGGGGACTGGCTGTGTCCCGAATGTTCCAAGCCGGGGACCAAGGTCAAGCGGGCTCGTTGATGTTCTTGCTGGTTCGAGGATATTGAATAGGATATCAGAAATTTCGAGGTAATATGAGCGCTTGTGTCAGCATTTGGACAAATCAGGACTACATTAAGCGCGTTTCAAACGCCTACCTGGTAAGCTTGGCGCATGTTACTAGCGGGTCAGTAGGATACCATGCGGTTCCGAGTGCGGGTTGGAAAAACATGTTTCGACGGCGGGTTGGAAAAGCATGATATTTCGACAGCAGTTTGGGAAGAAAGCATGTCGTTTCTCATGGCGGCAGGCTCTCCTGAACGTCATTTACACTATATACCCATTATACCCATGTTCCAGTTTCTGAGGCAGAACAAGCTTTATCACGAAAAGACTGTGGGCCCGAGATGGATCGACGACGCGTGAGCATGATCCCTTTCTATCCTGGCTATACAGGGTACCAAGCAGGCTCTTCGGAATATAAAGTGGCAACTCACAAATGCTGAGGAGTTTATTCTGAAACCTCCCGCACTAAGACAAACTCCCTAAGCTCGTATACGCTTGCCTTATACTGCTTGAACTTTGGAAGTCCTCTAGTAGTGTACCTACATTATCAAAACTGGCAAAGAGGCCGGCGCAGCAGGCCTGATAGCTCTTTTGGCCATTCCAAAGGGTGCTGGACTGCCGCTTCATATGTTCAAGGGAGCCTGAGTTATCCCTCCCTGGTCCTAGCTAGACAGGGGCCAAGGGGGTTCTTGGAGTTGTATTCAGCAAAATCACCCTCCTTCAGCCGACCCGGCCGCGCTCAACAAATGGCACCTGACTCTTCTCAGGCTCTATTCTGCCAAGGAGGCTGAAGACACTGGCGCCCTGTATCGCGGGCGGTCGTTCCAAGTGCGCCATTCGCTGCAACTTACCCGCGGCGCCAAAGTCCACTGTTGGCCTTACAGTTGTTAGACTAGCCCGCCAAGAGCGAAAGGGGCCATAGCGAGGGAACCACACTCCGTCTGCTCTCCCTGCAGGCGGCTCGTCCTCCCTACAATACTCTCCTTTGGCCCTCTGTGCTGCTTTGATTGCTTGCTGTGACGAGATTCTGTGCTTCTGATTGCCACGCCCACGCTCCTTCTTTGTTCAGTGCTGCGCTCCTTTCACCACAGCGGAACTCAAAGGTCCCACGCCAGCCACGCCGAGTCCCGTCTTTACCTACATTTCTCGTTTCACAGTTGTTACTGCCCGGACGCCACTCCGCATCGAATGGTGCGCAGCGATTCGAAGCCAGATCTCCGTTCGTGTTGTGTGGCCCCGTTGTAGCAGCGCCCTCGAGTCTTGCCTGCATTCCTGACCGCTAGGCGCTTCGGCGTTCGCTCTGGCATCCTCGCGAAACACCATGAATGGCCGCAATGGCACCCTGTCTCCGGTTTCCACAGACAGCAACGATTGGTCCCCAATCTCGAGATACCAGAATCTGAACGGCGACAGTCCATATTCGCCCTCAGTCCCATACTCGCCCGTAGTCCCCAACAATAGAGGCATCACGCCCCCTACATCGGTCCACACAAGCACGAGCACAACGGATGGGGGAATGTCGAATGGGCTACCAAACGGTCCGGGGCGGCGGCGGCCAAGCAACGGCAATCCATCACCCCCCAGCTCTGTTGGCCGATCCAGCGACGGCACCGGACTCTACGCGTCAAGCATGACTGATGCGAGCATCAACAGCCGCAAGGCGCTTATACTGGAGGAGACGCTGTCGCAGCACTTCGCAGTGTTGAAGGTGTATCTGGGTCCATACCTGCGGGATGAGAAGGGAAACCTGCGGCCGAGCCGAGCAAAGGACAAGCTCACGCGACTATCACAAGTCCAGTTCCAGGAGCTGAGCACCGATGTCTACGACGAATCGCTTCGACGAGAACAGGAGCGCAAGAAGGGCGGCCCCAATGCGCCGGGAAACGATACACCCAAGTTTTTGCTGCCGAAGAATAATTTCCACCCCAAGCGGAATCAAGCCCGCCAGAAGCTCTCCACCCTACCCCTTGAGCGCTTCCGACAACTCGCTACCGACGTCTACTACGAATTGGACCGACGATTCCCCCGCTTTAGTGGAGGAGATATTGAGCGGATCGGCAGTCCGGCTGGGAGTGTTGCCAGCAGAGGCAGCGGTCGTGGTCCACCGAGTCGCGGCGGCACACCCAACAGTATGAACGGCGCACCACCCCCCGGATTCCGTAGACCGCCACCACCCCAAGGCGGCATGCCGTATCGCAATGGCCCGCCAGGTCCTCCTCCTCCAGGTGGTCTGCGGCCAGGCTCTCAGGCCAGCCAAGGCGGTGACTTTGGTCGGCCACTCCCCAAAACCTTCCAGAGCAACACGATAGTCCCGAACAAGAGTACCATGGTCGAAGACGATGATGATGGCAGTGGTATGGATGACGATGATGACGATCAGGAAGATGCATTCAACCTCGAAGGGGCGACGACCCGGCAGAGCAGGCGGCAAACCAACAAGAGCTTGAAGAGCGTGAAGAGCATGATTGGGCCTGGGGTATGAGTTCCTCATTATTCCCTGCTTTGAAATCCCATTAACCACCTCGCAGCAAGAAAAGCTCTTGACGGACCTTCAATCGCAGGTTTCACAGCTGCAGGGCAAAGTCGACACCCTTGAGGGTGATCTAAAGACCAAAGAAGAAGAGGTTGAGAAGTTGACCTCTTCAGTGAGGGACCGGGAGAACGTATGTCAAGGTACCCTTTCTAGGCTAGGGTCAGAACTAACATGCTCAGGCTTCATCATCACAACAAGCTGAGTGGGATGAATTGCGGTCCTCCTTAGAAAGCAAAGTCAATGACGCCGAGAACCTCAACTCCTCCCTCCGCTCCGAGATCGACAAATTGCGCAACGACAACTCCTCAAAGGAACGCGAATTCGACGCGCATATCAATGAGCTTCAGATGGAGGTGCACAATCTAGAAGACCAACTGCAAAACCAGAGCTCGAATGGTCAAGGCGAAGAGTGGCGCCATCGGTACGAGGATCTCGAACGGGAGCTTACCAGCCAACAACAAGTCACGGAAGAAGTACGGCAACAGGCCTCGCAATTTTTGCAAGAGATGAAGGAGCTGTCGAGACGTAACGACCAGACACTAGAAAAGGAGGAACGCCTTCAAGGCCAAGTATCTAGTCTCGAAAGCGAGCTCAGAGATTGGAAGTCTCGCTATGCGGTTGCTAAGACCAAGCTCCGGACTCTCCGCGCTTCGTCCGTCGGCTTGGGCATGGCCATGCACTCCCCAGAGTTAAATGGCTTTTTGAAAGATAGAAGCTTCGCCTCACCCGATGGACTCGTGAAGGACATTCATGTCACCAAGTTCCAGCTCAGCATCGACGAATACCTGCAGGTGGCTAGGAGGGAGCATCCGCAAGCTCTACTGGACTCGATGAAGAATGTGTTTGTTTGCGTCAAGAACATCACTTCGGACATTGGCGCCAGCAGTCCTGCATCATCGCCTGCATCCAGGAATGGGAGTGTCTACACCGATAGCGGGAGTGCCAGTCCAGACAAGCAGCAGTCAAAATTGAAGGCACAGGTTAGTGCAACGACGAATAACCTCATTACTGCCAGCAAGAATCATGCCTCGTCCGCCGGCATGTCCCCAATCAGTGTCGTAGATGCTGCCGCAAGCCATCTCAGCACAGCCGTGGTAGAACTCGTCAAATTCGTCAAGATCAGGCCTACGCCTCCAGAGGAGCTTCAGGAAGAGGAGGAAGCCGACAGGCCAATGCCCCTCAACTCGCATGGTGCTGGCGGCAGCCCCTACGGACTCGGAGTTTCTGGTCTGGGATCTGGTCATATGAGACATCGTAGCCGCGGCGGAAGCACAGACTCGGCTAGCTATCGAACCAGTCTCAACTCGCCCCGCCACCCACATAGCAGCTGGGCGAGCCGGAAGAGCCTGAGCGGTATTATCCCAGAGGTAGACAGTGGCATGTCTGATTTGAGGGTATGATATGAGCATCTATTCAGGCGAAACGGAGCGTAATTAACTTGTTACAGACCTATCTCGACGACCAAACCGCTCTCCTAGTCCAGAGCATTCAGCCACTCGTCCACGCCATCCGCTCCCTTCCCCCTTCAGCCGTCATCCCAGAGCAGGATTCTCTTCAGTTGTCGAACTACATTTCCGACATCGGCCAAGCAGTGCAAGACACCGCGCTCAAGGTGCAGGAATCAGTGGCGGCGCTCAAGGACCCGGCGCTCAAGAAGCATGCACTCCCTGTGGTGGAGACGCTGCAGGACTGCAGGACTGGCATCATGAATGTGGATGTGCGGACAGAGGGCAGGAAGGAGGTCCCGCCCCTAGCGTTCCGCACTGCCAAGGCTATGAAGGTGAGCCAACCTCCCGTCTATATCAAACTTACTTTCGCAAGTATAACATGCTAACTATGTAATTAGGAACTCATGCTCCGCGTCGAGCGCATCGAGAATGGCGACTTGAAAGTCGAGATGCCCGTCGTCACCGACTACTGATCCTTTCCTCCTCTGAATGTTTCTTCGCTTCCCATCAGCATACGCCTGATTAAATACGCTTTCCTCTTCCCGCTACAACGTGAGGCCATGGACCTCATATCCCTTTCTTCAGGGCGGAGGGCGGGCTATCCTCCCTTCTTTCCCCTAAACTTTCTCTTTTCTAGTTGCTCACGGAACACGGACACGACCTCCTCATGCTCTCTCTCTCCGTCGGCGGTTCTGGTTTTTTTGCAACATTGCGATGGAGCTAAGGGTCGAATTTCTTTTCATTGGGTGCGAGTGGGGCTTTTTTTGAAAAAGCACTGATGACGTTGGAATGGCTGAGGCTTGTGTTTAATTTCTGAACCTAGGAGGGGGAGGCGAGGGGAGTGATTTAGAGTATGTGGAGGGTGGTTTGGGGTGGGAATTAGAGAGTGGGGAAGTGGTAAGTGTACGGTAGATACGTAGGAATGAGAATGATGTGATTGATTGGCTGGTTCAGAGATGTGTGGTGGCCCTGAAGACCTGTTTCCAACCCCTTCACATCGAATAACACTAGATCTTGTGTTTAAGCGCATCAACCTCCTAATAGTTGGACTCTATTCTTGCTCGCTCGATACCACTGTTAGGAGCAGCCGAGCTAGCAAGTAGCCCGTCGATGAAAGAGTGGCCCAATTTCCACTTTGCTTCACATTCAGGGTTTTAGAAGGCCACAAGGCTCACACATAGATTTTCCCATCCAAAATCTCTTTAGTCTCAGCACCGACTGGCTCTGCCGCTGTCTGAAATGCCTCGACACCTCTATGAACTACTCCTTGTAGTTTGCCCCACAGCACTATCTGTTAAGCTTGCTGGGCCACCTCTGACGGAGCCCCGATATGTTGCAGAGTTGTGATTTAGCACGATGCGTCATGACGGTCACGCACACTCAAGGATAGCAAACAAAGGAAGAGATAGTAGTGGGGTATCATATCATAGGCAAGGCTTTGTTGTTTTAGAGTAGATTTGTAGACAATTGTCAATTGTGTTTTAGCGATTGGCTACTTTGGAGCAGATAGCAGATCTGTAAATCACGACATCCAGATCTGGAACCCGGATCGAGAACTGAAAGCAGATCTCCTGTCCCAAGACGTCATGATAAAGTGACTGTTGAATGTATTCATCTTTGTATGTTTTCGTAGTCGCCTAGCGTACCAGAGTATATACAAGTGAATAGATATCTATATTTCGCCAATCGAAAAATAGTAACAGAGCCCAGAGTCCCTTGTTCGACCCTCCTTCTCATGAAGCTTCGATAAGAGCTTCTAGAAAGCCACACGGCAGGGCCGATCCAAGACCATGTGCATACCCGAGGGTGCCGGTTTGTGCTAGCGAGAGGCCGGACCCAGGCTCGCGGTTAGGTTGCAGTAAGCTCTGCCGAGTCCGCGGTGCCACTTGGCGGGTTTTCTTGATCGCAGACCTTACGATGTCTCTCACGCGATCTGTGATCTTGACAGTGTGACAGTGACGTGAAAGGAAATGATTCCTAGCTTGTGACGCTTGGAGAGTTGGCAGGATGAACCTCATGAGCGCTGCCATTTGCCAATAGCAAACGACGCCCCGCAATCTCGCTATCGACCAATGGACTTGAACGCCTATCTACAGCTTCATCGTCGTTGCTCGATTGAATTTGACATTGGTGCCCGCCTGTCAGAACACCAGACTGGCGCCAAGGGGCGATTGTGCGGTTTCCCGGCCAGGCCTCGCCGCGGTGGCCGTATCTCGAGCTCCTAAGCCCACGTCGGCGGAGGAGGCAGACGCTTCGGGCACCTCCGAGTGGCCACCCCACGACACTCCACGATGTGCTCCACATACCACGCGGTTCGCGGCACCGTGGAACTGCCTGTCAGAGTGCTGTCGTGCCGAAGTGGCTGCAGCAGCTCAAGGTTGGAGACATGCAGCTTGGCCACCCCCGATGCGCGTCGTCTCCATGCAGGGCGCGACCAGCCCTACTGGAAGAAGGCTGTCGACAATTCCACGGCCTCGATGCACCCGCTGGCTGATCTCTACATCTCCAGCTACCCAGGCCAGGCCGCGAAGAACTGCTGCAGTGAGCCTGGCCACGGCAGCTAAGCGCGGAGGACAAATTCTCGAACGTCAGCCAGCATGCTGATTGGCGCGCGTCTTATCGCGAAGAACACGGTGCTGGACGCCATCGGGGAGCTGCGCGATGACGGGCGGAAGAGCTGGCCGCTTCAGTCCACACTCTGGGGTCCCATGCTCGGTATCGCCAGGCCAGTTGCTGCAGGACATGCTTTTTCCCCTAGTAAAACGAACGCTTGACGAGCTGTGAGCGCGGGGGAGTATTTACGGGATGCTCACGGATCTGATACTGGTACTAGATTGCCGTTTGTACCGAGTGTTGCAAGAGATGTAAGCAGTGAAACAAAAGCGCTGCCGCAGGGGGCGCTCGGACAGCAGCGCAAGTCGCCGCTTTCACGGTGAACGCCTTCTCTCCTCGATCAAGCGTCCGGCCCCGGGTGGCAAGCGGCCGATCTGCCAGCCTTCTCGCCCTTGCTGTTGGTGCTGCTGGTGAATGGGCGCCGAGTCCCGCTACCAGACCCAGAAAGACCCCCGTAGCCTCCTCCACATCGCGCCTCGAGTGCGTTAGGCTTATCGTGGTGGCCAGCAACATGCCCGGGGTCCTCCACTGCCGTCCTCCATATATTAACGCCCGAGGTACCTCATCCTAGGCCTCCAAGTGCAGCTCTTGACAACAGCCCTTCACCACCATCAGTGCGCCAATCACTACGAAGCTACATCCAGCTTCAGGTCAGCCTGCGACCATCCGGAGATCAAACTCGAGCAGCTCCGCCTTCACACTTGCCCGCCATGGGTTATCAGGAATATGACCACGATATCGAGAAGGAGCCCACTCTCCCAACGCAGTATGTCCAGGACGACGGCGCGGTCCCCGGCGAGAGTTTCGAGTATGGCAATTCGGCATATGCAAAGCTCCAGCGGTTGGCTGGTAAGCTCAAGATCGAACAGCGAGGTATTGAGCGCGTCCCCGAAAATGAGCGGGACGACAATTCTCTGCTGAATGTTGGCACTATGGTATGTCCCGACTTACAGATTCCCAAAGTCACAGCCCCTAACATGTCTGATAGTGGCTGTCCGCCAACATGGTCGTCTCGTCCTTTGCCATTGGTCTGCTCGGAAAGTCCCTCTTCTATCTCGGCTTCGTCGATGCTATCCTCGTCGTTATCTTTTTCAACCTCATCGGCATCATTCCCGTCTGCTACTTCTCTACCTTTGGTCCTCGCTTCGGCCTGAGGCAGATGGTGCTCTCGAGATTCTGGTTCGGCTGGTGGGGAGTAAAGCTCAGTAAGTGCATCAGTATCAATCACTGCGAAATCGCCGAACTAACATGATGTAGTCGCCGTCTTTAACGTACTCGCTTGTATTGGATGGTCATCAGTGAACTCCATTGTGGGTGCTCAGCTTCTCCACGCGGTGAACAACGACGTCCCCGGATATGCTGGCATTATCGTCATCGCCGTCTGCACATTCTTCGTCACCCTCTTCGGATACAAGGTCGTGCACGCCTACGAGTTCTGGTCTTGGATCCCCACCTTCATCATCTTCATGATCATTCTCGGCGTCTTCGCTCACTCCGGCGACTTCGTGAACATCCCGATGGGCGTTGGAACTTCGGAATTGGGGTCCGTTCTCTCTTTTGGATCCGTCATCTACGGTTTCGCCACTGGATGGACCTCCTACGCTGCCGACTACACTGTCTACCAACCCGTGAACCAGGGACGCACTAAGGTCTTTTTCTCTGTCTGGGTCGGCCTCATCATCCCCCTTTTGTTCACTGAGATGCTCGGCGTTGCCATCATGTCAGCCACCTCCCTCAACAACGGCGACAACATCTACCAGACGGGCTATGACGCCTCCGGGACCGGCGGCCTCCTTGCCGCAGTCCTCTTCCCTCCTGCTGGCTCCTCCCACAGCGGACTCGGCGGATTCGGCAAGTTTTGCCTGGTCATCCTCGCTTTGTCCATCATTGCCAACAACTGCCCGAACATCTACTCCGTTGCCCTGACCATGCAGGTTCTCGGACGCTGGACCCAGCGCGTTCCTCGTTTCCTCTGGACTGCTATCGGCACGGCTGTTTACATTGCTATTGCCATTCCCGGCTACTCGCACTTCGAGTCCGTTCTCGAGAACTTCATGAACTTCATTGGTGAGTCTACTTGAAAATCATTGAATAATACGAACAAGCACTAATTAGATTTGCATAGGCTATTGGCTTGCCATCTATGAAGGTATCGCCTTCAGCGACCACTTCTTCTACAAGCGCGGCATGGACGGCTACAACCCAGAGCACTACGACCAGCCCCGCAAGCTGCCCCCTGGCATCGCCGCCATCGCAGCCTTCTGCTTCGGCGTGGCAGGCATGGTCACCGGCATGTCGCAGGTGTGGTTCGTGGGCCCGATTGCGCTACACGCGGGCGAGGCACCATACGGCGGCGACGTCGGCTTCGAGCTCGGCTTTGCGTTCTCCTTCACCGCCTACACTGTCCTGAGATACTTCGAGCGGAAGTATTTTGGCAGGTAGATGTGTGGGGGTGTGCTTGTAAGAATAGTGGGAGATGGGGCGTTATAAGGGGATGATACCACGGTGGCAGGAGTCCTTCTAGTAGGGTTGTTACATTTAGCGATTTCCTTAACTGTCGTTTGAGATGAGCACTGGATATACAGAAATCTGGCCTTGGGTAATTCTACCGCTCGTTCTTCATAGAAAAGGATTAGAGTGGGATAAAATGGATACCATCATTACTCAGTTTGCTTTCTCTGTCTGCTACGTGATCCACACTCATAAGATCCTTCTAGAACACCCCCTAGGACAAGCTTCGACCTTGGAGCCTTGAGTCTCGCTGCATATACAAAGACAGTTTTAGCGTGGCGAGATGTCTCCGGTCACTTGGTGAGCACGTGATGCGAATTACACAGTCTTGTGATAAGTGTGAGTGGACAAAATGTTCTGCCATTCTTCAGATGATTATCTAGTACCTCTTGGAATGACTCATCTAGTAAAACAAGGATTTATATATGTACCCTGCCAAGCATGAGTCGAAATGATCGTGCATATGCTACGCTTGAAGCGGAAAAGAGGCGATTCTTCTTCAGCCTTCAACCATAAGGATACACAACATCCAGAGTCTCCACCAGAGCGCCGTGTAAAGCGTTAACGTGGCATGCTCGAGAGAACGAGACGTCGAGTCGCTGGCCCCTGAGAAATGTATAAATGCTCACGAATTCCTTTCACATCCTCATTCAACATCTTCACGATAAGAACTACACCCCTTGCTTTTCCATGCCACCACATCTCTACACATCTCTACAAAATCAAACACAAGAACACAAAATGGCCTCCCTAAACCCCAACTACCCCATCCCCCCAGGCCTCCACCCCATCCCCCCTTCCCAACTCGACCTCCGCCCCGACGCCGAAGTCGACCAAACCCTTCTCAACCCACCTCCCATCTCCCCGCACTCAGAAAAAAACATCTGGTTCTTCTGGCACGCCGGCTACCCTTCCATGCACCCCTATACCCAGCGCAGTACGTAAGGCCCCCGACACAGATGAAAAGTTTCTCAGAAATCTGTCTGTTTGGAAAACTACTCAGGGAGTGTTTCGAGACAACCACAGTGGAGTCTTGGAATCCCCTGAAGAAGTATCTCACGCAACAGTACCTGTTACAAGAAATCAACAATAGTTTTCCTCACTCTTGGTTCTGTTAATGATTTGCTAACCTCATTGCCACCTTTTAGACATCCGCGCCTGGCACCGCCGCTTCTCGCCCGCGGGCTGGGTGATCCGCGTCCTCGACCGCGCCCCCTCTTCGCCGCTCAACATCGCCAACTTCCTCGACGTCGCCGACCCGCTCACCTTCCCCGCCGCCTTCTGCGACGGCACCATCGGCGGCGCGTACGCACCCCAGCACACGTCCGACCTCGTGCGCTGGCCGCTGCTGCTGCGGTACGGCGGCGTGTACGCCGACGTCGGGCTGCTGCACATCGGCGACCTGGACCGGTTATGGCGTACCACGATCGGGGACCCGGCGTCGCGGTTCGAGGTGCTGTCGTACGACGGCGGAGGCAGCGTGGGGCGCGGGCTGGCGAACTACTTCCTGGCGAGCAGCCGGGGGAACGCGCTGTTTGCGCGGTGCCATGCGCTGCTGCTGAAGCTGTGGGAGGGGCGGACGAGCACGGAGGGGTTGCATGCGAGTCCGCTGCTGAAGGGGGTGCCGCATCTGGGAGGGCATTTTAGTATTGAGGAGGAGGGGAAGCCGACGATTGGGCCGGCGGAGGCGGGGCGCATGTTGACGGATTATATCATCCAGGGGCAGGTCATGACGATGGTGATGGGTCTGGTGGATGAGGAGGGGGGGTGGGATGGGCCGCGGTATGTGGAGGAGCATGTGTTTGGGATTGAGTTTATGGTGGGTGCGCAGTTGATTAATGAGCTTACGGCGTGGGATGGACAGTTGGCGTTTAGGTTGATGTCGCTGAAGTTGCCGAAGGAGGGGGAGGCGGAGAGTGAGGAGCAGAAGAGGGCGAGGGAGATTGTGGAGACCATTTTGAGTAAGAGTTTTGGGTTTAAGTTGGCGCATGGGATGATTTTGAAGGCGTATAAGTATACGTTGGGGTCATTGTGGAGGGAGAATGAGGGGAGTGATGATGTGCCAGGAACGTATGCGCATTGGTTGAGGTACGCGATGGTGTATTGGAATCAGGATGAGATTCCGCCAACGGTGGAGTATAAGAGAAATGAGCCATATAAGGTTGGTCCGTTGTTGAGGGAGGTATAGATGGGGAGTAGAGTTTGTTGTTCCTTCGAATATGTCATATTCAAGCCTTCCTGACCAATTAGACTCGTGTCACACGTTCAATATCTTGCGAAAAGTCTCTCCTTTTGCTTTTCTCAACGCATTTCAAGCTGTGGATGCAGTAGCTGTCCCACTTTCTGTCTTTGCCTCAGCTTCATACTTGGCAATACCCCTCTTCGCTTCCGCGTCTATATCCCACGCATACAGCCTTTCATTCACGTCGCCAAAAAGCGCTTTTGCTACATCCGATAAGCATTCATTAGCCAGCTATCGTCACGAATCTTAAACGTAGGAGCAAAAGAAAAGAAGATAGAACGCGCAACTCACCAATCCAAGGTACCTTTCCAAACAACCACATAAACCCACACATGATCATCTCCCCAAAAAACCCGATATCACCCTTCCCGCGATCCATCTTCTTCGCCGCTTCTGAGATCTTCCGCACACGTGGCTCACGGATGGCGTAGAGAACGGAGGCTGTGGCGTCGATAGCAGCTTGGAGGTCGACCACACTTCCACTTTGTTCAGATTCATTAGTCTCGTTATAGACCTTACTAAGATAGTGCGAGAGAGTGAGAGACAATGCAAGTCCGTCCTCCAAGCATTGGCTCGCGCCCTGTCCACTAGTCGGCTGTAGCGCGTGTGCGGCATCTCCTATCAATATGAGTCCACCACGGCCCCAGTGAGGCAGAGACGGAGTGGTCCATGTGGGATAGATGGAGGAGACAGAGCCGGCAACAGAGGAGATGATGTTCTGGATTACGGGGTCTTTCCAGGCGGCGTGGCGTTTACGGAGCTCTGCAGTGATAGTTGGGATGGATAGGTCATTTGAGGTAGGAAGTGATGGGGTGTGATAGGTTGACCACCTGAAAAGTCAGAAGACGAGGCGGTTAGTTCAGGTGAAGAAAGGAGCATACCACATCAGACTCTCTTCTTCTTCTGGTGCACTACTCCCGTACCCGAAGAAGCCATTACCACCGAATGTAAAAATCATACCTTTCTCCTTTTTCACTTCATCCGGTAGCCGGCCCTTGACGAAACCGCCTACACCAGCTTGGTTCCTTCAATAAATCAGCATCGTCTCCACCAGCTACCTTCAAAACGACTCCAAGAAAACTCAATCCGGCGCCCTACTAGAGAAAATCAAACTCACATATAAACCGGCTCAAACCCCTCCCCAAAAACCCCTTTCTTAACGACACTCCTCACTCCATCCGCCCCCACCACCAAATCCGCCTCCTCCACCTCCCCATCGCCAAACTTGACGGCCGGCCTCCCATCCTCCCCTTGGTCTACCTCTACAACCTTCTTGTACCGGATCACCCCTTTCCCCTCTCCACTCGCCTCCACAAACCCCCTCAAAACCTCCCACAGCCCCATCCGACTCATGCTCACGCAAGCCTCTCCTGGTACGCGCACGTCCGTGCACGGCATGCTGCTAAGCCGCCATCCCCGCGCCGCGCGGAAGACGAAGCGCTCGTTGGCGAAACCTTGCGCTAGGACTGCGGTGTGGAGTGAGGGCGAGAGGCGGGCGAGGACCCGCATGCCGTTTGGAGCGAGCGCGAGACCGCCCCCAATGGTTGTGGTTGAGGGAGTGAGGTTTGGTTTTGCTGAAGGCTCGGGTGCGGGAGATGAGGAGGAGGCGTTGGGAGAGGAAGAGCTAGAGGCTTTGGGTTGGGGGTTGTGGGATTCGTATATGAGGAGTTCATGGGGTGGATAAGGGGCTGGAGGGACAGGGAGGTGTTGGAGGAGGTGTAGATAGAGCGATGTGCCTGCGATACCGCCGCCGACAATGATGATTTTCATGGTGTTGGAAACGCAGGCTTTGTAGAGTGTGAGGTATAAGAGGGGTAACTTAGAATACAGAAGGGCGGGATATAGAATGATGATTCAAATAGAGAAATGAAGCTTCTAGATCTATGAGAATATGTAGAAATTCTAGCTTGACAGTTGTGAAGCAGAGACAAAGAACCGTGAGGCTGCCCGCCCTACTTCAATCCATGGCATGCCAGAACGCGACTCATTGAAGATTCTGGCGCTTCAGGCAGCAACTAATGGCGGCCTCATGATACGGGCATGCCACGTAACTTAGTGTTGATATATCAGAAATGTACACGCGTCGTGCGGTATTGTGAGTGTAAGAGGCTTGGAGCTGCAGACCGCGGCGTTGTGAATACGAGGCACGTGATAACGTCCAATCCTTACGAGTTTGATCGACGACGCGACTGAGTTCGGTTGATTCTAATGCTTTTTGAAGGCAATTTATTTGAAAGCTAATTTCATTGTAGTCTTCGGCGATAAGTCTGAGTAAATCCGCTAACCACTTCTTGCAGTAACACATAGCTTTCTAAACCTCGAGTGTGGTATGAAATGGGAATTGGGCTCCCCTTTCATCAATGGGCTAGTTGCTAGCTGGGCTACTACTTACAGTCGTATCGAGCGAGCAAGAATAGAGCCGAACCAGTAGGAGATTGATGCGCTTAGACTTGAAACCTAGTACTATTCGATGTGAAGGGTTGTCTACAAGGCCACTTTAAAGTGGCCAGCGCTATTTACATTACGTCGCGTGCGGCACAGCAGCAGACTTGGCCACATCTCACGAATCTTCCAAGGATGCCGTCATCTGCTCTCCATGCGATTACTGAGACTTCTTTCGTGGTTACTCGCATTCGCTCTCTTCTACGAAATGGCGGATGCCACAGCGGAGCCTGAGTACCACCTATTTCCCGTCTTCTGCACGGCAGAGATCCCTGTCGAGGCAAGGCGAAAGTCTGCCATCGCTTGTACCATCACTGATGAAAGCTTCAGATGATAAACGAGTTTCTGAGTGCCGATCCTATGCAAGAAGCGCCACTGTGGACGCTTGTCAGGTCGCCAGAGCAAGAGTCCTTCGACATACCCACTTTACCCCCAATAGAAGCCTTCACTAGTGGCTTTCTCGGCGCATCGTTTGAAGATCTAGTCAGCTATGACAAGGCACACTTCCTTCCGGGATATGACGCGCAGATAGATGTCAATTGCTTCGTGGTGATGGACGCTCGAACCCTAAAGGACCAAACGGTGGCGTTCCACGTCTTAGAATACTGGCCACGGCGCTACGAGGAAGAAGATCCGGATGCGTATGAAGGGTCAGACGGAGATGATGAGGTAGAGGGATGGAAGTCTGTCCGTTTTCGTATCAGATCCGCTAGTGCTCTCATATACTGGGTCAGCGAATATGGCCTATGGATTCTCGAGCAGGACGAGACTCTGGTCCCCGAAAATGGGATAATGAAGGACTCCGATATGTTCAAAGATGAAGAGCAACTGAGAGAGGTCTAGGGCACATTGTGTGTAGTAGTCACGGTTTTGTTGCACAGGAAGTCTGAGATCTGGCATGTTTGGTGGAGTGACAGTAGGTGTTACTGAGTCACATAACTAGTAAGTAGTCCATGTTCGCATGTTCTTCTTTTCGGCACTTTCCCAACACATACTACGGCACCCTTTCTTCACAAGGCATAGTCGTCATATACCTATCCATGAAATGTGCTGCCTTCGAATTGAATGCCATTCGCACCCGCGTCTTCCAACTCCGAAACGACTCCACCTCTGGTATCCTGGTTACCTTTGCCGTAGCAGTCGCTGTCTGCATGCCAGAGCCTGTCCAAGGCACTATTGCATATATCGACGTCGAATGACCATGAGTTCTTGTGATCATTGTTCTTCACAGAGACTTGGTATTTAGTCAGCTATTAGTCTGGGGACTGCAATCACTCTTGATCGACAGGCCGCTCTTATACTCACAGACTATGTATCCGGCATCGCCCATCTGGCTGGGATGAGACTTGATCTTACTCCCAATCCTCACAAGGAACTGTGCAACTGCGAGCCTGAGTCTGGTGGTCTATCTCACTATACTCGAAGTAGCAGCAATGGCCCAAGGAGACGAGTTCAATTCGATCTACTTGAACCAAGTCCTGGATGGAAAAACGCGGACTGGTGCGCCTGGCGGGAAATTCATCCACCCTCAAGCCGAATCCGCTCCATGATGAAGTGGCTTAAACGTGAGGTGTTGCCAGCTTTAGGTGGCTTGACCACCAAAGCAAAGGCTATAGTAGAAGGACACGTGGAGGACAAAGAATGACATGATTATGCCTCCGAGTCTGGCTGGTCCGGCCTCTGATGACATGTATATGGAGTAGTACTAGCATTACAAGTCAATTCTTATATCATTGGGACCCAAACCCATATTCCGGAGGCGGTGTCTAGCACCGGACATGGTTGTAAGAGCTATCCCGGAAGCTGTGAAGTAATACTCAACGCGTGACAAGCCTAGAGGTGTACGGGCACTAAATCTTGATCTCTTGCTCAGCATTTGGCATAACCCCCTTCGCTAGTGAGAACGCCATTCCCAGCGCTGCCATGCTCATGAACGAAGTCATCGACGCTTGGCTCAAGGATCGAAATGCAGTGCTTGACTGGTATCTAGAGCTCTAGTCTCATGGTATATTTCTCTTTTCTATAGATCAATCAGTAATATGACCAGTAATCCAAAGCCTTTCCTTCAACTGTGCTCATATCTTAGCCTCACCCCCTAAGAACCCGCCGACCACAGCACTCAACAGTTGATGCGCAATCGCCGTGCCAGGGGGCAGTCTCAAACCTCCTTCCTTATATTCGGGCCCCGGACCCTCACCGATACCACTCGTCCCAATCCTCAACGCCTCTCGCACCTCGTCCGCAGTGTACCACTTCGCATCTGCGAGCTCAGCGTCGTGGCCGAGATGAATTTCCTCACCTCCTGGAATAGCCTGGCCAATAGCACCAATCATGAGATTAGCGGGATATGGCCATGGCTGCGTGGAGTGCACAACGACGCGGCCGACGTGCACGCCGCTCTCTTCCCACACTTCGCGGCGCACAGCTTCCTCCACGCTCTCTGCAGGCTCAAGGAAGCCCGCCAGTGTCGAATACCAGAGCGGTGGGAAGCGCTTTCCCCGACCGAGCAGGATCTTGGAACCGTCGTGCGAGACGACGGCCATGATGACGGTGGGGTCGGTTCTGGGGAAGGAGAGATTCGAGACACCAGTCCGAGTAGCACAGGGAGGCCGTGGCACAGAAGATGTGTCTAGAGATGACGCCAGGTCTGCGGGCGGACATGTCCGCTTGAAACCGCCATTGACGGAGAAGGTCCGATGACCGCAGGCTGCGCAGAAGGGATTACGGCTGTTCCAGTCGAGAACGTGTCGCGCTGCGGCGTATATGGCAGCTATGGCAAAGAATGGTTAGAGTACTTGTTTGAGGTTTGTAGAAGGAGACTATGTACCTTCTTCTGGCGGAAGAGAAAGGTGCATCCGGCCCTTGGAGAACTCCAAGCCCTTTGACTCCAGGGAGGCTATCAGACTCTCTGCTGCCGTAGTGACGGACTCTTTCGGTGTGACATCTAGAGCGAAGTATGGTGCGCCTTTGTAGTGGTCCTTGTATACCAAACCTTCCTTGTTCCGGTCGTCCAGACCCAGGAAGATTAATTGGGGGATATAAGTTGACGAGTTGTATTCCTTTATCAGATCTTCCTCCGACTTGGTGAATGGGTCTTCACCGATGAGCGATTGGACGTCCTTGTATAATGAATAGCCTAACTGGGTCGGTGACTTTACCAGAGGATTCAGGTTATTGAATAACAGGAAAGACGTTGAAGGGTGCTTGAGAGCCTGCGAGAGAAATGCATGGTCGGTTCGGAGGAAAGAAACTCGATTCAGTGGGGATCCTGGAACAGTCTGTTATTATATAACCAAGCACGTAGTTCCGAGGTGAATGTACCAGAGAAGTAGTTCGCAACCTCTTTCCCAAACTTCCGGCTCAACATCGAGTCCAATTCCGCATGAGCTGGCTCTGGTAGTGCGGGCGGTGCTGTCATTACTGCGAATCTAAACAATGTAAGAGGATAGGCAAGTGGCAGTGAATGTTGGGAAAAGGAAGACAAGTAGAGGGGTAGATTATCTCCCCGGAAAGAGTAGAGGTCCCCACAATCCCGCCATTACCAAGCAGACGTCGTCGATGCACGTCAGAGATCCCGAGGTCGGCTTCGTTTTCCGATCTGTTATTCCTCGCTAGCGACTAGGGTTATCGATAAACTCAGGGTCGATCTTGACACTTCGTTCGAGGGGTCTGCGTGTCTGCGTGGCACCGGCGCGTACGGTTTGACCACGTCAACATGAGTCGATTCTATGTATGTATCTATATAGAACTCGCGTACAGTAATTAAGAACGTTACTAAATACTAGTAGTTCGGCGGCTCCTCAGCCTCCTCTGGGGACGACTCCGACGAAGACAATCTACCATACCCAACCCCCCTCCAGCGCTCCGACTTCCTCGCCCCCGCCTTCTCGCCCTCCGCCTACCTTAGCTCTCTCCATAATCGCCATCAGACGCTCGAGGATCTGCGCTCCGAATTGCGCGCGCGAAGTCAATTACTCAACAAGGAGCTATTGGATCTCGTAAATTCAAATTACCAAGATTTCCTCAGCTTGGGCGGCAGCCTTCGAGGCGGTGATGAGAAAGTTGAGGAGGTTCGCGTTGGATTATTGGGGTTTCGCAAGGAGGTCGAGGCCGTGAGGAAGAAGGTCTTGGAGAAGGAAGAGGAGGTCGCAGATTTGGTGGACGACAAGGTGGACATCAGGAAGCAGATCGCTGTGGGTCGGGCATTGCTGGATGTCGAGGCACGACTATCAGCATTAGAGGAACGGCTTATGGTTGAGTCTGCTGGAAAATCCGGGCCGGGCATAAATGGGGAAGATGCTGTCGACATAGACAGCGAGGACACGAGCGACGAAGAGGATGAGGAGGGTCAATCTGTGTCGATTGCGAAGCTACAAAAACACGTCCACCAATATCGCCTCATTCAGAAAATTTCCGAAAAAATTGGGTCTGAACATCCATTCATTGTCGGCCAAGAACCGAGGGTGGTCAAGGTGCGGAATACATTGTTGCTGGACCTAAGCAATGCGCTCAAGCAGGCGAAAGCTGCAGGTGCCGACGGAGTTGATCGAGTCATGAGGATCATGGGCGTGTACCGCGACATGGACGAGGCTGCGGAAGCAGTCACAGTATTGAAGTCATTAAGGGGTTGATGCACTCTGCATTCACATGATAGGCATAGCGAGGGCGTTAGGTGATATAAATTTACACTGCATGTACAACCTTCTCATCTACAGCGCGACTCAAAAGGTTTCAGCTGTCATGTCTTTTGTCGGAACGGAGTTTGCCCCCCTGAACTCTCCATTCAGACTGAATCCTGGTGAATTTGTAGAGCTCAATACCTATTTAAATTAGCAATGGGATCTCAGTCAGGAATATTTGAAACTTACCACCTCGTGGATGTCCTTCGATATTCGGTCGCTCATCTGAGCAATGTCCTTCTTGACCTGTTCCATAAAAGCCTTGATATTCTTCTGCATCTCCTCTGGCGAGAAGCCTAATTGGCCGATGGCCATTCGGATGACACCCAACCTCTCCCTGTACTCGCTTCCGCCTACCATCTCCCTAACAGTAGTCTCCACATCTTTCACCACAGTGCCCATCTTCGTGCTCGGCATCAAGCCTCGTGGACCTAGGATCCTGCCCAACGCAGCTTTATTAAGCTTCTGTAAAGAATCGATGTGACAAATGCACCGCTCGAATTCAATTTTGCCCTCTTTTATCAAGTCAAACACTTCATCCTCCCCAACCAGAACGGCGCCCGCCTTCTTCGCTTGTACTGCAGCAGCTGAATCAGGGGGGCAGATGACGCAGATTCGGAGGTCGGTTTTAACAGGATGGGGAAGTCGTAGACGATTTCGTATAGCGGGACCATTCTTTATCGAGCGCAGCTTGACGTGCATTTCGTATTTGGAGGATGTAGGGAGGCGGCCAACTTCGAAAGCCCGAATGTATCTGTTACCATCAGTCCAGCCCTCGATCCTCCCAGTCATTCCAGGACGTACTGCATGGCATCGCAAAGATTGAACTGCTCCGCATCGCGCAGATCATATTGGATAAAAGTACTTCGCGCCTTCTTTTTCTTCTGCGTGGAACCCTGATCTTTCCGCTTGTACTTTGCGGCGTTTTCAGAATGGGCTCCTTTGCCGACGGAGGCGCATCGTAGCTGCTGTGATGAGAGGAACGCGATTTGAGGGAGTTGAGAGGTAGGTCGGAGGGGTTGAGCAACGAGATTCCTGCTCAATTGAGCTATGCAGCGGTTTGCGGAGGCCATGGGAAGTTTTCTAGTGATGGCCAACGCGCTGTCGAAAGACAGTCAACTTTCGGAGCCAGACACGGCCCGAGAAGCCGTCACGTGCCTCAAATTAATCACGCCTATTCGTCTTCTCTTTTCTTCTCGCAGGTCACTCATCAACTAAACAATTTCAGAACTTGGATAAGGATCCCAACCGCCTAATGGGAATCCCCATCGCAGTATACTCTCGTCCCTTCAGAGGGTGCAAGCCAACGTTCCGCGAGACAGCCCAATGAACGTTGTAGAATATGGCTGCAATTAGTATTCTGATCCTTTAGAGCAACTCTTGTCCAACGTGCCGAAATCTAACACAGAAAAGAAGCATGTTCTTCTTTCACATTGTGCAGATCTTATATCGTTCTCTACATCTCTTTCTTCGCTCAGCAATTGCTTCTATTAGACCAATATTCCATGCACCAGATTTAGTCTTTGACAATGTACATTCATGTTTCAGTCGCACTCAGCGAGTCATCACATTGTATCCTCCAAATCATTCCACAATATCTTGCAGTAATGCTTACACTTCACAATGTTAGTATTATATATACGAGCTGACCGGAGAGAGCTGTGAACATCTCATAAAACTGCAAAACCAAGATCACCAGAACTCCCATTAACAAGATCAGATACCAACCCTCTACTAACAATGCCTAAAGCAGATAGGCCAAAGCCACCGCGAAAAGGTTCGCCGTACTCCTCCTCCAAGCTCTCCCCAGGTCGGCCTCAGGGAGAGAAAGAGAGCGACGCGGCTTCCGATTCGTCCCCGCGTAAACTTGACCGCCCGGTCAGCGTAGAAAAGGAACACCAACCCCCTTTCGAAGATAGTATGGAAGGCCTCTACGAGAGGTTGAAGTCTACGAGGATGTACCGGACGACGACGAGACAGACCAAGAACAGTATTGCTTCGCCAATTGGGGCGAAACCTTCGGGCGTCCGCCGCCGCCTAATCCGATTGCGTACCGTTTGGCGGTGACCAGCTGTGCGTACTCTAGGCCGACCCCTGCGGAAGTGTTCGATGAGATCCAAGAGTCCAATGCCACCATGCTGAAGGAGATTCTCAGGACGCGCGTCATCCTATTGCCTAAGAAAGAACCCAAAGATGCAACAGAAGACAAGGGTAAGAAGAACTGAAGACTAACTAGCTGCAGGTCTGGAGCATGAATCTTAGTATGCTAATCAACAGGGAATTCAACTAGATAACAGTTTATCAAGCTCAGGTGGTCCATATTGGCATCCTCGAGTATGAATGGGTAGATGAGAAAATTGATGACTTAGAGGCTCCAGATGAAATGATATTGGCAGTCAATTATAAAAGGATCACACCAATGGTTCAGTTGTTAGTATAAAATGTAACCACGTTAGATGAACCCTAACATCATGTGACTACGTATTTGCGACTCTTTCGATTTTACGTCTAAATCACACCGCTGTCTCCTAACCCGTTCCGCTAAACATTCTCAATTCAAGGCTCAATTCGAGGTTCATTTCTAGGCGCTCTAGGGACCTAAAGAACCCACCGTCCTGCTGAATCAGCATGCCTCTATTACGCCACCCGTAACTTGAAGTCTCCCTACTTTGTTACAACCTATGTGCTAGCTAGTTTAGAGAGTCTTTCGACACGAAACAACAGTTCAGTTCTGAGTTAGATATGGAGTGGGTTCAAACTTCTAAGGGGAACAGGGTAGTAATCACAAAAGTAAACCCATTCCATTCTAAGTCCTCGTCGCATCTCAGGTCTCAACATTAGCCTCATGCCTAGGTTGTAGCTGCTGCCAATGCAGCCCCGAGAACCCGATGATAGCGTTGAAGGCCTCATCCATCCGTTTCATATCCTCCAGTTTTTCGACCACTCCACCCATGAAAGTGAATTCCAACAGCCTCTCCTTCTTCAACTTCACCGTTCTCGACCCCGTGAGCTTATTCATCTCAGCAATCTCACTAAACGACCGCCGCCACATCTCCTTATTTGGAAACTTGCGGATGAAGCGGATCCCGTCAGAGTAGATCGCTAGCTGGCCGGGGACGCCGTGGTGGCTACAGCGGAAGCAGATGAAGTCGGTTTCGTCGAGGATGCCGCCGGAGGATTTGGCGGAGTGCCAGTCGTCGCCATCGCTATCTCCATCACCGCCTTGGCTTGGCGCGGAAGCTACGTTGCCTTGGTAAGTGGGGTGTTCGCGGGTTTCGATGTCGTATTGGTGCTGAACTTTTCGCTCGATCATCTTTTGGCGGACTTCTTGGGCAGTTTTGCGGAGGTAAGTGAAGGCCCATTCCGCTATCTGTTATTAGCTTATATCATGAATCCGGGGAGAAAGACTGTACCGTGTGTTGGGATGTCCCAGTAGACGTATTTGATAGGAGAAACGAGATGTCTGTACTGTGGATGATAACTCGCGACAAATCGGCCAAAGAAGAACCACCCTGGCAATGCTGTCAACCGAGCTGTCTCAGCATACTGGGGAGAGGTAAACTTACATATGATTATCATTGTCACAATCTTAAGCGAGAAATCGGCTGGTGTCAGAAGACCAACCGTGATGCAAGTGGAGAAGAAAAAAATCGTATAAGCAGTCAACCGCGGATACTTCCAATTGTAGAAGTTTACCAATATCTCCATGAGATCCGCGATGTCGCCGAGCTGGACCTGTGCCACGGGGCCCACGCCGTCGATTAGCGGGTCTATCCAGTCGCTACTGCCATGGCGGTTGATGAGGTCGCCGAACTTGAGCGCGCTTTTGCCGCGATCCAGGGCTCTTTCGTGCGATGCTCGCAGTTTTTCGATGGGTTGAGCGCAGAAGCGGTTTTGGAGAACTATGAAAACGACGTAGCACAGCTAGAGCAATGTTAATTATGTTTAGATATGAGTTTTGACATGGGTGAAACTGACCGTGAAGGATATTGTGCAATTCAGATACCAAACAAACGCCCAAACTGCAAACCACCTTCCAGTAACTTTCGGATCTTCCCATCGGTAGATACTCCTCAGCGTGAGCAACCACTCCTGCCACGGCCCAGAAGCCATAATGATGCGCTCGACGTTCTGGACCAGGATATCCCGATTGAATGGCAAGTCGGTGGAGTCGTCGATACACCGCGACCCCATGTCCTGTGTGATATATAGAAACAGATGCCCAATCCATTTCTCATATTGAAATCTTACTAACTCCCCGTTCTCGTCGAACTCGCGGAAGGTGCTCTTTTCAGGGAACTTGACTTCTGGCTTCACCATCACCCTTACTCTATGGCAGAACCGCCCAGACGTCCATGCAACCTTGGTCATCTCACGACGCGCCTCGATGTCATCAATGGCCTTCTGCCATTTCTGCACTTCGTCCTCATCAGCTTCGGCATCACTACCACTCCCACTCATGAAAGATTGTGCCCGATCGAGTGCTGCATGCGCATCTAGTAAGTCACCGTCCGCTTCGGCCGAGAAGTAGGGCTGGTCCGTCGTCGCCAACGTCGATGCTGTTTTGCTTTTCACATAATGCAAGGGGTGGATCACGGCGCTACCAGCGACTTTGAGGTTTCCAGAGACCTTGTTGAGAGTTCTAGGTTCTATGACGTTGGGGGGACTGAAGGCTGGGTTGTTTTCCAGGTCGTTGAGATTGCCGTCTTGCTCGACTTTGAGCTCAGTCTTTGTATCGTCGATGTGGAGGATCCTTTTAGTTTTTGATTTGGTTTTTCGACCGAGGGATTTCAAACGAGCTCGCTTTGTGGGAGATGTAGTCAATGAGTCGGAGGAACTATCATCTGAATCATGATGCAATTCAGATTGTGCCTGTGATGTCGCGGTTGGGGTGGAGTTGTCCTGTATGGACGGGAAAGTCATGCCGTCATTGGCCATGTGAAGCCTCTGTGGGCAATAATTATACAATAGACGGAATGAAAAGACTCAAAGACAATGCATGTGAAGGGGATCTGATAATTCATATCTCGGGTCTTTGGAGGACAACAAGGAGATATCGAGCATTATACGCGTGGGCTGTCCACCGTGTCGACTGTGAGGTTCGGCTGGCCACGACAGTCCAGCCACACTTACATTCCTGCTGCGGCAAACCGGATGTGGACTGATAAGACGGGTTGACGTCGGTGGTGGCTAGAATCAACACATGTGGCGCATCGATTTACGGGTGGGTTTCCGAGACTGTGGTCGAGCCCAACCCTGATCCCGCCCATCGGGGTCTCCTCTAATCGAGACTCTCTTCCTTGTTCCTTTCTTCTACAACACCAGGACCGAGAAGTACGGCGCAGAAACACCATGTCGTGAACTAACCTCGATCATACGATATACCAAAAGGACGGGTGCGGCTTCCCAAAATCAAAAGACTGACTAAAAAGTTGTCACGTGCCTCTCAGCACAGGTCCAAAATCTCAAATTTCTTCTCTTCATGCACGGTTCAAAGACCAAATCACATACTCCACCATCTCCCCACTAACCTTATATACGTCCATAATGCCTCCCGGAGAACGGTCAGACAACGCCGGGGCTGTTACCCCCATGAAGGATTCGCCAACAGAAAGTAATACTCCAGTCGTCTCAAAAGAGCGTCTCAATAAAGCCAACCACGAGCTCCACCGCTTCGGCAACTACAAGTCCTACTACACGCACTTCCGCTCTCCCGTCTCCCCCGATACACGGCTTACCCAGCTTTCGACCTTCATCACTGGTGGCAAGCGTATCCTCGACCTAGGCTGCAACTCTGGAAAGCTAACGCTCGAGCTCGCAAGTCACTTTGCAGCTTCCGAAGTCGTGGGCGTTGACTTAGATCTCTTCTTGATCGAGCAAGCTGAGAAGGCTAAATCTAGTGAAAAGCAGGAAGCTGCGCGGAAGGTCACTTTCGAGCTTTTCGACTTCGCTTCTACCATCCCATTCGTGGGTGCTGCGGCGGAGATCGATTGGGATGTGGTACTCCTGCTCAGCGTCATCAAATGGGTGCATTTGAATACGTCAGATCAAGTGCTGATCGACTTATTCATGCACCTATTCACCATTCTCAAGTCGGGAGGCTATCTGGTCATTGAGCCGCAGGACTGGACAAATTATAAGAGGGCTGTGAAGAAGTGTCCTAGCTTGAAAGAGAATTTCAAGAAGCTTAGACTGAGGCCGCCGTTTGACGATGTGTTGAAGAGTCAAGGTTGGGAAGAAGTGGATGGTTGGGAGAGAGATGAGGTGGGCTTCGAGAGGAGTGTAAGGGTATGGAGGAAGCCGGTTGAGGATGCCAACGCCTTGGTTGAATGAAGCATCAAGGATGCATACCGACCGACGACATTTCCTTCCCCGGAGAAGAAAGGTGTCAGTACCTATCAGCTATTCAGGAGCGCCACTAAATATTCCCAACGACAGTGAGGTTGCCACGAAAAACCATTTTCATCATTCATCTTGTATGAAGTGGGCACGCTCCATACTCCGGAATATGATCCAAGCTTGAAAATGCGCTAGGCCTTGGATGCCCACAATCTATCCACCACTATAGACATATCCATACTGGCAGGAAAGGCAGTTGAGATGTTGGCAGCTGGGGCAGTAAGGCCAGTCCTTGTTGGCCCATTTGCCGCCACAATTACAGCACTGCCAACCCTGAATCTTGACTCGTGCCGCCAATGTAGGTACATTCCTAGACGCCATTCTCCAGCGCTAGAATGGGTACCGGGGTAATTTGTGGATGCGTATTGCAGTGTGTGGACTTCGGGGTATTGGAGGAGATCGTGAATATCAAGAAAGAGCTGGGAGCGACGTTCTATTCTACATATTAAAAAGTATGGCTACGAACAGCACAGAGGGCCAACACAAAGCAGCAATGTTTATAATAGAGAATGCTAATATGCGCTGTCCGATAATCTACGTTGGAGATTCCCGATATCCGACCCCTTCGTCGTATCGAGATCATCTCGAAACGTGGATATGATTGGCTCAACAACAGCAATGCCGTTTATATCCGTGAACAACACCACCATTCCACATCCACGGTTATCGTATACCAGCATCACGAATGTCGAAATCTAGCAACCAACAACATCTTCGTTGGCACTGCCAGCACAGCGAAGTCCCCGCTGCCTCCGCCAATTCCTAGCATATAAAGCCCTTCTCCACAACTCCAACTTAGTTCTCCAGATCCACCAACGCCAACTTTCCTAGATAATTACTAGAAGACCACATATTGTTCTCTCCTATTGCTCATAGAGATCCTTGTAAGCTCTATAAACACCGATCTAATCCTACCACCTTAATCTTACCACTCCAAATAGTATATTTACGAAACCCATAACTAAACCTATCTAGCACGTACCTACACCCATAATGTGCATATACACGACCACCCAAACCACCTACTCCGGCTGCGACTGCCGCAAGGCTACCACGTCTATCACCTACTGCAGCCGCATACTCCCCCGCCTCCACCAGGGACTCCCTACGACTGAGAACAAATTCTTCAAGGTCTACGAAGCACCCTGCCTCGATCGCCGCGAGAAGTACGAGCGAAAGGAGGTGTGCGACCTTTGCGGCGCAAAGGCCACCAAGGGCAAGGAGTGGGAGCGGCGTCTCAGTGAGAAGTCAGGGGAGGTGGTAATGGAGAATCCAGCGCCGGCAGCCAGGCGGAGATGAAACGAGGGAAAGGAGGTCGACTGGTTCGGCGGGCATTTGGTGAGAAGTTAGATACTGGGTATCACGAAGGGGAATCATTATTTGATAGTATGTAGATGATATGCATTTATAAACCATTTACCACTATTCTAGTATTCAGATATTGGGGGGTATCTCCGCCACAATAGAGCTAGCTCTTTCTCAACAGATCCGCTGCAAATGCATCATTCCCAAAAACGCCAATCAATGCGAACAATATCAGCGCGCCGTGTTACCACAACACCATCCCCATCCCCGCAACCACACTCACGCCCACCCACGCCCCTAAAACCCACACCACCCTCCCTACTTCCGGAACTACTTTCGGCGCCGCCCCCTTACTCCCCGTCGGCTTCGCCTTCCCCCCGCTCGCACTCGCACTCGCTGCACTACTCGCCACCGCCTGCTGACTCGTCGCGCTCCCACCCACACACCTCCCCTCATCCAACGCCCCCCCTTTCCCCCACGCCACGGCCGCGACCTCCTCCCACACCGCCGTCACATTCAAATACATCTGCGGTGTCATCCACAGCCTGCAACTCGCCGTATCATTTACAAACTGCGTCGGCACCCCGGCCTTCTCGTCCCCCTTTCTAATATTATCCTGGAAATTGACGCTCGCGGCGTTGACAGCGATGCCGAAGTCGCCGAGCAGGAACCCGGACCAGGCGGTGGCTTCGCTCTGCGTGGTCGCGAATTCCTGCAGCACGAAGCTGGAGAGGGAGGCGAGGTAGGTGCTTTGCAGGACGAGGGAGCCCTTGGTGCCGCCGACGGCTTGCATGGGGCCCAGCTGGGGCCGGCCGCCGAGGGCGATGGTACGCACGCCGGACTGGGTGTGCATGAGCTCGGCGAAGAGGGAGCAGGTCGAGGCGCAGATGCCGTCGGAGAGGATGACGATGTCTTCGGGTTTGAAGGGCTGGGTGGTGAAGTTGGCGCGGTCGAGGTAGCCGGTCACCGTGACGCCGATGGAGAATTCGGAGGAGGTCGAGGTTAGGGGGTTCGAGAGGTTGTAGCGGAGTAGGTTTGTGAAGTTGTCGTTGTTGAAGGAGGTTGGGGGGGTCATGTCGTCCCAGCTTGTAAACGGCTTGAGCTCTGCGTCGTCGTAGGAGTGGTAGTTGAAGGGGGACGTGAAGAGGTCGCCGTTGCGGGTGCTGAAGCCCAGCGTGGAGATCTTTTCGCCTAAGAGGTCGTTGGCGTCGGCGGCGCGGTAGCGGGATTGGAGTTGGGGTTCTTCCGTCGGGAAGAACTGCTTGTAGGCGTCGTAGCCTAGGAAGATCTTGCCGCCGCCGTTGTCACGCACGTCGATGATGATCTTCTTGGTTTTGCGAGAGACAGCTTCGGAAATGAAGGTTTGAATAACGGACTGGAATTCCAATGCGTCTGAAACTGACTCTGTGCTAAATGTCTGCATCATTAACACGCCGTAGTCGTTGATGAAGTAACCGCCCATGTTAACGTCCGATGCGGAATGGGCAACGACAGGTTCGGGGTAGTTGATGGGAACATAACGTCTGGTTAGGGCTAGATCCAGATCCCTTGGGTGTTCCAGCAAAGTAGGCGGGAAAGAGGGGTCCCTCTTCTTGATTTTGGAGTTGCCAGTAGACGAGGGAGTAATGTACGTCTGGTAGAAACTCTTGCCATCCTCAATATAGCTCCATGCCTGAGGATCCAGAACTACTGCAGCGTTGATATACGAGTGCTCGGTCCCATTTTCGAAGGTAATGTTCGTTGTTGGACCTGGATAATACCTTGGATTCGTGAAGTATCCATATGATTCGGCCGCCTGCATGTAGAACATGGCATTCCACCTGGTGTCCGGATCATGATATGTGGAAAGTGGAGCTTCTTTTCCAATAAACGTAACCGCGTCTTCGCCATTTATCTTCGTTACAGCCGAGGGCGTGTAGCCAGCGTTAGTCTTATTGAAGTCTTGAATAGCATAAAGCTTAGGAATTCCCCCATCTTGCGAGCCAGAAACGAGGGCAATCTGCCGGCTTCGTCGCCACCTAAAAGCACCATTAAAGGCCATTCCGTTGAAATTGAAGTGCCCATCATGCGCTTGTCCAATTAATGACGCGATGTCCGTCTCAAATGTGAATTCGTCCTTATATTTCCCAATATTGTCCTGAATATCCTGTAATCCCTTCATTATATCGACCGGGTCATTAAAATAGGCCTCCGGGGGGCTCTTCAAGTACGAAACGGTCGACTGAAATTCCGCTAGGCGTTTCACCATTTCGATTGTGAGGGTTCCGGCATCGGAATCGAACGGTACGGAGAGGAGGCATGCATGCGCCAACTATACGAGATTATCAGCATTTGGTTCTATAACCTTAACTTCCAACATAGCGCTATTAGGTTCCACTGAACAGAAGGAGTGGCAGTCTTCTTAACAATGTCGTTGTTCCATTCTTAATAACATACCAGGGGACCTCAAGCGGTACTAAGCAAGTGTGTACACGCTTAGAGGGGGTATGTATCTGAAGTATAGGAAGCTTTAGAATTGAATATGTGAATCTATCCTAGCCTTCCATGTTCTTTAGATACACACTCCATATAAGGCTGTGTACACTTACCTAGCACTGTTTGAGATTCCCCGGTGCATTATTAAAAACTGCGAAACAACAGTTCTGAATAGTCTGATAGCTCAGCAGGCCACCTCAGACGGTGTTGAACTGCTACTTCATGTTCAACCGACCCTGACTACCCCATCTTTTCTACCCACCTGAATCAACTTTGTAGTAAATTAAATCCGCATACCTCAGCCTCAACACTCGGTGTCGTGAGGTCCGAATCTGACACCAATTCTGCCACTTGCGCGCACGCTTTCGCCGTGCTAATAGGCCCACTCACAGTCTCCGTCGCCGAAGGTTCTGGCTCTTGTGTCGGTACCAGAATGCCCGTAAGTTCAGTCTGCGCCACAACAAGCCCCAGAAGGGTCGGGAGAAGGAATATCGAGGACCGCATCGTGAGGTATTAGTCGCGCCTCCACGCTGTGTATCGCAAACGCAAAAAGTCGCACAGAAGCAACCACTTGGCGCACAAATCGCAAGTTGACGTCCAGCTGAGAAGAGTTCGAATAGCGTTTGTATGTACGATATGCACAGTAAAAAGCGCAAATGTATACACAGAAGGAAAAGAACGGAGAGCAAAACACAGACAAACGCACCAGTGAGCGCAAGCAATAGGGCAGCGCTCTCCCCTCATATACAAACCGCCCATCGCGTCCCCTGTCCCCGTATCCGCTAGCCACAGGGCGGGGCCTGTTGCCTGTCGTTCCGTCGATGCTGGGCGGAGCTCAGCCTCAAGCCAGAGGGCTGGGTTTCAAAACGGGCCGCCAAGTCCAGGCACGCGCTGCCAGAGGGGGCATGGTGGGCGTCTTGGGCATCGGCTGGCCAGCTTGGCGGGCGGCGGAGTGGGCGAATTGGAGTGACAGCGGGAGATTGCGCGCAAGGCTGAGGGAGATGGGATGCTGGACAACCTCATGGAGGTGGTGACGGGTGGAAGTGTGAGAGGGATTGATGTATTTTGAAGCGATAGGGCAACGAGACATGAAGACTGAAAGCAAGGAGTTAGAGATACTGATCGGAGAAGCTGCGATACCACAGCAAAACGCACACTCACGATTCGATACAAGTTCACGATCAGCTGTCGCCCCACACGGCAAGACGGCATCCTCATTCGTGTTAGACTCGGCACGCTTTAAGCCCAGCCCATGCCGCTAGCGAATTAAATTTAGCTTACATGCACATTGTTTGAAGGATCGCCACTTTATGCACCGTTTCTCTTGGCCTTCTTCAGCCTTGCCGACTCCCTACCACTTGTCCTTCGTTCTCATCGTCTGAACCAAACGAGGGGCTACACTCGCGTGTCATGACAGTTTCTTAATGAGTTTCCTAGTCTTAGAGGTACCTAAAGAGCAAACAAGCTCAGCAGGATTGATGCTTGGCGTACCGATCTCTATCTACAGCATATACTCACGTCCGGTGAACCAGCGCTAAAATCAAGCCACAAAATTACCGTACAAGGTAGCGTTTCCGGACACCTTTAAGGGGGAATAGCAGCCTCCTAGCTAATCAATCTTCAAGCCAGTTCACCAGTAGCCCAGAAGGGTGGGTTGCTGGGGTCGACTCAGTTTCCGCGCTAGGTCACCGGACGTGATGATATGCTGTAGTCTACGGCATGCCTAGTCCATCCTCCGTCTCGTTTACTCTACTCGAAACATCACAGTTCGCAAGAACCATTGCTTTTGAATCAGCTACTTTAACATCTAGCTAGCTCTACTTCGCACAGGCGCCACTCTGACCACCTACCAAAAAAAGATCGCACTCAGCCACCTTCCTAGAAACCTTTCAACGCCGCATGCTTCCACTACTAAGACAGATCTAACGGAGAACGAAGCCGGACCATACCAATGCCAAGCAATTTGCAGAAAATAGGCAAGGTCAGCCAATAGTCCCCTCCTCAGCCTCCTCGAGTCACTAGTCTCCAGCCGCAAGTACGGCGCATGCGTTTATTACCCATAATAAGAAGATTGGAGGGATTTGAACATACGGTAACTTTTATGTCACAGCCTGCCTTGGCTTTGATGACTTGAACGACAACAGCATGGAAGGAGAAAAGGAAAATCAGGGGATGACGCTGGAAAAGAGATCTAGAAAGACAGAGCCACGCTAATGCCACGTTGAATGCACTCTCTACCGCCCAATTTTCATGTATACCACGCTGCGAGCGATGAGCATAAGTTGCTTCGTCCGTCGAGCCAGTACTCATCTCCATTTCGCCTCTCCGTATGCTCGATCCATTTCCTCAGCCTCACCTACTCAGACCGCATACTGCCGCCTCTCAATCCTTCAACCACGCCGCCTACGCCACAATGTATCTCATCCTCATGGACTCATCTGACTCATACACACCCTTTTACTGCACACTCACGACCTTCGCCTTCTTTTCCCTCGCCTCAACCACCGCGTCCCGCCACTCTTGCACCTCTTCTGCCGCCCGCAGCGGCTCCTTCTTCCGCGTGAGCAGGAATCCTTGGATCTCAGCCGGGCTGAACGTGCCCTCGGGTATCTCCCGCGCGAAGTCATCTGCCAGGCGGCGTAGCAGGTCTGCGTCGAGATGCTGGTCCATGGCTGAGTGGCTGGGGGTGTACCCATTTGTGAGTGGTTTCTTCGCATCGCCATTGGCGAAGCCGTTGGTGAGCTTGGGGGTGGTGGTGCCGTTGGTGTTGGGGGTTTTGGCTAGGCCGTTGGCGGAGGGTTTAGATGTGCCGTTCGAAGTCGGAGCGAGGGTAATACCAAACCGACTCTGCTTCTTGACCGGCTTATCGTTTTCGTTGCTGTACATCCGTATGAAGATATCGCGGATCTGGTCGCGCGTAGCGAGGGTAAACTCAACCTGCATATCCACCCGTCCAGGCCGGATGAGCGCATTATCCAGCTTCTCGGGGCGATTAGTTGTCATGACTAGCACCCTCCCCTCGTGAGTTGCCACGCCGTCGATCGCGTTGAGTAGACCGGAGAGCGAGACGCCCTGCTTGGCATCATCGCCTCCCTTGTCCTTGCGATTAGCAGTCTTGATGGCCTTAGTGAGCTCTGCCATGTTGAAGTCTTGGCCGCTGGTCTTCGAGCCCCCGCGTTTGCGGTCGTCGCCATCGGCTGCGTCGTCTTTCTTATCTGATTTCTCATCTCGCAGCAGGCCCGCGGTGTCGATGTCTTCGAGGAGGACGATGCAGCGGCGGGGGAGATTGTTGAAGAGGCGGTTCAGGTCTGACTCGGTAAGAGTAGGCTCGAGGAGGGAGATGCAAAAGATGTCGAGGCCGAAAATTCCTGCTAGGGCGAAGGAGAGAGAGGTCTTGCCGGTGCCTGGAGGGCCATGGAAGAGGTAGCCGCGGCGATAGGGGATACCGCGAGTAGCGTACCAGCGAGGGCTAGAGGGATGGAGGTATTCGTTGATGTCCTCGACCACTTTTCGCTTCTGGTCAGGATCAAGGGACACGGTGTCCATCGGACGAGAGGGTCGTGAGGAAACTCGGTCCCAGGAACCAGCGCCACGTCCACGGTCCTTGCCAGCTGGTCGTCGGATAACAGTCATCGCCTTCTCTTTCTCCAGCGACCACGTCTTAATGTAACTCAAGAGCGCCTTAATCGGTTTCGTAGAGCGTCCAATGCACTTCAGCTCGATGAGTTCCTCGTCCCCCCGGCTCGATGACCAGATGCTCGGCTGCCTCTCCCGCTTCGACCGGTCAAAGACGTACAGCCGACCAGCATGCCAGAACCTATGGCTGCCGAAGTACGGCTCGTACCTAGGAGGAAGCTTCGCCGCCCATTTCCCGAAATTGAAGATACCGTTCGCATCCAACGCCTCCTCGTCGTCACTCTCATCCACCTTGTTGTCACCATAGATCGTCCCCAGCCGAGTGACTGCTTTGACAGAGCGCGACACCTTCGCCATCCGCTGCTCTGCGATCCACTGGATGATCCCGTCGAACAGATCATCTCCGTCGTCCACAAAGACCGAGGACATGCAATATTTCTGAAACAGGCGGGACGCCTTGCTCCAGAGAAACGTAATAGAAGTGAGCAGCGCGAAGGCGATCAGACCGACTGAGACCACAATGCCGACGTCGAAGCCGAACGTATCGAGTATTACCTTTGAGATAAGAGAGTATCCGGGGATGAAGGCCTCAAGTATATTGGAAGGTAGGTTGGTGAGGTTGGAGGTTTGGATCTGGGTGCCATTTTCGCCGGATTTGAATGCCCGCTGGAGCTTGGAGAAGTCCATTGTGGCGGCTGTGTTGTGGAGTAGGTACTTAGTTCTTATGGTTGCACAGGCGTCTGGTTCTCGATGTGGGGTATGTACAGTCCAAGCCGATGGCTTAAAGGCAAGTGAGGCCCTGTCTTAGACGAAGATCCGTGCAGTCGTAATTGAGTGAATCAAAAGACAAAGCTTTAGATGAGAACCCTGGTGGAATGATGGACACGTGACGACAGAAGCTGCAGCGTAGAGCAATTGTTTGTAGTGCAACAACCATGAGATGCTTGAACCTTGAACCCGTACTACCGATTCCAAGACAATGAAGCAATGAAGCAACAGTGTTTGGTGTTTGTGTCTGTCAGCCTCCTGACAATAGTGTTCCGTTCCGCTTTCTATTCTTCAAATTACGTCAATTAGCCACCCAGAGAAATGAAAGGAAAGGAAAGACAGCAAAAAATGAAAATTGAGAGGAGAGATGAGGAGGGAATGTGACTTTGGGGTGTGACAAGACGTTTGATATAGACGCAAGGTGACCCGTTGGTAGTAAGCCGGGTAGAATTGTGTTGTGTGTACCTCTGAAGAGCCGCAACACCTCAGCTTGCAATTTTAACCGGATTTAGTCGTCTATGCGTCGTATCTGCGGTCCACAATTGACTATAGTGGTTTGAAGAGATTGATTCGCCGGAAAAGGTAGGAGGCGACGGTTCGCGCTGATAGGCCGAGTCCAGGCGCAAGCCACAAGGCGGAATTCTCTTTGCTTACGCAAGGCTGAAGCTGCTTTGAGAAGATCTGCGGGGAAACTTGAGACTCTTTGCGAGGCTCTGGGCAGGGTAAGCGAAGAATAATATATCTGCAGATCAGGTGTGAGTGCAAAGTTTGCAAAGGTTGTCAGTCTTATAGTTATGGAGTAGGGTGGCGTCCGACGCCGTGTGGCGTAGGAAAAAAGCCTGTTCCAATGATAAGCGGCATGGCCTGCAGTCTAGCTTCGAAGCGCCATTGCTGTGATTTTGAGGGTGTGCTGCTATGATCTTGTATGTTAGCCAGCAGCTTCCGTCCCTGTTCACCGTCTTTAAGCGTAGAGGGGAGTCACAAGCCAAAGCGCCAGGGAGCGTCGTCAGTGGAAAATCAGCTAGTACGGGTAGTAGGCACACTATCTCAAGGCAACATCTTGAACTCGTCATCCATTGTTATGCAGAGCATGGCTATGGCATAAAGTCTAGATGAGAAGGGTGAAGGACGCAAGGCGCAGCTAGAGTTGTTGTTGCGACGCAAGCTGAAGATTTGGAGGCAGATCCGCAACGTTATGCGCTACCAGGACTGGCCCACGAGGACGGGACGACAGCTGTACATCTTTTCTGACCGCTCAAAACATGTGCTAGAGAAACGTGCGTGCGTGTCTACCTAGGTGGCGAATGTCAGTCACAGGGTTTAGAAAGTAGCTGGAATGCTAATGCCAGGATCGACAATCGTGAAACAATAAAACACGGAACATCAAAACAAGGCTGCAGCATGATCATCAAACATTCATTCATTTGTGAATTTTGATTTGTGTGCTGCCTATGAGCAGAGTACCACAACCATCAACTGTCGTCGTGTGCAGACAGGATTTCCTCCCCAGGTTCGTTCCGTAGGCACAGCCACACGGCGTACCCATGCAAGAGTGTTCAACAAGAAAAAGGAAATGAAAATGACCGCCGCTATTCTCATGGTATCGAGCTCTGAAGAGAACAAACGCCGGTTGTATGCACGTGAAACAAGGTGCCAGCTTGATCGGCCCACCAAATGAATCTCTGTACATGGTTCATTTTACCGAATGCAATTGACCGCCTAGACACTATCATGACTTCGGTAAGTGATCCTGAGACTCTACAGGCCGTGACTGTCACCAATATGACGGTGCTGTGCAAGGTGTCGGCGGCGTCTCGCTGCGCCTGTTGGCTCGGCGGTAACCGTGATGTCGATTTCCTTGATGGCAACTTCCCACACCGCACCGTCGCTCGTGTAAGTCGTAGTACCGATGATGGAACCCCCATCGGTCTCCGCTGGAGCAGAAGGCGCAGGGGTAACGGCAACGTAGACAGCGGCCGATGTAGAGGAGGCCTCGCTGGTAGCGATACGTGAAGTCGACGCGACGCCAGCGTTTTGGATGTCTTGGATCGAAAAGCTGCCAGGGTAGGAGGGTTTACTATAGACGGGCTTCTTGGGAGAAACAGTAGGCACAACAGGCTTTGACGGTGCTGCATACGAAGAAGGGGCGTACGTAGGAGCGGCTACACCTCCGTGGTTGTCCGTGGCTGGCTGGGGGCCAGACTGAATGGGAACGTTTCCAGGCAACGTAGACTCCGGGCCAGCACAGTTCTCGTTCTTGAGGTCGGCGGGCATGCTGAGCTTGACTGCTGCCATTTCGGGTTGAGTCTGGAGGGTGAAGACTGGGCAGCTCTCAAGGGTTCCATCAAGGTTGGTGCAAGTGTCCACGGCCTTCTGGAGGGTAGGTACATCCCAGCCAGCGATGAAGTCTCCATGGTAGCCATAGCCTAAGCATACAGTTAGTAATAGAACAAGTTGCACAGGCCACTATACGAACCTGTGGGATCGCCGTTCGATAAGACAAACTGTCCGTCCTTGCCAACGAAGTCCTGCGTTCGCCAGATAGTCTCGTAGAATAGTCCAGGGAGGCGGGTGCTGAAGCCCTCTGGGCAGACACCATCTTGAACCAGATTCGGGTACGCCACGTGGCTCTTGGAGCCTTTCGGGGCCACACCGGCAGCCTCGTTCCAGCATGCCGGGAAGGAGAGCTCGAGACGAATGCCGTCCGCGCAATTCGCATCTAGGAAAGACTTATCGGGGAGGAAGTGTCGGAACAAGCTTGGCTCCGTCTTGCCGCTGGCGTAGTTCAGGCAGTTGAAGCCGAGGGCCTTCTCAGCTAAAGATGCTTGCGTCAGTTCGTCTGCAGTCCAATCCGACTCTGGCGGGTCGGGAACTGGGCCAGTGAAGTTGCGCTTGTTGGTATCACCAGCGATCATCTGGAATCCTGCCGGGAAAGCCTTGATCTGCTGACCGGTTCCTCCGTCGCGAAGGAAGTAGTATCTGAACAACATTGTTAGGAGCTGGTACAAGAGAAAGACGACCTCACTTACGCAAGCATACCGCCCTGGTTCCCAACAACCTCAAAGGTCCCATCGCTGTGCTGGAAGTGCAAAGACGGAGTCCTGTGCGCCAAAAGAGGTTAGCGTGTTCCTAAAGGGGTTCAGCAAGAGATGCTTACCAGTACGCGGACTTATCCTCCTTCGCGCGACAAGAGGTGCTCTCAGAAGCGATGAGGTCGTCATAACCGGCCGTGGGGCTGAAGTCTAGAGAGCGTTAGTAAATCGTCTACTTGCGAAACAGGTCGCGTCGCAGGCATCGGACAACAAAGCCAAGAAAGAGAAGGACGCAAATAACGCGGAGTGTTGGATGGGGCTTGTTGTGCAAGCGCGCTCTGAGAAGAGATGGATTTCTCATGTGCGAATCATAGAGCGATTGGGGAGAGAGGAGAACTTACTATCGCCTCCGAAGATGATATGGGAGTGAGCAGCAATTTTGCCATAGTCGACGAGCGGATCAATACGTGCGAGACCAAGGGGAGAGTGACAGTCCATGCGCCAGAACGCGTTGACACCGGAGAGCGAAGCAAGCAGCAGCGCAGCCGCGGCCATTGGGCTCGTCACCTTAGAGGAGGTTGCCATTGCAAGAGCACGAGCGGAAATGAGTGTGGTGGTCGGAGGGTGCGTCGTCGCCGCGGTGGAGGTGAGGTGAGGTGAAGTGAAGTCGAAAAGGCGAAGGACTGTTTGTGTTGTGATATCACCGGGTCCGGAGAAAGTTGAGACCGTCAATGAGGTCGGGTCAAGTGAAGGCAGTCCGATCAAGGCTCTGATGCTCCACCTTGGCGAACTAAATATTGCGCGGTGGATACGGCGAACCAGTGAACCGGCGGTCGTGCGACTTCAGATCTTCGATCCCGATCTCTGGCTTGGGTTGGATTCGACGGAGGGCAGCCGCTGGGGCTTGTGTGAACGAAAGTGGTGCAGCAGCGCCGTAGTTGATATGGTCAACGAAAGGAATGAGGCCGGCCGGGACGCTGGTAACGACAACGTCAACGACAACGGGCTTCTAGAATGAGAAACTGGTGAAAAGAGGGTCGAAAAGAGTGACGGCGCAAGGGAGAGAGCAGAACGGCAGAAAGCGTACCTGCTCGGGGGCGGCGTGGTGTTTTCTACGAAATGAAGGAGTCGGTCCAGCTGGTGTCTGAAACCCCAGTTAGCCGCTATCCTTGGCCGACGCTCCCCAGTGCCATCCCGGTGCAGTGATTTGCAAGGCACAGCCGCACTGAAACACGCCGGCGCGGGGATCGTCCTATCACCAGCCGCAAGCCTGCCGTTGCGGCCGCCTGCTCGCCCCCAGCTGAAGGATTGATGCTATTCACAGCTGTCTTGGCTGCAGTGCTGCATGCCATAGTGCTGCGCATATCCGCAACACCACGTCCAGTGTCACGATGCGCTGTTCGCCGCGCTGCCAGCCGCCTCACCGCCGGACTCCGCGACGGCACCGTCAGTGTTCGCCCGGCCCCTGAGCGAAGCGTGGCGATCACTCCCTCCCAGCCTCCCCGTCGCACCACAAGCAGCAGGAGGGCCAGACAAGCGCAGGGCCCGGAGCGTCGACCGCACGCGCAAGCCCAATTTCCCGAAATACCGCAGGAAGACGAGCAGCGTCATCGGTTGCCCATCCTTCGCCCAGGGCGCTGACAGGCACGCCTCGTCGACGGTCGTGGGCAATCAAAGCTTAGCATCCGCCTCCTCCAGAGCAACACTCCTTCAACACCTCTTCGTCTGACGAAACCAACCCATTCCGCGCACCTCCACTCAGGGACTGGCCGCGCTCCAGGCGGGGCTCGCTGTCCTCTCAGCCTATCGAGCGGGTGGCGGCCTTACAACGGGCGCTTGTTCCTTCCCTGGCGTCGAATCGTCCCACGGCTCCGTCCCCTATCGATATGCAAAGCTTGGCCCCTATTGACCCGCCCAATAGGAATGCTGACTGTCAGCCTGCAAGTCGAGCGCGCCAACAATACAGGTACAGATATAGCCCGAATGCGGTACTCTGCCACCATCCGATATTGCATCTCCTCACCTGTAGCCTGGGACCGGGGCTGCTCGATCCAACACTCTTACACCGGTGAACAGCTCGCGTCGGTGAGTGCAGTGGGGCGTCGGGACGGCACAGTCTGAAGTCGTCTGAACTTCATACAGTACGGTAATTGTTTGTGGTCAAAGCACTGATGATTTCCATCGTTCGGTTTTATGCTATCTGTATGACTTATCTCGGTTACTACAGCAAAAAGGAACTATTCAGTCCAGGAGACGCCATTATTCGGGTATCGCCGACGAAACCACAGCAGTAGTACGCGAGTGGACCATTTCACGACATTATTTTGCGCAGGCTCGGTTGATTTTGACGCCTGGGTACTGCATCTACACAGCACCCACTGCAACAATCGCAGGTGCTTCTCTGCAGAATATCAGATTCCAATAAAATTGCCAAGGGAAGGCGAAGGTACGGTGTCCAAGCTCGATGAGTACGGGTGGATGCTCGTGCTTAGTGCCTGCATAAGTTTCCAACTCTCGGACTTGAAGGTCCAACACTGTGCATGGTTAGGAATAAAAGGACTAAGATCATCCTCGGTACAGCGCGTCTCTGTGGGATACCCCCTGTTTCGTCCCTGTTCATTTGGGCAGGAGTGAACCAACAACGCCTAGACTTCTCAATTTTTTCTCACATCGAATCAACTTCGTATATTGTTCCTCATGCCTTCAGTATTCAGACTAGTGACACTTCGGAAAAGAAGTGGTCATGAAAGAGTATGCATCGCGAGCCAACCAATCAGAGAGTGAGCGCAGAACACAGAAGTTTACGAGGCGGGGCCTCCCGAAGTCGCCAAGCGTGCCTTCTTCTGAGGCCACTCTCTATTTGAGCAAACACATGCGATAGGAGAGCAATCAGCGCCTCGCGAGTCCCTTGTATGTACATGCTGTCTCCATTTTCTCCAGAATGATCGAGAGTAAAGCTTCCTCATATTATACAATTAAACCGTCTAGCTGATAAGAACAACGTACTCCATCGATACGCGTAGTGTCAAAGCCAAGCGCCATCTATATGCATCATTCCAAAGCCAAACTCCGTCTATATGCATAGTCCCAATGCCAGACTCCAACGCTCAATGATGTGCTCCCGAGTCCGGATTCGGATCTTCTATTAATTCCACTGGAACAGCAAACTCCGTCGGGCCCGTGAATCCCAGAACCACGTCGTAGCGAACCTCAACAAAATACGAATCCTTTATCTGCTGCTCAACCTTCAAAGTAACGTTTATATGCTCCGCGGCATAAGTCATCGTAGAGCCCACCTGCCAAGGTGTCTGCCATGCCGCCCCGCGGTTACTCGGGACGCCCGCTATATTATGCACCAATCTCAAGGGCTCGTAGCCCGAGCGAACCGTTGAGTCAATCGTATAGACCATCAAGCCCTGATTCCATTCCGTTGCGTTGGCTCCCTGCAGTGGCTGAACGACCTCTGCCACTAGGAGCTTGGAGGTGTTGCCGATGTCCATGGCGAGCAGGCTGGTTCCGTAATGTCCGTCCAATGGAGTTAGCAGTGTCCGCTTAGTGATTCCAGACGCTGTTGGTGCTTTGACGAAGGTCTTCCGTTCGGTAGCGAGCCAGCCGAGCCGGTGACGGTGCCAGCCTACGAAGCCACGTGACTGGTACTGCAGAAGAGTAGAGTTAGTATTGAACGAACACTATCGATTTGACGGAGCCGCGCGTTGTTCTTACATCGTCTGCCATAAGGCCCCAGGGCCCGCCTTGCCAAAGGTGTCGATCGGCCGTTGTAGTTTTATTGTATGGATACAAGTCTGGAAGACCTAGCGAGTGTCCGAGCTCATGTGCCATAGTATACCAATTCGTGTAGTCGTCATCTGCTACCGTGATTACGGAGCTAACGTTGCGAGAGCCGACAGTCACATTGCCGCTTTCGTACGAGCGGTCCGCTCCACAGTTTTGAGGCGGCACGATCATGACGACGTCGTATGCGAAGAAGTCGACTTCGTCGGTGGTGAAGCTGCTCATGGCGGCAGCGTTGTATCCGCTTATGTTGTTGCCCCAATCTCGCCTCCAGGCTCCGGAAATGGTATGCCAGGGTAGATCGGAGCGGACGTCAATCGAGAGGTTCAGGTTGGAGTAAGACTGGTTGAAGAAGAGTTCGGCGAGAGATCCGTTACCCATTAGCTGTTGTCCTATTGCAGTTTGGTTGTCGGTATCCCGCGCGTGGGAGTCGTCAAAATCTACGAAGACCATCACGGCTTTCCATGTCCCAGGTATCGAAGGGTGCGCATCATCATAGTTCCCCTGTTCGTTGAGGTGTCCCTTGACGACGTGCTTCAGTGCTGGTATTTCATCATTGCCGGTAACGTCCGAGATCTTGGCCAGCCGCCAATGTTTGCCGGAGTAGTTGTTACTACCGAGTACTGGCTTGGATTCCTCGATTGAGACGCCTAGAGGTCTGTCCAGGCCGGTGAAGTCGTTACTTAGTGTGAAAGAGCCATTTGCGGCGGGCGTAAGAGTCCAGTACTGTCCCGAATCTTTTCGCGTGGTATCGAGATGCACATGAGTACTCGCGTTTCCGTCGTCGTTGACAACGTCCAGAGAGAGCGCATCCCCCAGGTACAAGGTGCTCAGGGCGTATTTCGGACCGTTGGTGAGTTGAGTCAAGCGCCAGAACTGCCCACTTGATGGGCCAAGGTCGACAATGGCGAGGCCACCAGACCCGTCCGGGAGGACATCTAGGGCTTTTGTAGGTCCGGTAAGATCGTTTGTGAGGCGGTAATAGTACGAAGTGTCGACAGTGAGTGGTGCTAAGTCCTGGCAAACCACAGAAAGCGTGTAAGGAAGGAAAAGAAATAGCAGCGAATAGAAGAACATGTTCACAATTTGAATATAGAGAAACATGGTCGGAATGAATGTGTTACTGGAAGGCTTAACAGGTTCTGGGGAGTTAATGGCTTTTATAAGAGTCACCGGACGGGTGGTTAAACTCATGACTGCGATCCTAGGCGGTAGTCAAGCCTACCTTCTTCAGCCTCCACTGCTTCACGCATCGCAACCGCCCATGTAGACTGCAACCCGGAGATTTTTTTAGCATGATCAAACAAGACAGTGGAGGAGTCGCGATCTCATTGCATGGTCAAGCGGCGGAGTAGTGTCTGCGGCAAGCTGAGAAGCTTGGCTTCGAGGACTACTCCAAGAAGAACCCCAATAGGACCAAACACAATGCCAGCCGTACCTTTGTATCATCTGTGGAGGAGACGGGGTCGGAATACGAGGTTGATAATTAGGGCAATAAGCTTCAAGGAGCTTGGCGGGTGGCCTCAGTACTACATCGGCAGGATAGTAAGCTCCTCCCATGGGCAGAGCGCTGCGGCTTCGCTCTTCACCGCCACGGCGACTGTCCCATGTCAGCGTCGCACAACTCAGCTAAACCACGAGAAGGAAAAACATCACGCAACGACGGTTAGGATCACAACCACTACCGCCACTTCAACAGGCTCTATTTGCTCTGGACACTACAGCTACCAGAAACATCGCTTTAACGATGTTGTGACCACGCGCGACGTTGCGACAACGCGTTTTAGCTATATTTTGCCCACACGGAAAGTGGCAGAGTTATATGAGCCGCTGCCTCACCCTCCTAATACTACTAATCTTCACGCACTAAAGCTAGATACAGCAACAAATACTATGGAGTGTTGGGACTTGAAGGCCACTGATCCGCGCGATACGGGATACGGGTTACGGGCTACTCTGTCTGGCGAGCGAAGTCAAGCAGCTGACAGTAGTGCCCGATCATATCAAGGGGATGTAAGACGTGTAGATGGATGTCGCGGTCGCATCGCTATGGAACGGAGGGGTCGATATGCTAACGTTCTGCCATCTGAACCGAATCACAGGAGAATCTGAGCTGAGATCTAGACTAGAGCGCATCAAACCCACTGTCACAACCAGAGGAGGTTATCATGTACTTTAAAGAACGACGACACAGAAGAATCAGAAGCAGAAGAGACAACGAGAAACTTTTCCTGGGCATCCGGGCTGCAATGCTCCACCCCGTCAGACACAGAAATAGACCTCCCACACGGCACCGTCACCCTCCTAGGTCTCTCCGTCGACACCGTCAATTCAGCCGGCAACCACTAGTCTCACATCCGCGCCACTCTTCCATCCGCTTCCCGCGTCGAAAACCTTGACGCACTCATCAGCGACGTGAACGATAATCTCCGGATGTTTGCTTCACGCACTACCCATCACTGACTGCAGACACGGCGTACGATGTTTTCCTGCGCATGCTTGCTGTAGGCGTCAGAGAAAATGATATATGGAGTGGCAGCACCCAATTCTAACTCTCGACGAGGCCGCATTACCCTTGGTGCCGGAGAAAAGAAGAGAGTGGCGAGGAGGAGGAGGAGGAGGAGGAGGAGGATGAAGATAGGTGATTTCTTTTCGAGAATGCGTATTTGTATGATATCATGGGCGGTGAGGCTTCCGAGCGCATTTCAATAGAGATGAGTGGAGATTGGGGTGAGGATGTCTTGTCGTCAAAGCGTAGAAAGTTGGCATGAAGGCGGAGAACAAGATCCAACATCCGGACGTGAATGCTCATCTCACGTTAGAGGAAAACTTTCGGAAAGTACCACGGACCAGAAGAGCTGGATGTGGAAGGAGGAGGGTATTGCGCCGACATTGCGGCGTACCACCTAGATGCAACGCTTCGCTTTCTCGAACGTTTGGAATCAATCCTTAACACACTGCTCTCTCAAGGTTTATTGGCTGAGCCAGACCTCACGCTGCTGGCGGTATTGAGGCTGCGACATGAACTCCGGGGATTCAGAAACGTCATCGCATGCACCAATAACACTCGAACGGCAACCCTTAGATCACATGCGGAGCTAAACGTGGTAAGGCCTATCATGCACATAGTCCCGAGTGCAGGAACCCGCGTGGGTAGTGTTTGAATGGGATACGCGAAATGGTAAGAGGTGAGTTGGCTAAGGCGGCGAAGCGCTGCGGCACAGCAAAGCTGCGACCAACCCCAGTCCCGACTTCGAGTTTCAACATAAAGTGCGGCGGTTCCGCTGTACATAAAAGCTCCTGCCCCGTTCTACTAGTTGTTACCTCGCCGTGGTAGCTTTCTTCCCAAGTCATTCGGGCTCAGGCTACAAAATGGCCTCCTCGGATTCATCTGATACTGCAGGAATATCTACGCCTCCTGCCGGCGGCTCTCCAACCCTAAGCGCTTATCTATCGACATACAACAGGCAGTACAATGTTACACCTACTCCCGAGCGAGAGATACCCCGGATTGTGAACGATTTGGGAAGTATTGATCTCGGCGGGAATGGAGATATGGATGACGTAGGTGAGTATCGCTTCATATGCAGTTCTTCTACTTTACGAAGAGCAAGGACTCTATGGATAGCACGATCTAACCTAGGACTGCAAGATCCAGATGACCCTTCGAACTCATCTGCATCTGGGCGAGTCCCGACGCATGATGGTTCAAGCGAAAACGCTCATCGTTCGACCTACAACCGACAATACAATGTGACCCCGACGCCGGAGCGACAACTCCCTAGCATTGAGTACAATACTGAAAACCTAAACCTGTCGGACAGTGAAAGCGCTAGTGAAGCAGGTAAGTAATTTTACCACATTGTAGACGGCAAGGTGTAACCTCAACGGCTTGATCAAGGTTCAATCCACAAGTCGGTTTCATCGGGATCTGCGAGAAGCCAAACTTCTGGCGCTTCTACACTGAACGCCCATCGATCCACGTACAGCAGACAGTTCAATGTTACACCCACGCCAGAACGACAAATCGTAGACGATCTTGAAAACCTTGATCTCTCGGGTGACAGAAGTATAAATGATGAAGCAGGTAAGTCGTGCTACCTTGCTAATCGCGATAATAATTGACCCTGAACAACTAGAACCAAATCAGAATTACCACGATGACGACGATCTAGAGTACAACCTTAGAACTGAAAGTCTCCCAGATGTACCAATATATGATACAAGGCTACAAAATGCGCTCCGAGACACCAAAGAACAGCTCCGTGAGTTGCACGAGGCGATGGAGTTTGGTCCAGGGATACTCAATCAAGCGCCGAACCTATCCATCTTGGCCCAACAGACAAATCAGCTTGCAGACTTTGCATACCCGGAGACTCGGACAATTGGGCTTGTGGGAGACTCGGGTGTCGGTGAGAAACATCGTGGGCCTTCAGTAACTCAAGCTGATGCATAAATAGGCAAAAGCAGTCTGATTAACAGCCTACTTGACGAGCGTGGCGTCGCTAGATCGGTACGTAGTATTCACCTCTAAGTAATCACGCTTGACTTAACTCTTATAAGAGCGGCGACGGAGGCGCATGCACAAACATCGTCACAGAATACCGATATCCCCGCAGTCCTGATGCACCAAGCTATAGTTTTGAGGTCCAGTACATGTCGTCTGAGGAGCTCAAAGTCCTGTTAGAAGACCTTGTGTCCAGCTATCGAGCATACAACACGGAGGCCTTTCGAGAGATAATCAACCAGGCTGAGCGAGACGCTGTGAAGGACAAAGCCGAGAGGGCAGCGTCGGCTCTTAACTCCCTCTTCGGAGAGCATGCCAGGTATTCCGAAGAGAACCTATCGAGGGAAGGCCAAGACGCGGCGGCGCAAATTGTCAGAGATCTTGAAAGTATGGTTGAAGAGGTTCAACAAGATCGGCCCGGGGGTCCGACGGCGTCCACGTGGTCCGCTACGGCGAGTGATGCTGAGGACTTGACTCGTCAACTCGACGTCTTCATCAGAGTTAGAGGTCAAGATGGATTGCCTGTCCTTTGGCCTTTTGTCGGTATCATCAGGGTCTATCTCCGATCGTTGTTTCTTCGATCTGGCGTTGTGCTAGCTGATCTCCCTGGTAAGTCTCTCCTTGGTGTCATTTAGATATAGTTCAATACTTACTTTATCGGAAGGCCTCAGAGATCTCAATTACGCAAGAGTCCGCGCTACCGATCGTTATATGCGGGACTGTCACGAAATCTTCGCGGTTGCACGTATCGACCGTGTGACTACAGATGTCGGACTACGGGACATCGTCAATCGATGCGGTGACCAGCGTCCACTTCGAATCGTCTGTACTCGTTCTGAGGTAACAGTCTAAAAGAATAGAGTATTGAGGTATGCAGGCTAACAAGCATGTAGGATGTAAATGGAAGTGAGACTATAGCTTCACAACCTGCTAGTGCTCCTCGGATCAAAGCTCTTAAATTGAGAATAGATCATCTTAAGCGTACCTTGAATAGGCTTAGACGAGATCGAAGACAGCGAACCGGGAATGCTGAAGAGATACTGACTGTTGGGTAAGCTCCCTGCTCTGATAGTTAGCGACCATATGGTAACACTGAAATTTCTAGGGACGAGTTGGACCTAGCGAGATTCAGGTACGATCTCAGAGCCGTCCACGCGATATTGAAACTGACCAACGTGAAAGACTACAAGAGTTTTTAGTCCAGGGACGCAACGATAGAGTGCGAGCATCGCTACACGAGACGTATTCTGATCGAGTGTTCGAAAGAGACCTCCGGATCTTTTGCGTCAGCAACGTCGAGTACTCCGAGTATCGCAACGAAGACGTCACCTTGGGCGGACCACACGTAAACTTGAGCGGAATCCCAGAACTGCGGCAATATTGCCAGTTGATCCCTGCCGCAGCCCAATTCGGAGCCGTGGCCGCCTTTCTCGAGCATCAGGTCCCCAGCCTCTTGGGGTCCATCCGACAGTGGCTGCTGCAAGGAACTGATGGACTGACGGCGGAACGTGCTGATGCCTTGCGAGCTGCACTCGATAGCTCAAGAGATCGATTATCTGGGGTTCGTGCTCGATGCTCAGTGACGGACTTGACTGACTTGACTAGTGGAACGCTGTCGTCGATGCCCTTAAGCGGAATCTCAAAAGCGATTTCCGTGCTTCTATCGTCAACTCGTTTGGTATGTGTGCTATGTCGGGAGCTAGAACACACTGACCATCTAACGATCTCACTAGATCAGGATTCGGCGAATTGGTCCTCCGCGGCTAGAAACGTGAGCGGGCAATGGATGGGGGTATGTGAACTTGGTGCAGGCTAAACAGCCATACTGACATTGTGTTAGTGGCATTGGGCGTCTTTTGCTGCTTTCTGCCGTAATTACGGCGATTATCAGACCCCTGCCGCTGGTTATCATAATTGGAACGATGACATTGTCTTAGCGATGCGAGAGGATCTCGAACCAGACTGGACCGACTTGATACAACAAGCCTCTGAAATGATCGATGCCACCTTCGAGCGCATTAGCGAGATGTTTGAACGGGAAGAGGATGCTTTGAACAGTAAGTAGAAAGCTAGTGCTTGGTATTATGGCTCTGCTGACGTCTCGTGTAGATTGTCTCGAGCTCGCCCCAAACGCACTCGGCAATCTAATAGAGAACCTCGGCCCAAAGAGAGATTGTATCGAAGATATGCTCGAAACGGCATCGGAAAACTTCGTTGAGCAGATTGAGTGAGTACCCCTGACGACATCGGACTACATATCTAACACGCCCCTTCCAAGACGGATCCAAAGCAATGCACTGAACGGATATCCAAGCTCTTACATCACAGATAAGATGCGCTTGACCTACTTAGATTGTCAGAGTGAAAGCGGTGCGTGAATCTCCCCCTAAACACCCCCTCGTTCAGTGTCAAATAAGGCCTGATTCAATTCACAGGCACCGGCAGCGACCGCCGCCGAAAGGATCACATGCGACAGAAGCTATCCGGGACTACCCTGTTCTCCAAACTCAAAAGAACCGTCAAAGACGCCCAATGGGAAGTGATCGATGAGGCCGTCGAGAACATTAGAACCGGGCTGCAGAGGGAGTTTGACAGCCTCCTCCGGGACATACAGAGTATTGTCGGCGAAGAAGGTGAGGTTAGTGAATCACAGAGACATCCTGACACGGCGAGGAGAACGGGACTGCTAGTTGAGCATTTAGCGCAGGACTTGGACGATCGACATCGGCTTATTGAGGAACTCCGGGGGCATCCTAGTTTGAGGTGATTTGAATTTTTTGAGTGGGTGTGTATGTTCTCACTGCTTCGTTAGAGGTTCATAGTAAACGAGTTCCATTTTGCTGTTCACAAAAGCGACACAACTCGTTATTCAACCTTCCACCTCAATCTCGCTTCTCACGAGCCTTTCAAGATCCTCCACTGCCCGAAAGTCAGATGAAGGACCACTCGGATTAAAGAACCACGCGTCTTTGCGATCCTCCCGATTCCTCCATAACTCAGCAACACCATCGATTTGACCAATCGACTTGACTTGTGAGAAGTCGCCTGATACTACCTCTGCGAGTGGTTCTTCGTACCTGCCAAAATACGGATATCCGTATCGTTTGTAGAGTGCGGGATTGATGGGCGATTCCGGCAACGGGAGACCGGTCACTGCTTGAAAACCCGCGCTGTTGAGGATCTGCACGTTGAAGACTTTGGTATATTTCGGGTGCCACTCGTAGATTCCGGGATCCTTGATGACGGGTTGGGTGATTTTGCCGCCGGCTGCGATGCTCATTTGCGAAGGAAATGTTTCTGGCGGAGTCGTCTTAGTGTCCCATCCGCCTCCTCTCAGCCGAAGGACGAGATGAAGCGTGGAGCCCTAAAGCACGAGTCAAATGATGCTTAGAATTGGGGTAAGGTAATACGTACAGGGCCAATGTGGTAGTATGACAAAGTTCTGCCATCTACAACTCGTCAGAATGTATGATTTGAGTTGAGCGAGATGGAGTACAAACCTTCTAGCTGTTTACTAGCGAAAACAAGCCTTTGTTGATCTGGTGGAATTCCTTCCTTGTCCTCTAGCTTACTCTTCACGTCGTCTATGGTATCGCTCGACTCTACTTGGAGTCTTATTTTCTTGCCAGTCAAAGTGCGAACAAATATTTGCATTCCGCCTCGTAAGTTGAGGAGCAGGTATATGGTTGATTTCTGGATTGATCAGTGAAACATTCTTCCGCAGAGGAGCGATGATGGACAGACATTCCGAATATCATACTTCTTGAGCTTTTGCGAACCTACGTAAATTGAGCCATTGTGCATACATATCACAAGCAGGATGCATACCTTGTAAGCGTCGGCCTCCACAGATCAACTTCTGGTGTGAAGTAGGTATTCCTTCTTGGCGCTGTATAAGGAGCTTTAGCTCGTCTGCCGTATCCTCGGGCGAAACATGCATCGTAAATGGTTCGCCATTCATTGGACTGATATCCAGCTCCCAAGGTCGCGTCCGCTTCGGAATATCTTCGCTGGAGTCTCTGAGTGCGGAGTTGGGGAAAGTGACCGCTTTCGGTATCCCCGTCATGACACCAGGCGTGATCTCGAACTGGATGCCGCCGATGAGCTCTTGACCGGTAACTTGAGCCTCAACTGAGTAGCCACTCCCAACAGGCATAGCAACAAATTGCCGCACTCGGTTTGCTTCGGTACAGATTCCATCCAGCCAGCCCTGATTGGGTATCACGACGTAGTCTTGGATTGAAATATTCTGGGCAACACGATTGCGGCGTCGACGTTTGGTGTCGGGTGATTCCACAGCAGGCTCACCGGAAACCGCATTTACGCCGCCTACGAAGATTTTCACGGCATACGGACGCTGTGAGCGTAGCCTTATCCACAATGCCTCGCGTTCTAGACGGTGTTAGCGCTATGCTATCCTGAGAAGTGGGACACTAGGATTACGTACGATACATTGGGAGAAAGAGTCCCCCTTTGACAGTCATATTTGTAGGAAAGGATTTTGCATAGTTTCTGACTTCAAAGAGGGGAAAGTTTCCGAGGCCGGGTGGCAAGGCTGAGCTGTTGTCATTGTCTGGCACTCTCACGGTGCGCTTGAATGCTATTTGAAGGTCATCCAAGTGGACTGCATTATCTGTGATCTCGGGCACTGGGTCCCAAGGGATGTCCATGCTTACTATAGCAACTTTGGAGATATGATGTTTGAGAAATTACTTTCCTCGTAGACTGTGCGGCTGAGTTATATAAAGGATATGTGGAGTTGGCGTCAGGCTGAAGGGACGACGAGAGGCTTGTGGTGGGGCTCAGCCTCAGCCTCCGAACAGAAAAGTCAACCTTGGAACTCAGCTATGAGACATGACTCGGCAAAATTGGAAGCCACAAGGCTGAGGTGATGTTCATTGGTTTCCTGAGGAGTGGATTGGAGAAGCTCACTGACAAGCTAGCTACCGTATTGACTCCGTTCTCAAGTCGCTATGGCTTGCCCTTGCTGGAATATGCGAAGACCTTTCACTCAGTAGTCTGGGGTAAGTTGGGTCAAAAGCTATGTTTTTGGGGAACCCTCTCAAGGAATGAAGCGCAGGAGCCCATTTCGCAGTTCTCCTTTGTGATCCATTTCCGGTGATACACTACCCTTGATCGGTGCCTTAATGAGGATTTTTATGGGTGTTGGTGGGGGATATTGCATAGGAAACTTCAAGATGTACACAACAATACTACTTCTGGCGCCTCTAAGCCTAGGTTCATTAATGTGAGATGTCAGTCACGGTTTTGACTTCAACAATGAGAGATGTTGGGAAACAGAGGAGCGTCACATAAGCAGGAACCACGTGATATCGGATAAACTATCTGCCGATAAAATGGCTTGACTCCCGCCACCCTCTCTACATCTCGCTCTCCACCATACTAACGACGTCTTACAAACCCTCAACGACGACGCCTTCTAACCAACTGACTTCTTGACTCCCCGCTACTCTCATATTCTGCACTCGCTCACTACCACAACAACCTCCACAAAGCCCTTACGACACTCTACCAAACACCCTCACCCTCAACCCCACCCAACCGCCATCATGCCTCGCGCAGAAGTCGGCTCCACCAAGCACCTCGCCAACAAGATGAAATCCAAAGGCCTGCAACGCCTGCGCTGGTACTGCCAAGTGTGCGAAAAGCAATGCCGCGACGCCAACGGCTTCAAATGCCACGTGCAGTCCGAATCCCACGTGCGCCAAATGCACGTCGTGGGCGAAGACCCGAAGAAGTACATCGAGCAGTTCTCGCGCGAGTTCCAGCACGACTTCATCCAACTCCTCCGCACCTCCCACGGCGAGAAGGCCGTCAACATCAACCACTTCTACCAGAACTACATCGCGAACAAGGAGCACACGCACATGAACGCGACCAAGTGGCCGAGCCTGACCGAGTTTGCAAAATACCTCGGCCGCGAGGGGATTTGCACCGTGTCGGAGGACGAGAAGGGGGGGCTGATGGTCGCGTGGCGGGATGTGAGCCCGGCGGCGGTGAAGCGGAGGGCGGAGATTCGGGAGGCGCAGTTGGCGGATGCGGAGACGGAGGCGCACGAGGAGAGGGTGATGAAGCGGATGCTGGCGCGGGCGAAGATGGAGGCGGAGGAGAAGGCGGCGAGGGAGGAGAAGGCGAAGGCCGAGGCGGAGGCTAGGGGTGAGGCGACGACTAAGGAGGAATCGCAGAAGATGGAGATGCCTGCTGGACCGGTCAAGTTGAACTTTTCGATGAAGAAGCCGCTTGGGCAGCCTGGGAAGGTGGGCTTGGGACAGATGAAGAGCAAGAGTATCTTCAAGCGAGTGCGAGAGGAGACTGCTAAAGAGCAGGATGTCCCTGCGGAGAAGAGGACGAAGGTTGGATGAAGTCCATCTTTCTCTTGAGCCATAACACACAACACGACGATCACAGACAAGGATCCGGCGTTAGCAGTGTCGACTTCGATCTACGGACCCCTACGACATTGAACCGATATCCTCAGTCACTCAGTCACTCAGTCACACACAAGCCTCGGCTTAGAGTTCCTCTCAAGCGCAAGATTTCATAGGGTGGATTTTGGATGGATTATACCAGGGTCGAACCCCATATGATTTGCGAGGTTGCCTCTACTGCAACTATATGCATAGTTAGTTATCAAAATACCCCATATGTAGCGCTATGCTGTTACAAATGAGAAGCCGTACTCCAAATCTCTCGCTGTAACCGAAAAGGTGCAATGGAAATATCCCGGTGAATGCCAAACACGCTTCCATCCAGGGGGTTCCACCGTCCGCTAATTATCAAATGCTACAATTCCCCCCCAGTACGCCGAACGACCAGGCTAAATCGCGAAATCAGGAAGATCACTCCAACACCCGACTCTCGCCGTTCGGAATTTCCTCAAACTTAACGTCATCCCACTCATCACCGAAGGAAGAGTTGGTGTCGGTAGAGGACTCGCTCACGGACAGGCCGTCCTCAGCATCTCTCTCTCGCGCTTGTCTCCGCGCCTCCGCTACAGCCTCTTCAACAGACACGACCTTCCGTCTCAAGAACCAGCTAACGATCCCAAGCCCCGCCTTCACCTCGTCATGCGTCCCAACCCAGTATTTCGCATTCAGCACCCGCTGCGCTTGCAACCCGTTATGCCCACCTAGATTAAGCTGCTGCGCCGACCCAATCGAAATAGAGTGCAGCCCATGCAGGAACGCGAGCGTACTCAGCGGCGGGTCCGCATTCGCGACCGGCGCCAGCGCGCTCGCCGGGATACCATGCGGCGTGTAGATCACCACCTCCGCCGCATCAACCCCGGATGAAGAAGACGAGAACGAGGCCGCAGACGGCGCGGCATTGAACGCGATCATCAGTGCCGAGTGGTAGTACTTGAAGTCCCGCGCCGCCACGATCCGCGAGATGCTGAGCCATTCCGGCAGCGGCGGCAGCGAGTTCGCGCGCCAGTCGCACGCCTCGCTTGTAAAAGTCGGGACGACGTGGACGGCGCGGAAGTGGCGCATGGCGTTGACGACGAGGGCGGCCTTGTCGGTGCAGAAGACGGGGACGTCGCGGTGCACGGTCTTGAGGGTGCTGGGGTGACAGTGGTCGGTGAACTCGTGGGAGATGGCGATGGCATCGATGAATCGGTGGCGGGCGGCGTCTTCTTCCTCTTGCTCTTCGTCTTCGGGGCGGGGCGGCTTGTAGGTGCGCCGATACAGGAAGCTCGCGCCGGCGAGGTGCTCGATTTCGCGCGCGAGTTGGTTTGCTCCGTCAATGGTGCTCACGGCGCTGGGCGTGGCGTGCCATTGCTGCGAGAACCAGGATGCCACGTCGGATTGGCCGCCCGTGAGCCAGGGGTCGATGAGTATGTTGTAGTATATGCGCTTGCTGTGTTTGACGGCGGACGCGGGTCGTGGGATCTGAAGGAGCCAGGTGGTGTCGGCGTTGAGGTGGTGTAGGAGGGGACGGCGCGTGGCAAGGGAGCGGACGATTGCGTCGCGTGTGAGGCGGTGGAGCTCGGTGGAGATCTTCTCATCGTCGGAGGACTCCATTGAGGTGGTGTGGAGGTGGGAGCATTAGTGGTTGCGTGGAGAGGTTGAAGATTAAGGCGCCGTGGCGTGGAGCTGGAGTGCTAAATAGTGAAAATTACATCATCAGTGGCGAGAAGGTAGATGACGACAATGTTCGTGTCGAAGAAATGGTGAATGTATTGACATTTGTGGCTCTGAACGAAAGGAAACCATACCAATGTTGTGTGTTTTGCGGACGCGCACGACGCGCTGAGTGATCTCGGACGCTGTCAGGGCGTCGTGCATTGGTGTTTATGTGGGGCTTTATGCGGGGATATTTTTGTGCCTTCTGAGGTGGCCCGGAGAGCCAGCAGCCTTGCCAAAAGTGTGCTTTTTCAGCTTTAGTAATGTTCCAGAGGACCTCAAGCAGTACTAGGCACGTTTACACAATCTTGGAGGAAGTTTTGGAACAGTACTTTATACATTTCCATGTACTGCCACTAGCTTGGGTGTTATTCTTTTGTGGGGCTTTATGCGGTACGGCGGGGATATTTTTGGACCTTCCAAGGTTGCTCTGCAAGCTGTCCCTTCATCATCAGCCTCATTCACGACTCCATCTTCAACATTTGGACTGCTACCGCAATTACTTGTGCCCCTCCTCGCAAGTTAGCAAGCTTCAGCATGGCTTCCACTGTCAATCCCCCAGATACTACCGCCATCAGTCTACAACGCCTCCTCACACACCTCGAGCATACCCTACTTTCGCCGGACGCCGACACCAACCTGCGGAAGTCCAGCTACGATCGCGCAAAAGTTGGCGCAAATCTCGAATACGCTCGGTCGCTTCTTCTGAAACTAGAGCATGACAGCTCAGGCATCAAAATCCTGTCGCGAAAACAGGCCCTCCAGGCCGACCTCCAAGCCAAGCGGGCACTCATAAAGCAACTAAACAAACGACTGTACGAGCTCAACCAGATCGACGACAGCTCTGAAGGAGGATCTGCTTCAGAATCTGAGGATGGCGAAGACATATTCCCCTCATATGCGCCCGCGGTCAGGAATACATCGAGTTCCATAGACCATGTGAACAGAGAGGAGAATCCTGCCCTGCAAGAAGCAGCCGCAAATCTATCGTCAACACTCCGGTCACGGAAATCACAACCAGCGTCAAATGCTGCTACCACTGGCGCCTCTCTGTTCGGGTCTAATACGCAATCTGCCTCGGCCAAGCCGCAGACAGAAACACTTCTCTCACACAACCGGAACGAGCAGGAAACTTTAACAACCTCCCTTCTCGATATGGCGAAAGCTCTCAAAAACCAGTCTTTACAGTTCGCCGGCGCGTTGGAATCGGAGAAGTCGATACTAGACAGGGCAGTGACAGGCTTGGATAAGAATGCCACAGGTATGGAGGCAGCAGGACAGCGGATGGGCACATTACGAAGGATGACAGAGGGAAAGGGATGGTGGGACCGGATGAAGCTCTACGGCATGATCTTCGGCTTGTGGTTCATCGCATTTGCGATTGTGTTCATATTGCCAAAGCTCCGATTCTAGGGGCGAGCTGCATGGGATACGGAGTTAACGGAGCATAGCGATGGATTGTAATGCAGACATGATAATTAAAAGAGCAAATACGATGCTCGTGTACAACGCCTGAACGCCTTGCTCACTCAATGACCCATATAATACAACGCTGTCCACCAGCGCCAGCTGTCATGTACACGCGATCCAACGCCCGACTACCCTCAGCGCCCAACCCGTGGGCCCTATCGCTCGACTAGAACAACCACACATACCAGAACAGGAAGATGACGGCCGCAAAGAAGCCCAGCCACACCTTCCACCCCACGCCCGTCTTCTCCGCCATCCGCAGCATGCGATTCATCGTGCCCCGTAACCGCACGCGCGTATTGTCGAACGAGTTGTTCATCTTATCCGCCAGGGCCGTCGAGTCGCGGATCTCGTCTCCAATCGCCACCGTGATCTATTCCAAAACTCTCGTTAGCACATATCGCCAGAACGGTTGTAGTGTCAAGGGTCTTCCTACGTCTTTCAACATCCGCACCTTGGCGCTCATGCCCGCCAGCTGGTCCTCGTTCTGGCTCTCCAGCTCGCTCAGCACCGCGTCCGAGTACTGGCCGCGCGAATTCGGCGTCGCAGGCCGGTAGCCAACCATGCCGGGGCTCAGATTGGGACTCCCGCCTCCGCCGCCGGGGTAGGCCGAGAAGGCGGGACCGTTGGACGCGGCGGTGGAGGGGAAGCCGTAGCCATAACCGCTTGTGGGCCGGCCGGGGGACTTTGATTTCGACTTCGAGGGCGAGGTGCTGCGGTCGTAGGTGCTGAAGAGGGCGCTGCGGGCGTCCCGGTGTTGGGTTGTAGAACTGAACCTGCAGGTGAGATCTGGTTAGTGGAGCGCTCGAAGTTGGGAAGAGACTTGGTGATGGTGTAAGCTTACCTTGACGCCATGATAATCGTTTCGTTGTGGAGTTGTGAGGATCTGCAGGAGAGCCGTGAACTTTTTGCGGCGAGATCGTGGAGCGGCCTGGGGGCCGATGGAGGGTCCACCGTGTCCTCACAACACCACCCCCAAGGCTTCCAAAAAGAACACGAGCCCATAAATTCCTCCATCTCGCGCCTATAATTTCTCAAGTTGATGCACAGTTCTTACGCCCCCAAACATTTTCCGAGCCTTTTCACTCAACTATCATCACAATGGTCTGATATACCATGCTCAAGTTCGAGATGCATAAATCTGACTAGTATACTAGAATGCCCTCTTCAACTCGGCCTTGCGCCAATCCACAGCAATCCGGAAGGACCTAGATACCTTCGCGGACAACCCGTCACCGTCCCCAGCACTTCTAGGCCAAATAAACGCATCCCTCACTTCCTTCTCGCGCACAATCGACGACTACAACAAGCTCGCAAAGCAAGAGATCGTGGCTACAAAGCAGGAGAAGGCACAGGAGCGGCTAAAAACATTTCGCGCGGAACTATCAGATTATAGGGCGCAATTCGCGAGGTTACGACAGGTCAACGAAGAAATTGTAGGTTTGTTCTACAGTCTCGCATCAAAACTCTTGTAACATCAAGGCACTACAAGCAGTGGCCGATGAGTGTACACAGATCTATGACGAGGCACCGCGCAGACTCTTCCAGGGATGCAAGCTCACAGTTTCTAGCAAACCACTCAAAACCGCACCGAGCTCCTAGGCCGTCGCCCTCACAATACCGCTACGCCCGAGAACCCTTACGCAAACAACGCACAATCATCGCAGCAGCACTCGCCATGGGCACCAAACCCCTCATCCGCCTCCTACTCAGCTTCCCGCGGCACTAGCCTCGGCGCGGCGCCTTCAGAATACGATCGAGAGACACACGCTTTCCGCGAGCAAACATTCGCCTCGCAGGCCAATGCGCATCTAGACGAGTTCCTGGATAGAGGAAGGGCGGTACTGGGGGATCTATCACAGCAGAGGGAGATGCTCAAGGGGACGCAGCGGCGGCTGTACAGCGTTGCGAATACGCTGGGAGTTAGTGGGGATACGATTCGCATGGTTGAGAGGAGGGCGAAGCAGGATAAGTGGATATTCTGGGCTGGAGTCGTGGTGTTCTTCGTGTTTTGCTACTTGGTCTTGAAATACCTGAGGTAATGGGGGCAAGCTTGCTGTGGACCATGCATCTGAGAATCAGAATAGGCGTTATTGGCGGGCGATGAAAAGGGTTTGGAGTTGGGAATGGTTTGAGGTTTGGTAGACAGAGGCACGAGGCCGTGTCGCTCATCATCTGTAATATTGTGAAGACTACGACGGTGGTCAGTTGATGATGGCAATCGAAAGAAGCATCCACAATGACTAGATTGTCTTCAGATATATGTTTCCATATATGAAATTCACGTGCCTTGGGCAATCATGGAGAGGAGTTTCAAGTGCCCGCCCTCTCTACCCCTCAACACCAAGACATCCGACTCAGCGCCGCGCCACGATCATCCATGGATCACTCTTCAATAGTAACAAGGTAATCTGTTCACTTCAAGTCTTTCAAACTTTAACCCCGCTTTGAAAGTCTAGTCACCGCAAACCTCAGGCGCAATCTAAATCCATCTAACATTTCTATCTCCCGTCACTCTTCTTTTCCTTCAAGTCTCTATCAATCATCATGGGCAAAGAGAAAGACGAATATCAGCCACCTTCAGGACCTCCCCCAGGCAAACTGAAGTCCAACAACCCGTGGTACAAACGAATAGGTCACTCTTCAAATCGCCAGCAGGAGGAGAACTCACAAGCCTACACGCCTCCAGCATCATACGCTCCTCCGCAAGCATATGGTTCATCACAGGGATATCAACCCCCATCAGGACCTCCGCCGTCACATAAAGGCGCGTCAGTACCCAGCTACGCTGCTCCACCAGGGCCACCTCCGTCGATGTCATACGCTCCGCCCCCAGGACCGCCTCCAAACATGTCTTCTGAGGAGCCCCCGCCCTACCACGACTGGACCATCATCCCAGACAACTCCCTCCTCCCACCACCCCCAAGCATCGGCTACGACGCCTCCCCAACCGCCAACGCCAGCAGCGACGAAGGCGAAGCCGCCTACATCTGGTGCCAACGGAACCCCCTCTACCCCCCGGGCACCTTCACGCAAGAACACCACAACTTCATCCAGTCCGGTCAACTCACCTTACTCCGCCCTCCAACCCTCCAGGGCGATCTCCTTTCCCAACAGCGCCCAGGACACTGGAAGTTCCGCACGAAACCCAAGTGCACGGATTCCTGCCTCCTGACCTCCCTGCCGCTCTACTCCGCGCAGTGGGATAGCCCTCTCCACACGCGCCGTTCCAAGACTATCTACTTCGAGCTGCAGTTCAACACCAAGAGCGGACTCTGGCGCGATCAGCACCCGGAGCCCGAGTTCGGCGTCTCGATTGGCTTCGTCGCGCCTCCGTTTCCTACGTTCCGCTTGCCGGGGTGGCAGCGTGGGAGTCTGGGCGTACATGGCGACGACGGACATCGATACGTGAACGACACGTTTGGCGGCAGCGATTTTACGACTCCATTCCTGCCTGGTCAACGCTTAGGCATCGGGATTACGTTCTCACCGCCGCAGAAGCCGCCGGGGTACGAAGACCGCGGGGCGAGTGGGAAGCTGGATATCAGAGTCTTCTTCACGCGGAACGGGGTGGAGGCAGGCAGTTGGGATGGGACGGAGGAGCTGGATCAGCGCAGTGAGGGGGGAACGGTGGGGTTGGTTGGAGACTGTGATTTGTTTGCGGCGGTAGGCGTGTTTGGGGGAGTGGATTGCGATGTGTTCTTTGCGGAGCAGGATTGGCGGTATAGGATAGGTTGAGTGTGGGGAATCGAGAGAGTGGACTGTGGTGGAGATGGGGTGGTTGGGATATACCTGATAGATGAGTCCGTAATGGGAGGAGTTCCTCAAACACTTGAGATAGCCACACCATGCTGCTAATTTACAACACTTGACTCAACGTCGAAGCTTCCCTCGCCTTTGCATCGCCGAGCTTAAATGCCAATCCTCAAGCCTGATTTCCTGTGTCAGCTAACGACAACAGCTAAGATCTCACCTACAGCGCCCACCCCACCTCGCCGCCCTCAATATCACCCCTCCATCCTCCACACTTCGGCCCTCTGCCAAGACTTGCCTCAATAGGATATTACTCGGACTGCTAAGAAAGTTCCTTTTCCGCTAGCTCGCATGCAGTGCCGCATACCATGGTGCGGATGATCGACGCCCAGGTTCATGCATCGACCTAGGAGCTTTCGCCCGCCTCCGCGAATCTGGTACTGCAAACCCCTGTTCCCTTTGCAGCATACCACCGCTTCCAAATCTGCAAACTAAAACGGCGCAGCGCCCGCCTCCGCACGCGTGCGGAATCTTGATCTGAACCCTGAATCTAGATCTCGGCGATGTCATTGTTTGTCTGGCGTTTCTCAGGGACTGGTGTGCTGGGGGGGTGGGGGGCATTTTTGTGTTGTTTTTCACGAGGGACTGCGATCTTCAGGGTCTCAATTCATACCTTAGTACACCGAGATGTCACAGCTCTAAAAAGTTCTCAGAGCAATGCGTGTACGACCATACCCCTCACTTCCTCACAAACCACCCTCTCCACACTCCACACGGCGATTTGACTCCGCACGGCGTCAGCTCTAGCCGCACCCCCTTCCACTCTCAATCCCTCTAGACGCAGTCTCCTCCCCCGTTCCCAAGCATACGCCGCGGCACGCGCGCCCGCAATCGCCACTCGGAGGCGGCCAGACCCCCGACGCACCAATCAAGGCCTTGAAAGCGGAGGGGGCTGCGGAAAGCCGAAAGGAGAAAAAACCACGAGCACGAAACAGACCCTTGGTCCCTAAGTATTGGCTCACGACGGGAACGGAGTGCTTCGCCGCCTCCGCGTCTGTGTTCAACACTTTTTGCTGGATTTGCTGGATTCGTAGGGGGTGGCGGTTGCCGCAATAGGAAGGACTTTTGTGAGAGAGCGTGCGTAGGGTGAGCCCCAGGTTGTGGGAGGAGAGGAAGGGATGGAAAGTGGGGGTTATTCTTTAGGTATTATAGGGCTCTCTCTCTCTCTCGCGGCTCTACTTGGCGGTATTATGGTGTGCCATTCCCCCCTCCCCCCTGTTACGCAAAAGAAAGGCACACACGCCTGATTCAAAGTCCAAATCGCCTGTCTTCTTCACTCACTGAAATTCGCCCAGCTGATGGTATACGTACTGATCCCGTCCCCCCTCCGACTGCCACTCGCTCCCCCTTCCTACACCTACTCCTCCACCCACGCTCTCCCAATCTCCTCCGCAATCCCCAACCTCAGCAACCTAATCACATCCTCGCCCTTCGCCGCCTTGTCAAACCCACCCCGCCAATCCCACGCCCGCTTAGCTTCGCTCTTCCCCCCTTTAACCAGCACCCCGCTATTCTCCGTGCTCCTGTCGCCCCCCGACGACCCCTCCCCCAGCATCGAGCTCCCAACGAGCGAGAACTGGCTCGACGCCGTCGTGAGATTCGACGTCGACTTCGTGAGCCGCGAGCGCGGCGACCCCGGCGGGTCCGCACCGCGGGCCGTGGCGAGGGTCGTGGCGAAGCACTCCTCGGCCTGCTTATAGATGAGCGACGGCGCGGTCTGCAGGTCCTCGATGGCGGCGAGGAGGGCGTAGAGGTGCGGCAGCGTGAGCGCGCGTTTGGGCTGGTTGACGAAGACGAGGGCCTCGCCGAGCAGGGATAGCAGCACGTCGACCTGGATGACCGTCTCGACGGCGGGGTCGTACAGCCCGCCGCGGATGCTGGACGACGCGCTGGAGATGAGGACCATGAGCGCGTTGGCGGCGGCAAGCTTGCGCGCCATGGGTCGCAGGGACGGTTTCTCGCCCGGTTTGAGGTTGACAGCTTCGTCGCGGAGGTCGTAGAACTTGCGGACCGTGGCGTAGCCGCTTAGGTAGGTGGAGAGGAGTTGGGCGGCTTCGAGGTCTGTGCGGGAGAGGTCGGTGAGGGTGCGTTGGGGGGAGGTGATGAACGCTTTTAGGCGGTCGTCTAGGTCGGGGACAGGTGGGTATGAGACGGAATGGACTAGACACTCGGAGACTAGGATCTGAAGCACTTCCTGGATCTTCTGTGGTTGGTGGCCTCGGGCATAGTAGAGCAGCGTATCTCCATAATTGCGAGTAGAGCTACGAAGTTGATCGGCATATTTCTGTAGATGGTCAGTATAGATCCAATAAAGACGTTTGCAAGGCTTACCTCCGCAACGGTATTAGATTGATCGACGAAGCCCAGACTCGTGCAAAGATCGAGTATCTTATCAACCCGTTCTCTCGAGGACAGTTCCAGCGAGCGGAGCATTCTCCCGATGAATTCGTTTGCGAGATTCTCATCATCGAGGCGGCCTACAACTTGGATTGCTAGTTCCCAGCCTTCTTGAGTGGTTTGTAAGTTGGGACTGCGCACAATATCCTTCCGTCTAAGACATTCGGCATACCGAATCAGCATGTCGTCCTTATCTAGATGCTTCTCTCCTTGCCGTCCGTAACTCAAAACCATCAGATCAGACTTGTCAAAGCCGTCTACGTCGTCGTTAGAAGCCGGTTTCAGCCAATTGTCCGCGCTCGCAATCTCCACGACGGCAGTCACGAGAACAACAGACCAGTTTTGGAGTATGTACGCCAGTCCTTCCAAGTTGCCATCAAATATGCATGCCAAACCCACGTCTGTGGGGCTAGACACGTTGATGCTGAGACTCGAATCGTTCATCTCTATGACTCTTGCAAGGGCAGAGCAGAGCTTTTGACGATAGGCTGACGTTGGCGTTACATCTGCTACCCGTGTTCCGTGAGATCGTGCCAGTGATCGCCGGCTAGCAGCAAGGGAACCTTTAGGACCATCCTCATCGTCACCGTCCCACCAGATGGCGAGTCCAAGCACAGCTTCAGTCCAGTCTACGGCTATACCAAGGATTTCGTCCGGGCTTCCTAGAAGCTGGTTGTAAAGGACGAGTAGATTCTCGTATATCGACCATGGAACGTTACTCTCAGCTTTCCGGCTCTGCATGGTTAGGTTGTTGTGGGAAGCCGACATTCCGAAAGGATCCGATTCGGATTGCTGGCTGGTTCGGTTCGGGCTGTCTCCTTCTGCAAACTCTCGAAGATCTGAAATTGTTTGCGAAACTTGTTTCCGGAAAAGGTTCCAGTCGTGACCTTTCACATCCCAGTCATCAGATGCGACGGCAGGGCACTCTTGAATCAACGCGATCGCATCACTGACCACAGCGTTGATGTTCTTCAATTGGACGCCTTCGTATCCTTGATCCCCGAATCCGTCTATAGGTGCTGTTTCCGCAACATCAAATCTTCCGCCCTTCAATAGCTTAATGGTTGCGGCGAAGTTTCCACGGAGAACCTGCTTATGTTAGATGAAATGCAATCAATATGTCAACTTCTGATGTAGGTACTACGAACCGAGTATTTGACAGCATCCCAATAACCTGGATTCGCAGAGTAGCCGCGTTGCTCTCTCAGCACATGTCCGATTTCAGTATCCGGCCTGTGGTATGTGTTCATCCAGTCGAGCAGAATCTTGGGGATCGGCGAACTCCTTTGAGCGTCTCGTCTAGAGAGGCCGAACATAGATGATCGGCCCAAATTGGATGGTGGTGCCGGGTAGTGAAGCTGGAGCAACAGACTAACCAAATAGTTGGCTTTCGTGATTGATGATTCCGTATTTGGCGGTCCTGCGCCGTGCACACTGCTTTTGAACGACGTCCGCGAGAACTGCCTCCACAGTCGCAGCAGCTGTTGCGCAACATCTGCAATAGTTTCGCTCCTCGCCATTGGGTTGTTATTGTTCTCGGATTCGCTCAATCTTCCTAGAAGCTTCTCCGTCTCCAGTATCATCTCATCGGGCTCAGTCAATTCCCGCGCCGGGGGTCCCACTATGCCTTTCGCTATCGTGAGGAAATCGTACTTTCTCTGTCTTGAAGCAAAGGTTTGGCTCTCTGGTCCGATGTTTGTCCTCGTGGAGTCCCCGAATCGTGAGCGCTTTTTGCCCCTCACAGAGTCCAAAAGTCTAGGATCCCTAAGACTGTAGCTTGCGGAAGCCGAGAATGCAGATTCTCGTCCAGTATGACTACGGGCACCGTCGGCTACACCGTCATAACCCTCGTCCTCCTCCATTTCCTCATCCTCCTCCTCTTCGCCATATTCTTCGCCCTCGTCTCCGTTATCTGAGTCATCGACGCCGTCATCACTCGTTTCCAATTCGCGCATAGCCTCTACATCATCTTCGTCGCTATGTTGTTCCTCGTCCTCGTCAGACCCATACGGCGGACTGCTTCCCGGAGCGCGGAAGCCAGAGCGACCCCGATTGGCAGAGCTTCCAAGTGGAGTAGAGTCAGGAACGGCAAAACGACTGCTAGCAAAAGGCGTGGTCTTTTTGGGAGGCGAGCTTTTGAATGTAGGTTTCTGGAATTGAGGTTGTCTAGAGGCGCCGAACTGCGAGCTGGAGGGAGGCGGTCCGGCGGGGGTTGACGAGGGAATGTACCGGGAAGGAGGTGGGCCAGCGGGCGTGGTCGAGGGAAAGTTATGTCTGCTTGAGCGACGAGAGTCTGGAGTGGAGGGCGGCGTCGAGGATGGTACGCGGAAAGCCATGGTCGGCGATAGGGTGGAGGCTTGATGTGGTGGACAAAGAGGTATTGTTGGAAGGAGAATTAAGCGATCAGCAGCCAAACATCACCAGGCCCCGAATCGCTAGTGGAAGCTAAGAAACACTGAAAGAGTAATAGAAGTGAACTCCTGGTGGAGGTGACGGCGCGGGCGACGTGAAGATTGGCCTTCGCTGCGACGCGACCAGGCCAGCGCAAAACATCTAGGTCGAAGCACGGGCCAACCTCACCGCCAGTCACGTGACGTCCCAAGGCAGCTCATGGGATCCCTGCGTGCAGCGAGAGAGGGTTTGTGCACTCCATGGCAGCATTCAACATGAAGTGGCAATCTACGAATCCGTCGCTCTGTTCCAGAACTTCCCATCTGAAGCTATACTTTTGTTGGGCTTATGTAGAATTTTCTAGTGCCGCTTGAGGCGCCCTGATACGTTGTAAAGAATTAGAAAACGACAAGTTGCTACGCCTGATAGCTCTCCGAGCCACCTCAGACAGACTCGGCTTAGAGAACCACTTATCCAGAGGGTAAAAGGCAGTAGTGCATATTTCAGAGCTATGTATACCAAGTTGGGCCATTTTGCTCCGACTTCACTACACATCACGTGACCTACTCGCCTCGACCGTGGGATCCTGCGGACATCCGGAAAGTCATGCGAACTATACTTTGTAAGCACTAAAGAAGGCGAATGGCGTTCTGTAGGCCCTTTCGGTGCTCGGCGCAAGGAAAAACACGGTGCGCTCAAAGCCCTCACTGTTGCTCGATTCCACCAGCACGAAGTGTGTGGAGTGTCCAGCAAGAGTGATTCCTTTCGGCCCCAGGCTGGCTGTTCGGAATCCGATGAACGAACCACAGCCGGGAATAGAGTTGGGTCTGGGCAGCCGGTCACAGCATGCTGGGTATTAAAAAAGGTACAGAAGGTCTTGGCGGCACCTGGCAGCGGAAGCTGTGCGGGGACTGTGACAGGCTGGGAGGGGCGTGATTACGTCGTGCCGGGCAGCAAGGGAACGGAAACGCCGCGACCAGAGCCGAAGCCTTCCATACTTCTGACCTGCGGGCGCAATGCTCTTCTCTCTCTTTAATGTCTAATCTGTCCACCCGGACTCGCTCTCGTCACCATGGTGGAAAAGAAGGCCATCTGGGCTAAAACCAAGACCGGCGGCAAGGCCGGATTCGACAAGTTATGGGGATGGGCCGACAAGCTGGGTGCGCCTGTCAACAGGCTTTCCAACAAGCTTGGTTCTGAGGTACACTATGTCGCGAGGATATCTGGATTATACGGGGCCTGACTGACAATGAGTAGGCGTTTTGGCCCACAACACTTGACAAAGAGTGTAAGTTGATCTCGTTGTGGGGTGACTTGGACGTGCTAACGATATGATTTCTAGGCGATAAAGCTGCACGCATTCTCAGGTCATTCTGCAGCAAGTATTCCCAAATGTCTCAGCCGTCAACTCCCACTAAACGTCGTTAGAGGATGGGTTCTACCAGGAGGAGGAAGTCCAGCCCGTTGATGGCCCAAAGAAAAAGCAGAAAGTGCTTAAACGGATACCACCGGAAGTACGTTGCGTTCGCCCACCTTGTGGTTGTTCTGTTCTAATTAGACGACTTAGGTTATCAAAAATGCCAAAGGTCTCGCAATCTTCACGACCATGCGCACTGGGCTTTGGGTTTCGGGTGCCGGCGGCAGTGGCATACTCGTGGGACGAAAGGAAGACGGCGAGTGGTCTCCACCGTCAGGCATCCTTCTGCACACAGCCGGGCTGGGATTCTTGGTAGGCGTTGATATATACGACTGTGTGGTCGTAATAAACAGCCAGGTTAGAATGGTGGTCTGCATGTATTGAACTTCTCAGCTAATCCCCCCCAGAAAGCCCTGGACGCCTTTTCAAAGGTCCGATGTACGCTTGGTGGAGAGATAAGTGCGGTCGCGGGCCCTGTAGGAATAGGCGGAGTCCTGGAGTCGGAAGTTCACAAGAGACAATCACCTATATTCACATACCTAAAGTCACGAGGATTCTACGCTGGAGTGCAGATCGACGGTACCATCGTCATCGAGCGGACAGACGAGAACGAAGCCTTCTACCATGACAAGATCGGTGTCGCTGATATTCTCGCCGGCAAGGTCCGAAATCCACCCTACGAAATCAAGACTTTGATGGAAACCATCAAGGCCGCGCAAGGAGATCGCGACGTCGACCAGAACTTGTTGACCGATGAACCACCACCTGGGGACTACGAGGTTGAAGAAGATGGAGTCACATTTGGCATACCAGACAAGGAGGATCCGGATCCATTCGGCGTCCTTGCATTGGAGGAAGCAGGCTTCGAGATCAGAGAAGCCGGCACCAAAAAGCGCCCCACCAGCGAACAGTTCGAGTTCAATCCCAGCCCTTCCAGCCCTGTATACAACGCATTTAGAAAAAGTACCGATCGCCATAGCTTTGATAGTAGATCCATTAGTCGAAGAACGAGTTGGAGAACTAGCACAATGAGCACCACCGTGGATCGAGGCGTTCAGACGATGGATATGTCTACTCAAACAGAGATGGATCCCCCTTCGCTTCCTCAACGGACGAAGTCTGTGAATACTGGAAACAACAGTCCACGAATGACTGAAATTCCGGAAAACAAAAGTACCGACGATGCGACAAAGACGGCGGAAACGCCCAGTCTTGCAGCAGTCACGGCTGCTGAGACATCCGAGGACACACATACTGAGAAGACTGTCGAAAAGTCTACCGTAGAGTCCACTGAAAATGCCCTCAAAAAGCACACCGATGGTCACGAGTCTCCTGACGAGGGGGATGACTTTGACAACCTAGAAGAGCCTGTCATCCACCAGATCCATCATGCTTCAACGCCTCAGGTTATCACCCGCGCTCGGGTTGTCCAGGTGGTAAAGCCAATCCCACCCAAGCTCCCTCCACGAAACCCTGTTCGCGATCGCAAATCGGCCCTCAGCATCAACCCAGGTTCTCCGAATGAACACTCTACCAACGACCAAGCCACGGGTACTTCATCTTTCTCTTCTTCTGGACGACCATCGCCATCTTCTCTGCACGATCGATCTTCAGTCCGCTCCCAAGACTCTATCTCATCCGCAGATGATGGCCTCGAAGCTGTGGCTGAAAGATTCAAACCTCACGACGAACCATCCATTGAAAAAGGTGTGACCCCGGGCGAAGAGAAAAAGGACAATTTCCATTCCCTGCCAGAATCTCCGGCTGCTAATCATGTTCCGGGAGGTTTTAACTGATTATATCGGATACTCGGCTACCGTGTTCATTGTTATTTTTACCACATATGTACGATTCACTATTTGTCTTTCTGGAGGATTTATCGTGATTGGTTTACGAAGCAAGGCGTTTTGCACTGCTTTGAATACCATTTCATGATTATGATGTTATTGTTGCATAAAACGAAGGAATGTCTAGGAGAGGATGCGGTTCTATTGAAAATAGACATATGTTATCAACAACGGTCTCAAGAGTCACACTTCCCATCTCAAAATCGATATTGTTTGCAATTAACTACTCCTATTTGATCTTTAGCCGCTCATCAAAGACGAGATTTGATCTGAGAGGGATTTAGTTGGATTCAGATTTGGTAGTGGTATTGCAAGTAAAGTATTTTTAGTTGCAGTGAATGTAGAGGGAATTGATCAAAGAAGTTTGTGATTACGCTTTTCTACATCAACGAGACGGGTTTCAATGGTATGCCCCTCTCACTAACGTGTATGCTGCCGTATTTGTTGCCTATATACTAGCGTGAGTCGCTGTTGCTCTAACCACAGCCATTTCCAGAATGGCGAAGACAACGCTGTAGAATAGATTGAGAACCGTGATGCTTGTTACGTATGATAGTAGGAGAACCTGGAGTCCCCAGCCACTTGAAGTATTTCGCGTCTTGTCGCCATTTGACGTGATATCCTCCTAATTTGAAGCAGAAGAAAATGGACGGTGGGATAGGGAAATCTTTTGATCAATGTCTTTTGCCTCGTCTTTTCATCCTTGGATACTTTGAGGCAATTACTACGAAGTGCCTTGTCATGTACCTGAGCAACTGCTATCAAGGCAATGCGCGACGACTCGCAATGTCTGCAACGAGACCTGATACTACGCCATCGAAGAGCGGAGATAGCGAGCAGCTCCGGTACTTGTCAACCAACAGACCGGAAGTCTGCTCCTTCGAGGCCTGCCCATTGACGGAAGATGATGTGGGTTGCGCCTGGACCTCTTGGCTGCCGACCTCCTTGCCTGCGATGAGTGTGCCCTGAGGATACACCGGTCGAATGCCTTCCTCAATCAAGTAGACGAAGGCTGGATCGATCGGTATGCTGCCCAAGAAAGGGACCTCGAACTCCCTAGCCATGATCTCTCCGCCTCCTTTGCTGAACACGTTCGTGCACTCGCTGCAGTTGGGGCAAACAAAGCCTGCCATATTCTCCACCACGCCCAACACCCGTAGGCCGACTTTTTTGCAGAAGTTCAGTTCCTTCTTGACATCAGATATGCTTATGGCCTGCGGCGTAGTCACAACCACTGCCCCTGATAGTTGTGATGGTGTAACTGTCTTGAGGAGAGTTTCGAGGAGAGATATGTGTTCGTCTGAGGTACCGGGCGGCGTGTCGATGAGGAGGTAGTCGAGGTTGTCAGGCCATAGGACGTCGGAGAGGAACTGGCGGACCATGGCCGTCTTCTTAGGACCGCGCCATATGACAGCGTCGGAGCGAGACGACAGTATGAAGCCCAAGGACATGCAAGAAAGTGCACCTATAGGATTCTGCGCAGTTGTAGTAGTGGGATCGCGGGGTGGCAGTGGGGGCTGAGCATCGTGAACAGGAACCGGTATCCAGCCTCCGGGCGCTTGTCGAACCTTCGAATCCTCGATACCGAAAAATCTTGGAATTGAGGGTCCTGTGAGATCTATGTCTAGCACGCCGACAGAGTAGCCTTGTAGTGAAAGGGTCAGAGCGAGCTGGGTTGTGATGCTGGACTTGCCCACGCCGCCCTTGCCGGACAGCACGAGGACGATGTTTTTGACTGTATCGAGAGGCATGGTTCGATGGCTTTCAGTCGGGTCGCAATTCTGTCAAGCAGGCGGAGGAGTCGAGGCAATCCGTAACGCGCATAGTGGATGAGAATCTTCTGGTGTAGATTTCAAAGCTTTTCCGCTGGACGTGGCGGTTCGATATCTTGGCAATTTCCGCTCCGCTCCGATTCCGCAGTTAAGGTTCTACGCCTCCTTCTTTTCATCCTACAGACGAGGGCATCATGCAGGTCAATCAGTCAGTTCGGCGAAGAGTTGCGCCATGCTCACAGACCACTCTAGCCTTTGGAATCGAGGCCTGCAATGCTGCCACATTCTTTTCATCGCTTGGGGGTTAGGATTCCTGTACCACCCTCGATCAAGCTCTACACGATGTATCTTATACCATGTACTCAATCTTTAGTACTTAATAGCACCGTTGTCTTTCGAATCCCCAATTGCTAAGTTATGAATGCTACGCGATGCTATTTGTAGAGTCTACTAAGAATTTTCATATCATATCCTACTCAATGGTCCTTTCGATGGCTATACAAAGTCATACTTCTAGAGCGCATGAATCTGGTCAAATCCATTACATTCTTACCCCCTTCAGTCTATTTCCATAGCTGGACGTTTCTCTAAACCGCATTCCAAAAATGTCAGCCCGCGTGCGCAGCCTTTACAAAATCAGTCTCAAAGTCTGGAGTTTGTTCTATACGATAGCATTATCATACTCCATATATCGCCACAATGCGTTGGATCATCACAGCTTTAGCTGCCATCAGTCTCTCCGAGGCTGTATTCACTAGTCAAGGTTAGTCAGTTTCTACAAGGATGAGTTCCACTGATCTGTCACCCGTCGGCTGATGAGATATGTTTTGTAGATGACTTTAATCCTCTATTTCCTAGCATTGCGCACTCTCCAGAGTATTGCGATGGCTCTCTGGTTCCTCATGAAAAGCCGTTTGGTCCCAATGCCCCTGGGAAAGTAGAGCTACCTGAGCCGAACTTCGAAATTGTGCCTCCCCCTGTGGAGCCGGTTGGGACAATCCCTGAGAGGCCCCGGGAAGATTCGACCAAGGTCGAGCAAGCCAGTCTTCATACTCGTCAGTTCCTTCCCGACTTCCAGCTTTCGCCCGAAAACTTGGACTGGATTTCAAAGGTAGCGCCGACTCTGGAGGTACTCGAGGGAGCATTGTGGAAGGTCTTCTCTCCGGCGATACCTGCTGTCTACTCTTCAGCGGTTTCCTCGAGTTCAGGACTTGGCCTAAGCGCAACTTCAAGCGTTCGTCTCTCGTCTAGCCAGAGCAGTATTTTGAGTACCGCGTCGCCTAGCGGGACATCCTCCACATACTCGGTATCTCCTCTCAGTACAGTGCCCAGCAGCCCCTCGACGTCGTCTTTCGGCACCAGCAGCACCGATACTGCTAGCGCAAGCTCTTTTCTCGCTTCGACATCTGAAAGTTCTTCTTTCAACAACTCAGCGCCATCAACGTCAATAGTTTCTACATCTATATTCAGTACGGTAGAAACAACACCATCAGGAACGAGCTCTCTAAGTTTCGGGACTTCAACTTGAAGGGTCTCCACAACTATCTTCAGCAAAGCAGAGACGGTATCATTAGGAACAAGCGGTTCCAACTCCAACACGTCACCGAGCGCGTCACCGAATACATTTTATGCCACATCTAGTCCTGCACAAACGAGCTCTTCTTCCCAGGCAGAAACCATAGCCACCTCAGGCTCCTCCGGGACTAGTTTTTCGTCATCACTAGGAACTTTGTCTACTATATCTCCAGTATCTACTGCTTCGAGTTCCACTGCAGCACAGACAACCTCCGTGACTCCGCAAGCTTCTTCGTCTATCCCTAGCACGGCAGTATCAACGACTATACTGTTGCCATCAACGAGCATCGTATCCAATTCGACAGATACCTGGTCGAACTCGCCTCCTCAAAGTGGCACACCTTCAAGCTCGTCGATATATCCAGTCTCTTCAGTATCCTTAAACACCACCGCACTCCTATCTAGCTCAGCGGTAGTAGTCGCGACACCGTCATTGATCTCATTCCTTTCTACACCGACCAGCAATGCAAATTCCTCTAGCTCGCAATCATCATCCATACTACAGTCGAGTTCATTCACAATCTTACCCTCTGGAACATCCTCGATGGCCACATTTGCCCTAGGATCGCCTCCGGTCTCCAGCTCCTACACTATAGGATCACTCAGCTCTTCAGTTCCGTCCATTTTCAACTCCACAACGTTCACCAATATCTCAACCGCTACTTCAGCCTTTCCGAGCGTTTCTAGCTACTCAGCATATACGTCCCTGACATCGTCATCGACAGCATCTCTTTCACCCTCAGTGGTAACTCAATCCAATTCATCCGAGGCGTATCCAACGACAGCTTCTCAGAGACCTCTAATACCTTCAGGACTCTTATCTTCTGCGAATTTCAGCCTATCTCCAAGCTTCTTAGGAACACTGTCTTCTGTGGTTGCCTACTCATCCCTGAACATTTCAACATTATCTTCTATACTCCTTCAACCGACCATTAGCCTCTCCGCAATACCGTCTTCTATAGGCAGCGTGGCATTCCCGAGCATCCCTTCGGGAAATTCGTCGAGCTACAACATCCCAGCCCCCTTTACTAGTCAAGGCGTAGGCAATAGCAGTCTACTACTCTCGACTAATCCCTGACAGTAGCCTTTCCTACAAGCCAATTACTGAGCAGGAACCCACAGATTTGGACCTACACTTCATCGTTGAACTCTTCCACAACAGGTTAGAGCTCGGCTATTAGTCTCTCTACTATTGGTCTTTCGCCTACCGGTCTACCATCCATTAGCGGCAGCATCTCTGCCACCATCGTTTTGGTCACCAGTCTCCCTGTCACCAGTCCGCCAACGATAAGTCTCCAAATTATCAACAGTTCTACCACTAGCCTCTTCCCGACTAGCAATCTATCAAGCATTATTCTCCCAATCACCAGTCCTGGCATTCTGGCAATCACTATCGGAGCTTCTAGTATTTCTCCCCTGAGTGCTAGCACGTTTTTATCTTCCAATAGTTCAGCAGCCGCATATTCGACTTCAGGGATGTCCGCTCCCGCCACGACGCTGTTTCCTATAGCATCTTCATCTTCATTCGGTCTAGCCATTGGATCCGGCATCTTTCCATCAACAGTTCAAGGTGTATCCAACTTGTCCACTATTTTGATAGTATCTCCTATTACAAGTAACTTGTATAGCGCTCCCATCACCTCTAGTTTACTCACCAAATCATCTATTTTGTCTTTGTCGAGTGGTTTCTTCCCCACATTGTCTTCATTGGTAGCCGAGTCAGCCAGTGCATCTGGAGCCTCATTCTCTACGCTCGGTGGTACGTTCAGCTCGTCTCTGAGTCCGATATCAATACCAACCCCAAATATGTCGCTCGGCAATTTTGGTATACTCAAACCAACGATAGCATCACGAACTTCGTCCCCGTCTGTTTCGCTATCGCCGACAGCCACAGCGTTATTACTGTCATTTGGATTGACGAGCGGCTCGGATGCTCTCATTTCTACGCTTAGCGCAGTCTCCGGAACTCCTTCGACATCTGTTCCGGTCTTGTCGGCTACATTGATTCCATCATCTTTGTTCAACACTTCTGGCTCGAGCTCGTTACAGTCGTCGTCCTCGTCAATCCAATCGCTTCCCACGGCCACAAATTCTTCGTTATCTTCCGGATCGAGCAGCGCATCGGGTGCTCCCTCGTCCACGCTCAGCGGAGCGCCCGGAACTCCATCAACATCAATTTCGGCCTCAGCAGCTACACAGCTTCCATCGTCGTCCTTTTCTGGCAACCCTAGCTCAACTACAGTACAGTCAAGCCAAACGACTCTCACATCAACAGCTCTTCTGTTATCATACGGATCCACAAGCGCCTCATACAATACCTCATCCACGCTGGCTACAACTACTTCATCATCATCTGGACTATCGAGTGGATCCGGGATCCTCTCATCTACGCTCGGTGGTGTCTCTGTGACAGTCCTAGTATCAAGCTGGGCCTTTTCACTCACTCAAGTATCGTTACCCTCTTCGTCCTCGATTGGAAGCAGTGTTACATCGCCAAATATTTCGATAGCTATATCGATAGGTTTACCGTCAGTCACGACCGCAACGTTGATCACTAGCTCTCAAATTTCTACTGTTCCTGTATCCTCTCTGCTTACTTCAACAAATTCCTCCACGAGTAGCTTCGGAACTTCTCAATCATCCACTTTGGTACCCTCATCGTCCTACGGGCAGGCATGGTGCTCATCGGCTCTTGCCGCAACCTCAACTTCGAGCACCGTCCCCAAAGTCTGCTACGGATTCCAGACCGGCTATTGGTATACGCTAGGGACCAAAATGGTGTATATTACTGCCGATGTAGTCAGATCAGACCAGAGCCTCGGTGACCCGATTCTCGGTCTAAGCTTCATGCAGTGCATCTGGACTTGTGCAGCGAATTCATCCTGTGTAGATCTATCCTATACAGCTGCAGGATCATGCATTCTCAAACAAGGCTTTGGAACAGTGGTATCCGAACCGGGGGCTTGCGATGCGGTTATCTACACACCTCCCGCCGCTACTAGTTTGATACCTTCGCTATCATCCACGTCAGCTTTCAGCAACCAAACGGTTGGAGTGCAAACATCCTACATTACGACAACTCTTGGACTCTCATCAACGAACTCTGGGTCCCCGCAAGGTACATCAACGTTGATATCTACCATAAGTCAGGGCCTAAGCAGTACTTTACAACTCTCATTCTACACTTCGCCGAGTGGAAGTCCAACTTCCTTCACCTTATCCTCTAGCTCCTCCTCTAGCTCCTCCTCTAGCTTCTCCTCTAGCTCCTCCTCCAGCTCCTCCTCTAGCCCCAGCTCCAGCTCCTCCTCCAGCTCCAGCTCTAGCTCCTCCTCTAGCTCCTCCTCTAGCTTATCTTCTAGTCCCAGAGCAAGCTTTAGAGCTCTGGCAACTACTTCTAGCCCGTCTGCATCAACGTTATTAAGTTCAGTTCAATCCTCTTCCGCGTCTTTCACGGCAGGTCTTTCAACTGGAACTTCTAGAGGCCTCTCTAGTAGTTTGCAGGGCTTTACGTCCTCCGCGAGCGCCGGAACTACCGCATCATTCATACCAACGTCAGGCCCTACAGCTTCTACGTTGCCAGGAACACCGTCGCTGTCTCCTTCAATATCTAGGACGACTATGATAGGAAGCTCTGCGAGCAGTGTAACTCAATCAGCATCAACCCTCTCGGTACAATCGTCATCGCCTTCATCCTCGCCTTCTATATTGCCTTCGCTGTCCCTTGCATCTTCCGCTTTGCCGTCGTTTTCAATATCGGGGACAACTTCGATAGGAAGCTCCGCAAGCAGCGTGTTTGCATCTACTTCAATCATCTCGGCACTATCAAGCTCGCCGTCGTCGTCTCCCATTTTTTCGGCGAGTAGCATAATCCAAAGCTCCAGTCTTTCCACCAGTTTCCGAGCAGCGATTACAAGCGTAATCCTACCTACGACCGTTGTCCAAGTAGTAATTATATCATCAAGTCGAGCATGTGCCATGAATATTCTCGGTTTGTGTGTGCGAAAACGAGATGTCGTAGAGCTGTCGACTATCTACACGGTCCCTGGACATCCACGAAAGTATCCACCACATCGATCGAGACGTCCGCGACATCAGTCGCACCATCCATAACGTCATTCGCCATTTCTACGATCGCGAGATTTCCCACCGCTTTCAATGCCTCCCATACTTCGGCGAGCTTTCCCATAGCTCCGCGCCCTTCGGATTGTCCTGATCGAAATGGAACAACCTATTACTCGTACCAAACGAGCTTTGAGGTTGGTTGCGACATCACGCGTGCCGGGGACTTACTAGATACTGTCTGGACAGAGACATTCGAGTATTGCATGGACTACTGTGACATTTCAGCAGCGTGTGTGGATGTCTCTTTCTACCCCTTCGGTGCATCACTGCGCACATACCCGACACAGTATCGCTGCGAGTTGAAGAGCACACTTGGGCCTAGCACCAACGCACCAAATGTGTGGGCAGCACAAGTGATTCAAGTGTTTTCAACTTCCGAGACACCACTTCCCTCGTCCACTGGAGTCTCGGGTTTCGTGTCACTTGACGCCTCGTCCACTGCGCTTGTAATCCCCGAGAAATCCCTCACTTCGTCTACCCAGCTTCCAAGTTCAGACACACTGGTGGCTGTACCTACCGAGACCCTGGATATAGAGTCGGCACTCCCTTCACCGTCACAGCTTCTGAGTTCAGAGGTGTCCCTCACGTCATTCACTGAGCTTTCAGCTTTTGAGACCCCACTCTCTTCGTCCATTAGTTCTTCATACTCAGAGACGACTTCCGCTTTACCTGTTGAATCTCCAACCTCAGAAACATCGCCTAGCTCGTCTACTTTCCCTTCAACTACGGAGACATCGCTCGCATCACCCATCATGCATCCAACCTCCGCACTCTCCCTCCTCTCACTCATCGTGAGCACATCTTCAACAACCCCTCCCACCCTGCCCCATTTCCCCCTCACCATCCAAACAACCCCCTCGCCATCACCTCTCTGCCCAAGCATCAACGGCGAAACCTACAAACCACCAGACTCCCCCGTCTCCTTCTACATCCACTGCAACACGACCTTCCACGGCCGGATCGCCGAAACGTACAAAACGAACACCTTCCACAGCTGCATCGACAAATCCGTGGACGAGGCTAAAGAGGGCAGCTGCGTGGGCGTGCGCTATACGGCAGGCCTGTGTGAGCTGCTGAGTTTCGAGATGGAGTCTGTGGAGTGGACTGGGGAGCAGCTGATCGCGGTCGTGGATTGGAAAGAGAAGCTTTTGCATCCGACTTCGTCGTCGTCTAGGCCGGCGTTTGTGCTGGAGACGGCGCACGCTGCGGATGTTGGGGGGAGGGTGGGAGAAAGGGCGGGTGGAGACCGAAACGAAAGGGCGGAAGGCAATATCAGGAGGAGCCATCGAGGATAAGGGATATGAGGATCTGGGGATGAGGCGGTGCAATAATGCGACATCCGAAGTTTACAGTTTCTAGTTAACTCGTTCCTGTGTTTTCGAGCTTTTGATTCTGGGTGTCTCTGCTTTGGTCTTGTCGCATGGGGCGGAACGTAAACGATCGAATATGTAAGCCTTCATCGTCTTGTTCCTCCGAAGTCAACAAGAAAGAGGCCACCGCGTAGTAGTTAGTTATCTCTGTAGTCATGGATGTCATATGCAGCAAAATACCACGATTCAAAGACTCTTGACATGTATGATCCAGCATGCTCTCCGCTTAATTTTGGTGGTGTCAGATGTGTGAGAGTTTTCGGACTAAATACAGAGAAAATACTGGTTTGAACAGCGCTCGTTGGAAATAGAGACACGGCCTTGCCGCCGTTTCTGCTGACTTGTCTTGCCCCATTATCAGATGAATGCTACTCTTTCCTGTTTGGAATGTTGTCAAATGAAAGAAGATTTCGCCGGGGGTGAATGAGATTCTCAGGGATTATACCCCTGGTATCTGCCTATTATTGGGCAGATGCCGTGACGTGGGCATCATTTGTCTGAAAATCTTCGATCGTCTGAAAGCCTTCGATCATCTGAAAGCCTAGGGAAGCTTGAATTTTCGACATACGAGGGTTCAGGGGGCCATCTACTACCATTGCGAAACTGAATAATCTTTCTCTGACTTGGGGATCTAGTTCGCATACGACGCTGGTAAGACTTTTTCCACTGCGTGTACTTGTATGGGGGTGTTGAGGTGAGGTAATCATCCAACTGTAGTCTGATATAAGCTTGATCATAATGACGATGGTATGTGAGGTCCTGACATCCACCGTTGACTTGAAGGGGGCCTCTATGAGATGAAGACAAGTTGGAGAACTCGACGGGTGCTACGCTTGAATTTAGCTGAACAGAGCTTTTGTAGTTTCATACTAAAGAGACCGTCACAAAGTGTCTCAGGTATGGGTATATAGTTAGAAAAATATATCCGAAATCTCTTATTGAACTTCCAAAGAACGATACATTAGGAAAGCTTTGCATTGGCAAAATTCTGTCACGCAGCTCGGAAACACCCTTGTAACTGGAAATTTCACTTATGCCACGTAGCTTCTATGGAAAGCTCAAAGTAAGTAAGAAATTACTGACCGAATATAACTGGATTGAGCTTATAACATCATCCCTTGAAGACCGAACGTTGATTGCTACTTTGGTAGAGCCGGAGTAGTGTTCGACTGAGTGTGTGCCAACTGCGATCGAAAATGGGAAACAGGTTCTTTCGTGGGAATGGCAGACCATATGATCGCTGCCATGGTGATTACAGGAAAGAGGTTGCCGCCTAACCTCAGATCGAGAATAGACCCCTTGCTTGTAGAACGAGTTGAAGTTGTCTAAGTTGGCGCATACGTCATTCATCTTGGGCGCATATTGACCTCTACTTCAAGCATCGCCGGGATTAAGCACAGGAAATGCTGCAGTTCTAGGTTTTCTCCGCAATCAATTGTTCGAAACCCAGCCATGATCTCATGCAAATTAGCCTGAAAGGAACGATCGTGGTGGGGGCGCATCTGTTTCAACTCGATTAAGTTATGTGTCGTGTGTGCTATCATAACGATCTCGTAGAAAAGGCAACCAAGGGAAAATACGTCTGCTGCTCGCCCACTCGGTTTATAATCGGCAACCTCCGGGGCGAAGTACTTTGGGGTCCCGCGCTCGTCTCCGGTAGTAACACTGCTGTCTAGTCCAGAAACGTCCGAGGAGGTGCCAAAGTCTGTGATTCGAAGGCCGTCATAAGGAAATAATAGGATATTCGAAGGCTTCAGATCCTTATGCTTGATGTTGTGGTCGTGGAGATAGCGAATTGCAGCCGCAATACAAGGCGGACAAGTATTCAGCCTAGCACGTGCATGTTGTAATTTGTCCAGATATCCAAGCGCACGACACCGACTCCTTAGAATATCTGCGTCAACGTGCGAAAAGAGTGAAGCGCGATAGGGAGATTCAGCTTTCAGGTAGTCCACATCTTCCATCAAGGTAGCGAGGTCGCATATGGCAACTGGCCACAAGAGAAGCCCGAGATGCGGACCTTTGGTGTACGTCCCGACAAGCTCGATGATGTGACGGTGATTTAGCTTCTTGATAATCTCAATCTCTTTTCGGTGTTGCGGAGTTATTCGATTCCGACAGTAGATCTTCTTCCAGGCCAGTTTTGTGCCATCGCAATCAGTCTCATGGACTAGACCGTTCACCCCGTGGCCTAAGAATCTTCCAGTCTCCAGTGGTATCGTTTCATCTCTGGAAAAGTCGACATGCGAAGTGCCTCGATTAGCCCAATCCCAGCCCCGATCCAGCTGCTTCATGGCCGACGAGTTAAGAATGCCGCAATCCTAGATTGTGAAATCGAAGTCGCGATGGAGATGATTAGGTATCGAAAGCCCGACAGGGCTGACGTTCGATATGACTTCAGGCTAGCTGGAAACTCGTATTTCCTCCAGCGAAGCAACGAAGATGGTGCTGATGCCTTCAGGAAGAAACAACGACTAGAGCAGATATGAATAGTGCGAAAGTAGCATTTGGCAGATGAGTCACAAAGAGAAGAAGGGAAAGAGAAGGAAAAGGAAATGAGGCACAGAAGGTTGCAGGTTGAAGGCTGAGCTGAGACGGCTCGGTTGAGGTTGCCTCTTTCGCGACAGTCACGTGTCGTCAGCATATCACGACCTTGAATTCAGAGACCTTGGTACCGATAAATCACAAGAGAAGCTTTAAGAAGATATAACTGGTATTCTATGCATCCGCTACCCATATGATGCCATTAAAGCACACGTCTATTCAAAGGCCGACGTTGCCAAAATCGTACACTCGTGCACAAACGCCGCTAGAAATGCCGAGATGCTCAAACACCAACCGTCAAAGAAAACAAACAACGCCATGGCTCAAATTTATCGAATAGCCAACACCAAGCCAAAAATGCCATGATACCCGGATCGTAACTTTTCCGCTTCAACGACCAGGTTGACAAGGTAGGAATCAATCACTCGGCTTCCCATTCGCCAAAGACGCACCATCGAGCACTTCGATCTGCTAGAACAAGTCCTCTCCAAGTACCACGTTCGCCGATCTTGATAACAGTCTCCCAGACACTACCGCTTGCGCCCTCAGCAGTGCCACCCATATGCTCACTCTTCCTTAGCAGTCTAATAATCTTTCCACCTGGCGTTTGGATCGCCAGCTTGGCCGGCTTTTGCGCATTCGAGGATGAGTTGGATGATGAGTTCGAGGTCGCAGAGGGGTTGGAATACGAAGAGCCGGTCTGAGACATCGAGATCATGCTCATCGCTGAGGTAGGACGGGCAAAAGGATTTGGAGATCGTGGGCGGTCGGATGCCACGGACGGATCCGGTGAGCGGGTAAGTGAGGACGGATGTTGGCGAATAGCAAAAACAAAGGTATTGTTGAGTGCTAAGCGTGAACATTGGGGCTGGGCAATGTAAAGATCATGGCGTTGGGCGTGCGGTGTGGGATGAATGGTGAGGAACGAATACGGCGGGTTTGAGCCTGTGTGCGTGAGAGGAAGGGCGAAAGCAAGCGAATGCGGGTTTGATTTTATGGAGTGCTAATGAGTTCATTAGTTTCAATCCGTTCATAAGAGTGGGAAATTGCAAGGACTTACCATCAGTCCGCGTTTCCCAGCGTACACTTTCAGCACACCATGACCTTCATCGCCTGGGAGAAGCGCTTTCACGGTATATCGCTTCTGCTCTCCTATCCACTCCGCTTGCGCCAACGCCGGCTTCTTTACCATATCTCCACTCTCGAAATAGTCGCCATCTGCGTCCTGGGCATATCCACGAGCCTCCACCTCCGCTAAACACTCCACATCTTCCGGGACGTTGAAGTAAATGTGGGCGAGCTCAAGATTGTCGAGATTGAGTAAGCTGGTATCGAAGTCTACCATCTGGAGGCCATGTTTGAAATAAGGAGGACACGCGCAAGGTAGAGCCATGAGAATGTCGTGAGATACCGGTGGGCAAATGTGTTGCTGTTCCGGAAGCAAGGGCACATGGGTGTAGCAAATCTCCATCGGACGAGCGAGAAACCACCAGTTCTCCGCCACCTGGGACCCGGTACTCGAATACTGGCTTCGTTTGGGATTTGTAGGACCAGCCAGAGAGCAATCCATAATGCGCCATTCCCCATCCACAATAACGGCGTTCCAGAAGTGGTTTGGTCTAGCAACTAGGTCCAGGTCCAAAGCTTCACCGGGAGTCTTCAGATACCCTCGGACCACTTCGGCGTGCAGTCCAACCGATGAACACATCTCGAAGACGAGTATGGCTATCTCTTGCGAGCAACCACGCTTCATCTGAATAACATGGCGAGTATCAATATCGCCCTCGAAGTCGTCTTCCCAGGAGATCCGTTCGCTGACCCAAGTGAAGATTGCCCGGAGTCGTTGAACGTCGCTTCTATAAGGTCTACAGACGTAGCCTTGCGCTAGGCTTGCGGAAGTTGTTCCTAAGGGGACACTGTTGATGAATCGGGAGCTTTTGTCGACCAGTGCCAAGTTGCAAGTCGAGAAGTCCATAGGGTCGGCAATGGCAAGTCCGTCAAGCCCTTCGTCACCCTCTGCAGATTCGTAGAGTGCGTCTATCGGATTGATGACAGGAATATCCATCATTTGACATCGCTCTGCTCGCTCACTCCGCTCATTTTTACTGAGGGAGTTCGACCGATTGACATCTCGTCGAACTTGGACCCAGTCCACTACTCCGCCTAGCCCCATGTCTCGGGCTGCGCTGGAAGGTGTGGTTGCGCCACCTGCAATCGCTGTAATTCCATTCGGCAGTAGCTTGCCTTGTCGGGAAACTGGTCGGCTAGATTGTCCGGACGCGATTGTGCTTCGAGCACTTGCAGCTGAAGTTTTCGCCGTATCGATGACCTTGCGGAAGAATCCACTCTTCTTTGGTTTCGGCGCCATTAAGCCACCCAATGGATCCTTCCCATCGGCGACGTTGGCTGCCCAGTCACCATTCGAGCTTGTTCCTGGTCGTGATTGCTGAGAATCGTGGCTTGAATGATACGTCACTCCGGTGAAAGGCGTTTCTGGTCGGCCGTCGTCAAATCCAATTTCTCTCGAACTAGTATCCCGGGTGTCCATCACGCTGTAAGCCCTGGCCTTCGCTCCTCCATTGGCGCCGAACTTCTTCCGATAGTAGCTTCCAGCACTGGTGGCGCTCATGTTCGTTGCAGAGTGTCCAGACATGAGGCTGTGGTGGGTTGTGTTACTACTATGAGTAGTTGTTGTGGAGTTGGTTTTGGTTGTAAACGTGCGTCCCAGGACCTCTTTCCCCACGTCATAAGCAGATTTTCTGTGCCTTAGGGTCCTTCTGAGTGACATTTTCCGTTCACCAAAGTCTTGGACCTGATCAATCGACGACTGCGGCCGCGGTTGATACGTAGAGCTTTTCGGAGGCACTGCAGGAGGTGGACCAGTCTGATCCCGAGGGATGAACAGCTCGTCGCGTGGTCGTGAGGAATGAGGAGAATCATCCTGCTGATGCAGTTTACGAAGTCGGCTTTCCATTCGTTGGACGTAATTATGCACCTGCGGCGGTGCCTCGTCTAACTCTGGGTGAAATTGGCCTTGTTCTTGGAATTCCTCCTCTTCGTGATTGTCCTCAACTGTCCCGATTCCGGGTGATGTCCGAGGTCGTAATTTCTTTGCAGAGGCGTGAAAAACCTGATCAAATGCTTCCGGGGACCAGACATTCGGTGGTGTTGCAGGTTCATTTGGAGAGTCGGCACTCCGCGACATACTCATATCTTGCAGAGATGACATGACATCGTTCATAGCGTTGGTCAATGGTGAGGGCGTAAAGCCGCCTCTGACAGGCGTAGGTGGAGCGGGAGAGCGCGGCACTGGTGTATGATAGCCGTCTCTGGAATCATGTTCATTGTACGGCGCTGGAGAAGGTGCTCGATCCTGATTATACGCGATACGATGTGGAGGAGGTGGCGGGGGCGGTGGTGAATCGTTACGGGTATCGAATGGATGCGGAGATGGGCCTCGAGGATGCGGTTGATATTGGAAGGAAGGCGCTGGTGAGGGAGCTCGAGCATCGGGTTGATATTGAAAAGAGGGCGCCGGAGAGACCGCTCGAGGGTATGGCTGGTATTGCGTAGGAGGAGCAGGCGAGGGGCCCCGTGAGTAAGGCTGATATTGTGTTGGAGGAGCTGGAGATGGTGCACGCGAGTG